AAAAAAAAAAAAAAAAAAAAAAAAAAAGTCATATAATGACCGCTGGACGTCATTCGGTCATTGACGCATTGTCATCCTCATCGACTGAGGAGAACCGATTGCAAAAAAATTTCTGGACATCATTAGTCCAGCAGATGACCTCGAGCAAAGGTTCTCGGCTCGAGGCGGTGTTAGAAGGACTTGAGTCCGGGCGGTGCAGTTACTATGCAGAAGACCTGCATGCAGGCACTCTAAGAAATGGCTGGGTTCTGCAACTATCCGCATCCAGGGCGTCGGAGAGCAGAGAAGGCAATTGTCTCTAAGGCCCAAGAAGACCGAGAACCACTCTCAGGGCGTCCCTGGGCTCGAAATCATGAGCTCTAAGGCACGCCGGGCTAGCTAGGCATCTGGACCGTGCAGCTTTCTGGCAACTGCCTTTCCAAGTGCAGATTCAGGAAATGTAGAGGAGTTGGATCTGTCGACGGTCTGCTTCAATCTGGGATCTCAGCCATCATTGGAATTTCATACTGGACCAGGCCGAGCGAATTGAAACGCTGGAACAGGAACAGCTGAGGAATACAGGTTGGTATCTGTGATGTACCAAGCACAAATGACAATGGAAATAAAGACAAAAGGACGAAACAAGATGCAGCATGATGGGTTGTCAAAACTCAAAGCTTTGTGGGAATTGTCAAGGTTCTCTGTAGCGTGCGGATGGTAGAGTTGGAACATGGTTCCTCGGATGAAGGGATGCCTAAGCACCCCAGCAAATCCATCAGTGCACGACTCTGTCTGAATAAATAGTCGCGCATCGAGAAGGGGTTTCCTGGTCACGGACAATACATTGATCCGAGATATGCAGCAGGGGAATATGAAGTTGGGAGTTTCTCGGTAAAGATCGACCGCGACGATATGGCTGCACTTGGTGGGCTTTGGCGCCTAACAGGTCCAACCTTGGAACAATAGTGAGGTAGAGTACAGAGCTACAGGTATCAGTAATGAAGGGGAAAGCAATGGCTGGATACATGCAACACTGAATTCTTGTACCCGTCATGATATGGCATAAAGATAGATTACATTCATTTTACTGGATCATATCTCGTCCCTCGTTCTCCACTTCTCCCGGGTTTCCCCCGCCTTTTCGTCCCCGGACCCACTAGAGCAAAGGGTAAGACTCGCTGCAGAATGGAGAGGGAATAATGTACACGTTGTATTATATGAAGCAGTTTCACGCTACTTTCCTTGTTCGCCTAATTCATTGGCTGTATTGGCATTTCGCCCACATGGCAGCCACCTTGTTCAGATAATCCGGGGGCGGCAAAACTGTGGAATCAATCGACTCGTGCACGTTCCCAGACGAGAAACAAGCCAGTCTGGTCGTTGCAAAGTCCCCACGACCTTATTGCTGCTTCGGCTCATATTAACCCGTTTTTCCAAGGGCTTTTTTGCCCCAACACAAGCCGTTTCCTTAGTCTCTTCCGACATTTTCATGTCAATTGATTTTGGACATATCTAAAGTTGTGTGCGCGTAAGCAATGTACGACACAGGCCGTAACTCTGCCCAGGCCGACTCTAATATGAACAAGGATATCAACTCCGATGGAGTGTCGGAGGCAGTTGCGCAACAGCATTATCCCAAAAACGAGACGATCGCCGTGGCCGTCGTTCAACCTGATCCAACCCGCCGCCTCAACCGCGACTGGCGGCGGCGACTAAGGACGGAAGAGCATTAGTGACCAAAAGTGAGCAGGTTACTTTTTGATGGAAGCCAACCCTCATTTGCTTCCACCATCGTCATCCGCCGTCGCGAACTAGGTTGCTCGGCTGGGATTAAGGATACCACCCTCCATCGTTTTGTTCGACATGGGGCAGTACATCCTCGACAGTGAAGCTTCTAGGCAGGTAGAGAGTACGACACAGTACTTGACAACCTGAATTGTTTTAGTTCATGTCACGGCAGAAGGATGCTGGAATGAAACGCTGGACGGAGGTGCCGCCTTGGACATGACTCTTCTATACCATGTTAGGCACAGCGTCTTCGAGTAATTTGCCAATTCTGCAACACTTTACGACCTTTTACGTTGTTCCTCGGCTATCCTTATTCCGTCGCTTGAGGGGAACCTGAGGTTGATGCTTTCGCACAGAAGAATAAGGTAGATGACGGCTCTGGCAGCAAGTTAGTCACGGGAACCTTATACGAATCGACCTGGACCCCAGAGGTGATGATGAAGGAAGGACGACGGTTGAATGGTCTCGCCACGGCGTGGTATTTCCCCCAAGTCGGGTCTCCTGAACGCATCGGGAGATGCTGCCCCGCTAGTTGAAGCCCTAATAACTCTCTTCCCATGTCTTTTGTCGTGCCCAGGTAGGTAGACTTTCTCTTCTTCTTCGAGGGAGAAGCTATCCACTCTTGACGCAAATGTACGGTATCGTGTAATGTCCTTGAACAGGTTTAAGGCCAACGGCTTTACAAGGAGACCGTTCCACCCGCCCCAAGCCCTAGACCAAACATGCACACCCGTGAGGCAATTGCTCTCGTGTCTCGTCTCGACCCGAAAGTCGAAACTACTCGCTCTCCGCATCTTGGTTCCTTTCTCCATGGGGTCCCCACCATCAACCCATGCTAGACCAAAACACCCCACAATCCGGGGTGTGGTCGACTATGCGATTCCATGGCCTATATGATACACCGTTCAGCCCCCTCTCGAGAGGGGCCTTTTTTCTGATTGCTCTTCTTTGCTCGTTCTTGGACGCATACCAAAGGTCACCGGTTGATCTTCTTCAATCCCATTGCACCCCATATCGCTGCCATTTCCCGGTTGGTGGTGGTGAGAAGCGGACGTTGACTTTACTTGTAAAAAAAAATATCTAACTCCAGCCGCTGAGGTTGCCGTCCACCATCAAAATGGTCATCGGAAACATCTACCTCATTGCGGCCATCTCCATTATTGGAGGTGGTCTGTTCGGTTTTGATATCTCTTCCATGTCTGCCATGTGAGTAGCATGCTGTGACACCTTCTCAAACTTCATGGGCCCATGTCTAATATGGTTACAGCATTGGCACCAAGCAGTATCTCTGCTACTTCAACCAAGGACCCAATGGTCCGCCTGACTGTTCAGGACCTCGGTCTGACGTACAGGGTGGTATCACGGCTTCTATGGCAGGTGGTTCCTGGCTCGGAGCTCTGTGCTCGGGTTTCCTCTCTGATATTTTCGGCCGTAAACATGCTATCATCGTTGGTGCCTGTATCTGGTACGTGCTAGGTCCAGGAGCGCTGTGGTTTAAAATGAAGAATTGCGAAAATTTAATCTAACTGAGATAGGCTCATTGGATCTACTATCATCTGCGCATCTCAAAACATTGGCATGCTCATCGTCGGCCGTGTCATCAACGGTTTCTGCGTTGGCATCTGTTCCGCTCAGGTCCCCGTCTACATCTCTGAGCTCGCCCCGCCCAGTAAGCGTGGTCGTCTTGTAGGCGCTCAGCAATGGGCCATTACCTGGGGTATCATGATTATGTTTTACATTAGCTATGGTATGTCTTATTCACCAGTCAGTCATTGTTTATTGAGTATTCTACTGACTGCTTGTAGGCTGCTCTCACATCAAGAGCACCGCATCCTTCCGCATTCCATGGGGTCTGCAGATGATCCCTGCGATGCTGCTCATTGTCGGTATGCTCTTCCTTCCCGAGTCGCCTCGTTGGCTTGCTCGCAACGATCGCTGGGAAGAAGCCGAGAGCGTGTTGGCTCTCGTCCATAGCAAGGGCGATCGCAGCAGCGCATTTGTGCAGCGTGAGATGCAAGATATCCGCGAAATGTGTGAGTTTGAGCGCGAGAATCGTGATGTATCCTACCTCGAGCTCTTCCGTCCACGGATGATCAATCGCACGCACATTGGAGTCTTTACTCAGATCTGGTCTCAATTGACCGGCATGAATGTCATGATGTACTACATTACCTGTGAGCTCTCTCTTTCCTCCCTCTGCCTGTTATGGTTCTCGCTAACATTTTGTCAGACGTTTTCGCCATGGCGGGTCTCACTGGAAATCAAAACCTCGTCTCATCTTCCATTCAGTACGTCATCAACGTAGTCATGACCATTCCAGCACTTCTCTACGTTGATCGCTGGGGTCGTCGACCCACGCTGCTCATTGGTGCAGCTCTCATGATGACCTGGCTGTTTGCGGACGCTGGTCTGCTGGCGACCTACGGACACTATGCCGGCCCCAACGGCGTTGGCGGCATCAAGGAAGCCAGCTGGAGCGTGCACGGACCACCAGCCAAGGCGGTCATTGCGTGCTCCTACCTCTTTGTCGCTTCGTTTGCGCCCACGTGGGGTCCCGTCTCGTGGATCTACCCTCCCGAGCTCTATCCTCTGCGTGTACGAGGCAAGGCGGTCGCCCTCGCGACCTCGGCCAACTGGGCCTTCAATTTCGCCCTGGGCTACTTTGTGCCTCCGGCTTTTGTCAACATTCAGTGGAAGACGTACCTCATCTTTGGCGTCTTTTGCTTCGCCATGTTTATCCATGTCTTCTTCATGTTCCCCGAAACGGCCGGAAAGACGCTCGAAGAGACCGATGCCATCTTCACTAATCCCCATGGCGTCAAATACATTGGTACGCCGGCCTGGAAGACACACATCTCCACCAGCCGCGTGCGCAAGCTGGAAAAGGGCGAGCTCGACGCCAAAGAGATTGCTGCATATCACGACGAGCAGGCCGATTTGGGTACCGTTGGCCGCGCATCCATGTCTCACGCCGCTCCTGGCCTCTCGGAGACTCCAAAGGTCGGTTAATTGCATGTCTGCAATGTCTTTTGATATGCCGCCGACTTCTTATGATTTGAATAATCATTGTGACTATTGACGATATGTTCGATCGATGACCACGGTTTTGTTCTTAAAAAGCAAGAAGCTTGTTGGCGTCCATGTCTTGTCCTTGTTCTTGGACCTCTTCCCACTTTTTCCAACCCCCTCAGGTTCTACGCGTATTGAGTACGTCAGGGCGACATGATGCCCGTTATTTGTATTATCCATTACCAGATATTTACTGTATGACTTTTCAGCAAATACCATGGAGGTAGTCTCTGTTTATTCTACGTATCTTATTTATTGGAAAAGACGTAACTTATTAGTTCTATAATTGGATGAAAAACACACTATCTTGATAAACCTGTCATCAATTGGGCACATGCTGTTAAACATACGATCCTCGCCCGGAACCATGTAGATACTCCAGGGAATCATGCATACTCGTAATCAACACACATCCATTCAACGGCGGATGACAAGATGCAAAATGTCTGGCGTTTGTTGCCAACTTGCCTCGTTGCCAGCCTTTTGTACTCCCTCGTACGGAGTAAGTTAACGTGCAGCTTTTCCCCGAGCTACGGGTACTAAGTACATGTCCAACGGATGGACAACCCGACGACCCGAGACGGTCCTCGGGCTCAAGTGCCAGAGTGCTGACTGCTCTTGCTCTTTGGTTTGACCATATGTACTTCGTATCATATCTTTGATTTGACGTTACTCTCACAGTTGGTTCGACCTTATGTATGATAGTGATTTGACCTTATGTATGATAATAATCCGATCACAATTATCTGATTGGTCGATTGGTCTAGTGGTATGATTCTCGCTTAGGGAGATTGGAGCGCGAGTTCCCTTTCTCACAAACCTGAGTCCAAAATGCGAGAGGTCCCGAGTTCGATCCTTGGATCGACCCTTTTTTGTCTATTCTTTTATTTATTTTTTATTATTTTAGCTTCCGTTTGTTGATTTCTCATTGTTTTATTGCTTTTATTGTTGTTTTTGTCCCTTGGATTGAGTGTATTTTGATTGGGTTGTTTCAGACTTTCTCTGACGCGCATCCGTGGGTTGTTTCGTGAGTCTCACGAGCGAGGCTCGATTAGCTACTACGTGGGATGTGGGGCGTGAGGGACATATATGGCAACAATTGAATCGGCAAGCGCAGATCAGTTGGACGTGGGAAAGGAGACCTCAATGAAAAATGATTGATAAATTATAAAGAAGAACAAATGAGTCTAATCTACCATTGCATTTCGCTTTGCGGATATTTCTTGCTTGAACCGCACAGTACTACACTTCATAAAAACTATGTACGAACTCTCTTCTAGTCTCCCGGCTCTAAGAGGATACTTTCGAGTAATTGTATCCTTCATACATGTCTAATCTCAACACATCGGATATCATGCTCCCGTCTGTTCTCCGCGCTTTTCCTTGACAAATATCACAAAGTCGTCAAGGACTCCGGGCCATGCGCCGTTCTCGTCCCACCAATTCATGGTCTCGTCATCGAGCGATTTGAGCGCAAATGCATATGTCATGTCCCACATGTCGCGATTGACGGTCTTGTTCCAGCGAGCTTCTAGGTACTCGAGCCACCAATCAAGCCAAGGGGTGTTGGGTGTGCGCCAGACACATGCTGTCGACGAGGAGAAGAGCAGGCGCCAATATTCCGTGGCCACCTCGAGTGGTACTGCTTTCTGGCCGGGAGTGCGGGCGATGAGGAAGGTGTGTTTGTAGACTTTTTTGAAATAGGCCGAATCTTGGACCATGGTGGTCTCGCGTAGGTGAGTGACATGTGCTTTTTGTTTTGAGATTGAATCGGCGCTATCAGTAACAAGAAAAAAAAATGTTAGTCTTTGGCAAGAGGACCTCGAGCGGTGATCAAAAGTTTATGAATTGGGAGAAAAGGAAGACGGGTAGCATCATGTACACTTACCCGACGGATCTCCATCCATTTACAAATCCTTCTCGTGTAAATTCTCCCATGACTGGCGATTGTAATAATTCGAAAATAGCAAGAACAACCACCTCATCTAGTGCGACACCAAGGGCTCCCAGGTACTCCATTGACCCCTCAACTCCTATACCATCTGGATTTTCTGCAGGCGCGTCTAAACAACAGAGGAGGCGTTAGCTAAAAGAAAAGAAAAGGAAAAATCATCTTCGAGAAACCATGTACCTCTGATGCTGTCAAATTGTTTGTTGAGGGCACTGGCTATGGCTGAGCTTGTGGAATTGCTGCCCGTCGACCCTTGGAAGAACCTGATTTGAGAATGCATCTGTTAGTATAATCGTCGCCTCTTGCCTCGGTGTGACGCGTATCCCAATTCGCGATGAATGGTCTCTTGGACCCCAAAGTCATCGTCATTAAATATAGGGCCTGGAGGGAGTAGGACCCCCGAACTGGCCCCCTCCGCTCCATCCTCCAATGGCACCGAAGCACTTTCCCCCTCGCCATTTGAATTTGAGCTCTCTGGGCGCATAGGAGGGCTGTCGTGAGACTCGTCCGCCGGGAATTCTTGACAGTCTTCCCAGTCGCCTGGGAAGAACAGATCCTCGGTCGGGATCTGGTAGGCCTCCAGATAGTGTAGAAGGAGCGTGTCATCCTCGGCCCTGAGATGGGCGGCTGACCGCAAGAGCCCTAGGGTTCTACTTCTCCCAAATTGTCTATTTTCAAAGGAGGAGTATACCTTGTCGATCTGGGCGTAGTTGGGGTCGACGTCCGCTTCATCCCAGTCGCCTGGCGGCATCCGGGGCTTTAATTGCCTGACACTGGGTCTCCAAGTCGTTGGTAGCCCCAGACACCGCCGCACCCTGCCGATTTCTTCCTGCCCCCAAAGACCTTCTCTGAAGAAGTAGGCCGGTCTCATCTGGTGGGCTCTGAGTATGAGCCGGAAAGAATCTTCTGCGAGCTGTGGCATTTGTAAGGCGTCCCGCGCCTGCTCAAATGCCACCTCCGTGTCCACTCGCTTCTCCAAAAGTCGAAGGTATATTTTCCTGACGGCCACTACGGCCTCTTTGGACAGCTTATGGCCCGGCTCTTCATGGCTCGGTGCCTCAATTTGGTCATTCGGAGCTAGGGCGGGCGAGCTAGTGGCATTCAGAGGACCAGCCCCTGGAGAACCGTTCTCGAAATGCTCCCCGGTTCGAGAGGCACTCGCCTCACGCATTGCCTTCGCCTTGGACCGCGTGTAATACTTGTGGTTTGCCGTGTGACTGGAGACATTCCGGCGTGATGCTCGCTTCGGACCAGCCGAAGGTTGCGAACGCGAATTCAGAGGAGCCATTTTCTTCGCTGGTAGCGGTGATGGGAGTATGTTGCACACAATGACTTTGGTGGGGCCGCGAGACGAGGGATTGAGGGTGTAAGAAGGATAAAAAGCAGAATTCAGCTGCGGAAGAAAGGTTCACAAAGAGAGCCGAGAACGCGAGGCTACTCAGTAACGAGATGTGTGAACAGCCACGGTGAAACGGTGTAAGGTTCCAAGGGAAGTGAGAAATCGACAGAAAGGCAGGTTTTGGAAAGCATAAAAAGGAAGATGTTTAAAAGAGACAGAAAAGGGTCGCCAACGTACGCATCTACAGATCTTTCAACGTTCCAAGCGTGCTGTTTAAGTATCTGGCGGTAGAAGTTAGCAACAATTGGTCGAAATTCAACAATAGCAACAATAAATCGCAGTCGTGATTATGTCTCCACAATAGCGAGCAGCTATTGCCCAACTTGATTGTGCAAAAAGTAACAATAGCGCTTCAATTCACCGCAGCAGCCGCCTCAAAGACACTCAATTGAAGCGAGTCACTTCATATTGAAGGCCCATGCCTATTGAGCGTAATGGAATTACCAATTGTTCCATGCCCGCCAGCATCAATAGCCAAGACCATCCTTCAATTCGCGCCACATGACAATAGCTCCTTATTGAAGTCTGTAGCTCAAGCTGGGTATCCCTTGAAGCTGGCCATCTTGTCGTATGATCGTGGGTTTCAACCCAATTGAGAGACTCCAGACGAATTATGGGCAGGGTTTAAAGAACTGGCCATACAACACGCTCGTCAACTCACCCTTGCTGCAACACTGTTGCTCGCCTGTGTAAGCTCCGCGAAGCTTGCAATCGCGCTCTTCTGACTCGGGGTATAGGCCGGCGGCATCTTGTCGGTTGGAAGGAAGACAATCTGTTCTGGATGATTCTGAGTCGTAATATACAAGGATCTCGTTCGAATGATGGTCAAGCACCGGCGGTAGGAAAGCCTACAAGTTGGCTTGAACGTTCAGTCAGGAGAAATGGACGTTGCTCTTTGAAAAGTCGTCTCCGAGTGATGGTGGCACAGGAAAAGATGACAGTTGCCCATTCTGATGGCAGAGCATATACCGGAAACTTCACTACATACTTGCTTGAATGTTCTTGTGAATGGCATATGTTAGTCTACGGTTCTTCTACCAGCAACTTTTGGAACAAATATTTACTCTTGGTATCTTGACCAGCTGTCCTTGAATCCGCGACGCGTTTGATAGCCCCCGTTCCAAAGAAGTCGATACCCTGAGATTATAGCTTTGAATATGAAATGAACGCGTTAGTCGACGTAGGCTTATAAATTCGAAGCTTAAAATTACATTGAAAGCGCGAGTAGGTTACCTGTTGTTAGGCACAATAGCTCTGCAATTACGTATCAGGAGCGGGTAATCCCGTCGATAAATAGAGGGGCAGCATAGCTACCGTAGTACTCGAATCAATTCTACGGCGAGAACTCTCAGGGTCCCTTGGTCCCGCGTCACGGGAAAAGCCGTCTACAGTGTTGACATTGACCCAACGAAGTAGTTATACTTTGTTAAATGACCACTGATAGCACGGCATTTTCTCCATTTGATCACGTTCGAGGTAATGAATAATCGAACACACTCTCAGCAGCAGCTTCATGAGATGCACCTCCAGGATGTAAAAGACCTAGTTCCATCTACCATAAATAATATCTCAAATGTACAGTAATGTACACGTTAGACACAGCTAGGCGGTTGACCACAGCAGGAAATAGCCAGGACACCTAGTCCAAGATGCATGGGAGAGATCAGAGAGGTTTGAACAGATGCGCAAAGTAAAATAAGAAAGGCTTAAATCCCAAAAGGGAAGAAGTAGAAAAGAAAGGTATCTTTAAACATAAGGGGATACATGGAACAGGCGAAAGTTGCAGAGACTGGGCAGATAACGACAAACGAGCAAATCGTGCGCAAAAAAAGGCGGTTTAATGAGATTGAAGAGGAAGGCTGCCTGCTAAACACGTCCACCAAATCGACACCTCGATGGAATGGCTAGGCGGTATGTAAAGATTTCCGCTATTGAAAACGATACATTTTGCGCTGCCGATCAAACGAGAAATACAAAGGCTGAGAGTGCTTTGAGACTAAATTCAAATAAGATAGAGCAATGAATAAAATTAGCGTCAAGATTGAAGGAGATTCACTCCCCCACAGGCATGCCCTCGAGCTCATCGCTGAGACTTCGCCAATTGTCGGCCTGCAGCTCGGTATATTTAACGCGCTCCTGGCTCCAGTCTTGGTGAAGGCGACTGACGTGATATTGCGATCTTTGGAAATAGAAGATCTCATCACGAATACACTCCTTTATAAAGACTCCTCTAGCGTGCTGGTCAATGATGGATTGCTTGTCCTATACAATCTTCGTTAGCGAATGAAATCACAGCCGTCACGGGACAGGTCACCGCACCCTGACAATAGCATCCTCCACTCTTTCTAGCTCACCGGGCTTTCGATCCGGTTTGTTCCTCAGTGCTATCAATCTACTTTCGTTGTTTTGAATACGACGCTCAAGAGTGGGTATATTGTCCTTTGCATATCTGTCCCGACGGTCAAACATGTCTCGCATGCTAACGAGTCCGTCTCGTTGCCTCTTCAAATCCTCAAGCACTCCCTCATCCCACGCCCTGCCCTCGTCTTCAAGCAGGCTCTGACTCGCGGACAAATGTTTAGCGGTCGATTTTATTCCCTCGTTGAGAAGCGGAACATCGTTGGTGTCGATCGCATATGTACTAGATGACGCCTCAGACAACGATCGCAGAGCAAGCGAGAAACGCAAGCAGTCGGCGGCAATGCCCTCGTTTCTCCGAATCAGACGCTCAAGTAAAGTGCAGAGATTGATATAAATCTCTGCCGAACGGCGGACTCCTGAACGAACGGTATCAAATGTCTCCATAAGCGTAGCGGGAAGCGAATCCTCAAGTTCCGGGGGTAGCACTTTGCCAATGAATTCTTCCTGGATCGATATTGTAGCTTGCTTGCGCCACACGGTGAGCTCCTATATTTTCTTATTAGTTCTCCATACCTCTACGCCTCAGCCGCCGTCATGGCTTACCGTAGGAACTGTAAGGAACATTATAACCAGTTGCTCCTGAGAAAGAACCGGGTGTTGGATCAGAGCATTTGTAAAGCGAACAAGCCCACGACGGCGCTTCTCCAAGAAAGATATATCGGACAATATATGATTGCCGTTCACTTTACGCACATGAGTCCTTAGTTACCGTTTCGCAGGGAGGATATATTTGCATGTAGTAGGCTAGACTTACCAACAATCTTCTTTGGCGGGAGCAGAGGTAGCTGACGGAATGGATAACGTTTCTGGAGGCAATCGAGAAGCCAAACAAAGTCACTATATCGTCGAATGACTTTGGTATTGCGCCGTACACTCGAGACTTGATAGTTGCGATGTCGGAACATGAACATGCCCTCCTTCTCCGGAAGCAGTTCAATGGTAACGGTTTCTTGGACCCCGCCAGAGTAAACCTTGCCTCCTCCAAGCGACCTTCCTAATGTTTCGGAGTTGGGATTGGCATCAATGCGCGGGATAGTGGCACCGAAGCCTCCGCCACCCAGTGCCCCGGATCCAGGGTCGGCAAACGTATTTTCTGAAGGGTCTTCGGAGTTAGGACCCCACCCACCACTGGAGCGCAATGTATTGCCTCGGCTGGTACCGTTTGCACCAGGCGTGTTCTCTTCTTCTACCTCTGAACGAAGAGCCCTCTCCGCCCCGGAAGGCTCCGCAGCTCCATTACCAACTTCCCTCGAGCTATTGGGATCAATAGTATCTGTGACATGAGAATGGTCCCTGTGTAGTCCAGGGCTCGCCCAAGGATCGGATTCGGGAAAGGATGAGGCTCTCTGAGCTGAAGCGCGCCGTTCCGCCGGCGGAGTTTCCAGAGGGCCAGAAGGTTTGGAAGGCGGAGTAACGGGTCGCGAATGTTGTGGTTGGACAGGTCCTTGTACGCCGGAAGCTTTAGAAGCTTTAACTTGTTGTAAAATAGATATAGCAGGCTCTGGAAGGTCTGATGTCCCATATGTTGTGTCAGCATTCATATTTGCTAAAACATAAAGATTGCCCTCTCTCCGTTTTCTTCTGAGAAGGCGAATCACACTCACTCTTCCGTCGCTCATCCACACTGTCCAGAGTGACATCTTCATCTTCATTCTCTTGAGCTATAGCAATCAGAGCAAGCAAAACATTGAATTCTCCTCGTCCTAGCCCGGATGCCGTCTCCTGGCCCCCTGGTACAACAATGTTAAGTATCCGAGCCTGCGTCGAAGCGGCAAGCCCACTACTTTCAAGTATCTTCTTGACTCCAGTCAAGCTGATCCCTGCTCCAACACATTCACCGTTCTCTAGTAGCTGGTCGAAGGTGTCAATGTAGCTCTCAGGCACTTCTGCGGCGGGCAAGAGTGTCTTCACGAGCTCAGCTCGTGCAGCCTTTTTTGGCGTTGGAATGCCCCATGGTGCAGCGCCAATGGTTGTGTCCTCGTCTGCAAATAATGACGAGCTGGTCCCAGACGCCGGCTCGTCGCCGAAGATTGAAGAGCGGAGGTTTGATTGTGAGTTTCCAAATGCCGGTTCATCCGGCGAAGTCCCGAAGAGGGACATTGGGAACGATGTCAACGGTCACACTGATAAAGACTGTAATGTTTAAGATATGGAAAGGGCGGGTTCTGGTTTGATCAAGCAGGCTCCACGAATTGCTCTTCCCGATAAGGTAGGTCCTTGTCAGTGAGGGAGGCGGGTAACTACTAATGGCGCAAGCACAATAATAAACGGAGCTCAACTGACTGCTCGGATGATGACATGGGCCCGAGGTGGCACTGCCGCCTCGCGTGTATTGCTTCAAGCTCTCTTTAGCGACAGAGCTCCTCCGCGTTCAAAAGTATAGCTATCTTCACATGAGCCGATCCCACCTATACACGATTCCAGGATTTGCAGATAGAAATTCATTTTTATTCATCTTTGTGCCTCGCTGATATTTATCCTACGTCGGACAAATTGTGGGTCTTTGGTTGGAGGGCTTGTTGTTAGACAGCTTTGTGAAAAGAAGTCATTCAAGAAGGGCAAAGTGCCTCTTTTTGAGGATGACCGGTGAACAATTCTGGTCCGAATTAGCTCCAAATCAGGTGCAAAAAGCTGTGAACTTCAATGCAAAGAACATGCTCATTTCTTGACAGCGAATGAAGATTTTGGTCGCTTTAAACCTGTTTCCATTTCTAGATAAATATGCCCAAAGCTACAACTAAAATATGGCTGATACGCTGCATGTGGCTGACCAAAGCTCGGAGGAAATAAATCAATACAGGTATCCATGAGCTCAAGTAATATCCATTCAAACTCGTCCAATTTCCACCAGATTCCTATGAATGAAGCATTTTATAGATCGAAAAAATTCAGCAGCGCATCTTGTTCATGCACTTAGGATCGTGCCGCAATTTGTCCATGTGTCTGGGACAATCACGCACTGCATTCTGTCACTGTGCTGTCAGAATCACGTCTGGATGATCTGCCTATATCACTGTTGTCGCCCTCTAAGCTTGGGTCAAAAGTCCTATAAGCGAGTGCGCATGCATCACGCCAGATTGAGCTGCCAGTCTTTAGCACAAGATTAGGATTAAGCTCCTGAGTAAACCATCTGTCGCGACGTGTAAGGGAGCGAACTCCTCCTTCGAGAGCTGATCGACTAGACCTTGTGGTGCGAAGTCTTTTTCTGTCCGTCCCACCTTGAGAAAGCAAGCTGCTGAGACGGAGCCTCTGCTCTTCTAAGCGCAAGTCAAATGAGACTATGGCCCGAACGAACGGCGCGATCTCTTCAATAATTAGTCGAAAAGTCCCATCAAAGCAGCACGCTTGAAGGGCATAAGACTGTGCAGTAGACTGATTCGCATTTGGGGGCTCTGATATCGGATCAAATGCCTTTGAAAGATCCGATCGATGGACAAGCTTTTGTTGATCCTTTATCTCACGCAAATGCGATACTAGATATATGGTGGAAGACTCATCAACAGCAGTGAAATATCGAGTTTCAAAACCATTCTTCTGTAACTGTGCAAGGAAAACCTCTTCCGCAGTTGCCGCGACGTAATACCGAATTTGAGGTAGAAAATTAGCAAAATCCGTGATGGGCCCAGCTTGAAGTAAGCTCGATCCTTCAATGTAGTTCGATCGCACTTTATCTGTGAGAGACGGCAGAGTTGCATCGACCGAGGACTTGGTAAAATTAGCTTTGAGTCCCTCAAAAAAGAACCTTGAAGGAAAAGGATTACCTCATGACCTGTTCCAAAGCCAATTCCAGTGAAGGCATCATCGGCGCTCAAATACTCTGCATAATCCTCCAGAAATTTCAATGAGGCTAGATTCTCGACTGCGGAAGAAGCATTATCTTTGGATGGAGCCGCGTTCTGGTCATTGTGCTGACAGCCGACAGCTTGTTTCCACTCCAAAAGGTCCGCCTGCCAGTTGTCCCATGCCTCTTTCATAAGCTCTTGCTTACTCATGACAGAATCTTCGCCATTCTCATGGACGTAATCCCGCCCTGTCCAACCCATCCCTGAGAGATAAGTGTTCGTGCTAACAACTCGTGAAGGTGAGAGACTGTAACTCGATCGAACGTGGCTGGGTTTCAGATCTGGTATCCATTCCAGCCCGCCCTTTCGGTCACCCACTGCCATTTGACACCAGAAATCGAGTTCCGCGATGGCCGCTCTGAAATCAGAATTCCGCGCACGGTAGAGTGCATGGACTGCATTACGCTGAAGAAGATGGCCCTCACGGGCCGCAAGTAGCAACAAATAATCGAGCGCAAGGTGTTCCGGCGGCGGCTTAAAACGAAGAATAGCATGGGGGGATAAGGCGTCAATTGGAAGAACAGATTCGTCATTGCAGGTCAGAATGACAGGTCGCTTTGATTGAGAAATTAGAGTGAGTACTGTGAGCCAGAACTGCTTGTCCTCTTCGAAGAGCACGTCGACTTCTTCCAGCAAAATTAAGGATTGCTTTTGCGAACGTTGAGATTGTTGTGGCTCTGGGTGCCTCTCCGGATTTCCTTTTGCCTTGGGCGCCTTGTCTTTTGCTTGAGTAGATTCTCGACCTTTAGGTGCAAAGAAGGACGTCATCCTTCCTTGATGGATTGTCGTGCTTTCTTCAGTGCCTTCGGACATGACTGCTGTCGGACCGCTCTTTGATGCTTCCCGTGGATGATTTACAAGGTGGTTTTTTGTCATTTCTCCTACCTTGTCAAGGATGTCTTTACCACTTCGACGGCTTCCAGAATTGATCTCGAAAACCTCAAAATCAAGTTCTTTAGCAACGGCATATACAGCCGCAGTCTTGCCACATCCATGGGGCCCACTGATAATAACTGCATTTCTCACTTTCACTGGCTCCCCCGCGGCACGACTGCCAACGCTTCTCTCAAATGTTCTGATGACTGACTTGGAGGGCCGCTGCCAATGAAAATCATCCTCAGGATCAGTGAGTTCGTCCATTTGGTCCCCCTCCTCGTCGGTAGACACAATGAAATCTTGGAGCTCGTCATCCCTCTTCCGCTTCTTCTTTGACCTCTGTTGCTTGGATATCCCATTTGAAGAGCGTTTTGAATTGGAAGAGCTCATTTCATTAGGAAGCCTGGACGGAGTGACGGTCGACTGGACGGTCATTCCGAGAAGCCACTCTCGAAGAACAAGCGCCTCCTTCCCAGACTGTAAAACATGCTCCGCAGATCCCGGCGCATACTTTTGAACCCACGAATGTGTCTCGCATGCGGCTTTGTCGAATGGTCCAAGATAGGTAGGAATATTCTGGTAAATGAAGCGAAGTGCGGGATGCGCAGGCCTGGGCTGCGCTTGGGCTGCATGGAGTGCATCTTCTGTGTCGGTTGAGGCAGATGCCTCGGTTTGTGACAGAAGGAATTTTGTTTCGAGCTGTTGATCAACGGCTCTTTGCAGTTCCAATCCCGTCATGATTTCGCGCCTCGGCAAACGAAGTATGGCTAAATTGTCATCGAGATTGTCATGAGTTTCTTGCAAGGACCTCTCTGCGGAATTGATATCGAGATCGCGAGAGAGATTTGATAGCAAGTCCTCACTTTCTGTTACCTGTACAGCGGACTGCTTCAGTTTCCTTTCGCTTCGCAAAGGCATATCGGTGGCGACGACAGAAGCATGAGAGAATGGACGTTGCTCATCCAAGCCTCGTACATGTACAACATCTTTCCATGGCCATGCAGCCTCTAAAAGACCTCGATTCTTCGCAGCTCTAAATGACCCGCTCCCAGATACATATGTTACAGATGCGGGTTTCTTTGAGGAAAGTGGCGGCAGGATCCCTTCCGACTCTGGTCTGTGAGCCTTGATATTTGTCGGGCTCAACGTTTGTAACGAAGTTTTGGTACCTTCTTGTGATATCGTTTGGGACGGCTTTTCCTCGGCGCGTGTTCTTTGCCGTCCACTTTGCAAGAAGAAAGGGTGCGTTGGCTTCGCCGATTCGAGCTGTTTAGTCACTATCTGCAAGGATTCGGAAGTCAATGTCAGTGGCAATGACGGCGGCGGCGGCGGCGGCGGCGAAACTGAAGAGCCACATAATATATATTCAATTTTTTTGCCAGTTGCCGTGCGCGAATCTCTATCGGATCCGTATTTGATGATCACGAGAAAATGACTATTTTGTGCCTTACGTGTCCCCTTTTTGGTCCGAGCCTTTTGATTTGCGACAACATTTGCTGAAGTGGATCCTGAAACAGGGGAACTGAAAGTCCCCCGCGAATTGAGCTTCAGCATCTTTCGAGGCGGTGAATTGGTAGCTGGCACATCCTTATGACACGAGATCTCAAGAGGCTGGGAAGTTTGAGGTTGACCAGGCGAGTTCATTGTTGCCCCGCTTGCAGTCTCCACAACATGAGGTGAGTGCGATGCTGCTAACGCCAAGAGTTGTGGCGAATCAAAATCACCTTGAGAGACCGCTGGCAACGACTTGAACGTCTCAGACGTGACATTTTCAGGCCCCTCGATCGAGCCTTCATCACACTTTTTCTCTGAAGCTGAAGACATCATTGATGTGGTAGACGCAGGTACTGAAGCGATAAATTGGGAAGAAGACGCTTGCAGGTTGGCAGGGACCGGCAATTTTGAGCAGCACGTTGGATTTTTGGTTTGCTCCTCTGAGCTTTTGGTACTGTCAACCCCTAGAGGTCCTGACGCCAATTGTACACTCTGTTCCTCCAAATCCTCCGTTTTGCGCCGCTTACTCCGAGATGCATTCGGGTCTGGGTCGAGAGTTGTGAGCCGAGAGTTATCATTTGTTTGTGTTGCATGTGGTAGCTTTCGAACATTGATTGGAGGCTCATTGGGATTGGCGATTGTTTCACCTAATATTTCAGCTTTATAAATTAGTCAAGGCAGCTCCCATTGCTGTGGGGAGTTTGAAGATGTAACATCGACATGACGGGCGCGAGGGCAACCTACAGCGCGGTCTGCTGAAGAACGGATGCAAAGGAGGCTCAGGTGCAATCTTAGGCCCTTCATGCGCCACCATGACGGCCATTGAATTCCAATCTATAACATCCAAGATGACATCCCAGGTAAGGTTGAACGGTATTGTGGCCTCTGAGACGAGGGTTAAGGAGATAGTAGGCAGCGGTTCGGTGTTGCAATCACCCGCTGTTCAGCAGGATGATTCGAAGCAGTTCTGGACTTTAAAGTATAATAGTGACATGCTTTTGGTGGCCTAGCAATATCTTATTTATTTATCCGTCCTCGTCCAAGCTGCAATTCCAAGCTCGAAGTCAAGGCTTCAAATGCTGCAGTGTTAAACAGACCAAGTTGGTGACCAAATTGGGATTAGCCAAGGACCTCACGATAATGATACAGGGGTCGCGCGTCATCGAGGAAAAGACGCGTTCGCGAAAAGTCGCTTGTCTTACTACAGGCAATACAACATTGCCTGCCAATTATGGCAGTTCGCACTACTCCGTATGGATATAGGACAACATCTCGATGACAGGCGATCTTCCCGGCGTTCAATGGTGAAAATGCAAGCAGTCATGATTTGTAAAACCTCTCGACTGCAGCATGACCTGTAGTTTGCGGGATTGGTTGCACAGAGCTACATGAACGTACAAACACAGCTGTCACAATTGTGAAGGAATGAGTAATCAGCTATCTTCAAGCACTAAGTTAATGTTCTCCGAGTACTATCATCGACACAAAATTAGTCGGGCTGTAGAGGAGAAATTCTCATGCTTAGATAGAGGTTCAGCATGCCTGGCTTTTTATGCCTTCTCTAACTTATTCCAGAGCTCACCAATACTCATATAAGGGCAGTTACACAAAATGAGTCACGTGATGGAGTCCATCCAGGATCTACTAACTTACTCCGTAATTCAGCATGCGCTCGGTATATTGTCTTAGATTCCTCTTGGCTTTATGCAGCTCAGTTTTAACGTCAGGCCATCAATTTGTTTGGTCACCAAACATTTCCCTATTGTTTCACAAGTCCTTTAGGCTATTGAGATGATATTTTTAACGTAGTTTATATTGCAGATAGTCAGAGGCACAACTTCCTTAGGTAAAAGCCGCGTGAAACATGTACAGCATGTACAATCTGAGGCAGTTACGTACAACTTCGTTAAGTCTCTCGTTCAAACGTCAAGAAATTGTGCAGGGAGAATGAAACTTGAGTTCACTCGCGATGCACAAAGGGGAGAAAAAAACAACAAATTCGACCTTATCCATCAAGTCCTGCTTGGATTTGTCGAAAGATGAAGTAAAAGAAAGAACATGTCGCAGACAGATGGAAGGTAAATGTAAAAAGAAAGGAGCGAAAAGAAGCGAAGTATTTCAACCCAAAGGTTCTGGGGAAGAATCGATCCACGATAGTGTATGCCTAGCCACGCCCGGTACTGCACCTTGAAGCCAGGCCAGGCTCTCAATGTTGGCTTCAGAAGCTACCGCCCGCAAAAGCATTGTAGTTGGTCATACCATTGGGGCAGTCGGTGGTGATGGCTAAGCCTGTATCCTGGGCGAGTGTCGTGCCGTCACGGTAGAGGCCAACCGTGACATTGCCAGTCTGGCCGCTGAAAGGGACGGAAAAGTGGTTGACGCCCGCATGCATGGCTCGGAGAGTAAGAAGGGGGTTATTGCCTATCTGGACAGTAACCCAGGCGGGAGAGCTCACCAGCGCGTCAACGTAGATATTGTCTTGCACCACAAGGTTCGGATCAACCGTCGCTTGGTACGCGGGATCATTCCCAGTGGTCCCTCCATTTGAGCAGGCATCGGCCGGGGTCACTCGGTAGTAGTAGGTGATGCCTTCCTTGTCGACCGTGGGGGCAGTCGAGTTGCCATTCTTGTACTGATCAATGAAGTAGGGAAGCACATCGCGAAAATGCTCGTGGTCCATGCCGTCCACATACCACGCTCCTTCTGGGACACCAGAGGAGCGGATGGGACCAATGTGATGAGACTCGCCGACATCGTTCCAGGAAATAATTTCGACCATGGCCGGTTGGAGCTCGATGATTTGCTGCCAGCGATCAAACCACAGGTCGTCGCCACGCCAGACCCAGTTCTTTTCATAGCTGGCAAGGTTGGTGTAGAACCAAGGAGACACTGGCATCATGTAAGACTTGTCGCCCAGCGCTTCGATGTACGCCTTGTCAAACACGCTTTCCATGTCGCTGGCACCATCAGGCCAGGCATTCCAGCTGAAGCCACCATCCACGTTGGAATCGAGAGCGACGTCAGCGGCACCGAGGGTTGACCAGCAAGGGACAAAGTAAACGTCAAGCTGCTGCTTGATCCAGGTCCAGTCACCGCCATTGTTAGCACCCTCGAAAGTTGAGACGAGAGGTATGCCATCAACTTTGAACTGAGAAGGCTCATCCTTGAACGTGTTCAGCAAGTTTACGACGTCACCAGCATCCCAAGCACCATTGGCCATATAATCAAAAGAGATGAAGAGACCAAAACCGCCAATTTGGTTAGCAGCTTGATATGCGGCCTGCAGAGAAGGCAGATTCTGATCGCTGCCAACACCAATATTCATGGCGAAGGCGTCGATGTGGGCATCCTTGGCCTTTTGGATATCATCAAGCCAATCATTCAAGTCGCTGTTGCCCATCTACATATCCAGGTTAATACGTGCTTGTTGTATAGCAGTAGAGCAGCCCAAGTGAGATACTTACAATCATGTGGGCGAACACAGCTTTGGGAGGCGCAGCCCAAACCGTGTGGCTGACCAGCGCCAGAACAGCGAAGATGATGTAGGTAAACAACATCTTGGTCTGCAACAGATTCAAGCTAAAGGGTAGGGGAGGTAATGTCGACTCAGTCGATCTTAACAAGGCAACTGCAAAAGACAGAGCCCTCGAATCAAAGAACGGAAGTCCCTCTCAGAGGTGAACTGCAAAGAAAGTGGAATCGTGAATGATTGTCTAAAGGAGTGGCTGGGCTGTATTTGTAGCTCAAAGCATGCAGAGCACACGCAAAAATGAGTGGTGGTAAGAAGGAATGGAAGAGTCAAGGTGAGAACGACACCACGACTGCAAGGATGAAGTGAAGGAGCGTGAGGTGGAGAAAGAATGAAAACTGAAGGCGTGGATGGGAAGTGAAAGACAAGACTGAAAAAGACCGAGCAGCAATAACGGAAAGACGAGAAAGACTAAAGGAGCGTTGTGAATGACCACTGCACTGCAGGTGGTTGCTGTTGCGGAATTCAGGTTACCTTTCGGTTGATGGAAATCATTGGGGTCCTTCCCTTCTTGACATGCCTTCCGTCAGGGCAAGAGTCCTAGAGTGGATCGTATGTGAAGCTAATATTCACTGCTCACGATTCTGGACCACCTCAATCTTAGGGGAGAGCGCCACATAGACAGATATGGACATACAAACTCCTAACCCTGGTCATGACTAACCGCTATCGTGGGTTGACAGAGGCTTCCTCATGTTTCACATTTCAGCCCATACGGCTGGGAAAATGACGGGTCTAAAGGCTCCCTGGCTACCGCTCCATTGTGGACTCCTTTGTGGATTCCTCCTCATACATTCCGTTTCGGCACAATGTGCGCCAAAGCGGCAGAAGCGCGGAAGCTCACATGGTCTCGCCCGTCCGATAATTTAGACTACAAGTAAGCTCCGGGAGACGGACCGAGATGCGATAGTCATCGTTTCAGTTGGATGTCTTCTCCGTCTGATCATTCGTTTCTCAATGCTTTCGGCCCAAAAGGGAAGAAGAGCGCAAAATGGAGAAAGGAAAAAACTTGATAGCGCCTCCACCGCCAAAATGACCCACGGAGGTGCAGGGGTATGCGCAAGCCATGCCGTAAGGTCAACCACTTTCGTCAGGTACAGTACGTTACAAAAGGCAGCTTGAAGTGGCGATCAATGATAGATAAATGAGGGGGTCGCTATCTCGATGCACGTCCGGCCGTTGGTGGTTTCAGACCCTGAAGTCTCCCATACATTTACTTCGCTCTCCTGCGGTTCCATTTGCTGTGCCGTGAGAGGGTTGCAGATTGGGCCCGAACTGCAATAACGCGCTGTTGAACCCCCTTCCTTTGATCTCCGAGATTTTCGTGTCTCATGATTACCGTGCAGTGCAGTACTGTACTGTACTGTATTGTACTTACTCGGCACCCAATGCAGGACGTGTGCCGGGGGTCGATCAAAGCGGTCAAAGGATATTATGCCCGTTGCCATGTGGGACCGGCGACATGGTCATTTGCTGCCCGCTTCTTGATCCTTGCACAGAAAGCCTTCAATAATTATCCGCTCTTTTTAAGTTCCCGCTCAGACGGCGTACCAGTGTTTCAGAAGATATTGGAGCCTCTCCTTCTTGATATGCCCCATCTATGGGGCGCTCCACTATCCCCGCAATGGTCCAATCAGATGCCATAACGCGTAGAGTGAGCCGTGTCTGATGGGGCTCCCTTGTCAGATAAAATATTGGAGATACCTCTGTACATTCAGGCACACCGTGGATAAGGCAATGAGAAAGACGCCACTGTAAACGCCCAGTGGGCCAAAGACCAGCTACGTAGTAAGTGACCAGGGCTTTCATGCGCCGGAGGAGAAAAAAATGTGACCAAGGACCCGCTTACTCATTTCTTTTTGAGCGAGATTCCGAATCGGTGAAACTCAGGACCTTCGGTTTTGAACGAAAGTGAGAAGGGTTGCTCTACAATACCCTCAAGTGACCCTCCAGTGATATCCCAAGAATCAGTGCGTGGCCCGATTTGATAATTTCTTCGGCAAATTGCGGAATTGATACATTACGAAAAGTGACTGCCATGAAATTACTCGAGAGTGTCTTGCTTCAATCAACCGATCACGCACGTCCATCCGTAATAGGGCTACAAAGAAATGAGAAGGATTTCTCGGTCTGTGCTTGCGATGATCATCCCGATGCCCTGTTTGCCTTACCGACTATCGGGTTACAGAACAGATCATTGTTTAGCATGGGCTTAGCAAAGGCTTGGCTTTGAAAAGACGGTGTCGGTTGGAAACGAATTTCTCGACCAAGGGGGCGCCTTGACGGCGATCCTACAGAGTACTACGAGTACCGTACTCCGATAGGTGCTTTCGTTGTTACCTTATCAACCTTACCCTGGGTAGTTCCGAGAGTGCACAGAGGTACAGTGTCAATATTGTAGCTAATGGAAAGAACAACCGAGCTCAGCACGTGATCTTATCACTCTTTTTCGCTTAGACCTACCTGACATATAAAACTACCTTGGCTTCTGGAAAGTGTCTACTTCTTGCCTATTGCCAGGAAAATTCATCAGTGTATGACGATCGTTGATATCTGATCCAAGATTTTTATTATCCATCTTCTGCGGTTCCTGACTCTGCACCTGAGGCTTTCAGGATTGGTCTCCATCAGAACACCTGTTTTGGCTGGCGAAACCAGCTGAGGCGTAGAGCGACAAGCGGCACACTTAAACAGAGGTGGATGCCGTGTGGTACGATACAAAATAAAAGTACCGTACAAAATCGCCCCCAGGATCGTCCAAGGTATGTTGATTTCTGTATTTAAGCTAACTTAAGGTAGGTACCTTATCTATGTACAGTCATTTACCTGATTTTCTAAAAGCTTTAAAAAAATTTTATATTCATTATAATAAATATAAGCAAAGAATAGAGCTTACAGATTTTACTTATTCTGAGAAAGATTTTTCCGTTTGCATAATTTTTGTATACGGTTCTCATTTTCGAGAACCTGGTCAAGTAGACTTATTTTAATTTAGACATCAATCTGGTTTGATTCTCCAGGTCCAAGTGAGATATCTATTCTTAATTCGTCATTGTCGTTGAGATAAAAGCTGTAATAGAATACTAGGTATATAATATCGACTTTCTGACTGGTCAGGCCACTTAGGTGTGTGGCTCGCTGCCGAGATACATTTTCTATTATTTTTCTTACTTTGCCTTGATATTGGGGTTGAATACGGTCTGTGTAGACACTCAATATAACTTTATTTAAAAATATCCATCCCATATGTGGACCCTCATAAATGTCTTTTATTATCCAAATATAACCCCATTTAGAAAAATTTTTTCCCAGTATAATTTATAAAATGAAGATCACATTTGTATCAGCTCTTTCGGTTCTCAAACGCGCTGTTGTTACCGCAGGCATTTCTGCAATTGCCTCTTTGTCAGATTCGAAGGCCCCTTTATCGGCTGTTCCGCTTTCACTCGCCTTTGCCTTTCGTCACTGCTCGAGGGATCGATCGCCAACCATCTTGCAATCTCAGGTTGGTTCGATCAAACGAAGGTACTCTTCGCCTCGCGCCGTCGCGTAAGATCCAATGTCCATGTCCACAGGTATTGCGTACTCGTGGAACTTTTCCGGTGCCCCCTTTTAAGTCTTTTCTCTTGCTACGGGATAGCCAGCGTTCTGCCATTACCTGCGGATTTATGTATATATTTTTGTGTGGTATTAATAAATTCAGCATACCAAAATACTGAATAGCTTTCGATCTCCAAGCTACAGGACTCACTTCATCATTGTCTTAGAAATGTCACTGATTACAATCGGCGGGTTGACAATGCATAATCCAACCTATACCCTCGCATCCGGACCGAGGGACCGTCAATATCTTTCTCGGCGGCGCTAATCTAGCAGAGCAGTTTGACAGACTGGGAGCCGAATGTGGTTTATCAGCCGCCGATAGGTGCGTTCGCCATTAGTGGAAAGGGTCCCTACCTGCGCTTAAAATCCCCTAGCTTCGCTGATTTCGGCGGCGCTAAAAGAAGCTTACGTCGCTGTTCTTATTGTGCAATCCTGGGGAGCGGCGACAAATGTAATCAGATTACTGCATAGGTTTGTTGTTTGTAATAATTAATCGATTTTGGCTGTTTGTCGTGACCAAAGGTGACAATATGTCTGATTTGTTTTAGAAATTGAAAGGAGCGAACATCACGTATATATAGCAGAAGATATTTCTGCAATGATGGAGCTTCTTTTTGTATCTACGATATTATACAAGTGAAATACATCTTCATTACAACATACAAACGAAGCTCTATTTTCAAGCGTCCAATATAAATCTATTACGCACGACACAATGCCTTCTGTTCTTTTGGTCGGTGCAACGGGAATGGTGGGAGGTGAGTAATTTCTTATTCGTTCCTTGCAACATCTGTGACGCATCTGACATGCGCTACTTTAGCCTCGCTCTCGCGACAGCTAAAGGAAATATATCCTGCCTGGCCCCTTACTGTGTACTTCCGGAATCCCGTGGCGGACGATTGGTTTCGCAATGTTGTGCATGCAGACAGAATTGAACACGGAACCTTCGAGGAGGCACCCAAAGTCAGTGCTCTGGCTGCTGAGCATGACATTGTGATCAATGCTGGATCCTCATTTGACCCTACGCTGTCCAAAGCAATTATTGAAGGTTTGAAGCAAAGGAAAGGTTCAAAGAAAGGAACCCTCATTCACGTTAGTGGTGGTGGAAATTTCATCGACCATCGAACAGATGGAAAGTTCAGCACAACTAGCAAAGTTTGGAATGTAAGTGATGGCTTTACCTCCTCCCATCTGGGGATCCCGTTATAACTTTTCAAACTAACGGTTTTGAGTAGGATGCAAATGAGGATGATATCAAACAAGTCAACTCGAGCATGCTCAACGGAGCCGCGGATCGACTGTAAGCAACACGTCGAGAGATGTTGAGCCCGGGCTGAGAACTGACTGTACTAGTATCCTGGATGCTGGAAATGAGGGCAGCATCAATACCTTTATCGTATGCCAGGCATTGACCTACGGAACGGCCGAGGGACCCTTGCCTTCGCTAGGTATTGGATATAAAATCCTTACCGGAAATGCCCAGTCTGTTGGATTTGTCCCATATGTGGGTGAAGGTAGTGCGGTCCTCAGCGTAGTAAGTCAAATATGATCCATGTCCCGCTGATCATTACTGACTTTCGACACCCTAGATTCACATAAATGACGCTATTAATTTTATTCTGAAGATTGTGGATGTAGCAGTGACTCAAGAGGTTACTGGTTCTGCAGAAAGCCGGTACTATATCATCTATGGAGAGAGAGTTTCCTGGAAGGACTTGGCCACGGCATTGGCCAAAACACTGCATAAAAAGGGTGTCTTCTCTTCCCCGGAACCACGCAGCGTGCCTCTCGAGCAGGCAGGCCAGGGAGAAATCCCTAAACTTCTAGGATCCAATATGCTTGTGCAAGGCGACCGAGCTGAAGCGCTCGGATTCAAAGCTACTGCTAAACCGATGGTGGAGCATATTACTGAGGACCTTGAGTCATACACTTTCTAGAGCCGGAGACAACTTAAAGCTGGCAGTTACAGTACAAGACGCGAAAAGTTACCCGACATCGATTTGACAGGGGATGATGTCTTGTCATAGACTTTTTAACAACGAGCAATAGTATATGAATTTTGATAATTGATAGATAGAAAATATCATAACTAATATTTTCTGTAATATCATGTGATTTTATTGTTGGGATGTTATTCTGTCCAAGGTTTATCGAGTATGCGACGTACTTGGAACGTTTGATTCTCCTAGAGAAATCTTCTAAGCAAATAATAATGGCAATCAGAAAATACAACACGAATTCCAATCATATAATAATTTAAAGAATAACTCTATCATGCATTTAGACCTAGGGTATAAAATATTGGATGGTGAATGAGCAGACATGATCTCCTGTGTTGCACATTTCGTGCTAGTCCCGAACAGGAATATTAGATCACTAATCACAAATACCCGTGCTATGGATTAACAAACCGTAGAATCCTACGCCGTGCTAACTAGAATGCTTATTTCTCTGCTAAAATAGCTGGATTCCAAACACTTTGGAGTCTCTATCATTAACGGAAGTAATGATATCTTAATCAGAATCATAAAATTTTGGTCATTTTTGGTTGCTTCGTCTTGAAACGTCCTGGTCTGTTCACCTCCCACAGTGTAAAAGGTCCATTCTTGATGGAGATGACGCCTACTAGTACTGGGCCGCAGCGGACTCCACCATGTGCCCAATGCCGACAGAGGAAGATCAGGTGCAACAAGCTAAAGCCCTGTGATAATTGTCGAAAGGCCGGCCTGGACTGTTCTTATAGGGAAAACAATCATGCCTCTACCAACACTGTTCTAGTACCAAATTCCATTTTAGAGGACCGTGTAGCCCAGCTTGAAGCACAGCTAAACGCTGTGACGGCATTGCTTCATGCTTCTAATTGGGCTGACCCTAACACTCCTGATAGTAGTGCCTCCGCTGCTAGCTCTCCTGCGGTAAATAAGTCGACAGACCAGTCGTCCACTGTGTTGGAGTGTCATTGTGGTCGCCAGATCCTGGGAACCTACTTTTCGGTTCATTACGATTACTACATGCACTGGATTGAGCTGTTTCCAGAAGTAAGCGACCCTTTTTCGTACGGATTCAGACTTCTGAATCCGGGCTGAAGATGAATAATTTCTTTCTTACACTCTCTTCTGCAGCTTCGCGATACGTTTTTTGAACTTAGTGAGGCCGAAGAGTATGCCGACGGGCCCAAAGAGGCGTCACAATTGTACCTGGGGATCACGCTTGGTGATTTTTCTACGCTGTCGACATATCAACCAGCCGACACAGAGGCCGATTTCCTCATCAAAACATTCTTTGATAATGTAAATCCTTTTGTGCGAATGCTCAACGAAGGGGCCTTCTCTTCTGATTTAACAAAATTTCGGCTGGGACGGCTTTCCCAGCCCGCTTCCTTCAATGCTTTATTGTTTTCAATGTATGGTTTGGCTGTGACGAGCCTGCACCCTCCCGATGTCATGCGGATATTTGGAGTGGAGCGGAACTGGCTATTAAACAAATTCCACGAGGCTCAGGAACTCGCCCTACGTCAAGTCGATTTCATCAATAGTAACAAGCTGCCGGTCTTCCAGGCCTTCTTGTTTTATTTGGTGAGTCGGGCCCTTTGTTGCTTGGGGAATAATTCCCAATTCCGAGGAACTCTCCTGCCACGTTCACTTGGATATAGACTTAATCGCTTTGATAATTCGCATATTAATAATCTATCGGCTTATAGGTTTTTCTTTTCGTAAGAGGATACTATCGGACAGCAACATCGATGATTGGACTCGCAGCGCGCATTGCGCAACGCCTTGGCCTGCATAAGGATCCCTCCTACTTTACGTATTCCAGTTGGGTAGCGGAGTGGCGGAGAAGATTGTGGAATCAACTGATCCTCTTGGACCAGAAAGCAATTACGTTGCAAGGCGCAATCTCCATGTTGAGCTTTGCCTGGGATACAAGCCTTCCAGAGAACGTTAATGACAGCGCTTGGAATACTAGTCCTCTTGCCAAACCGAGTGATGCGCCCAAAGAGACAGGCGTATTCTCGCAGATGACTCCTATCCTCTCAAAGCGGAAGACCCTGGCCGTCCTGTGCCCTCTCCGGCAGAATTTGAGAACCAAGCCCTATGAAGAATTGATTTCCCACATCGAGACTGGTCTCCAGGCAGCCAGAGAGCTCTTTGTCGATGTTGATGACGAATTGAAACCCCTTGCGAGCTTTGCCTATATTGTGATGGAAATTGACTTCGCATCATTACGACTGATGGCTGGGCAAGCACACATCCGATTCGGTCAAAGTACATCAGAATTTAGGCTACAGTAAGCACCCCTTGCGAGCCAATTTTCTTTCTGCCTTGGCTTGATAATCTAACCCATCTTCTCGGAATACAATGAGGCTAAGAATTTTGTGCAGAAATTTCCTAGGTGCACTTGAAATCCTCGAGAGGATCACTTCCCTCGAAGCAGAAGTGACAAATCCGGGATGGGTGTGGGTGTTTTGCACCGATCCACCTCTTCTGGCGATTGCCATAGTGCTTTTGCATCTCTCATCAGTTCCCGACACTCCATATGCGGCTAGAGCGTGGGCTCAAATCAATATTATGTTCGAGAAATATCTCACCATAATTGAATCGAACCCTCCGCCGATTCTGGCGTCCCTCGAGTCACTTCGCGACGTAGCTCGCTCGCTCCATCCTCAAGCATCTGCTGTTTCAGCTCCCTTGAATATTGGTAACTTCAATTCATTGGATCACCAAATTCTGTTTGACAATTTGATTTCCACTGAACAGCGTGGGCACGAGTCCGATGAAATTATACTTCCAGTTGGAGAGCGCTTCAACCTCGGCTCTCAATCAACGAATTTCAGTCCAGAATAGGCAGTCATATAAATGATCAAGAAATATCTCTCAGCCTGACCTCTAAATTACCATAGCAATTGAAACAACTCTCTTCAGGGCCACATTCTTCATCATTTGATGGACAATGAGCTTCTAGGACGAAATAGTGCCGCTCTGGTCGACGTCTTCCCGGCGCGTGCAACCATCAAATAATCGACACACGCACAGGGCGCAGTTAACTATCTTGCGACAATATAGCCTCGGCGATCATGATCACAGACTCTATCTTTGTCCGACAAGGGCTTGCACTCGTCAGTCCTGGTGACGAAATCATTGATTATGTCCCATGATGGCACTTCGGACTTGGCGACACACACCCGCAATGTTGTCTCGCCTCGTCTGGATCGTTGATTCCAAGGCAGCTGCAAATTTTCATGGAATCTGGAGGTTGCACACTCGATGAAAAGTGTTTGTTGTAAATGCCGGATGGCTTGTGTGGAGGATCTAAGGGAAAATATTCGCTGGCAGGATATACTCCGTAGTCAGAAGGTTATTTTTTCTGAAGAATTTCTTCATAGAAATTGTCGTCTATGTATTCAATGCACATGCGATTGTCGATAGTCAGGGGGCGCCTACTGTCTTTCAATGGCTGGCGGTTGTCGGCTGATTTATATTTGGAATGTCAAGAACAGAATTTGAGCTTATAGCATTTCTTCTGGTTTAAATAGATAGACTTGATGCCGTGAACTGCCCCGAACCGAACCGAATCACGGGTCCATGATGCAGTAGAGACATAATGGGGAACTTATTTGATATCTTTGGGCTCTGTTCATTGCAGGATGAAGAGCTTCGGGACAGCCTGCGCCGAGCCAAGCTACTAGTTTTATCTGTTTCCATTTGTCAAACGAGCATGTCACAGATGGGAGCAGGTATGAAGTTTTATGAATGCCATGCGATTTACACAATATCAAAAACCTTTCCCAAAACGTAAAGGAGAGATCACAATGAAGGGCCGCAGGATTTATCTCGTGGGCATTGTTTGCATGGTTTAGCGTACGCCGAGCCAATTTTAATGCGCGAAGCTTTGTTAACATCCGCCGTAAAACTCCGGTACGAGGGGTAGGTAGGAAGAGCTACTGCCGGCTGGCCAGCGCGGGCCAGGCCGCGCGCGACGACAACCTCGTTAGACCGAAGTCAAATAGCTTGACGATTAGCATTGGATCAACATGTAAATTGGGCACCGTTCTTCATGAGCACATCCAACACTATAGGAGCACCAGGCCTTTCGCCTTCATTCCCGGTGATTTCTTTTCTTGCCCGCTAGCCCAAGGCAGTCATGGACACACCACAGCCTAATGACTTGATAGATACACAAGGTAAATATCCACTTTAAATAACAACCTATTACAGTACCTAACGTTACTCACCAGATGTCATAATCCTGCACGAGATGTCCGGATGCATCGTTAAAAAGTACCACGATAATACAGTCATTAAGAAGGGCAGGCGGATCAACCTTGATGAGCAGTCAGCACTGGATCTAGCAGCAAATTTACACCTCCCTGTCCCTCGGGTGTATGAAGCGCGAAGTGACCCTTCCGATGGAGAAGCCAGCATCCGAATGGATTTCATCCCCGGCGAAAACCTCGAGTCAGTTTGGCCCAGCATGACGGCCGAGGTGAAAGACGAAATCTGCCAACAGCTACGAGAGATTTTGACAACGATGCGGTCTGTTCCTTGGACGAACGGGCTCATCGGATCTTGTTCTGGTGAAACGGCACAAGACTGCCGACAGTACACTGACTATCGCGGTGGCCCGTTCTTGGATGAGGCAAGCTTCAACTCGTTCTATTTTGATCTAGTCAAGACAATTCCAGATCCCATACGTGATGCGCTAAGCCAACAACTTCGTAGCGACCATCGCATTGTCTTTTCACATGGCGATCTGTCACAACACAATATTTTGGTCAAGGACGGCCAGATAACGGGATTGCTGGATTGGGAGTACGCTGGTTGGTATCCTGAGTACTGGGATTACATCAAATTCTTTGAACGGCCTTGCAAAAACCGAGATTGGAAGAATTATGCCAGGAGAATATTTCCTCAATCTTATGATACCGAACTAGCCTATCACCAAGCTATCCTGAGATGGCAGCGTCCTTAACACAATTATTCCTGCTGCTGTTCACCCCATAAATTTCACCACTACATGCATCAATTCTTACATATTTCCACATATGATGCGGACCCAATCATTCATTCATCCCCTGCTTCCAGTGTAGCATCAATCATACCATCTATGCCATTTTCACAGTCCTCTCGCGTCAAGTACCCTGCTTGCACCAATCTTCTCAGAACGTCACCAACCCAAGTCTGACAGTTAAATTCCCGGCTTGTGTTGTTGATGGGTGTTTGGTAGATGAGAGGGGCCAGTTGAGCCTTCGTCATTGGTGTTCTAATCCAGCCGACCGGAACTTCTTTGGCAAAACTTCTGCTACTGGTTGGCTCGTAATTGTTTCTTGTTTCGAGCTGATAATCCATGTTTGGCCCGACGATATGGATGATCATGGGAGCTTCTCTATTGCTGGGTCGGAAGCAGAGAGCAGTATGTCGGTATTTTTGATAGTCGAGGGGTGTTCCGACATAAACAGCAATGCTAACTTTGATATGTGGCGCAGCATCCGCTGACATGTTGTTTTCCCTCCGGCAATCGACGGGCTTGACTTTGAAGAGTTGCTGCCGATCGTCAGCACTGGTTTTGGTCTTTTTGAGAATACTTACAGGCTCTTTATCAATATAGATTATAGCAATGCACTAGTTCCAGCGAAGTAGTATTTGAATGGGAAAGGTGTATTGCCAGGAGGGCTAAAGGATATAATTATATTGTATTAGAGCTGAGCCGGGAGATATTAATACTTATTACATTTCCCCTCCGTGGCATACTAATACACCTTATTCTAGGTATTCTGACAGCTGCCAGGTTTGGCCAATTGAATGTCGCGACAAGGATCGATTACTCTACTCGTAAGCGCCTGCATACCCTCCTTCTTTATAGACAGGCATAATTCTTAGATCTGCACAAGTACAAAAGGAGCCTGTCAATTGGTACAGACTCTATACTTTGCTCTTAATCGAAGTACAGATACTGTAGGCAACGCTTGGTACTTCTTCCATTAACCTAACTAAGGCAATTAGAGTGTACAGCCCCAGGCTGAAATTAAGCATTGAACTTGAACATAGTAATTGGCTTCCTACTACTCTGATTCTGATACAAACCACGTGCTTGAAGAGCAATCTAGAAATGGTTAAATTATAATCTATACAGGAGTTCTAAATTCTACCTATGAGGTGTACCAAGATGTAGATGCCTTGAGCAATAGAAGACTAATACAGGACCCATGTAAGATGTTCATGGACCGTAATTATACCGGGTGTTTTACAGGAAAAGAAGCATTCTGTCTCCAATTAGATTTAAGTGCACGAAGACAATGGCTCTAATATTCGCCCGTACCGGAGCAGAGAAGAGGAGCGCTTGACTTAACCGCTCTCGGCTGTAAACCAATCAAACTCGGCAATTCTAGTACGTCCCTTATGTGAGATCCAGAGCAGTTCTTGTCTACAAGTCCAAATAAAGTATAGTTAGTTATCGGCGAAGAAATTGTAGCAACGCCGACAAATACGCTGGATAACAGCGAAAACGCAAAAAATCCCAAAAGTCTCGATCTTCGTGATCTACCAAAGCTCACCCATTTGCAGGTGGTATCGCTACCTCCACCACGATAATATAGGCATCAATTCATGCCAGAGATTTCAAGATAATTCTTTCTGGGCTATTTGCTCACGCCGCCGACTGTTTGCTCCGTATAAGCTTGCGAGGTTAAACCATCCTCGCCCAACGTCTACTCACACGGAGTGGCTTCCGATTGCACTGCCAGTAAATAGGCCGTGATGGCGACAACGATGGAAAATCCTTATATCTTAGCTGATCTACCACATCCTTTGGGCTCAGCGGGCAACCGAATCCTTGCCACCAGTGTTACTGTGGGTGATGGATCCAGGAAGAGAAAACGGGCAGAGCTAGCTGTGGGAATTGACGGAGAGGGCCTCAACATCTATCAGGTAGGAGCCGATGGATCGCGGGAACTTGATTGTCCTTAGAAAACTAAATCATGATATAGGTGCAACCGTCGAAACTCCTCACTTCCTATGCCTTGTCCCCACAGACATCATTAACTTGCGCTCCCTGCTCTACGCGTTATTCGGCCACAACCTCCTCAGCTGCCCGCAGATTTACATATGCCTCCACGTTAGATCCCAAGCCGCGAGTGACCTGCTTCTTCGAGACTGCCGAGACAAAGCCTAATTCGTCCTCCACCTCCGCTGTCGCCTACTCGACGGCGAGCTTTGCCATTTCTACAGACTTGAGTCCGATAGTGCATCTGGAGGTTGTATCCGCCGTTCCGGATGATTTATCTTCGGAGATACGCCATGATTTACTTGTGATACATGAGCACGGAGAGATGGAGGTTTTGTCGGGAGATTTGAAAAGCCAAAGGTGGAGTAGGCCAACGAATGCCCTGTTCGCGGCAGAGAGATCGTCATCAAACTCCCACCAAGTCGAACAATTGCGCGTCGAGTATGCCTTCCTCACGGATGCAAATACCGCGTGCAAAGGGTTACTCAGAGGGAGAGAGGATGTGATCGCATTGCTAAACTCTGCTGTCGAACTACCGGAAAGAGACAGAGCTTCCGTCTCTGTACTGATCTTGGTTACACGGCCTGCAGACGATGCTCTGCTAGCCGAGCAAGGTAGATCTGTGCACATTGTATCTATCCGTGCGTCGTCCAACAAAGGCACACTGGCTATGACGGGAGCGGGGCATTGTCTCCTTCAATACGCGCTCCCTAGACCGCACGGTGACCGGATGATACTGAGGGAACCGCAATTCTCATTCCATGCGGGCACAGGGACAATGTATTTCCTATCTGGGGGTCAACTAACCATTTATGACCTCTCAGGTACAGTCCCTCGCGTGTCAACCCAGCTGCAGCTTGACGATTCCAAAATGAGCTCGTTTTTGCGATTGTCACCAACCTTGGGCATGGCGGTTTCACAAAGAGCCGTGACTGTCTATGACCTCAAGTACCAGTCGGTACAGGGTACAGTTGCCCTTGGGGAGGATTTGCTGGGCGCATCGGAAAGCAAGAAGGCAGGTTCTGCTGGACAGAAACGAGCGAAGGTGTCTGTCAAGCTTCTAGCATATGATTCCAATATCGATCTAGTTGTTGGACTTGCCGGGACCAGACTGGTCGGCTTCCCTGTGGTTGTGGGAGGTAATGATACGCCTGGAACTCGCAAGCGTCGACGGGAATGCTCCCTGATTGACTCGATCGGTCGAGGAATTAAGTCGTCCAAACGACTGCACGGCTCGTCCTCAAACAATGCACTGCCAAGGTCGCTCGGCGAATTGCTCCCTGTCATGGCCGGAGATCCGGCTTGGAGGCAGCGGCAAGCAGATTTGAACCGCTGTGTGGAGGACAACGATGTTGAACAGTTTGAGCATATCCTTGCTGACCATCTTGGTATTACCATCAAGGAAAGTGGGGCTCACAAAGAGGGCCAAGCCAAGAATCTGCCAGAGTGGGATCTTTCCGGGACTCGGATAGCTCGTCACGCCGCGCAAATCGCGGAGATTCGATTCTCCTTACGAAAAATGTTTGCTATCAGCGACGAGCCGAGTTCCCAAAGCGTTGATGGTCATCTGGAAAATCAGCGCGAGAGTACTGGACCGAGACTACGGATCGCCTTCTACGCGCCCAACGTAGCCAATTGGCTTATCCAGACTGGCAGCCTCTCACGAGCAAACGTAGAGTCTGCTCTCCAAGAAGCGCCTTCCATGTCCTTCCAGAGATCCTCTTCGATAACCTCTGGCCAATTTATCGACTCTCTCGTTGAATTCGATCCCGAACTTCACCTTCTCCTGGCCGTTTTGCTCAGTCCTACTATTCTCGAAGTTAAGGACATTGTGCACGTTATCCGGCATATTCTACGCAGTCTACAGTTCCCTGAGGTCCAGAAGAAGCCTCTCCAACTAACGGATGGTTCTCACGAGGATACCCAAGAAGAGCAACTTGATCTTGCCATCCAGGATGCGCAAGATGATGCTGAAGACGATCTCAGGCTCGCTTTTTCCACACTCGAAACAGGCTCCAACGTCCGCGAACACGCGCTGTCTGTTTCGCTCCGGAAACTATGCCAATTTCCTGCCGCAACAACAACGCGGGCATTGAAGTCGGAGCTCGCTGCTGATGAGCTTCTCTCCTTTATTCACCTTCTTCGATTCGAGTTGGCCACTGGCGGTTGGACCTCGCGCTATGTCGACAGCTTTGACGAAGATGACCCCATGAACGGGGGCAGCGGAGAACAACCCGCAAATACTGCTTCAGATCGCGGCGTCGGCCTCATCTGTGGCCTTCTCAACTGCGCCCTCGATGCCGTTGGTACTGTCGGTTGGATCCACTCCGCATCCTTGACAGGCACTTCTGCCGAAAGCGCCAACGACCCCAACAGCACCCAGAATCTCGTCACCTTCCTCAAGGCCGAAGTCTCTGCCGCGCTCGAGGGCATCGAGGAAGCAAGCTACCTCGGCGGCTTGCTGACAGAGGTGCTCCGCTACGGCAAGTCTATGGCCGATGCCACAGCTGTCCCTGCGTCGTCCAAGCAACAGCAGCGAATCAGTGCGTCTACTTCCCACGGTGGTCCTCCCGCAACCCCTGGTCCTCAGAAGTCGCTTCCTCCTGGAGCTGGAGCTCTTTCTACCCCTGCCGCCGCCGCCGCATTTACCACGCCCAGGATTGATGCTCCTCTTGCTACGCCCGCCAGCGCATTCACTCGGTCTACGCCCTACAAGGCGTCAATTGGTGCTGTCGCTCCCGGCACCATCACTACTATTCCCGTCGGCGGCTACACTGATGATACCAATTCCAAGGTTCTCCCGCTCGGACTCAAGGCCGAACAGACCATTTCCAAGACCAAGGTCGGCGCTGGTGGCGAAGTCATGCGGCGGTCTGCCAGAGATATTGGTCGCCTAAAGAGTATGAAGGTTGGCAAATACAGTTTCGAAAAGATTGTGGTTTAGATGTAATTCTCTACGGTTGGGATTTTGTATTCTGTACATATATGGGGTGTCATCATCATATTTCCTCTTTTTTGGTATATATTTTGTTTGAGCGTCGGGAGAAAAAAGTTCAAGGAGGGTTTGTCACTAAATCATTTGGTCGCATTTTTAGACACTGGCAGTTTCTCTCGTTGCCGGTATGTTCTTAGCATAAGCTTGCCACATGTAGCATAGCTTGCGCATATATCCGTATTACATTTTTTTTTCATGCCATATTTATACAATAGGATGCCGAGAATATATGTATTTGATATATGTTGAAACACCAGGAAAAAGAAAATGGGTATCGCGCTACTTAACTTTTTCTCCCCCTATTTTACATCATTTTTACTTCTGCGCAGATCCTTCAACCCGCAACCGCATTCACGACGATGGCTTCTTCTCAGCAGTGACTTCTCGCAGTTTATTCTCCAGCGCAGAAATTTCAGCTACATCCACCAAAAACAAAAGATTAGCTTTGTGAATGACCATAGCACGTATAAACGCAATCAATGTTCTGCCCTTTTTGTGTAGAGAAAGTCCCTCTCGTGAAGAGAAAGCCTCCCCAATGGGCGCAACACAGCTCACGTACCCTCTTTCTCGGCCTTGACTTCGTCCTTTTCCAGCTTCACCCATAACCAGTAGAGCGCTTGGTACGTGAAGACCGCGGGAAGGAATACTTTGGCAATGGGGCGGCTGAATTGCTTGTAGAAATTGGCCTGTTGGTGTTCACATTTTTAATTAGCGCGAGGGAGCGGGGAGAAGTTAAACAGCTGGTTGCATGTTATGTGCATGTCGCTTTCTGCGGCTTTGGGGTCGGAGAGTAATAAAAAAGAAGGGAAACAGAGAAGTAAAAGAGGAGTAAAAGCGTACATGGGCTGACGGCTCTTGCGAAGCGCTTGTCTTTGAGGACGAAGATGCCTGACGACGAGAACCGCGTAGGACAAGGACATTTCCGGCTTGTCGAGATACTGCTCCGTGTGCTGCAAAAGTGGTTCGTATGGCGATTGAAGAAGACTGAAGAGCGATTGTAGGCGTGTTTGCGGCTGACGCGCGCGCAGGCAGGCTTCGTAAGAAAGAGGACATGGCGCTGGCGCTGGAGTGTTGAGCGTTGTGCGTTTGGAAGCGGCGGGGATATCAATCGTATTTCAAGACAAGTGCAAAACTTGATAGACAGTACGAGTTGTTTCGAAGAAGCAATATATCGAAATCTGCTTCCTTGAGGTGCTCCGGGCTATTTGTTCTATTTACAGGATATACGTTGTGTCCGTTGGTCCAGGATAAGTAGGTCGGGATCCTATCGATGTTCCGAATTAGCTTTTCATGCGCGACGAGATTGACGAGACACTTCTTCAGCTTCAGGAAGCAGCACTTACTTTGGGTATTGCAGAAGCAGACAATTGATATTGTTACTGCCTGAGGTAAGGATATTTTCTATGGTACGCTGATACGAAGGTACAGGTCAATCGGAGTCCAACGAGCTCATGTCGAAGCTAAAATGTTCCCTACAGGCCTACCCTACGTGGAGAAACGAGCTAAGCCGAATCGCAACAAGTTTGCACCTTGTTTGCATGGCATATCGCATATCGTGTCCTCTACTCCCCGGGCAATAACTCCGTTCCCTGAAGCTATACACGATACACCAACATTGAACCCTCTGCGCATTCCTCAACAGCCTTTTTTTTTTTCTATAGCGGGGTCTATATAGCCTGTTCGACGACTGAAAACCAAGCTTCACATATACATTTACACTCAATTCACAATGGTTCGTATACCAACCACACCGTCCCTTTGATTTTGGGAAATACAGCTAGCTACACACCTGTTGGCTATGCTCCACGATGACTGCCCTCAGGATCCTCCACAGAATTCCCTATGGATATTCTCTTTACTATGCGCTGTTTGTGGAAAGATGATATAATGGAAAGCTTACAAGTATCCAGGCCCAAACGCCTCAGCAGCGACGCGCGAATGAGAAATATGCCCGCCAGGAGGCCGCCAAGCGGGGCAAGCCCGAGACCGTGGTGAAGAAGCAGAAGAAGGAGAAGGCGCCGATTTCCGCAACATGGGTTTGTACGTACTATCTACTCTTTACTCTTTCCTGTTACTGTCTTTACTCTCTTTCTTGAATCTTGTGTTGTCATTCGGAGAATCTGTCACAATTGTTGCTTTGGGAGGTAGTTCTGCGTCACTATCGTTACGCATCCCGCTTGCGCTTGGAACGCCGTTATACCACGTAATACCATTTGCTAACATGTCCATCTGGTCCTAATAGTGGTCCTCGCGTTCGTCGTCTGCGGTGGTCTTATTTTTGAACTCCTGCGCTTGTTCTTCTAAATAAATCCTCCCCCAGACGAAAGGGGCAATTCGTCCTGACAGTCTTTCTTGTCGTGGCATCATTACTCGCTACTCGCTACTCGCCGATCCATTTATCGTTTTCAAATTGGATTGGCAGCATACTGCATTTCAAAAAATTGTTTTTTATTCCCCCCGCTTGCTTCGGACTTGGGGGAGGGTTGGGTTGGGTTTGCGAGCTTCCCAACGAGCCCATTGAGCCCACGAGCCCATTAAACCCCCTCGGCGCAACGCATTGCAACTGCATAAGATACCATCGTTCATGACACCAGAGTCCCGCAGCAGAAGAAGAAGAAGAGGAAGAAGGGGAGAGTGTATAATATACTATGGACTCCGTTTGAAAAAGAAAATAAAAAAAATTGATGTGAAACGAAATAAAATGATATTTTCGAATCCTATACTTTGCTTTGGACCTGATATTGAGAAAAAGAATTTTGACTTGTTCTCTCAGCCGAGCATGCAGATCAATGTATATAAGATATGGAATTTGTCCTTGAGTCGGAGCTTCTGTGCCTTGAATGCAGATTGGCAACTACTGATGTGCGTCTGTCCTCAAATATTGACCAATCACAACGTATTTCAAATGTCTTGAATCTCTGGAATGTCTTGAATAGGTGCACTATGGTATTAAATTTGGAAAACTGAAAATAAGGTCGCCCATTAAGGGACACATGCATAAGAAATGAAATGCTAAATCCAAAGGGAACACTTCGGCCGCTAGATTCTTTCATGTTACTCGATACCTTAGTCTTCGAATCACCTAAGTAACTCGAGAGAGAGGTATGTTCCCTACTCGGCTGCTTGAGGCGAGGCGTCGTCAATAATCTCAGCCGGTCTCCTCTTCTTTTTCTTCTTTGGCTTGGACACAATGGGCTCTTCAGCGAGTGCAGACACGGGCTCAGCTTGCTCCGCGTGCTCCGCGTCGGCATTGTTCGGTGCCGGTGTCTTGTCCTTTTTGCTACTACTACTGCTCTTCTTCTTCTTGGGCTTCGTAGCATCGGCATCATCTGTTGGCCGCGTTTGCTTCTTCTTCTTCTTCTTTTTAATCATTGTTCCTTCGGGTGGGACGTCCTTGGCGGCCTCGACGCGCTCCGAGGCGCGTTGCATTTCCAGCCGCAATCGTTCGACCTCTTTCATGGCTCGCGCCATCTCGGCTTCTTCCTCCTCGCGCTTCTGGATGTCCTGCACGCCTCCTGCACTGTCGTCGTCGCCTTCGCCTCCAAGCGAGACGGTTCCAAGTCCACTAGAATCAACTTGCAAGAGGGACTTTTTGCCACGGTTGGGCTTCGCGTCAGTCGCAGATGATCCGTTCGGGGTGTTCTCTCCTGATTGGTTGGCGCTGCTAGTACGCCCCTCCACAACAATGTTTTCATCACCGGTGATCTCGTATGTCTTGCGAGGTTTCGGTTTGCGTTTCGCAGGTTGACCGATCCTGGCGGCTTTGGTATCTCTCTCGCCATTGAGATCCAAGTCCATGATTGGAATAGAGTCGATATCCACTTCCTCTCCGTTATTGCCCCGTAGAATGTTGTGTAGGGGTGTAGAGACCGCGGAGCTGGAATCCTCATTCGCAATATAGAATGGATCGTCCTTGTTTCGTTCTCGACGTTCTGCCTTTCTGCGCTCGGCTTGAACGGGATCCAAGTACTCTTTTGGAGTCTCCTGCTGGTACGACGACTCTTTTAATTCTGCGTCAAGCCTTGAAGCAGCTGACTGGGCCACGTTCGAGATTGTAGGCTTATCATTGTAGAAATGATAGAATTCATCTTCGTCTTCTCTATCCCCAACTGCCTCATAGTCTGCCGTCTCCAACAGACTTTGCAACCGTGAATTTATAGGCGTTTCCAAGTCTACCCCGTCTGGTAATGGCACTTTGGCTTGGGCTCCCGGAGCGACGGGATTTAGCTCGAAACCCTCAAACAAAGACGGGAGTGCTTGCGTCAAAAGTAAGGGTGGACCATAATCTTGCTCCATCTCCCCAGCTGCCTGGGAGGCCGCAGCTTCAGATGCTAGTCGAATGAGTTCGAGATACTCGACTGCACGCTCCTGGATCTCCAGATTAGGGTGTTTAGCCAAGGGCTCAAGAAAGTGTATTATTCGAGCCATTTGAAGGGACGTCATGGTCTTCTGTTCAGGGTTCCATGTCATGCTGGCCTGACGGACAATGTACGCGAATACTTTTGGAATAGCCTGTATATATACGGCAAGTATATCCGCAGGGAGGGTAGAGGAAGATGAGTGGAGAAGCGATGAAACCGTTGATCCCGGATCAGCTAAGAGCTCTGCGTACTCTCCGACAATCCAGGCAGCTGGCCCAAGCACTGCTTGGCCACCTCGGCCTGAAGAGGGAAATAGCTTGTCTCGTTGTTCAACCAGGATGAGGGTTTCAGCAGTCCTCGTAGCCTCTAGCCTGACACTCCTTACTCTTACGGCCACATTTTGGAGCTCTGACCCAATGTTGAAAGCCACGTCTTCTTCAGAGGTAGACTCTTGGACAATACCTTTGCTGTGCGGGTCCGCTCCCGTTGCCATAGCCGTGGCCGCGGGGCAATACTTGACAAGCTGCACGAGCACCTCGATATACCACTCAAAATCGGCAACATTGCTATAGGTGTCCTTGGAGCACATCTCAAGGATGCGTCTTATGACATCAACCCTGTATTCGTCCGGGAGCGGCGTCGTTTGCTCTGTCTTTTTATCTGCTGCCCTCAGACTTTCCTCTGGATCTTCGTCATCCGAATCTGCAGCTGGCTCAATACCCGAGTGAAAACCTCTGCTGTTTAAAGGATCGTCGGCAGACGAGGCGTTAGGCGCATTTCGTAGCTGGCGCATCAAACGGCCGACTACAGCCACCAAATTTTCGCTGTTGACCATTCCAACAACCAATTCCAAGGCCCGGAAGCGGATAGAAATGTCGGCATCGTCAATGCAATCCAGGATGACGTCCGAGTGCATCGCCACAAGGTGAGGATGCGAGATGACAATCTTATTAAAAGCAAGAAGGGCGACATATTTTACTATTGCACCGTTAGCTCCGACACATTCCCTCAGATGAGTACTAACTTACAGTTGGGGTCGCCCTCCACCACAGCCATGCCCCTAAGCTTTCCAACACACAGCGCAGCAATCTCTTCACCCTCGCTTGTTCCCTCAACACTTTCCAATATACCTCCCTGGATGATGCCGTTGATACATTCATAGAGAAGAGACATTGCAGGCGTTGTACGAATGATAGTGGTCAAGGGCGGCAGCAACTTGCGCACAAGTCGTGGCTCCAAGGGTGTTAATGTAGCAAACTAGAGCTGTCAGACGCACGTCGATGCGGATGATTCAAAACCAACATACCAACTTGATGATCTTGATAGCCATCCAATTGTTGCCACCGTCTACCAGTAGCTCAAACAAACGAGGAGCTAAGGGAAGAAAATCCTGTGGTCTTCGCCATCCGAGTTCACATACAACGTTGACGATTGCCGCTGTGACACTTGAATCCTCGTCTTCGTCCATCAAACGTTCTTTGATCTTCGGCCATGCTGGTCGTAGTGTTTCAGGATACACCAGCGCAAGCCGATACAAGGTTGCTATAGTCTTCTTGCGAACAGCGGGATTGTGATGTGTTAGTCGGGTGAGAAGGTCGGACAATAACGAGAGTGCCAAGGATGGTGTTATTATATGTGGAACCGTTCCAAGAGGTAGAGAGAGAGTAGTAGGCGTCGGAGATGTCAAGTCCTTTCACAATTATCAGGCTTCAAGAGCTCGACCACAAAGGAGGAGAAAGGCGACTAACCTTCTTCAACAGATTCGTCGCCAGCATAAGAACATCAGTATCCGGCCGGAAACTCTGCACAGCGCCCAGATATCCTACGCGCTTCTGTGGATACTTTGCTGAAGACATGACCTCGAGAACATTGAAAGCAGCCCAAGACATGTCGTGACCAAACATTTCGAGGTATATCAGCTTGAGCAGGGCAGTGGCCTTGAGGTCTGCGGGAGAGGCAGAGTTAGCTTGCTCATGGTACGGGGTGCCGCAAAGCAGCTCGAAATCACTAACCCATGTCCTGGCTCTTGATTTCGGACCGACATTCTCGTAAGCTCGACTGGATGTATTCCCGCTCATTCCCCTTGTGGTTTCGGAGACCTCTAATGAGGTCGTAGAGTGACTTCTCAAACCTAGAACGCCAACATGTGAGCACAGCGAGTTCTGAAGCCGCAAACAAGACAAAAATTGTTGATAAATAGCTTACATCTTCAAATGAATAGGAGTATAAATTGGTGTTTAGATCATGGCAAAGCGATTATTAGGTGAAGGCCAGAACAAGGGTGCTCGCCTGACCATGCTGTGCGCTCCAGCTGGTTATCGAGCGTGGACCATGATTTCGCGTTGCTGGCTGTTCAATGACTGGAGTTTGGAGCTTGACGCGAATATGCGGATAAAGTTGTATTAGTAACAGCCTGAAGGAGCGATTGCGTCGTGGAATGCAACGTTAGAAATGCATAGCTGTATGAGATAATTCAAAAGACAAATCACTTAAGCACCACCAGTAGTTTCGTCTCTCTCTCTGTTGTAACCATCCACCGCCCGCCTCTGCTGCCCCACGGCACCCAGCTCCTTCGGGCGCTTTGCCCGTTTAGGCGACAGTATCTCCGGAGCATCACCGCCAACGGCGCGATTCGACAAATATCCAACCTTTATACGACAAGCTTCTCGCGGCAGGAACTCATTTCAGTGAAGGCAATATATTTGGTGATATCCACGTTTCAAGCTAGTCATCTATCTCCTGCTACTGAAGCCATGACTTCAAGTCTTCTTCATCCGCCGGCGCACTTACCTCCGTCTGTTGCATTGCATCTATCACAACAAGCTCCGCTGCTTCTCCAGAATCATTCGACCAGCAAGCTACCGATTTCAATCCCTTTCCTCTCTACTTCCGAGACGCCTGAGACATGGGCTATTCTGGAAAATCTCCTATTGTCATGCCTTCGAACCGGAGACGACAAGTCAGCGCGTCTCTGCGTCGAGAAGCTGACAGAACGGTTCGGAGAGGAAAATGACCGAGTCATGGGCTTGCAAGGCTTATTCGAAGAGGCCGTGGCCGAGAATGATGCAGATCTAGAGGAACTCATGGCGGAGTATGATGCTATTCTGAAAGAAAACCCTACGAATATGGTACGAACGCACATTCCTAAGATTGGGTTCATCAATCCCTATACTAATATACCGCACAGCCAATCGCGAAGAGACGTATTGCTCTGCTAAGATCTACGGGAAAACTGGAAGAAGCCACAGTCGCGCTGGTAGCATTCCTCGATTCGTCGCCTACGGACGCTGAAGCCTGGGCGGAGTTGGCCGATCTCTATTTATCCCAGGGCCTCTTCTCACAGACCATCTACTGCCTCGAGGAAGTACTCCTGATAGTCCCCAATGCATGGAATGTACAGTAACCCTCATAACATACTGGTAAGGTTTATTGCTGACGGAACTGCACTAGATACACGCTCGTCTCGGCGAAGTCATTTACATGTCGGCACAAGTATCTGGTGAATCTGGCATTGAGAAGTTACTGGTTGACTCCATTCGTCGATTCTGTCGCAGCATTGAACTCTGTGATGACTATCTGCGTGGATTTTATGGACTTAAACTTGTATGGAATGTATCCGCTCCGGATTGGCTGAATTTCTGCTAATGATCATCCTTTTCGATTTCAGACTACTGGACGACTGCTTTCACTGTTGCCTCAGAACTTCAAGCCGGCTTCAACAGTGATCAACCCAGCAGCAGGAGAGCCGGCCCCGCCTACGCTTGCTTATGTGCAACGATTGAACGAAATTGCCACTGCGAAGCTGGCGGAGATAGTTCGGCGCAGTAATGCCGGCGAGAAAGGGTGGGATGGATATGAGCAGGCTGAGATCATTGCCGCGAGAGCATTGCTGGATAAAGACGTAGCAAAAGTGGAGAAATGAGCCGACTTTTCGTTTACCTGAAAAGGATGCCACTATAGCATCGATGTGCTGGCCACATCCGACACTTACTAATAATGATGTAGACTCAAATTTCTTATTTCAATCTGATTGTAATCATGGTATTCATTTTTAAAAACTTCAGTTGTATTAGAGTGGTATATTTGCTCAAAGAGCTGATCAAGTAATGCGCTTATGCTCTGTTGCAATTCGTGATATCAGATTCGGGTTCGAGTAGGGACATTAGATTCATCATCGGTGTGGTAAGCTTTGGATATTTGTTGGAAAAATTAACAGCAACAAGGCAGTGATTTTCTGTGTGCGCCATAAGTCAACGAAGCAATAATTTGTTTGTAATAGAGGCTTACCTATCATTCAAACATTTATTCGACCGAAATTGAATACACATGCGTCATTAAAGTGGAAATGAGGTAGATGTTCGCGGGGGAGCTTCTCCAAGCAAACCGCTTGTTTATGACGTCGCCAAAGTTTATACTGTTGGCTTTCATAATCTCTTGGTCGAGTTGACGTCTCAAGCGCCCAAGCTGCTATTTGATCATGCGGTTTCGCGATAATATTCTCTCCTCCGACCGTCCTGGTCTGTGACGACCACGCGTTCTCTGTTAGCAGAGTGGTAGGATGAAGTTGACTGGCGGGGCATGTAAACATAAGACACGCTGCCACCTTCCGGGTGAGCATGAGAATGTCCTTGGTGCCAGCTGAGTCTAGGCTGATGAGCGCTCCCGCCGCTCATGCTGTGTCTGTGCCTGCGCGCACGACCGTCCACATACCGATAGCTATCGGGCTCTTGTGGAACCAAAGAGGTAGTCCGCACATATTCATAGTCGCGCTCGTAAAAGTCTCCCGAAGCGCGACTAGATCGAGGGCTGTATTGCCGCACGATGGTGTGGTGAGAGGTGCGCGGAGATGCTGACTTCACCGGCTCAAGAGCGCCAGCCGTAGCAGGAGGGGCGGGTGCCGGTGGAGGTGGTGGAGGCGCTGGTTCAGGGGCCGGAGCTGGAGCCGGAGCCGGCGCGGGTTCTGGCTTGGCTACAGGTGGAGGAGCAGGAAGACGCTGACCAGATGACCTTGGAGGAGGCAGACGGTTCTGAGAACTCCGTCGCGCTGGCTCAATAACGGTCACGCTGGTTCGGCGCGTACTGCGCTCAACGATGCTGGGCACGCGCCGAACAGGGCGAGCAGGAATGATGACTTCGTCCGGTTCGGCTCGGACTCTAACAAGGCACATTTTGTGCTTCTCTTTTCACACAATCTCCACGACCTGGTGGTCTCGGCAGGAGGTGTCCTGTAAGTCGTTTTTTGCTTCAAAATTAGGGCCTCTCGAGCCACAATGCTGCGCGATTGGTTGTTGTATACGGTGTACAGGACAAAGAAAGAATTCAGTAAATGCTTTTGCTGTCTATGAGGTTTGCGACTGAGAGCGCTTCCTGTGAGTCAGGGAAGCTGGCCGCAAGTTTGTGCTTCAAAACAGCAAACGAACACCCGCTGTAGCCTTTTGTCCTGAGACAGCTCGAACCCAACAAAACTTGCGAGGAGCACAGATTGTAAGTTGCGGCGCAATACTAGGGCCCCAAAACTGAGGGCGCTCAAGTTGAGTAAAGAGTTCGAAAGACAACGAGCGAACTTTGAGGACTTGGAAAATCACAAATGTTGAATCACGAGGACGTGCCAAGAGAGTGCATCTAGTGACTATTTGATCGAGCTGGTACTGAGCGCGTAAGCAAGGGCATTAGAACGTAACAACAATGAGTCGGAAATTAGTTGAGTGGGTGATTTTGTAGAGTAAGCAAATAGGCTGCCTGCCTTGACATTTTGCAGTGCAGCCGCACCCCCAGTTGTATCCAGTCAGGTTGACTGGGAGGCTTGACCTGCCCCCCAATATATCCGCCCACTCGTTTCGCAGTCATGCATGCCTTGCCATGCCCACATGGTTACTATACTTCTCATACCTCATCCTCAACAATTTGATCCGGTGTAATGTGCGAAATGAGGTCAGATCTTGTGGGGACCGTCCCTGAATCATTCTGCCTGTGCTATAAGCAATGATTTAGTAATTTTACCGTAAAATTGGCTCTGACCACTGGTTGCTCTTATAAGGTCAATGTATCTGTCGGAGTTGTAGACAGGGACGTCAGAGTGGATAAGATAGGGCGCCTCGAGACAATGGACAATCACAAGCTTGTACGAAAGCTACAAGCGAGACAGGGATATATTGGCCCAAACCATGGGTTTGTCAGACACTTGCCACGAGTACTCACGTCTTGTACAACAAGTACTGGCGAAACGGCAGTAGCCCTACGGTTTTGCTACGTTGCACACAGAAACAAGCCCACAATTTTTTCTTATGTTTAGATGAAGACGCGTGACAAGGGTGCAACTGATTGTCCACAATAGAATTTTCAAAAGAAAGAGAAATCCAAAAGAGGGAACCAAAATTGCGGATCATCTTTCCTGGTGACATTTTCTTTTCCCCCAGATTATTCTAGTTATAAGACTTCATAAAATAGCGGCAAGCAAAGCTTCATATTTGGCCGAATAAACTTGCTAAGACTTTTATCATACCAGCCATGTCTAATTAAATCATGAAAAGGGAGCTATTATAATCTTTAAAAAGTACTTATCATAAAGGCTAACAGTGAATAATTGAGTGAAGAGGTGGACGCGAAATGGGGGAATATGCTATAGATAGTGTATGGACAAAGCAAACAAATATGAAGTCGAGCATAAAAAGACCAAGCCAGAGATTAACCTCAAAGACAACAAGGTGCCCATAACTCGCTAATGCCGGATGCATGCAAAAACTAGAGCAGTGTAACAACAGGATGTGAATAGAAAGGCTGTGGTAAAAAAATGAACACGAAAAAAGTTTCAGCCGCTGACATGAAAGTTATCTCCCGTTCCAAAGAAGCCGAAACACCATTAGACACGCCGGCCTAATTGTATGTCGCTGTCAACAAGCCGAACAAACCATCCAGTCTTTCTGATTTCGCCTGGTAAATTGAGTCCCCTAAAAAAATAAAAGGAAAAATGGAGAGGGGAATGAGGCAGAAGGGAAGTAATAAAAATAAAACGAATAAAAAACTGGAAATGTCACCACATCTTCGTCCCCTTCGAGGCATGAAAAAACAACTCGGCGGAGCCGAGAGGAAAAACCATGCCCCCCTGAACCGGCTCGGTGAACGATGATGGAGAGAAGAAGAGAAGAAAAGAGAAGACGATAGTAAAAGTCGGAGGCCTTCCAAAAGCTGGAGAGCGCCTAGCCAAGCCAGCGCAGCTCTCGGCGTCGATCAAAAGGAAAGGATATTAAGTGCGCCGAGAGGGAGCAGAAAAAAGACAATCTTCCGCCCTTTTAACATGAGAGTGACGGATGTTGAAAAAGATTCGAAACAGACTGAGCGGATGCTATGCGGGCCATATCATCTCAGCTCGCCTGTATCCCAACGAGCAAAGAAATTTGCCATAACTTTTCCACAATTCTCTTCCCTCAGAACCCGTTTCGGCTCTGGCAGACCTTCGATCTCAAATATGCACCTACCAACGCTTGGTCGTCTTATCATTTTCTCTCTCTCACTTCAACCTCATCACCGTTCACATGACACGACAGAAGACGTCGTGCTGAGCTCCAATTGGTTCAGGTTTTTTGCTACCTTTTCCCGACTTGGCAGATCGACCGGCAGCCCACATTAAGAGCGGCGACACTTTTGTGGTATGTGCTTTTCTCACGGGAGGCGCACCGGCCGCGTCAGCTGAGTCCACAACAACGACCTCCGGTCCAGCCCCACCACTATCGGGGACAATGACCACCTCAGGGTGCGGCGCTGGGGTAGTCTTCTTCGTACCGCCTTTTGCGCCCTTTGTTCCACGTGCCGGGGCGGCGGGCGGTGGCGGCGGAGCTGCAGCAACCTCTGGAGCGGGGGCAGGCGCAGGAGGCTCTGGCATAGGCCACATATGCATGGTAATAGCCCAGTCCGGTTCAATCACCGTTTCCCAGATTGGGGGAAGAATGATTTCGCCGTTCGGGCCAACCAGGTCATAATGACCTTCTGCTACATGCGGACCAAGAAATTCGACGTGAAGAAACGCTTGCTTGATGAGCTCTTCCATTCCCTAAGGGGGAAAAAACAATGTTAACATTTCTCATAATACAGAGATAAGGATCAGTACAATACCACGTACCTGCCAGGTCTTGCAAAGATGAAAAGGGAAACTGAACTTCCGTCCAACTGCGTCTTTGAATCGTATCGGCTTTTTCTGCATGTCCGGGGGTGGTGCGGCGGCAGCAGCGGCGTCCTCGGCAGCCTTTTTAGCATCAGCAGCAGCCTTTTCGGCGGCAGCCTTTACCGCTGCTTCCTGGTCTGCCTTGGCCTTTTCTTCCGCAGCTTTGAGGAGAGCAGCACCTTCCGCGGTGGCTTTTTCCATGGCGGCCTGTACTGCAGCAGCATGATCTGCTTCAAGCTTTGCCTGAGCAGCCTTTGCAGCGGCAACCGCGTCGGCAGCCGCTTTATCTGCGGCCGCTTGGTCCAAAACCTTCTTTTGAGCTGCCGCAGTCGCTTCGGCCGTTGCCTTGGCGACGGCTTCTTCAATCAGCTTCTTGTCTCTCTCTGCCTTGGCAATCGCCTCCTCAATTTCCTTCTTCTGGGCGGCCGCCCTGTCCGCCGCTTCACGAGCTTCCTTTCTTTCAGCAGCTTCACGCGCCTCCCTCCGTTCTTGTTCGGCAATTTCTCGCTGCTCTTTTCTCTCCTTCTCTGCCGCCTCACGAGCCTCTCTTTCCTTCCTATCCGCAATTTTGCGCTCCTCTTTTTCCTTTTCTGCCTTTAACCTCAGTTCTTCACGTGCAGCCACAGCTGTCTGCTGATCAATAATCAGCTTCTCAAGCCGGGAGTACTTCTCGTCATCTTTTGGATCTGGCGGAGCGGGTGATCCATCTTTTGCCGGTGAGTGAGAGTGAGAGGGGTGTGGAATCATTTGATAGGGGTAATACATGGGTGGAACTCCATGTTGCATGGGATAACCTGGCGGCGGAGAGCCGTACGAGAAGAAAGGCGAGTACTGCATCAATTCTTGGCCCCCATAGGGCGAAGGAGAACCGCCATAGTGGGCAGCTCCCCGGGGTGATAGAGGATTGGCCATTGGTGGTGGTGGTGCAGGCTGGTTTGACGCCGGAGGGAAATATCCAGGAGATCCTGGGCCGGGTGTGGGTGCAAAGGGATTGGGGTATCCAAAGGCACCAGGCTGGGAGAATGGGATTAATTGATTCGTTCCGTTAGGCGCAAAGGGACTGGCGGCGGGGCCAGGTGCGAATCCTGGAGGCGGATGCGGATGACCCCAATTGGGTGGCGGAGGCTGAGCTCCTCGGGCATAGCCCGGAAAGTCTTCAGGGGATTCCACAATTTCTGGTTCAGTCGGCCTCGAATGCCGATGACCTCGGAGAGTATGTTCGTGATGCTGGCTTTCGCGTTTGGGGGGAGACGGTCGTTTGACGTGGTGGACGGCGGGGGCCGGACGAGGAGCCTCGACGACTTGGCGCTCCACGGGAATACGAGAGCGCGAAGCAGAGTCCGACGGGTAGAGATCCTCCCACCCTTCGGAGTCGGGGTAATCGTGACTGGCAGTCGAGGTTGGAGAAGATACGCGGACCCCAGTACCGGTTGAATCTTCGGCGTCGGAAAAGGACGAGTGGTCGGACCCAAGCCCACCAGATTCAAATCTAATATTCAGTCTGTATCCGCCGAGATCGGTGTTAGTCTTCGGGGTACCAGATGTGACAGTTGAAATGGTCAATGCAGTTTTTGGGGCATTCACCACGGAGCGCACGTACGGCATCGAAGCAAAACAATCGACAAGAGAGAATCTTTCTCGTTGCTTTCCTTTGGACAGAAAAGCGAGAGCGAGTACGATCCTTTGGCAAACAATTATGTAGGAGCGGGAATAAAGCAAAGTGCCCACGATTAGGTGAGTTCGTTCAATCTATATTCGGCTTCCGACAAGGATTGTTTTGATGCCTCCCCACTGGGAGAAGTGAGGGTTTGTCGATGCGTGGCGTGGGGGGATTGATGTTTCGACGTTCCTTCTGGCGAAGGATGGAGCCGGGAGGAAGCGATTTTTGTTGTTGTTTTTGCTCCACGCCCGGGGAACGGAAGTGGTGCGAGGGGTAGTTCTAGCCCTCGAATGCGATACTGGGCTAGGGAGAATGACGCCAATGAGTGGGATGCAAGGGAACAAAAAAAGATTCGCGGGCTATGGGGACCCTTGAACACAAGGCAAATGGCGGGAGAAGAGTTGGCGCGTCGAATTGCGCGCGCGGCGGGCGCGAGGGAGAACCTTGGAGCGATGGGAGGCCTGAGGCTTCCACTCTCGCGTTTTATGCGCTGGCATTCGATCAGTTGATGGCCACTTCGCCCCTTCGGGGCCTGTACGGTGACGACAAGCGAACGGGAATGGGTGGGCGACCCAGAGTAGGGGACAGCAAGAGGGGGGAGGGAAAAGGAAGAAGCGAACAAACGAGGGGCAGAAGGGGGGCAACGGGGGGAAACACAATCGATAAATGATGGGGGCCCAGGCGTCACGCACCTTGTTTTCTTTCCAAAGGTACTTTATCTGAAGATGTGGCTCCGACGAGGGAAAATGAGAGGATGGTTTGCTGTTTTGGCAGTGGTTGATCCGATCAAATCAGAGCCACTTTTGGCTAGGAAGGATCAGCTTTTGAACATGGATCAGTCTTAAGGTTTGGGGCGAGTTGGGAGGTTAGGCACGTGCTGCCACAAAGGTACAAGGCCAGATGTATACAAAAGTAGCGAGGAAAGGATAAGCATAAAAACGAGCAACAAAACAAAAAGAAAATTGACGCACCAAAAGTCCTCCTGTAGGCAGTGTTATTGCGGTCAAGAGTACCAAAGACCCTGAATAAATAGTGACGCGGGTAATGATACCTGATCAGTGAAAACGACAATAATCGTCTACTGGGCGGACCCATGGAACGGTGGGGGATTAGCCGACGGGTACCAATTGAAGCCTTACCGTGCGAGGGTAGGCTAGAAAAGCGACATGACAAGAAAGGAATGAAGAGAGAAATGACACAATAAAAGGAACGGAGCGGTCAAACGTCACGGCCTCTCAGACCCCACTGTGCAACAGCGCAGGAGGGAGGGGGGTGAAGGAGGGGCGATTTTATAGCAAGGGAATAGGAAAAAAAAATATACTCATGGTCGGGAGGGTGGGCTGCCAAAGGGATGATAAAAATTACAGGAAGAATTGAAAGCAAACAAAATGCTGCCAGAAGTAGAGGTGCAGTACTTCCAACGCACTGTCATAAAGAGGCCAAAAGACAGCGCAAAGAGATCAGCAATGAAAATGACTTACAATAGACAATGTCGCTGTCCAGAGGTACAGCTCGTCAATCGTTGGGACTTTTCTTTTTCCTCGTCCTTCACTTGGCGGAAGTTGCCAGGCGCAACGATAAGCTCCGCGACGAGCAAGGAGCCAATCGTAGAAGACGTTTGACACGGCTTCAACCAATAATGATCTCTGATTCTCTCGCTCTTCTTGTTTGCTTCCAGCTATGCTTTGGCCGCTCACAGCAGCAGCTCTTGCTGCCTCCAATAATGGGTGAACAATAGTAATTTCAGTCAAGTTCAGAGGTTTCAGGGCTTCTTTCTGATTCGAATTCGCGACTTTCGAGGTTGGTGGGTCGGGAAGGTATACGGGCACATTCGGGCAACGGCGTTCGGGTGCACGTGGAGAACAGAAATTGGACCTCAAACTCGGTGGCCCAATTGTAGATGGATGATCACGGTGACAAGCAGAGAGATAATCAAAGAGGCTAGAAGTAAACAGCGTCTCACGCAATTCAAAGAGAACCTTTTTTCCCGGGGGACCAGAGAGGCTTGAAATTCGAGGCCTCGTCTGCCATGTACCGGTGCGGGCTTTTTAAGCTGAATGCTGCTATCCACGTAGAGTCATCGCTACCTGATGCTGGGCGCTTGCCATAGTTACAGGGGGCCCTATAAGGCAGCAACCGGATCATGGCCCTCAGTTGCTGGCCCAATAATAGTTCTCCTGCAGAATCATTCTCCCACTTTTTGGTCTTGACCCAAGAACCCCACCCGAGCCCGGCCGAAACAAGCTAAAGGTGATCGCGCCCAAATCCAAGTGGCTTCTGGAGCCTGACGACAATAAATCGGTGCAGCTGGCATTTTGGTCTACCAGTAATAAAAAGATACAATTCTGTGCACTCTAAGACGCAGCCATAACCGCAACGCGCTGATAGAAAATACGATTCTGGACATGCATGCTCCAGGCATACATTGTACTCATACCGAGTAGTGTACGATGGTGATTTCTAAACAAGGGTCCCGGCCCAGCAAAGCCCCCAATCCTCTCTACTGGTGACGGGCGTCTGCAATCTCCTCAACACGCCTCGACAGGTGCCACGTCTCCGTCGTCTGCCACAAACAAGGGTTCTTCCGACAAATGAAATGCATGTCCATCAACACACCGGAAAATTTTCATTTTGGGTGCAGACAATTTCCTGCCTGATGACCTCACTAATCTCAAAAAAATGCGTTGGCAGTAGTTGAAAGCGCGTGGTTCGGATTGTATGTAGTACTTTTGGGCTGCTTTACTCCTCCCTCGATTTTGTGTAGGGGATTCAACAGGCAGCTCATCATCGCCAGCCCAAAGCTCCCGTCACCGCTGACCGGGAGATCATCTTGCCTAAGTCTTTTCAATGCACATGCGGGCCGTTTAGTTAATCTGGGAATCCTGGCTGGTGCCGCCGCCGCCGCCGCCGCCGCTCAGTTGCTTGCTCCGTAAGGCTGATAGGCGCTTGAAATCCCCATTGTTGAAGCAATAGCTTGCATTCCAATCTCGGATGCCATCCCGAGTCACAATATTCTAAACAAAGTCCCGTCTGGAGAGAAAAGGCGGGTTCCTTGCACAAGTGGAATTCTGGGCATAGAACCGCACTACTTGGGCCTTTAGCCACATTGTTGCGGCTCGACTGATGTGACTGTGAATGTCTCGACCCCCGCAATTAATCACCACTTTGCCAAAAGTGGTTGGCCAAAACCCCGCCACGTCCCTGCCCAAGGATTTGCATCCGAAGTTACCTGGATGTCACAAATGTCTCAGCTTCACTCGGACTTGCATCGTGGCAACATGTCGAGATCCCATAAGTTTGCATGGATAGCCTTCCAAACTTCGCTCTGAAAATAAAAGCCCGGAAAGGTCCCCTTCTCTCAGAACCAAAATCAATTGGGCCATCAAGAGGCCGTGAATGAGATTTAATCAAGTCATTGTAAAACGAATACTCATATCTCTGAACCCGTCGAAGCCTGCGGAGAACATAGATCCGAATGCGCGCTGCAGTCTACCAGCAAAATTTTCTCAATGAATCAGCTCGAGAGTCGAGAGCTGTAAGACGCGGCACTGGAGACAGTGTCCAAAACATCTAGGGCATTTTGAAACATGTATATTCTGCAACTAGATATATTTAAAGGGCATCAAGAAGTTCACTGGGGCTGAAGGGGCTGCCAAGAGCTAAGATTGTTAAGTTGATCGTCGTGAACATCCAGAAGACCGGCTGTGGGTCTTCTGGGAGGAAGCGCTGGTATGTCTTCATCGAGAAGACTGGCCGAAGTATTGGAAGTGTTGTGGCTTGTAACTTTTGCACTTGAGCGTGATGATCCAGGACCGGAGAGCCCACCCGCGGCTGCAGAGGGTCCTTCAATCGGGGTCAAACTGGCATCCGATATGCTGTTGTTTCTCGAGGCAAGGCGAGCAGGTTTGTGAGGTACTGGGGGAACTCTGCGCTGCGACGGAGCAGACGCCTGGGAAAAGGTCGAGGCCCTTGATACGGGTCGCAACGGCAATGATAAGTCTTTCGATGAAGCAGTAGTTGGCCTGGGTCCAGGAAGCGCTGGCTTGTCACGGAAAGATGACGCTGAGGATAGACTTGTGTCAGAAAGCTGGCTGCCTGAACGCATCGGCAAAGGCGGTTTTGCCTGCGCAGAAACCCATGTGGGGGCGTCCGAAGTTGCGAATGGGTTTGATGGTCTCTCTTGATTAAGAACAAATCCTGGCTCAGGTGGCTCGATTCTGGAGCGGACCGGTTGCCCTACCAATGTTAGATACCAGTGTTTCGAATCTAGGGGCGCGGATGCTGTCGTTCCCGGAGAAGAGACCGAGCGGCAATGAGGAAGGAGGAAAGGCAAATGAAGAAAGGGCTGAACTTCAAACGGGTGAAGGTGTATCTTAAATTTCCGACAGCGTACATACCATTATCAAGCCACCATTTACGGGTATCAGAGCTAGCGGGAGGGAGACCGGAAGAAATTGCATCATATCCGATCAGGTCTTCTTCTTCGTCGGTATCATCCAGGTCCGTATTAGCTGTAAGCCCTGCAACATCTGCGCGACGCTTCTCGTATATCTGGCGACTCAAATTCTCTTTATATGACTCGTCCACTACATTAACAGTGCATTGAAAAGTAGCATAGACAGGACGGTGATCAGAAAACCGGAGAGGGGCGGCGTTATAGCTCGTCTGACGCAAGTTATCACCTCTCCACAAAACGCGATCACACCATGCCGGAATTCGAGCCTTCTCACTTGGACGAGTCAGTAATGATTCGATTTTTTGAGAACAATCATCTTACGAAGTGTCATATGTATCGGTCCCTCGATCGTATTTGTAAGTGGGCATAAAAGCTGGCGGCTTTTCGGAGTAAAATCGAAAAGCATTGCCTTTAACCATTTGGATATTCAGCTGATATCGATTAGCACAAGAAGTCAAATTACAGAAAATAGATTTCTCACCTGATCGTTGTCGTACAGAGTGTTCAAGTCGCCTGCATTGATAAGCTTGCGCGCCTTTTCGTCGCTGAGGCCTATCCGATAATTAAAATCTCCGAGCCAAATGATCGTATCATGATCATCAATAGATCTATTTCTTTGAAATCGGATGCTATGGCTTATAGTTCGATAGTCACGGTTTCTTTCTTCGTAATTTGCAAATCCCGCGGCAAGATGAGCCGTAACAAAGCACAGCCTCGTGTTTGCAAAATCAAGACGGATGGCCACGGCGCCTTTATTTCCCGCCATTCCAGACATGCCAGTCTGCAACATTGTTAGAAAGTTTTGGTCTTCACGCTTCCAACCAGACCTTACCTTCTTCACGTCACCTTCGACATTTTTGATGTCCCCAAGTACGCTCGATTTAACAAATATTGAAAGCGCAGCGCCAACAAGCTGTCCGCTCCGAAGCAAAACATACTTATCTGAGTCTGCTCTCTCATTCAACGTGTCCTGGACAGCCTGTTCCCACAATAGCCTTCTCCCGGGGTCCGTTGACATAATTTGCTGAGGGCTAAGCTCAACAATTTCCTGGAAACCTACGACGTATATTTCAGGCTGCTGATTGGATATCTCCGAAGTGGGATAAAGCCATGCGGATAGGTCTTCAGATGTTCCTTCGCTCTGACCATTGACATTGAAAGTGCCTATCCAGATATTGATGACTCTCGAAGCAGAGTATTCCAAAGCACTGACCAACGCATCAGCGCAATGATAAGAGAGGTATAATCTCAATGCTTACCGCTTATTCAGTTCACTATTCACATAATCATTGATGGGATCGTAAAGACGAACAGGTGCTTGACCCATGAGGCGGCCCTGCGCATGTTAGAACTGAGACAATCTTTAGATAGAATGATGCAACGTACTAGGAGTAGATCCATTGTATACTGACGAGTCTTGTCTGTAAAATTATTGATATATAATCTGGTCGCGCTCTTCCGAGCATCTGCAAGCGCGCCCGCAAAAGACATCTTCCCACTCCGTGTGAAGGAAGACTTCAGTGCCCCCGTTCCAGCGTATATTCTCGAGAGAGCCTAACAAAATCAGCGAATCTCTTGTTTAGATTGGAAAAAATCTAACTCACATCTCCGTTATCGGCCCAAAGACTCGAATGTCTTAACCAAAAGTCTTGCCTTGCCCGTTCGTTGCGTTGACCAAGAAACGCTTCCAAAGCCATTTGGCTAACGATAGTTTGAATGAGGTTTGTTCGATCTAAACAATCCAAGCAATTCGTCCGAAAGACTCCTTCTTGCTGAAGCACAACAGTAGCCTTTCGCGACACTGGACGATCCTGCCCAACTGCTCCAGGGTGTAACTCCTCAGAGGGGTGATCTACCTCTTCCGTGAGGTAGAATGCGAAACTTTCAGCGGATTCACGGATGATCTGCTTGATAATACTGGCAGCTTCATAGCCAGTGGGCCCACGCGTTTCAGCATGAAAATCGAATTCTGTTAGTTTCAAGAGCTCGAAGGCCCCAGAGGTCCCTTTCTCAACCGAGTTGTTTAGCATGCTATGGCGAACATGATACCTATATCTCTCAGATATCTCAACTTCGCCAGCCTTGTCTTTGCTGAGCAAATTCAATATATGAATGCTTCCAAAGTCCACTTCCAAGCTTTCGAAATGCTTGTCGAATGCTGGTTGAGTAGCTTCTGGAGACCTGGTGATCTGAATTTTCTGTTGGCCTGGGAGAAGGCCAGTTGCCTGTTCCCAGAATATAGGCACAGAACCTCTCACTTGCGCATACGAAAAGCAGAGTCCCGAAGGGGTCCAAAATATCGTCTCAGTCTCAACAAAATTCGCCACATTACCATCATCGTCGATTCCTCGCGCGTTAAACCTCGTTCCAGCTCTCCGGCAAGATAATCTTGAAATAACTGTCAAAGTCGACGGCAGTCCAGAAAGGGCAGTTCCCCGTGCTGGAGAAATGGGTGCGGCAATTGGCATAGTTGCCACGAAGCCACGAATGGCAGATGTAAGTATTTGCGATGCATCCAACGCTTCCTTTTCATGCGATCCTAGGTGAGATCTGAAATTTATAAGTGGTTGGATCATATAAGAGTTCCAAAGGAACCCGTCGTCAAAACTGTTCAGATCAAAAGTCGACGCGTCGATTGGCCTTGAAAAGAATAAGCTTTCCTCGAGCAATCAATACGAGAATGATAACCACAAACCTGTCTTGCAGACGGTTTGTCAAGTCAAAGTCTGTGCTGTAATAGAAAGTTCCACCGCTGAGAAGCTTTTTGAGAGCCAGACACGGGTGCTCCACAACGCCCTCCCGACGTGTTTGATTCGGCTCGTAGTCAAACCCATCTTGTTGCGATAAATTATCTGTCGAATAAGGATTTATTTCGTCGTTCAATACGTGATCGTAATCGGAACTATTTATGCAATCTGGTTCATAGTCAGTGGAATGCAGTCCGAAAAGTGCCTCAATGGTAGATTTGAACGGGAGAATTTGTCCACTTACGGAACTCGACCGAATCTATCCTTTGAACGGTCTCACCAGGCCTGACAGTCGCGACCCTTGTTGCCGCACTAACAACGCAAAGGAAAACATCATTGTTTACGGTAATGAGACCAAGTGTTCCTTTCACAGGCAGAGTGCTCAATGATCTGTAATCCCCTAAGTTGATGGAGTCGAGCCTGGAAAATTCAACGATGCACCTCGGAGCAGCTGGGCTCTGATTTGATGAATGTGACTGAAAGCTCTGCACAGATGCACTTGGAATAGATTCTGTTGATGTAGGACTGTGTCGAAAGACAAGCACATGAGACGAGCTCACGAGTGCGATGGCACGATGGGGGTGGTCGCGCAGATGAATACGCACTGACATTGTAGCTTGACAACAGGGCCTGTTGATTACCACATGAGGATTTTCTAAATGGTTATCATACTAGAAATTAGAGAGATCTTTGTTTGTACCCAATTCTGGTGGCGTATAGTACTGCAAAGAAGCATTAAAGAGGTTTTGCGGACTCAAGGCAATTAAATCACAACCGAATTCACTCGCAGATCGGACCCTTCAACCTTGCGTTGCTTATGACGAACCAACAACAAGCCTTACCATAGCTACTCCGATAATGATGGAGGTCCAGAGATGGGCACTTAAGCGAGGAGCTCTGGCACTGATCCTGTACTCCGGCAGGACCTGACGATTCAGACTCTACAGGCATGTAATTCAGCGAAATGTATCATGCTGTTAATTGATTGACTTGGGATTCCACCAATAATCTCCAGAAGAAAACATCCTTCATTATAAGAAAACACGGGAATAGGACCATCGAGAGCAGATTGTGGTGACAAGCCATCACAACCCATCAATCGTGCGTAGGCTGCACTACCAGAGTACCAACCAAATCTTCAATTATTACCCTGCCGTTGGTATTCTTCGGATGAGGGGCGCAATCGCCGCTCACAACCTGGTAGCTGTAGAGTCCATCCTCTAAAGCATGTCCAATAATTTCCCCCTTCTTTTCAAAACCTGGAGCGTCGAAATGTTTTGCGCTGCCGCGGTACTGAGGTATAACATCTAAGATGCCACGACAATTATCTTATCTTTTTAGCGACATCTCGCGGGAAACGCTGTTCCCAATATAGTCAAGCGTTATCCCCAATCGGGCCCTTACCAAGCAAGCGAAAAAAAAGTCAAGGTCAACCCCATCTATCTTGTAGCCACCCGGCCACACAACTTGCTTTATGATCCAAATTTTGGACTGTGAGACTTGCCAAGGACCAGTTTGGGACATATATGATGCTTTGTGTTTGAATTGATATATCAATCTTCTTTCAGTTGACCTTTTATTCTTAAATATGGGACTGTCCGGTCCGCGCAAGTACGTTTATCAGGAGAAAACGACTCCGCTTTATATGACTTGGACGAACTGACTATTATAGGCGGACTAAATTTTCCTATGACCCTAATAACACAGCATGGGCACGGTCAACAGAGACTTTCGGACATAAGATGCTCACTCGCCACGGATGGCAGCCGGGACAGCTGCTTGGTGCGACGAATGCGCCTCACGCCGAGTTTCATACTTCGGCGAACGCCTCCCATATCCGCGTAACCCTGAAAGACGATACTCTTGGGTTAGGAGCAAAACGTGGTAGCGGGCAAGGAGCAGGTGAATGCACCGGACTTGATGTGTTCCAGGGCCTGCTTGGCCGGTTGAATGGAAAGAGCGACGGAGAGCTCGAAAAGGAAGAGAAGTCGAGGGCTGACCTGAAGCGCGTGCTTTATGCTGAACGTCGCTGGGGCTTGATTCAATTTGTTCGAGGCGGCTTATTAGTTGGCGACAAAATCGAGAATCCAAGTGAAGAAATTACGAAAGCTCCCGAAAGCCGAGCCGCCGCTGAAAAAGGAGTTTCAACTGGTGAGGTGGAAATGAGAGACGGCGACAAAGAATCTCAAGAGCGCCGAGACTCGTCCGATTCCGATATCAAAGACTCCCGAGATAAGGACAAGAAGAAGAGGAAGGAGAAGAAGAAAAAGAAGAGTAAGAGCAGCGACGAGGACAATGGTTCAACCCGCTCTGGAGAAAGGGAGGAGAAGAGGAAACGCAAAATGGAGAGACGTGCGAAAAAGGAGGCCAAGAGAATTAAACGGCAGCAACGCGCGAGCCGTGAAACGACAGGATCAGATGTTGAGATGAGCTCGTCTTCTGATCAGTTGAATAAGGGCGATAATGAGTCAGTGGTGACTTCAAGAGAAGCGTCTAAAGCCCCGCAAAGTTCAATGTCACAACAACCAATCTCATTTGCCGCAGGAAGGCATGCAGTCAGACAACGGTATATTCGACAGAAGAAAATGGCTTCTATGGATTCTAGGGCCCTCAATGAGGTAACTCTTCCTTTTGAAATGTTGTTTGGCGGCAGGAGCTAACAGTTGCAGATTTTCATGGTCAAAGCTTAGACTTTGCATTTGATACCCAGGAAGCTCCAATGACAGTAGCATTTAACCGGATACAGGCCATCTAGATATAGAATAATGCATTTTAAAGGCGCAAGTTTGGCAAAGCTTAGTTTCTCATTTCCTCACTTTGGAGTTTCCGGTCGAGCAATCTTTTGTTCCTTAAATATATATAGAGGTTGGATGGACTACTACTCACCAATTTTATTATATTCATACTCGATTTGAGGTTAAGAGCTCTGGACTGCAAGAACAAATGCGAAACAGGGCGCCGCTAGCACATACATCTTATCCGCATTACCAGCGGCCCGTTTGGCATTAAATGACTGGTCATACAATACTTGATCTACTTCTATGGTGACACGTCATTCAACGCGGTAACAGCTTTTTACAACCCTGGAGAGGCGGCAGTATTTGCGTAACAGCGCGATTTTGGAGAGACTCGTTCAATGTAACAGATTCTCCCACAGTTGCGCTTGGGCAGCTAATCAGATAGTTTAAGGAAAGGTGAGAAGCAAAAGTGACTGAAATAGCCCATAAACCCACTTATGAAAGCTACTCGACGTAGGATGTGTCCCGTGATCATACGGTCCTACGTGATGTTGTTGTACTTGGCATCAATGAAGCTACCCACTGATTACTGGCAGCGCGCAAGCTACGAGTGAAGCAAAAGATGTTACAGACACGATGTATCGTAAGACCAGCGTGCCCTTTAAAGATGGAAGACAACGTAAAGGATACTAAAACATGGTAAATCGATGCGTGACGAGAAGATGCTGGAAGAGATGAGTGGAGCTCATAGACCAAGGAGACGTTTGAAAAGAGTATCCAGAATTTCCCCCATCTGCACTTTTAGCGATGACGCTGCAGGGTTTTGAACCAATCCCCGCACGGGAAAGCATGATTTGGTTCCCTGTTTCGCTAAGTCTTACCGACCAACTTACGATGGAGTTAGGTAGCGTCGACATCACCTCAGGGTACACAGTTTAACCGTCAAGCCACCATCACGAAAGCTGTTTTTGGCCCTAAAGCGCTTCTTGCTGTACAAATGAGTGGTTTTCTGCTGAGCATGTTCTCTGCTCACTGACTCTGGTTGGACAACACACCCTTATATTATCTCTACTACTTCTTTTTATCCCTCAATCTTCTCTGCAATCATTGAAACCCAGAAGCTTGTCCAGCTGTCTGGCCGCGCCGCTTCTCCCCGCGAAAAGCGCTGCAACTATTCCCTCCCCCACATTCTCACCTCCCCGCAGTCGCCGGCTGTCGTTCTTCTCCCAATTGCCAGATCTCGCATAACGTAAGAATCCGCACCGGCAGAATCTTTTTACTGAAAGTCAGCAATCTCATTACTGCATCATGACTGTCATTGTGGCTTCACTGTAAGTTTGCCTTTTCTTTCATACCTAGAGCTATTGAATACGCGACACAAGAGAACCCAAAAAACATTCGTGGATCCTACACTGACTTTATTTTGAATAGCACCCTTCCTTATACCATACACTTTGATATTCCAGTCCCGTCTCGCAGGCCAAGTCCGCCGCGACGGCAGAATACCAACCTTCGACAAGATCAAAACAATCATGAACCGCCTAGTTTACTCCGTAACCAATCCAGTCAAGGTCCGACACCGCCGGCCACTCCAGGCATTGATGGCGATCACCAGGAATTCTTCTCAAAGCCACCTGCCCTCCCGCCGGCGATCAAAAAGGAACTCCGTAGCGGCTCTATCGCAACAAGTGAATCCCATTCTCCTCGCTGGAACGTGACGCAGTTCAACCAGCCTCGCTCGAGAGCCAGTTCACCACCACCCGCTTCGATTCTGAAGCACGCGAAGATTGTGGAAAAGGCTAGAACGGATGCTCTGAGAAGGAGGAGATCTGTTGCTCGTGCTTCGGTTTCCAGTCACGACCAGCTCATCCAAACCGCTGATTGGACAGTGGTGCCAGCCGAAGGGGGCAACGGCGGTCTCAAAAATGCCATTCGTGCGGCCTCCAAGGCCGGAAAACTCGATGACAAAACCTGGGTGGGTACTCTGGGGATGCCGACAGACGCATTAGAAGATTCTCAAAAGACTGAGATCGAGGACAAACTCATCAACGAAAATGATTGCATTCCGGTTTTTGTGACTGATAGCGATTTCGATGGTCACTATTCCCACTATTGCAAGACAATTCTTTGGCCTGTCTTTCATTATCAGATTCCCGATAATCCAAAAAGCAAGGCTTACGAAGACCATTCTTGGGTCTACTATGTCAAAATTAACCAAGCATTTGCCGATCGCATTGTCAAACACTACAAGCGCGGTGATGTCATTTGGGTCCATGATTATCACCTTCTTCTTGTGCCTGCTATGGTCCGGAAACAGCTCCCTGATGCGCAGATTGGCTTCTTTTTGCATGTGGCTTTCCCATCATCTGAAGTTTTCCGTTGCCTTGCGGTACGGAAAGAACTTCTAGAAGGTCTCCTGGGCGCCAATCTTATTGGCTTTCAGACGGAAGAGTACTGTTATCATTTCTTGCAGACTTGCAGTCGGTTGCTCTGTGTTGAGGCTACCAGTGATGGCGTGCAGTTGGAAGACCGCTTTGTCAATATTATCAATCTGCCAATTGGCATTGATCCCGTTGCTTTGGATGAAAGACGTGCAACAACGACAGTTGCGGCGTGGCTGCAAGTCATTCAGGAACGTTATCGCGGAAAGTTTCTCATTGTCGCTCGGGACAAGCTGGATCACGTCCGAGGAGTCAGACAGAAGCTACTAGCTTATGAGTTGTTCCTTAACAAATATCCGGAATATCGTGGCAAGGTAATTTAGATCTCCCTTCAATAGACCTTGGTTCACTGTGCTGATCTCTTGCAGGTCGTTCTTCTTCAAGTTGCAACGTCCACGACTGAGCAAGCCGAACTAGATGCTACAGTCTCTGATATTATTACCCGAGTCAACTCGTCCTTCGCGACCCTCGCACATCAGCCACTTGTCTTCCTAAAACAGGACATTGGGTTTCCACAGTACTTGGCTTTGTGCACAGTTGCAAATGCTCTTATGATTACAAGCCTTCGTGAGGGAATGAATCTCACCAGCCACGAGTTTCTATGCTGCCAAGATGGAAGGTATACGGAGAATAAGCATGGGTCTTTGATTCTTAGCGAGTTTACTGGAAGTGCGAACGTATTCGGCGGCGCAGAGCTTTCGGTAAATCCATGGGATTATCGAAAGTGCGCTGAAGCCATCAAGACTGCGATCGAGATGTCTCCAGAGGAGAAGGATGAACGATGGAATGCTCTCCATAAGATTGTGATGCATCACACCGCCGCCCACTGGTGCACGAGCTTTATCGAGCAGCTGTCAAGCGTTTGGAAAGAGCAGGCCGCCCGAGAAACCATTTCGATTCCCCGGCTCTCTGTCGGTGCACTTGGCGAGAAATATCGAAAGGCCGAGAGGCGGTTGTTCATTCTTGATTACGAGGGAACTCTTGCTCCTTACGGCTCTCCGGCTAGTATGGTCCTCACAAGCTCGCAACGCACGCTAGATGTACTCAACGATCTTCTCCTTGACGATAAGAACATTGTCTATGTTATGTCTGGTCGTCAACCTGAGGACCTCCATAGCATGTTCCGTCGTGTGCCCGATTTGGGTCTCATCGCTGAGCGGGGATGCTTCGTCCGCGAATTTGGCAAGGAAGAGTTTCATGAGATGGGGAACCTCAAAGAGATGTCTGCTTGGAAGGAAGACGTTCGCGGCATCTTGGATTACTATCGGGAGCGGACCGAGGGAAGCTGGGTCGAAGAGCGACATTGTTCGTTGACCTTTCACTATAGCAGCGCTGACGACCCTCAAGCGGCCGCTCGACAGGCCGGGGATTGCGTCAACCACATCAACGATGCTTGCGAGAGCCAACGGGTTCACGCCATTCCCGTGGACAAGTCGGTGCTTGTCGAACCCATGGACTGGAGTAAGGGCACGGCTGCGCTGCATGTGTTTGACCTTCTCAAACAAGCATGTGCTGCCGACGGGTCGAAGATGCCCGACTTTTTGATGGTCGTCGGCGATGATCGTGAGGACGAGCCGATATTCAGATGGGCAAATAGGCTTGCGCAGACTGGGATTGTGCGCGATGTCAGTACCGTCAGTGTTGGATCACGGAATACGGAAGCAATGTCTACATTGACACAGGGAGTGACTGGTTAGCTTTTGCCCACATAATCTGGTTGATAACTCTGCCATACTAACTTTGCATCTAGGTGTTCTTACTGTGCTTGGCAAACTGGCATCTTTTTCTGACGTGCAGTAATTGTTTTCACATTTTCAAGGAGTTGGCTGGCTAGCGGGCTGAGAATCATGGACAATACGCCATCTGTTCTGATTCCCCCAATGCTCTCATGTCGCTGCAATGCAGACACGACAGTCACGAGCAGATGGATTAACGAGTTTGAGCATATGAAGCGTCCTTGAATGATTACATTTAGCTTTGCGCCTAGCGCTTTTTGCATTAATCAAAAATTGTTATTCCTCGAATAACTCATACCATCGTCTAAGGATCTGTGGAAGAGGCAGTAGAAGTAAATGCACAAATGGTACGTTTTATGGTCTGTTGTGGTCTACTGAGGATATAAGTGAAACGAGCAAGGCGACAATTAAGGTAACCAACCCCTCTTCAATCTTCTTCCGCCTGGGACCCGACATTTTTTTGCAGGAACACGCGACCTGCTCTCTACCCGTATTTGAGACGACGGGGAATGCAGAAGCAAATGCTGCTGCAAAGAACCCTCCCCTCCCCCCAGCTCGTGGATATGCACTCGGCGGCAAGAAAAAAGAAAGAAGGTCTTTGCAGCTTGCTCAAATCCACGCACAGACCGGCCCACGACAGCCTTCCCTCTTCAAACTGCAAAGAGAAATCCCCAGGATCATCCCTTTAGCGATTATAGTAAAAGAAGAAGGGTCAACATACTATGAAATGGATCAAATGATTCGATAAGTCTAGATGATGGATGAAAATGTTTGGACCCTGATTGGATAGCGCCAGGGTGAGTGGCCATGCACCCAAGTGATATGCGTGGCTCGGGCGCTTTCCCCGCATATGCGGCACGGGTAATTTGTTGCCGACGGCCAGCGATAGGGGACCAGCCTCTTGAGAAATGTTCCATTCATATTGGGAGTTTGTTTTGTGACTTTGAATTGGGACACAACGGATAAGATGACCCCAGACATGTTTATGCTTAAGGTGCTTACCTTATGGTATAGAGTAATAATCCGTATTTTCTGCATTTATCAGCAAGGAACTGTCATAATATGCAGTCCTTAACTCCGACCCCGTCCCCGTGCGGCTTCAACTCGAAAGCCGTTTAAGAGATGCCGTGGTTTCTCAGCCACGGGTGATCACTCTCCGAGGACACGGTCACATTCTGCGCAATTGTTGGCTCTTGGCCTTGGCTCCATTCTAACGCCGAGCCAGATGCAAATGAGAAGATTACAATGACAAATCTACAGTGAAAAGAATGAGTATTGTGTACGGTATTTTCGTTGAATGCCAAGTATGCATTTATCCATATTTGACCTTCAAATATGCACGCTTCATGCCCGTAAAAACGTGTGTGACGATGCTTTCGGATCGCAGATAGATACGGAGTGTACAACAGGATCGGGGACGGGACCGGCGGATGTGGATACACGCGTGAACTGCTCTCTTTTTTGCAGCGCTCAAACCCTTGCCCAGCTTGGGCATAGCGCGTTGAGCCGGGGCGTCGACCGACAATATCCAAGTAATATAACTACGGAGTAGAGCAAACTACTAAGATTCATATGGGACTAAATACTGTTTGCCAAGTTCCTCTGCCATGCCGAATTAATCCTAGACAAAAAGTATCGTAGTATACGGAGTAACTGCCATCCTTTATTGCTTATAGCAGAGCCGGGCATGGGCAAGTTGAGTTTGAGCGAGGTGAAGCTAAAATGACTAGGTTTACGACTGGCAGCATGGGCTTGTCTACAGAGGACGAATGACGGCAAGCTGTTTCTCAGCGTGGGTGTACGACAAACTGCGTCGGGTGGGCCATTCCTAGGATGGCGTTTGCGTTTGCCAGTGCGTGCTTGGAATGGCTACGGAGCTAAAGGGGACAATAATGGGCCAAAGGCGATAGAGTCCCTTAGCCCCGTCAGGCCGCACACACTGAGGTTCCCCCCTCCATCATCCGCGGAGTTTGAAAGGAACCAACGGACACCGAGACACTTGACCAATGAGACCAGCTGTCCCGAAGCTTATTCAGTGGAGAACACCCGCTGGAGCTCTAAGATAAACATCCTTGAGATGCCGACTGGGAGGGTGCTGAATAATGTCTGTCAGCATGAAACTTAGAGATGCAAGTACTTGTCGTAGTTTGGAAATAATCAAGGTAGTGATTACTCGTAGAGGCTTAGAAATACAAAGACAATCGAGCCGTAATTGAAAGACGAGACGTCTCAACATTTGATGATTAGTATGATGGCAGTGATACAGGCAACATGTGAAATGCAGGAGCCCACTGATCAACATCAAACAGAACGCGCGTCGGGGTTTAGAGACGGGTGCCACAGGCTGTATTCAACCAAGAACTAGGTATGGGGAGTGACTCGCAATATCTCTCTATATGTAAAGTACCTTGGGATGAAGCAAAGATCAGCAACGAGGCGAGGCGCGATAAAGTGAGACATGATAGCAAAAGATGGGCTGCCGATCATCCGCCCGGATTCATCATCGTTGTCATTGATCGTCTACCCGCCTATGACTGTTGTGCTGTAACTACTCCTCTGTGACAAAAGGTTCTTATTATTATGATTACAGAGGTGAATTATCGGAATTGGCTTCTTGGATCATTCCGTGACTATCGTTTCATACCTCAGACCATAAAACCTTCTTATGCCCGTCCGCCACCCACACCAACGGACAACCCTCGCATCCGTTCCCATACAGGCGTACCCCAGTTTACTCACCGACAGCACTTGATTTACTTACCTACTTACCTGCAAAGGTAGTTACTCTAAGGTTTACAAAGTTAGTGAGACGCATAACTAATGCATCTCTCCCCCATACCCAACTCTACAGTGACCAAGTCAATTATTATCCCATCCCCCACCACATCGTCGACCACGACGACGACGCACACCCACGACACCCACCGGACACACCAAGCTACCCTTTCGCTTCCATCATCATCATCATTCCATCTTCCCACCCCATCCCCCCCGCCCCCCTCGTTCACGACTACTGCTGTGAACCTTCAACCCATATAGTCCTCCTCCCCTCCTCTTCACCTTCTTCCTCTTGTTCCTCCTCTTCAGTCTTCATCTTTCCCTCACTGCAACGTCCAATTTGACCACAACACTGTTACCTTATCACTTGATTCTGGCTATCAGCCTTCCCGTCTGACGTCAATTGAGTTTACCCTCTTTCTACGCTTATCGCCTTCGCTGCTGGGCACGATCCCTTTAGCCGCTCTCCCCACCTCTATCACTTGACTACCACGCTTGATATTCTACAGAACTGAGGTTCGTAGCCTAGTCTGCTGGATCTCGATAAATGGGATTCAAAGCATATTTATTGTATACTCTGAACACGGCTCACTAATCGTGCACTTTTGCTCCCACAGACCATGTCTGACGGATCCTCTTCTCCTCCCAACGGCTACCCGACTGGACGCCGTCGGGCGTCGTTTTCTCCCGGGCAGACTCTGTCGGAGCTCTTCAACCGCTCCACGTCCAATACGGCGGGGACGGTCAGTAGCACTTCTCCCCCTGGTCCTATTACCACTGCAGCGGCCAATGCTCAGGCACAGCATCGTCGACGCATGTCCATCAATACCCTTGGGCTTTCTGGGACCTCGCCGACCCAGACCGCGCCCTTTAATGTCGGTCGCCCCCGCGAAGATAGTCTCTCCAGTGTCGGCTCCGCTTCCTCGACGCTCGATGAGAATGTGATTGAAGAAGGCGACGCCCCACCCGGGAGCGGTTCTCCCACTGCGACTCCGTTTGGCCGCAGACTCAGTTTCGGAGCGAGGGCTTTGCGAGATGTGAGATCAGGAGGATCTGGCAGTTACAATGGTAGCGCTCCACCCTTTGGCCCAGACGTCAACACCTCTGCGGCTACGTCTTCTTCACTTCCTCCCACTGCATTTTCTGCTTCTACTGCTGCTGCTGCTTCGACCTCGACTACCAGAGGCCGGCAGAGCGTTTCCTCGTCTTCAAACAACAGCCCACAAACTTCCAACCAGACAGTTTCTGACAATGCTTTTGGTCGACCAGGCGAAGGTTTCAACTGGTCAGACTCTCTCAGGTCTCGTGCCGAGCGAACGTCGTCGATGGCTGCCGCCGCCGGCGCCAACGTCAGCAACAGTCCGCCGCAACCCTCTCACCATCAGCGCGCCGCCAGCGTGGCGACCATGGAACAGCCTGTCCGTGAGATGCCCAAGTCATCCAAGGTTCCCGACGCCTTTGGCGAGCGTATCCTGAAGGGCGACTTTTACATGGATTAAACCCCGGTGGGTGCTTATCGTTCTGCCTTTGCTACGATGATATGGGCTCTACGATTCCCGCAACAGCCTTTTCCACGATGATGATGACGACGACGATGATGATGATTACGAATGCTCTCCACGCCCACCTACCGCCTCAACAGCACCCAACCGCACGCAAGAGCTCTATATGCAGCTGACCGAAAACAAAGTCAAGACCGCAAACTAGTTGGCAACGGAGATTTTTACTTTTCTAATCAGCAAATGAGCTACTTGGGATGTGTCATATCCTCTGGCAAACATCCTAACTCCTTCCTGGCTTTTCAGAACGCCAGATCCCAGCGCACATGCCGGGCATGCGCAGGTCGAAGAAAATTTACCACACATGGGAACTTGGGCGATAAAAAAAGGGTGCTGCTTGGGGCAACGGACAGTGAGCTGACTCGCCCATATCGAGGCAAAAACGAGTCCAAGGGAGGCACCTTAACCGAAAAGAGGAGAGAAAAAAAATTCAAGGAATGAAGTGCCCATGAGCACAATCTGTCCTGTCTAGTTATGAAACTTTGCTTCCATGCTCATGTTCTCTTCTCGTGCTACCTTCTTGCTCCCTTCTTGGCTCCTTGCGAGCCCGCTTGTATTACTAGCCGTCTCGGGCTTCTTCTGCTCTAGTGCTCCTGTTCTTTGATCTGCTTACTTTGCGAACCGTAATGGTTGATAATGGACACTATCACTGAGCTTGAGCTTGACCGCGAGCTGCCAATTGCTACCTTTAGGTATGCTTTATTCAATTCAATTATAGGATTATTACTCCTATTATATTATTACTTCTCATTTATATTATTAGTATTATTATCGTGTTATCGTGTCATGTTTATTGCTAGTATCGTGCTATTTTTATTCGTAGTCATACTATTCTTCCATCGCATGGAACTATATTTTATCGTCTTGTTCATCTTGCTTTGTATCAGCTCTTGATTTCTCTCCTCTCTCTCTCTATCCACATCCACATCTCTATGACAAGGTATCTTGTGCAGCAGATTTAATTGTCCGTTGCCCACAACTTCACAAGCAAATGTATACACTACAATATCTTAACCTCTATTTCATTTCATTTCCATTTCCATTTGATTTATACAGTATACTTATACAGTTATACAGCATTCCCGTATCGTCGTACACAAGTCGGCCAGTGACAGTGACTAGCAAGATGGATTTTATTAACAAATACTGTTCTTACTCTCCTACTGCCCTGCATTGCACCATGATCCATGGTTCATATAAATGTAATGTATTTATCCTTTGGACATATGCGAACAGGTTTCAACTTTTCAGAGATCGATGACATGACCTGACTTCCTACCTACAAAGCATTGAACGCCTTGACAGCAGCCTCTGCAGTGACGTGCGCACTGGCGGGATTGGCGCCCGTAACGATGCGGCCGTCGGTGATGGTGAATGCATCCCACGGGCCTGCGGGGGAGACGTCTAGAGGTAAAGCAAATGTTAGCCCTTTTAAATCTTTAAATATATAATACGGAAAGGAGAAGAGAAAAAAAAAAAAAGACAAAAAGACAAAACTCACAAGTCGCACCGCACTGAGCAGCAGATGCTTCAATAGTCGGCCGCTTCCAGCTTTGAATCGTATCCAGCACATTCTCCTCTTCCTCGCCACGCGTCGTGAAGCCGGTCACACGGCGGTTGAAAATGACAGACTTTCCCGTCGCCGGATCGATGATTCCGGGGAAAATGGCGCCGCCATGGCATCTGTTTGTTTGTAAAACAAGTCAGACCTTTTCAGAAAACATGCCCTTGAGTTGCGGCATTGCGGCATTGCGGCACTGTGGCTCTGTAGGCTGCAAGCTGTTCCCACGATCCCGGGACATTCTTACACGGCTGAAACAATACCGCCATTCGCAAAGATTTTGGCGGCAACGGTTTGCAGGCCTTTGGCGTCAGGGTAATCAATCAAGGACGCATGGCCGGCCGATGCGAAAAACAAGCCGTACTAAGAAAAGAGACGTATGAGTTTCCTCTTCTTGTCCATGAAATTTTTTTTTTTTTTTTGGGGGGGGTTACAGGGGGAAAAGGGGGGGTGGGTTTCCAGAACTCAGGTCTTTTTCGGGACTCAGGTTTTCAGAGCTCAACCTGAGAGGGTCGTGACTCGTGACTCGTGGATCGTTATACTGAAATCAACTTACCTCGTCCGCATTGATGTCTGCCGGTTTGAACAATCGATCGAGCTTTGAGCGGAATGCACCAGAGTGGTTCTCCCAATCAGCACGGTCGGCATCGTTCAGCCAATCCTTCTGCTGCGAGAGCCAGTCGGGCTGATACGTTCCCGTCTCGGAGACGAGATCAACCTCGAATCCTGCCTTGCGGAACACGTTGAATGGATGCAGAGCCTCCGTGATGAAAAGCCCTTTTCAATCAATAAATTGTCAGTTTGCAGTGTTTTTATTTGATTTTATTTGATTTTATTTATTGATTTCTTTTCCTTCTTCTTCTTCTTTTTTTTTTTTGGATGAATCCCAAGAGATGTGCTGCAGTGCAACTTACCAGTCTCCTTCCCGTCGGGGTAGAGGGGAGCGTGGGCCGAAGTAATGGCAATGAGAGCCTTACGGGATGGTGCTTGTGCCATTTGTATTTGTGTTTTGATCACGGTATATACTCAGGTCAGGTCAGGTCAGGTCAGGTAGTTATCAAAAAAAAAAAGTTGTTTGTATATTGAAATTAACGGGCATGAGGAAAGGGTAGGTTATTCTCTATATAAATTTCGGGCGTAATAGTCTTTGAACCCACAAAGGAGAGAACAGATATTACGTCATAAAGAAGCTTATCAGTTAGTTAGTCTCAAGACTCTGTCTGTGACTCGCGTTTTGGGATAGAGCTGATGGCTTCCGACGGCAACTCCGACGGAGTTTAGGGTCAGCTCCATGTTGACTTCTGATGTCCCATTATTATTGCAGTTCGGCCAACATCTAATGACATCAATTTGACACCGAGAGTCGTTTCAACATTTCAATTGATTATTATATAATCCCGACGGGATCGTTCTGCTATTACACCGCCCCCCACGCCCAACTCCGACGGACATTGAACCTCTCCGTAAATAAACATTTCTACGGCCCCGATTTTTTGTGGATCGCGAGCAAAGTGTAAGAGAAAACCATAGGTTTGATGATAGATACATAATATCAATATTCATCCCAGTCCACATTACATGACTAAATCAAGCACTACAGTATTTCTCCAAGCAATTCGCAGGGAAGAGATAGCTCGTCATCTTTTTTTTTTTAGTCAAAAAAGGGCTGCACATCTGGGTTATTAGACCACAGCCACAGCTGACTAGCGTCTGCGAAGCTAGGATCAGTAAAATACGGGTTACCTCCCGTCCACATAATTCCGGCGGCCGAATCCATCGAAAGCAAGTCCTGTTCGGGACCGATTGAGAAGTTCGTTCCATCAACATCTCCGTCACTGGTCTTGTTTGGAATTGACGTGAAGGACTCTATTACAATGGATAAAGAGAACGACTTAAAATGAAATCATTAAAGAGTTTTCAGGGGCATAATTACCTGGGAGATGATTCGGCAATCCTTCAGGAAAAATTCTGCCATAAGGATAATGAAACCGACTTATTTCGGATTCATTTGATGCTGGCGTTTTTATCTTCCGTCTGCGCGCTTGGGTTTCCTCTTCATTCGTACCCGTTGTGACAGGTGGAGAGACTGTTGTCTCATCACCACGAATGAAACGCTGTTCGGAACACATAAGAACAGTCACCAAATCTTTCAGTATTTTCATACTCTGTGCTGAAAGAAGATGTTCATTCAAGATATGATCGTGCTGAAACTGTAAAATGTTCATAACGCCCTTCTTGGCAGCTTCACTGGTAGCTGAAAGAGGCTCCGAAATTGCAAAAGCACATAGAACTACACCAGCAGTAAAAAGGCATATACCAATATGCATGGCTGCATGTGTCTTTCTACATCCATGCAGTACATGGCGATAGTCATTCAAATCAGATGTTCGAAGCGCAGACTGGAAAAGTTGTTCTCGGGACAGAGCAGACCTTGGCAGATCATGAGGCGAACAATCTCCGTTGGAGGCCCTAGAGCCTGACCCAAAGGCAAGACTGCGATGGAGAATGATTTGAATGTTGTCATATGTCAGCTGAAGAGCGAGTGCTTGCATCTGCAGCTGGGACGGGGCTTGCAGTGTATCTTTGTCTTTGTAATTTTCTAGCCGTAGGTTTTCAGGCAATTGGTTTTGCCACGACGTGAGTTGAGCATGGATACCCTTGACCGATTCAAGCCGATTTGTTTGTAGTCTTCGACCCAGAAATGGGCCCATAATACGATATAGCCTAAATTTCCATCGATGGTAGTCTAGTTGCGCTGTCTGTCGAGTCGGTTCTTCCATGTTGGTCCTTATATCTGAAACCGTTTTAACGTCGCAGTCAGAATCATCGACACTGCAAGGTCGTCCAAATGCAATAGCCGCATATCTAATAAAATATTTGATAAGCAAGGTGTAGTTACCAGGGGGATGAATCGAACAGACTTATCGAAAACCTCCAACGCCCACCATGAACGTCTACGGGACTCCAGACGAGCCGCCGATATTCCTGGAAGCGCGGCTTCTCGATGTAACCGAAGAACCTGGGCAATCTTAAAGCCACTTCCAAGTATCCCTAACCCGGCGGTCGGACGGCCATTAAAAAGACAAAAGCTCCCCAGTAGAACACATATTTGTACTGCCTCTTCATCCGCAGAGCCAATGATTCTCACAAAATTTTGTTCGACCCGCTTGAGAATATCCTTAGAGAGCTGCTGCGTGTGGGACTTCTCGGGAGGCTGTATCGTCGCGAGTGATGCATAATGAGCCCCCAGGCCCAGGACAAGTAACGTAATCCAAAGATCGTTTTTATCTTCCAGCGCTGACACATAGGTCGACGTCATCAATTCTTCGTACCGTTGTCGGAAGTTCTCTTCGTGAAAGACCTGTCCCAAAATGGATCAGAATTGTACAGCTCATATGATAACAAGACCCATTAGCTTACCATCATGAACCAGTCAACAGTCGAGAAAAATATGTCAACTAGATGGTCTGAATAATGCTTTGAGGGCAAAGGTATCCCGACAGCATCTCGCCACGGGAAATTTTGGGGAGAAGATGGAATTGAGGATTTCTTGCCTCCCGGTAAAGCTGACGTATCATACTGCACGCCGATAGCCTCATTTTGGCCCGAAAACATCTAGACACAATGTTGAATGTTTAAACCACTATTTTGCATCATGAGTCACAAGACAGCAAAGAAAAAAAACATGACTTACGCTCGTGCTCACATCCATGATACTTGATTCGGGCAGGATGACGAGCTCCTCATCTTGTTTTGGTATTTTCGATGAATACACCCCGTCATTGGTTTGAGACCCTAAGACTGCCGGGGCTGCTGTAGCGGATCCAGATCGAGAGATACATGGCACGCCCGCACGGTGACATAAATGACACGGTCGGGTAGGATCACACTGGTAAGATCAGGGATGATATAATTAGCCTTCATCTAGAAATTCTTGCCAGCTGATCATATTATGACACACCCCTAATTTCCGCTGGTGGCACCTCTTGCAGGCCGATGATACTTTTTGGCGCTTTCGAGGAGCATACATCTTTCGTGGGTGAAAATTGGGGAATCAAAGTCCGTCGGAGTAGAGGGCGGGGGAAGCGTTTGGATGATGAAGATCAGTAATAATTGTGCACTAGAGATGCATATTTAGGCTGCGGAAGGGGCAAAAACACGTGTAAAAGTGATAATTTAAAGCATAAAACGCAGAATAAACAGAATTAATTTCTAAAAGTAGTTAACTAGCTAATTGAGGTGCAGAATGCCTTATATAGCCAGCCTGAAGCATAAAAAGAATTCTGGAATGGTCAATTGATTTGACCATCTACGGAGTAGAACTGGCGAGGTGGTCTGGTCTTCATGTGACCATGGCTATACTGCCGACAACTACCAGTTGATGGAGTACCTGGTCGTCTCCCCGGAGCATCCTGATTCAAGGGGAGCTGGTCCCTGAGCGCTCAGGGAGTAGTACTCAGGGAGCACTGCAGAGGCAATAAATTAAAGTATGGTTTGTACTAATCACGTTACGCTACAATGTTTAATATCTGGTCAACTGAACGCTTAAAATGGTGTCGAATGTAACCATTTTCGGTGCTCAATTTACCGTCACTTAGCGTTGTGGTGTGAAATGAGATATCAACATTAAATGAAATGAAATAGAATAAAATAAAATAAAATAAAATAAAGAACCTAATGTATATCACAACAAGTCATATCGAAATCATGTCACACAAGGCAGTATTTCATCTACGGGCGATTGCACAAGTAGGAGATAATATACGGGCAACTGCACAACTAGGAGATAGATAATATATAACGATTAAATTGACATTGAGCATCAAGCTACCAAAGAGGGGAAAAAAAAAAAGAACCAAAAAATAAAAAAGTTGATTAACGAGAGTAAGAAGGATAGACAGTCTTTAGGAACTGAATAAGATGGGCATTAAAAAAACAGGTTGGGTCGGTGAAAAAGAAGAAAAAACTAAAAAATTAAAAATAAAAAAACTAAAAGCAAGGAACGATCAAAAGTAAAAAACAACACTGGAACCAGCCAGAGCTGTATCAATGGTCCATGTGTAGACATTCACATCTGCAACATATAACCAAGGTAAAAAGAAAAAAGGACGGGAGGACGACAAGAAGAGAGAGAGTACATGTTTGCACAGAACAATACGCCCTTCTCGCAGGCTGGCAATGGCTGATAGCACAGCCTCGGACCCATCTTCCGTGGCCTATTTCATCCGTTTCTCGTTGCCACGGCGGGCACCAGAGGTGGTGCGCTTCCTCTTCGGAATAATGGAAAGGACATTGTCCAGAGCACGAACAAATGCCGTTGGCGCACCGCTTCTACGGAGCTTGTCGGCGACTTTGGCCAGCTGTTCGGTATAGTCTCGAAGCACGTCGGCAAAGTCCGGGAGAATCTGAAGGATGAAGAAGTTGCTTTCGTCGGTGCCGCCAGCGATGAGACGCAAGAAGAGGTTGCGATCGGCGGCGTTCTCGCCCGCAGGCGCTTGGCGAGCCCATTGCACTCGGGCATAGGCATCCTTGTTGCGGTCAGACACCTGGTCGAGAATCCAGACAAGCAACTTTGCGGCAAATGAGTTGGTAGACTCGGTGACTGGAGCACGGGCTCTCAAATCATTCTGAAGAGAGGCGACTAGCCTCTTCAAAGATGCTGCGCACTGGATAACGTTCAGTCGAGGAGCCCGGTCGTTGGCCGTCGCCGCAGGCCCCTGAGTCACGAACCGATCCAGCGCATCCAGACTCTTTCTAGCATTGGCCTGTATTTTGGAGATGTAGGCTTGCGCGCAGAGTTCGGCATTGATCAGCTTGCGCAGGCGGGAGAAGAAGACGTCGTCTTCAATAGCGAGGCGGAAAATGGTGGCCTCAAAGTCATTCTTGACAAAAGTCTCTTCGTCGTCGTCGTCGTCAAATCCGGTGTCTGGAACTGCATCGACCATATCCTGGCGATAGTCCTCGGGAAGTGTACTGTTGCGGTCAAAGACGGAGAGCATGTCTCGCAAGACACGTTTTCTATCAGGAACAGCAACCACTTGTTCCCGTTCAAGCGGCCAGTCCATTTCCTCTGCAATGTATTCCAAGCCCTCGAGGGCAATGCGTTCAAACATCTTAGCTTGGCCCGATGCCTGGCCGTCACGGTTGAGCGAGACTGGAGACGACACTTCATCGGATGAGACCGAATTGAGCTGCTCAATCAGCCAGAAAATGTGCTTGCACGCTGCTGGCCCGCGTTGTGTTTGGAAGTCTCCGCAGGAGCAAGTGCGTCTATTGTCCCAGACACGCACAGAGGCACGGCCATTCTCTGCAATCTCGAATGCATAATAGTCATTATGCTTGGCGCAAAACGACACGTCGAATTCACCTTGGATGCCCTGGACAGCCCGCTGCCATGATGCAGGTGAGAGGTCTCTGCTGTCGTACGTGATGCCAGACTCGCCCTGGACAGTCTGAACATCTTCACCACCGGCAGCGGCTCTGCCTTGAGATCGAGTCGTGGGCATTGTGCCTTGAAGACGAAGGTTTTGAAATTGTTCAATCGGGTCAGACATGGAGAAGAAATTTATTTATCAAGAATCTTTGCGTATGTTGTAATGTTTTGTTCTCTTTGCTCAAACTTGGGGATTCTTGAGGTAGTCTGGTCGTCTTTATATTCCTCAAATGGAAGGCTGCTTATGACTCCTTTATCCTGCTTCCTACTCCCTTTCCTCCGAGCCTCGCCGTCCGTGAGGTGATTTCTCGCTGCAGCACACAGGTGAAAATGAGGCTCAAACGTAATATCCTTTCAGCACTGATTTAAGATTGGGCCGCTGAATGGGCCGCATGCCGCAAAGGCCCCACGGTGCCCCAATTTTCCGGCAGCCTGGGGAAGGGCATGTTCAGAGCCGTTCTTCCTGTTAACATTGGCCCGAGAGGAAAAGTATGGTGACTATGGGCTGCGGCGTAGAGCAGAAAGAAAGTACAAGCGGAGACTCCGACAGAGAGAAAAAGAGAAGGGGGCCGGGGGGGTTATCAGGCACCGTACCTGAGCTCACGGGAGCAATGACCGCGTGCTGATAGACGCGAGCAGGACGCTCAAGCTCAGATGCGCCACTTGTATCTGGCAATTAGACGATCTGTCTAATCACAATCGAGAAAACGGCTTGATTGCCGGGGTTTAAGAAAGGAGCACAGTAACAGCAAGTGACGAAATGTGCCGTAATCGCCTGAGGCGGACGGTAATTGAAGGAGAACATCTCATTCCCTGATGCTGCGCGATTGCCCGATACACAGAACTGAAGAAGAATACAGCCGTGGCACAATGGGCACTCGAGTGTAAAGGACAGACTCCAGTTACGGTAGTCGGAGAAGGGCAACGAAGAGCCTCAAAATAAGACCCTGGTTCAAACCCTGTACCGTGCAAACCGAGTCGGTCGTCGGGCCATCACTGCATGACCGCATCAGTGCGCATAACCCGAATCAATGCTCAACGTTTGTTTCTACGCTGAGGCTGAAAATGACCGCTCGGACAATCTTCGCTCATATTTTGTTCCATTGGATGACGTTGACCCTCTCGAGTCGATAGATGACATGCTTCTCTGATGTTTAACTGGATGTCGGGCTGTGTGGCTGCTGCAGCCGTTGCTGGAGATGGTTGTGCCGCACGCGCCGTGGGCTGCCAAGGCTGATGGACCGACCACTCGACTTCGGCGCTCCGATGGGATAGTCAAAGCAAAAAAACAAGCCTTGAATGATCAATGAGATTTTCCGTGTTTGAATTTCTTGGCTTTTGAAAAATTTTTTTTTTTCTTTTTTCCCGTTACTTTTCCACCCTCTGCACTTTTTCTGGGTATCACCAATTGTTGAGTGACAGAATGGGGACAAATTAGGATGGCGGGGGATTATATCGATACGAAGTATATCGAGCAGCAGCTCGCCCTTGGGGCACTGGTATCCACCTGCGCCTTCACCTGCTCCAAGACTGCGTCTGAACCATGGATCCACCCTTGGAATGGTCCCTGACTCACATTGCGTCTACACCTGTCTGTTCCCCTGCTGTGTCGCCTGGTACCTGGCAGGAAGACAAGGGCTTATGAAACAGAACGTGAACCAAGGATAATGAGCATGGATTCCATATGGACCAAGATTGCATTGCAGGCTATCTGATGATTTAAGTTGTTGATTCTGCATGGGCAAAGGGCACAATTCGAATAAGCTAGTAATGCATTCATTTCCTTTTGCTTCCGTCCTAGGACCTTGTTGTTTCATCATGCTCAGATCTGTGCTGGTACCATCATATGTATCATTGCAGCAATATCCTCTCTATCTGCGCGCTGCGCGATATACGGCGACGGTCTGAGATCCTCGGGAACTTTTGCCTGCCAAAAGATTCCCCGTATCAAGGGCTGCCATGTGCCACACGGCAGATTATGCTCTTGTATCAGCTTTCGGTCACATTCTTACCGCACAAGATTGCGGGATACGGAGCCCTTCCCGCGTCAAGACGGCCATATGAGAACGCGAGAACCTGGTCAAAAAATGGGCCGCGAGCCAGCGCAGTCCAGTCTATCAACCGCGAAGTCAAGAAGAAACCACAACCTATCATACACTGGAACGACGCGCTGCGCCGTGAGAGAGTAATGGAAAAGAATCAAGCAAAAGCAAAAAACGGCGCTGATAAAACACCAATCTCAGTAAGTAACCCGACTCAAACCTACTAGAAACTTTGAAGACGGTAACGGGCCTGCCAGTCACCATCTTGGAAGACAAGAAATGCCAGGAAACAAGGAAAAACCAGCGAGCATCAAGCTCCGACGACGGCACATGTTTATCGCTGCCCAGTGATGCTTTTCCACGCAGGAGGTCCTCTCGCGAAATGGTCTGAAAGATGCAACCCTGGCCTTGCCGCAGGAAAAGTCAATGGCGGATACGAAAAGTACGACAAAAAGAATATAAGCGGTCATGATAGGCGGACGGACGCGTGAACCCTCACCTCCAAAGTACTTACCGCCAGCTGCCTCCAGTATACCGCACAGAGCTTGCCGATGTTTCGCGGGACGCTTCTTTCATTTCACTTTGTCGCGCTTTCCCTTGCTCAATGACGTATTTGAGAGACACCCCGCCCCAGGGGAGGCCAGGTAGATCAACATCAGCCTCGAGATCTTCGGAATCCGGTACGGTATATGCGGCGCCCGCCCTTTCCTGATTGTCGCGTGCCCTGACTTCATCTTCCTTTTTCTTTTTCTGCTTGTCGCCTGTTTCTCGCATTTATGACTTAGTTGACTAGCTTTCAAGCTCTAGGCATCGAAATGATCGGATCGAACATACGAAAACGCTTCTGATTGACTCGATTTTGCACCCTCCGCCTTTCTGAGGGATCGGTAATATGGTCCCATTCTTCTCGGCTTTGTTCATTATCCCTGACCGTTTCCGACTGACTGCGCCCCGACATACTGAAAAGGTAGGCTGGGAACCTCTGCTGAATCTCCGGCGGAATATCATGGAGCCATTCGTGACCAAGCTGTGCCTGACACCTTCTTCACTGCCCGGGAATACGAAAAGGACGGACAAGACCGCCCATGCGGAGGTGATAATAGTGAGTAGCTTGACAAAGGGACAGAGAGAAACAAAATACTCAACGCCGCATGAGACTGCGGCGTGAAATATGCAAAAGACAATGAAGAAGATGTCGGAGAAAGAAAGCACAAGCATCCCACGACCATGAAATAAAGGATAAGGGTATAAGCGGTGGCAACTCGAGCTTTGCGCCTGCAAAGAGGCGACCTTACGGTCCCCGGTCTATTCACAAGTACTGAGGCTGAGAGACTGACTAAGGGAAAGTCAAGGGAAACTGAAAGAAGAAACCAAGAAGAGAACGGTGTCTATAGAACAAGTCGTGACCAGGCAGAAATTAAGGAACTCAAGAGGGCCACACAAGATGCGACGAGAAAAAAGATAAGTTAGTGTACCAGGGGGTTGAAGGGACAACAACCAACGAGAAGATAGGATCCACTGATTTGGGCTGACCATATCTTCTAGTCTCACCCGTGGCCACGGTAAAGGGGTACGGCCGAAAGACCAGCCGTTGTATGCCACGATGTAGAAACCGTCTGCTGAATGCAACTGGCAGTCTGGACTGAAGGCATCAAAGCCGCGTATAGTGTAAGGTGGAGGGCGAAGTGAAGCAAGACATGGATAGTTATTGATTAGCCTGATAATGTTCGCTTGCAAGCCTCCAATAGGTCCACTTCAAGGCACATTGCCTCCTTGTGGGTCGGCAGTATGCATCACAATAGAGGGCATTGCTGGAAAATAATATGAGATGTATGTCCAAGTGCGAATTGGAGCTGAATGGCTACCAGACGGTTGGCACGGTTTCTTCAATCTAGAACTGTTCCTGCGTCCCAGGCAGCCAATCTTACGGTAGAGATTCACAGTTGCGCCTTGATGTTGGTGGTTGTAAAGGGATGGCTGACAGGTAGACTAAGCTCAAAGGAGGCAGCGTGGCCAGATAGTCGTCACGTCGTGGTCAGCAAATATGCGGCCCGGGCCATTTGATCGTGTTGAACGGAGTTGAGCCGACGAACCGTTTTGTTCTTCGGTGCTCGAGTATCATGATCCTTGAACAAACAGATTTCTGGGACAGGCTAAACCTTCCATGGCCGACCATGGAGAAGGCCACGGCGGCTATGGTAGGGATTGAAAAAGGCATTGCCGCAGCTTAAGGCCGCAACTGTGAAAGTAACGGCCGAAATCGAATCAAAAGGGCTATGCTCTGTCCCATAAGAAATGACGTGCCGAACCCGAACCCGAACCCGAACCTGAACCCGAATCGTTGTTTCTAAGCAAAATGGTCTTGCGCCAACTGCGAGTTTTTTTGGCCTAAAGCACCGTATACTAAGTTCGAGCCTTGTTGCAGGTGCACACCGAAAAAGAGTCGTCCAGTTCCTAGAGAAGATCTGCAAGGTCTAGGGAAGCGAGCGGTGTGGAAGGATTGCCCTACGAGGCGCATGGAAGAAATGTCGTCACTAGCTAGCTCACCATGAACCAAACGGCTGGGGGCGCCCGCGACTTCTCCTTTGTTGTTGCCGCTCACATTCCCGACCCGTAACAGCCTTGTGCACATCTATGCTTTAGCCCCGATGATCCCCATGAATCACTCCCAATTCAGGCATCGCTCCCTGCAAGCCACTCGCAAGCTGAAGTCCACGAGCCATCACAAGATTTTAGTGCTAATACTGTGACAGGAACCAGTGCGAGACTACCGACAGTTATAGAATTTTCTGAGTTCGCCGGGACGGGAGAGTACAGCCATTGTAAGGGCCCCACCAGGAGTAAGAACGTGACTGTATCGAGGGAGTCACCTCAAGAGAAGTGTCCTATTGCCGTACTGTCATGCATGTACTCACGAATGGCCACGGAGATGATTATCGGGATATGAAGTGTTTGAAAGTGATCTAGATCATTTGAAATAAAACAATCAGACAGCCAGATTTGTATCCTAATTAGAAAACGCACACGGTATGAGGTGACGCTGCTGATGAAAAGTTGTTGCTCGTTACTGTGTATGTACAGAAGTCATGAGGTTGGGAAGTATTCAATAATCTTACCCAATTTGGAAGGTAAATTGGACGAGCAATACTGGCGCACGTGATTATTTTTTGCCGCGTCGCGACGCGTCTTACTCACCCTGACGAGACGCGTCTTTGCACGCGAGGTGCGACCAACAAACTAATGAACGAGATAACCTCCGTACTTGACGATGCTTCTACTTCGCGACTCTACCCTCACGCACTCTCCTCAATTACTTTTGTAACGTCAACTGATTACCCTTTTGGCGGTAATCTGACTTCTTCTCTCCTTTCTCAGTTGGCAAGACTTTCAGATCTTCGTTCAGTATGGCGTCTACGGTTCTGGGAAAGCGACTTAGAGACGCCGCCGAAAAGCCAGGTATTTTCATTCCCCTGCTCTTTCCTGTACTTCAACTAACGAACGTAAAGATACCCAGTCGATTGCTCAACGTATAAAGCGCCGAACTCGCTCTTCGCCGATCAATGATGAAAACGAGAATCCCTTCTATTTACGACGAGCATCCTCCAGCCAAGTAAAGGAAGTGGAAAGAGATGAGCAGAAACCAAAAGTAGAAAGCCCCGGGAGGAGAAAACGTGTATCAGCGCCAAGGACTGAGCCGATTGAGAAGTCAGCGCTCTCTCCAGCAACAAAAGATTCTCATAACAAGGGTCTAACAGGTAAGCGACGTGCGAGACTATCGCCATTTTATTTTGTTGACCATCTGTTTCCAGGCGAAGTGTCAAAATCGATTGAGCCAACAACACCACAAACTCCTCGACACAGAGACGCTGTATCTAAAAGGCTACCGGTGACCCCTCGACATCGCATTCAAGTCGCTGCGAAACCGTTGACACCACGCACCCCTCAAACACCATGTACGCCAAGCAGCACATGTTCCACCGTCTACAACGTTGCACGGTCCCTGTTCGTGCGGAATTCAAACCCAGGTCAGCTGGTTGGGCGCGAAAATGAGCGAAAGGAACTAAGTGAATTTGTCCAAAAGAGGCTTCAATCGAAAAATGGTGGCTGTGTATATGTCAGCGGGCCGCCAGGCACTGGAAAAAGTGCTCTTATTCACGAGATTGTCGAAGAGGCAAAGACCGCCGGAGCGACAAACTCAGCTTATTTGAACTGCATGAGTGTTAAGAAAGCAGCCGATGTCTTTGAGAAACTAGGCGAAGAGTTATGCCCAGGCTCCGATGATCAAGGGTGCAGCAACCTCGACGCCCTAAAAACAGCGCTTAGCAAAAGGAGTAATGTTGATGGGGGTTCTAATGTGGTGGTACTGGATGAAGTGGATCATCTTTTGACCCTTGATCTTGAGACGCTTTACGCCCTCTTCGAATACTCTATGCAACAGGATTCGCGTCTCATCCTGATAGGCATTGCAAACGCCCTGGATCTTACCGATCGTTTTCTTCCGCGATTAAAGGCGCGAAACCTCAAGCCTCATTTATTACCTTTTCTCCCGTACTCAGCATCCCAAATCGCATCAATTATTACCTCACGCCTTAGGAGCACCTTACCTGCAGCAACAACAGTACCAGCAGACTATGTACCCTTTATCCATCCAGCCGCCATTCAGCTCTGCTCCAAAAAGGTTTCTTCCCAGACGGGCGATCTTCGGAAAGCATTCGATATATGCCGTCGCGCAATTGATCTCATCGAGTCTGAGACTCGAGCAAAGCACCAACGTCAGCTATTTGAGCAGAACCTCCAAGCTAGCCCTTCGAAGACCCCATTGGTCGAGAATATCAACCTATCTTCGCCAAGCTCGAGCCCAGATTCTTCAGACACAAAAGCTGCTGAAGATACACGACGACAATCGACAAAACCCACGTCGCTTCTTTCGGGCCTCACCCCTGAAACCGCTCCACGTGCTACTATCGCACATGTCGCCCGCATTTCAGCCGCCGCGTTTGGAAACGGAGCTTCCCAGCGACTACAGTCCTTGAATCTCCAGCAAAAGGCCGCGTTATGCGCCCTTGTCACTATTGAACGAAGAGCGCGCTCCGCAACTACCGTGACGAATGCGGGCCTACAAACTCCCTCCAAGACCGCCAATGCCGCACCCACTGTCCGAGCGCTCTTTGAAGCATATTCTGACCTCTGCAAACGCGACGGCATGCTGCAGCCTCTAAGTAGCGTCGAGTTCCGCGATGTCATTGGTAGCCTCGAGACCCTTTCCTTGATTTCCACTGTAGATGGACGAGGCGGAACCCTCGCAGCCGCCGGTACGCCGTCCAGACGCGGTCGTCCCGTTGCCTTTACTGGCATTGCAACCGGCGATGAGCGAAGAGTCGCCGCCTGCGTTAGTGCAAAAGAACTTGAATCTGCCGTCGAAGGCGCCGGCGCCGGGATACTGAAGGCGATGCTTTTTGCGGAAAATTGAACTTGTATCGGGTCATACCTGAGTTATTTTCCTTTTTCACGGATCGGTCGACATGTTATTTTTTAGCCATTATCCGTCCTATTTCCCGTTAACCGTCCTATTTCCCGTTAACCGTCCTATTTCCCACTATCCGTTTCTATTTGCTTCACTCATCATCCACACTTATTAAAATTTGCGCGTCGTGTGAAAAGCGTTTCATTTAATTTTGATGGTGTAATATGGTTGTTGTTCAGGTTTGGTTATCCTGATTCTGTTGTTGTTTAGATTTGGTTTCCGTCTTTGTTTCTATTTCTGTTGTTCAGATTCCCTTTTCTAGATTTAGTCTTATATTTCTGTTTCTATTGTGTTCAGATTCCCCTTCTATTCCTATTGTCTAGATCTGATTCGATTCGGTTGAGTTTCATTTGAGCGTTTTAGCATACATTGCAATGACTGAGCATGGGCATTGCTGCATTGATGCATTGCATTCGAAAGGTGGCGAAGAGTACTTGGGAGTCCCAAAAAAAGAGGGAAGGAAGGTTCTGGATAGGTTCCATTCATATCATACCCAGGGTGTCTAGAATAGAAACACTGGATATTACTTACATTCCCGATATAAATGTACTGAGTGAGTTAGTTCTGAATCGGCATGGTTTATATCGTTATTATGCTATCAATCTTTTCTTTGTTGTTATCACAAGCTCTTGTGATCGTAAGTCCTGTCGTGACTTTCTTTTGTATAACTGCTGGTAGTATTTTTAATATAAAGTATGAAAAACACTGGATACTGGATACTTCCCTACATTGTGAAAAAGGGATTGGCTAGGTAAATTGGTAGAATCGGTCAAGGGAATGACCTAATATTCATGGACACGGGCAAAGGTTGGGAACAGGGTACTAGATGGTTAAAATATATTTGCTTTGTGTTTTTATAAATAATATATATAGGTGGAAAATATTCAACGATGTTGCCTGCGCCCTATATGTCATCCTCGAGAGGATCAATAAGCTGCTGCAGTTTTGCCGCGACTAGGTCTGCTTCCTCCCAGACGCGAAGTAGATTGCCGCCGACAACCTTTGCTGCATCTTCATCACTGATGCCTCGTCGGAGCATTTCGGCGACCAAGTCAGGATATTTCGAAACGTCCTCCAAGCCTTTCGGTGTGGTGGGAATGCCATCAAAGTCGCTTCCTAACCCGACATGAGAGTACCCGATAAGATCTCCAATATATTGAATATGCGATACCACGTGGCTCAGGGTAGCATTGGCAGGGTAGAAATGCGGAAGGCCAGACGATGCCGTTGATGATGATAGACTCTCGTTCGAGGTCGTAGCGGAGACGCATGAAATGAAGTCGGGTGAGAAATTGACCATTACGAGAGAGCCGGTCTCTCGCACGAGTTCGAGCACATCATCTGGCACATTGCGCGGATGAGGACATACAGCGTACGCGGAACTGTGGCTGAAGATTACTGGCGCGGCGCTGGCGCCTTTTCGCTCGAGCAATCTGTCAATGACGGCGCAGCGACCAGAGCTCTTTTCGCAGGTCTCTTGTCTGGCGGGTCTCATAGCATCGCCAAGGGAGTCTTGAGGTTGAGCCTGACTACCATGTCCACCGAGGACATCACGCATTGTATCGGCGCTCACGTGGGACAGATCGACAAGCATGCCGAGTCTGTTCATTTCCCGGATCAGTTTGCGCCCAGCGGCGCTCGTGCCACCCCAGAGTGGCTTTGACACGACTGTCTTGCCTTCTTCATTGCTCACAAGTGCAGCGTCGGCATACTTGTTGTGGCAGTTATGTGTAAGAGTGGCGTAACGCACCCCTAAACTGTGATAGAGACGGAGCGTCGCTATCGAGTTACCTATCTGATGTAGTCCCTCGATGCCAATTGGAGAGATAAGCTGGCCTGTCTTTTGCTGGAAAACTGCACGTGCCGCGCTGCCAGTGAGATGCGGAGTAGAAAATATTTGTGGATAAGCGTTTCGTAAACGGTGAATCAGATCGATTTGAGATAGCGTTGTGCGAACGGCTGATTATCTGTCAGAGGAATTTTCCAAAATGTTTGATAATGATTGACTTCGGAGCAGTTCACGGGAGCTTATTGTGCTTGATAATAAAAATTATATAGCTGGCCGAAAATGCATTTAAAAAATATAATAGACTTACCTTCAGCGTACGTTTCATCGGAGAAGTTATCCAACTTCGCAGGACAGTCAACATAAGCGCTCCAGAAGGAGCCTCCAACCTTGCCCTCTCTGAGACGCGGCAAATCAACATGCATCGGGAAACCACCGTTCTCGAATCTCTTGCTGAACTTGTCGCTATAAATGTGATTTTGGAAAAATTCACGAAGAAGAATCGCCAAATCATTATGGCCGTCTATGGGCACTCCATTTCAGTATCTCATGACACAAATCTTCTTCGGGTTTTCATTGAATTCGAAAATTTGGAAATTTGCGACTCACCTATCAAAGGCGTTTCAGAAAGTATCTTGTCCACCCGTTGCTCAATTGATAAACATCGTGATGCTGAGAACTTGTGAATGCGACTAGAGACGATTTCGTAACCACCGTAAGCCAAGAAGATATATATTGAAAGCAGTGATACAAAAAGCACCGTCTTCAGTGTCTTTAAGCTCCAGTAGCGTCCCTGGGCATTTCGGACTGAGCGATGGTCGTCAATGAGAGTCGACTCATTCCCTTTCTCCGTCGACATAGCGTCATCGGCGCTCAAATGGCCCATATTGCAGCAAGACCGTTCCCTGAAAATGATGTGCTGTGCTTGGGCTCGATGATCTCAAGCACGGAGCAGAGAGCGGAAGAGAGCAGATGTGGCTGTGTGACTGATAATATGATCACCACGGCTCCGATAACGATGAGATAAACATCGAAAGGTGGGGACAACCAAGGAGCCAAGGAACTACCGGAGTGTTTACATCAACAAGACTACTGTAGGAAGGCATCATTGCATAAGAAAAAAGAACAATGAATGAGGCGAAAGACAAATTTCAATTATGGGAGTCGGTATCTGCAGTTTCATGACCATATTGTGGACCTTCCAATTAGAGAAATGGCATCAGATTCCATAGCAATTTATGATGTCGATGCTAATTATAGGACTGATAAGATCATTGGTGGACGTAGGGGCATGTGATGGTATGAAGTGAAAGTTGCGATATGGACACGGTTGAGCCAAAGATTTCAAGATGAAAGTCGCCTCGGAATAGGCTACAGTAACAACAGCTACTAAGTGGAATGAAATATCAAATCTGCGGAAAAGAGTAAAAATTAATGAAACGGAATCTCAGTGGATCTCCGCAACGCGTGGCCCAAGCAAAAAGATTTGGTTGTTTCGTGCTTAGTCATCCGCGGTCATTCCAGGGTCTCTCATGGGGGTTTGGCCTTTTCAGCTAAACGTCAACTGGGTGAAATCCAACTTCCTTCTGCCAACCTACGATCACGCGGTTACAGAGAACACGAGAGTCCGAAACTGATCTTATGTTTGTCTCTAATATCTGTCGTGTGATTTTCAGCGAATTGTTCTACCATCGAGCGTTTTTGCAACTTCCCTGAGCCTGCTATCCGACGTCACTGGCCCATGTTTGTATTGGATTATTAGACTGTTTTCCCCTGTCGCGACAATCTCCGCAACGCCCCGTGCCGCTCAATCAAGCCTTTTACTGCTCAGCTTCAGCATAATAAGAGAGGAGATTTGTTAGCCTACTTGAAACTCATCATGCCGGGTTTTGCGGACTCGTTTTGGTCTGGCGACTACGCCGCAGGTAAGAAGGCTTCATTCAAGGCTGCCGCGACAGGGAATGCTCACCAATGATAAACCAGGCCTCGGTGTACTTTTCGAGAAGCTTCAGCAGGGTATTGTTGAGAATCAACAAGTCCTCACCATTGCGAAAATGCGAGCAGTAGCAGAGGATACCTACAGCCAGAAAATGGGCGAGATAGTTCCAGCCACTGAGAAACTGACTGGAGGTTTCGCCAAGGATGATGGAGCAAGTGTTCGAAAAGTGGGCATTCACTCCTGTTTCTTTAAGGTTAAAACCGTTGCGCTAATCACCCTGTTGCCTTAGGCCTACGAGGGCGTGCGAGGGGAAATGGAGGAAGCTTCCAAAAACCACAGGAAAATTGCATCGAATATTCGCGAGCTAGTCGTCATCCCCTTTGGTCGGTGGTGCGATGCGCATGAAGCGCGAATTGCCAACTCGCAAAATGATTTGCAAGCGCGAGTGAAGGCTCATGACAAGCAGTCTGAGACGGTTAGGAAACTTCGAAGTCATTACTTCAACAAATGTCGTCTAGTGGAAGATTTGGAGGAAGAAAATAAGCTCGCGTTTCAGGACCCGCAATCCGACGCCAATCCCCCAAATCAGATTCCGACTGTGAAGCTTCCGGAGGAAGATGATCCTGAGGAACCAGAACCGATTGATATTGGGGATGAGACCTATGGACCGGAACAGGTTAAGAAAATCTTGACAAGCATGCTGGAATCAATCAAGCAAGGCGATGTCAAAGTTCCGATTTTGGGAACCTACCAAAACGTATCCACTGGTGCGGACATTGTGGAGTACATCCAAAAGAATCTGAATGCCACTTCTGTCAGCTACGCGGAGAGAATCGGTCAGGATCTTGTCGCCAACGGCTTCTTACGGTTAGTGGGAAACGTTGGAAACACTTTCGCCAACAGCTCGAGAATGCATTATCAATGGAGACCCAAGGTTTACCAAATGACTGGTGTGCCGGACCGAAAGCGGATGTTGGACCGGGTATCTTCCATTATGCTTGAGAACCCAGACTCGCCTGTCGCCGGAACCGTTGGAGAGTATCTGGCTGGCTGGAATCCCCTCAACAACCCACATCCGAATGAGACGCCAGGCGATAAGCTCCGCCGGGAGGCTCGAGAAGCGGACGACCGTTACAAGATCGCTGTCCGAAAGTTGGACGCTTTGCGTTGCAATCTCGAGGAAGCGATGATGGACCATCTCAAGTTTATGGAGCGCTGCGAACTTGATCGTCTCAAGGCAATCAAGGCTGTGGTTCTCGATTTCTCGGGTGCCATCAGCAATGTTATTCCAAGTCTGCAAAGCACGGTCGATAACATGATGCTTTACCAAGAGACGGTTCAGCCACTCGCAGACTTGAGATATCTCTTGGAGAATTACCGGACTGGTCCCTTTATTCCCAAAGTGCAGGTATACGAGAATTACTACAACTCAGTCGATGGTTAGTCTTTGATCTTTTTTGTCTACAAAATCCTCCTCATGATAAGCTTCGAAGTTGACATGATTTAGAACAAACGTTTGGTGTGGACCTCGAAGCACGTGCGAGAGCGGATCGAAAGCGCGTGCCAATTATTGTTACAACAATTTTGACTTACTTAGACGAGCGTAAGTGGCCATCAACAACCGATCGGAGCCAAGGCCTGATGTTAATGACCCGAGTTAGACTATCCCGACCTTGAAGGCGATGAAGCGCGCAGAGGCATCTGGCTTGTTGACGTGCCGCTGGCGGCGACGCATCACCTTCGTAATGTCCTAAACACTGGCAAAGCCATTCCGCGTGACGTGCTTGAACAATACGAGATACCCGTTATTGCGAGCGTCTTGAAATTATATCTGCTAGAACTTCCTGGTAAGCCGTCATTCCTCCCGTCACTTTTTATCAGTCCACTAATCCATCAGATTCTCTTGTTTCTTCACACGTTTATGAGATCGTCAAGACGATCTATTCCACCACCGCTAGCGAAACCTCGGAATCAACTCGTATTTCGGTGATTCAGAATACCTTGGGCCAGCTACGTTTGGCAAATATTGCGACGCTTGATGCGATCATGACTCACTTTACACGCTTAATTGAACTTACGTCTGCTGATGAGGCAGTCATCTCTGCGCTGGCACAGAGTCTGGCTCCATGCGTTCTAAGACCGCGCGTTTCCAGCAGTCTGACCATGAATGAACGACACAGCTACCGGCTTATTCGGGACCTATTTGCCCACAAAGATGCGATATTTGGAGAGCTCAAGCGCGCTAGCACCTTGAAGACCGGGCCAACCCGCGCTCGTGCTGTGAGCACGGATGAGAGCAACCGCCGTGTGAACATGGAGGCTCGGAACCGCGCAATTGCCTCACGAAGCCGGGGAAGCAGCCCTGCAGCTGGGATTCAATCCATGCGACATCGACGGGACCGATCCAGTGGCGGGGTCGAAGGAAGATTCCCGATCAATCCCGCGAGCCCACCTACCTTGGAGCGTGTGAGAACTACGCGTTCTAGCCTCGGAATCCCAGGAAGCAACGAGGGCTCGCCAGTCGGCGAACGTTCCTCCCTCTCCACGATGAGATCGAGCGAAACTTCCCCTCCTCCGTCATGGAATGGTACAGATGGCGCAGCCGCTGCTCTCAACGGCACTGCTGAGAACCCTGACGTTTTGTCCTCACCCACGAGCACAACGAGTGCCTCCACTCTGGAGAAGAGAGACTCGCTCGGCAGATCCACGGGCTTGCCTAGCTCTGCCCGGTTCTCCCGCAAGACCAACAGCTTGCAGCGACAGAGCCTTACCGGCTCCCTTGGCAAGCGCGATAGCGTTGGCTCCATAGGCAGCGCAACCACAACCACCACCAACGGTCCTACTGCAAGCAGTACCGTTGCAACAGAGGCATCCGACCGACCAGTTGGTGTCGAACTGAAGGATGCTCCGATGGATGACTAAACGGGATGTCTCATATGCTTTCCGTATACTTTTACGTTTTGTTGTCTCAAGGGAGAATTTGATACACTCGGCATTCACGATAGGATTGTAGGATAGTAGGATAAGAAGTGGATTACTTTTCAGGCTATAATAATGGATAATCATAGAAGGAAACTTTCTGCCATGATTGTTATCATTATTCTACGATTGTTATTTCCACATCCTTGTGGCACTTGTGATTTACTAAATGTTGTTCCCAACACCAATCCCTTGAACGGTAAACACCTATGATTCCGCACGTTTGACAGACGTGGGCACCCTTCATTTGGCCGGATCTGGTGGCTTTGTTCACTTCCACCGGTCCCCTCATCTCAAGTCCAATCTCACAATTTTAAAAAAAAAGAAAAAAAAAAATTAAGTTTTAAGTTTTAATTTGCCGAAATCCAAGAAAGCCTATTCAAGAATACGCTGATTAAATCTAATCTAGGTAACTAACGTCTAGAAGTCAGACACTCAGAACACATTAGACGACTAGATTTTCTTTAGTCTTAAGGCACTTGCACGCAGCCACTCAGCCACGCCCATCTTCCCTCCTCCCTCGAGAGAGTCCAGTCAAACGGTCAATTCTTCACCGCCTCTTCGGACCTTCCTTTTGTTCTTTTTTTTGTTCTTTCTTTCTTTTTTTTTTTCCCCCTCATTATTAGCTGTTTAATTTCCCTTTTCCTTTCCTTTTCCTTTTCATTTTGTCCCCATTTTATCTGTCCTTTTTAAATTTCCTTTCTCTGCTCGCTCTCCTACCCTTCCTTTTCTTTCATTCCTTGACACCTTGTCATATGGAGATATATTATACGGTCATACCGTCATACGCTGGAAGCCTGGAAGCCTGGAAACCTTCGAGAATCGAGACTAACCGTAAACCGACAGTTTGAACTTTGACCCATTTCAATAACTCATAAAAGTAGAGACTGTAGAGTATAGAGAACTCTTTTTTATTCTAGCTAGTTAGGTAGCTAGGACTCTTAAATGATACATCTATACTTACAATCTTACTAAGCCCCTAGATTCCTAGAATTCGTTGTATTCTAGTCTGGACTCTGCAGCATTGTAGATTTGTATTGTTTACATTTCTCTCTTTTTTTCTCCCCGTGACCCCTTCTCATTGCCACGGCCCATACATAGGTGGACCCGTGGTTTATGAACTATGTGAGTTGTGAACTTGTGATTAAGTGAGTATGTACTTTGTAGCTATAGGCTTTTCTTCGATTATACGCTTGATCGGAACCCTTGACTCTTAACTCTTGACTCTTTTTTGAGACCTGAGCGGCAGGATTAGGGGAACCCAGAAGTTAGATGCCATTTGCGGCATTGCCCTTGAGAGGCATGGTTGTACCGTAGGACCGTGGGACCGTAAGACGGTAAACCGGAAGAGTTATTCTCAACTTTTGGGTCATGGGAATGGTCATGACTCATATACACAAAGGTTTTCTAAGATGAGAAAAAAGAACAAAAAAAAACAATCAATGTGGTGCATGACGGGTAACAGTATAGCTATTTAGAATTTTAGATGCATTGGATGACGGGTCATAGTCACATATGCGGACTTTTAAAGTAAAAAATCATTCTCAAAGTCATTCAAAGACTAACAAGTCTGCGTGGAATAAAGTTTCAAAAAGTGCAAACCCAAAACCTAAAATCTCACCAGGTATGATCATATGGACAGTGGAAAAAAAGTTAATATAAGACTCGTACTATTCAAGAAAGCATTTTAAAGAAAATTGAATATGCAAATCGGGAAAATTAGTAGTAGACCATTTCTCTACCAACTGTGCTATCTTACAAGTTCATGGAATCGTGGAATCGTAAAGATCCTATACAAGCTCACAATGGGCTTTACAATCTCCAAACATCACGTGGGTTTTTTTTAAAAGAAAAAGAAAACAAAAAAAGAAACGTCTCTTAAGTAGATGAATTATACGGCTATTAATCCCCTTGATATTGAATTTTCGGACATATATCCCAAAAGAAAGCCAACGTAGTCGTAATGGGCACGCCAAGACTGCAGGATTTCCGAATCTCCGGGTGATCGCTGTACGAAGGTACCATAGCTGCAATTGCATGTGATTGATGGCCCGATGATCATATAAGCTTCAGTAAGAGTCTTTTGGTCATTGGCAGATCTAAGACTCTTTGGTGTCTGCTGAAACTCGAGGCTTGTCATCTTGTAGGCTATAAAATCACAAATCCCAGGCTGCGTGCAATGTTATGCATTTGCTGCTGGTAATGTCACTGGTCGCAAGTCGTGCATGAGGCGTACATGCTTCATGTGTGTCATGCTTGGGTGAATAATCCATTGTTCGCGAGGTATAAGTGGCGAAATGCATAAAAAGAAATCTTTTTCATTTTTCTCAAATGAGCATCGACAATTCCAATGTACGAGCGGTTTTGCTGTAGTGAGGCCGATCAAAATAATCTAAACAGTGGTCCCCGTAACCAGTCCAACAGGTGACCTGCAGCGTTAGCAAAATTAGTACTGAAACTATATCTGTAAGGTCAGCAACGGGGCCTAGGTTGGCGGGCATAAGTATGCCATTCGTTAGAGTATGCAAGAATCCTTGTTATACAATATTTTAAAAAAAGAATTGCGGTGAAATTGGCAAAGGCCCCTCTGCCATGTACCGAATAGATTACGACTCGTAGAACAGATCAGCTTGACCAAAGCGTTGATCAATATAATGATCGGGCCGAGAGTCGGGAAATCAGCTGTAAGGTTGACCCGCAAAAAATTGCGCTTCAAGATCGAGATCAGGCCTTTCGAGATTGACTCGGGAGATACTCCGTACTCGTAATGGATGAACATGGTGCGAATGTCGCAATGGGTAGTTTTTCAGCAACGTGGCTTATGAAGTTTAGATTCTGTGCCACATTCATGAATCGCAAATTCTCCACACAAGGGCGCCACGTACGCCATGCTAGAAGTTGCTAGATATATGATCGTTTGACAACTGTAAATGAGTATATTTACAGTTACCATAGTCAAGTGTGGCTGGGTAATAAAGACATCAAAGTGGAGTGATATGCCAAAAGCCATAGAGATTGGGTTTAATTCCTCAATGCCAATTAAGGCAATGGGTCGCGACGTCATACCCTACGAAAGGTGAGATCGATAACCTCACCGTGACGGTGGAACTTTGAAAAGATGACAGGCGTCCGGGATGAGCCAGTAGAAGACTGAAAGGTAAACAACTTCTTTGCAATTCCACGCTGATGACGTAGCCAGAGATATGCGGTCCCTTTGGTCTCTACACCCACTGCACGTTGATGATGCCAAGGTTGGGGTGCAGACTAGCCCAAAAAGGGAAATGCTTGCGCTAGATGATGTTAGGGTTAGCGCGAAAGTCAGTAGACAAGAAACAATGACATCACATCGACAGGTAAAGAAATTGATAGAGTAGCAAAACAGAAATGTGGAAAAGTGGAAATATTAAGTCATTGCAGAAAGGGAAAGGGGGTTTGGAAAAAGGCGTTTCGAGGCGTCCTCGGGGAGCGACCTTGAAATGCAAAGTGGCTTATAAATCTCACTTGAGAGACCAAACGAGTGACAAGCGTAGTGGTGCTCAGGGCGTCACACTAATTGAAACAGGTGGGAAAAGGTGAGCCTAAATAATATCAAAGGTTTTGGAGGGGAAAAGGAACAAAAGAAATGAAGTGAAATCCATTTGGGGGAAAGTAGGGGGGAAAATATGATAAAGTGATAAATCCTGCAATGCAATGCCGCAATGATTTGAAAAAAGCTCATCAGGAAATCAAAAACGTGTTGGACACCCAACAAGCAATTAAACACGATTCGGAGACTGGTGAAAACACAGAAGCTCGTAGGACTCTTAAATGTCTCGCATTGGATGGCCGAGAGCCGAAGAACTGTTTCAACCCTCAAAGCAGTAAAAATCCTCGAATGTCAACGGTCAATTTTTCGGTAAATTCAAGGAAACGTCCAACCGCTGGTTAAACACAAACAGCATGATCCCTGAACGTTTGAAAATATTTCCACTAGGGCTAGAAGAAAATTGCAGTTCAGAAGCGAGGGTATGCCCGCGAAGATTGCCTTAGCCCTCTTCCGATGAAAATTTTCCAATGAAGACTCTGGGCGGTCTAGGTGATCCGGGGTCTCTTTTACCCTGTTACACCCAAATTGAAGGTTGAAGCAACCATGTGCTTACCAAATTAACAAATCGTGTGCCGCCATAGAACCAGATTATGAGAGGTGCAAGTTGTTTAGAGATCGAGCGTGACCGGAACACAGGAAGCGTAGAGGTATGGGCATGATGCCCCCTTAGGGGCAACAAGCCCGGATTGTGTTGTAGGTGTGAAGGCGTCTCGTTCCCCGCAAAAGGTCGTAGCATGAATCAAGGAATGAAGCCGAATGCAAGAGATGATTGAAAATTAGCCGTATCCGTGTTGTGTGATGCATGAATTTCAAACACCCGCTGGAAGGCTGTAGAATGCAACGCGAAATTAAAAATATCATTCCTCATGACAAGTTTCGGGCCTTCGGCAACCGTGTAGAAAAATGCATGTAGATTATCAAAGTGCAGGAAAGTCCTGTAGATGTGATAAGGAATGTAGAAAAAAAATCATTCATCAGAGGTAAAGAAGCGGAGACTATGACAGATTTCCAACCACAAGCGTCTTGATTCAGTCTCTTCCACGCGATGCTAAGACCGAGCTCTTTTCATGAATAATGCGGCAAGTGAGGATATCCAGGAGGCAAATGGACGGTCGGTCCTACAGGATAGTTTGGCAACTGAGGAGCTGAAACGTAGCGGTGAAACATCTGCACCAATCGCCTACCCACGTTTGTTTCCAGCTCTGTGCCATCTCGTGCAATTTTGACCTCCCTATTTGCATTCCAAAGATTGCGAAGACCTCGAGTCCTATAAAACGGAAGACGAGTGGTCGATACCCACTCGATTCTAAACGGTCGACCCCACGCTTGATCGGCATAAGATGTCTCATCTTGTAAACCCGTGTCCCTTGGCGGCTCCTCCTTCTCCTCAACCTCAGCAATATCATCTTCATCGTTGTCTGCCTCCCAAAATATTGTGCCACGCGCAGAGTCATCAATAACGCGACCCTTGGGAGCGTATTCTGTTGCCGGAGTCGGAATCGCTTTAGGTAAATCTTGTTCCTCGATCGGGGCTTCCACCTTTGGCACCCACTCAAGCGCAGCTGATGCATCTTCGGATATCGGTGAGGCCATTCGAGCGTACCCAAAGTATTCGCCAGACTTGTTTGCGGAAAAGATGAGATAGACATTTTCAGCAGACTAGTATAGGCGTCAGTGATTTCTGAATGCAATGGATGATACCCAGCCCAAAGAATCCAACTTACCTCATAAGCCTTATTCAAAGCATCTTCATTGTGTGCTTGTGTCGTCCAGATCCCATTGCGTACACTAAGCTCCAAATCCTGCACCGTGAGACTCTTGACGACGAAAAACTTTTCAGCGACTCGAGGAGCGTTCAATTTGGACTCAGTGGTAGTGGTTGCAGATGACTCAATTGGTTCAACCCGATGGGGTTCTTCCGGTTCTACTTGATCGTCCGTGGCAGAGGTAGGCTCGTCTTCCAGAGTGGGCAGTTGATCTGTTGAAGAGATTGGATTGGGAGAAGATTCGGGATGGTCCCGAGCGGGTGAGTTATTTGTACTGCGCCGTAGACGACAAACAAGTCGAACTCCTTGAAACCTAGAATCATGGAACCTAGCCATAGCCGCCGCACAAGTGGCTTCAGTTTTATAGTTGACAAATGCGCAGTTGCTTTTTGAAATCAAAAAGACGCTCTCGATATCTTGAGTGGCTTCTCGGGCGAAGTGATCTTTGAGGTCGGTCACTATTGTACCAGGCGGTAGGTTCCCAACCCACAAAGCATGTCCGGACTGCTTTGGTTTCCTTGGAGGCCCACGCGGCATCGAGGGCGTGGCGCTGCTTCCTTCGGAACTCTGCCTGCTAATTGCAGCTGATAAAATTGTGCGTGTAAGTGAGACATTCAAACTCAGACATGCGAGGGAACCAGACTCACCTGGTACACTACCTGGTCGTAAAAGACTTCCCCCAGTGGATGAATGCACCAAAGGCAAGTTTCCACTCGTTGAGGATAGGCTCGCTACAGGAGGTCCTGGAGCGCCCGAATGGATCAGGCTCGGTCGATGAAGCGGCTGCCCCACTGGAAGGCTAAGACGGCGCGGCTGAACCGAGGGAAACGTATATGAGGCATCGGCGTAGTTCTGAGGCGCTTGGCCATGGGAACCATATGGAGGAGGATAAACGTAGAACTGTGGAGGCATTGGTTGCGAAACCCAACCGCTATGACCGTATGGCTGAGGAGCACCTGGGACTCCCATTCGATTCGGCGGAGACGATATTGTATTGGGGACATACCCATGGAGAGGAACTGCCGTAGGGTGTCCATGAACGTAAGGGCCTTGGTGAAGTGATTGATGTTGTGCCAAACGCGATGGGCTATACGGTGCGCCTGCCGACATGTTTCCTGCACCTTGAGCGTACTGCGGAAAGTTTTGTGATGGTTGATACATGGTGCCAGTTGTGGCAGGGGCAGTTGGATAGCCCGGATGCTGCTGATATGATTGACCCATTGTAGCATTGGGAATGGTAGATTGAACGTCCGGTAAAGCACCGCTCATGGCTCCCATGTTGAGCGGCATAGCACGCGCTTGGTCGAACGGTGGCCCGCGAGAAGCCATCTCGAGAACACCAGGCTATAGCGTGGAAGTGAGAAACAGAGGATGCTAATGGGATGGTTGCCCGGGTGTCGTACAATTGCCGCTGAGATCGAATGGCCAGAGGAACCCCCTCAGACTGCGGCAGGTGACAGGGAAGCCTGGATTCACTCGGGATGAATCTTTGTTACCCTCTGAAGAGAGCCACATCAGACAGTGCTTCCGACTATAGAGAAAAGGGAAGGGCTCCAACGGAGCAAAGAGGGACGAACTTGTTCAATGATAAGAATGAAATAAATGGCGGGTGTTGGCTCTACCCTCAGCCACAAGTGTTTCTCCCAGCAGCACCCCCCCAGTTTCGGGCTCAAGCCGAGCTTATAATGAAACGCTGCGGGTCTTCCACTAGACGGTTGCTTTGCACTATGCTTAAACGACGTGTGGATAGCTCGCAAGGCGAACAGAACCGAAAGGGACGGGAGCAAGGAACACGCCGGTTCGTAAAAGTTCCCAAAGAGAAAAATAAGAAGATACGCGAAGCAACGAGTTTCAAAGACAACCGTTAGGTCGGGAACAAGAAACCAAAAGGTCCCAATTTGCTGGTTACGAAGTCAAGGAAGCAAACACTGACGGGATATGGCGGGCTATGGCACAGACACTAGCTCCAAGAAAGCTTTCAACCTTGTGGGGATTGCCCCTGTGGACCCCAAGAGAAAATGAAAAAGAGGCAAGGAGAGGAGTAGTAATAGTGAGGGGAGCAGACCACTGTCAAGTGCCCAAGCTGGACAACAAACGTGCGGACGGAGAGCGGTAGGCGTCGGATGTGAGAGCCACAGCGGCTCTCGGCTAGATTGGTAGAAGAGGCGCCGAAGCAATCTGGTGCGTTGAGGGTCCCAGGAAATCAAAGTTACTGAGTCTGACCGTTTCCAATGCACCCACTGCTCGGAGAGAGAGCCGTGCAATTGAAGATCCTCATTCGGTGATTGGCTTGTGCTGCGTGAGGAGCTATATAAGGAAAGACTACTGAGGGATGGCTTGAAACGTATAGAGGAATAAGAACCACAGCCACACCCGATTGGATTCACAGGTGAGGAAAAAGGACCAGAGAGCGTCCTCGAAGGTTAAGAAGGCTAGAATCCGGGTTTCCAAAAGCAGCAAAGACCAGCTGACAGGCCGAGAATTTCTCCACCGGCTGGGGTCGAGGGTGTGATCTTCAGGAACGCACCACGGATGACGAAACGTGAAGGGAAGGGAGACTTTTTTTGATCGAAATTTTTCTGACCCTTCCTAAGAATAAGTAGATTAATCTCGGAAAGAGGATAGGGTTCCGTCCGTGTGTGGGCTTGCGTGGGGATCGGCACGGGCGCGCTCATCCACAAAATGACTGTACCACACGAACCGTGGAAAAGGGTTCACCTTACACGGAACTGTGGCGAGTGTCTTGGGATCAAAGCCAGAAATCGAGGGTGCCAGATGCTTGGGCCCGGGCTTTATTTTGGTTGTGTGGCCCAAAGGTTACAGTTATACTCGAGACGGATGGTGAGAGAAAAAAGGGTTTACTGTCAAGCCCCCCGTCATCTACACCCTGTGGCTTTGGCGGCGTAAGGCCGGCCGGCACGCAAACACGTAAATTTGATTGTGGATGGAGGGGCATCCAGCATTGGACCGTCGGCTCAAGCAAAAACCTCGCCGAGAATACAAGTCCCACCGACCAGGAAACCCTACGAGGGTCTTCGTTGCAGAACTTGCCGATCAACATTTAGGCTCAGTAAAGCCATTGAGTTGGTGCGTGCTGAATCATCCCTGAAACCTCCGTTTACAAATGGTTAATGTCTTGAGCGTCCCAAACTTGGAGCCTGCCCGGAGCCACGGCGCGCCTCTGACTTCGCCAAATAGAGTATGTAAACATTTTCCTTTAGCGCCAAGGAAGCTTTGAGTGCAGTTGCAAATGTCCCATCCCCTTAGTCATTGGAACTGTTTGCTGACCGAATTTCACCTCCTCATTTTGCTCTTCATTGGGAAAGCCTGATTGGCTTTGCGTGCGTTTATTCAAAGCCAGACCGGTGCATTTGGACAAGACTTGCACAGCAAAGCCATGGATGCGTCAGCTGCTAGTCCAATAAAACACATCTCTTTCAATTAACTACCCCATTGAAGGCTTGGAGGAAGGCAATCTTCGCCGCAGTGGGCCGGGCAAAAGTAGACCCCTCTATTATGGGCCCGTTGTCGATCAAACAGCAGACGATCCTCTGGAGGGATTAACTTCTACTGTAGGGAGTAGACGTATTGCCATTGTAGGGATCGGAGGCTCGTTGCGTAGGTGGACTCGAGAGTCGTCATAGGCCCTGGCCGGACCACTCGTGGCTGGTACTGCCCTGAGGCGGTCTCCGAGAGCCACAGTTGCAAGGTGGCTGCAAGCGATCGCAAAAAGACAGTTAATTCTCCTCTGTAAATGACTTCGCTTAAGCCGTCATCTTCCCTAGCACGGAGCCAAGGATTGAAAAGGCATAAGCCATGTAATGTCAAGCATGCCTCGTTTCGATGAAAGGGCCGAGGAGACCGATGGAGAGCGTGCCAGAAGGCAAGCCACCGTCAATCATTTCCTTTTTGGGATCAATCGAGTTGCTCATTGACGATTGAGTGTGGAAACCTTGTCCATCTTTTCAAGATGGGAAATGATTTTACGTACCGGAGTTACGACGTAGGTCTGCCTTACCCAGAAGGCAAATCCCGCCTCACTGTGGCAAAGGCAAAGCCTTACCCATGGGTGCAGCCAGCCCCAGCGAGCCACTACCGCGCTCGGCTAGCAAAATCGATCAACGGCAACTCGTCCGTTGGTTCTTTCCCGCTTTGGCGACGAGTTAGGCTTACATCGTGGCTTCGTAGGTGGCTTGCACTTACGTTATAGCACGAATCGGTTGATCTGACGCAAAGTCTTCCATCCGCTGCAGTAGTGGGCGACTTCTTTTGATCGCAACCTCTGCCCTGGATGGAAAGTACGTGCCGATTGATTGTGGGAAATTAACTGTATACTGCATGTGTCTCCCCGTAGTTCCATTTGTCGTCCCCATCTGCATGCGCATCTGAAGGACCTCGGACGCTCCTCACAAGTCATCTACCCGAGCATAGCTTACCACCGAGCACCCCGAGCACCCCTTCGGACACAGCTCCGCCGCACCGTTTTCCTCTCGTTGCTTCTCATTTGAGCCACAATTCATGGATCCGAGCACAGCGCCTTTCCCCACGACGAAGCAAATGTAACGTCCCCCATGGCCGTGAACAGGCGCGATAGCTAAATGTCTGGATTTGCAAAAATTCACTTCAAATCAAATAATCAGCCAAAATCGCGTCAGGAAGTAACAGCTATTGTAGGATACCTAGATCCTCTATACGAGAAAGGAAGACGAGTAAATACTTTTGAATTGATGTTGTACTGCATTTTCAATCAAACAGATGGATCATTTTTGGTATTCGGTGACTTTGAATGCAACCCTCACCCCTCTAGTAAAGGTTTCAATCGCATTGCAGAAGTTTGGTCTCGCCACTATCGCTCTTTCTTCGGAGAAAAGTAATATCTTAGAGGCGTTATCATTGATATTTTGTAAGCTGCCTTAAGTCAGCAACTGGGGAATTACTGAAAATTCAAAAATATGCAAGTGAGTTTTCACTGAAGAGACCGGATCACAAGACATTTTGACGTTAGGTCGACTGCTCTCGACATCTCCCGATCAAAAGAACCTTCTGTCCGCCGAGAGAAGGTTCCAGCCTGGCCGTAACGGCTTGCCCGCGGATTAGCTTCTCTTTGGGCAAGTAAGGTGAGGTCTTCGAAGGAGTACACAGGTACCTGCAAGGATGATGGGGAGAGTTGACCTCATCGAGGTCCGACGGACTGCAAATGCAGGGTAGGGTAAGACGCTCATCAACCTTACCCGACCCCACCCAGATAGCTTAACCGTATGCTCATTAGGTATCGGCCAACGTTTCGGTACCGAATTGTACTTCTATAGTTAGCGAATAGATTGGGACTCTCTGACGACATGCTGTTGAACTCAAAACGTGTCCAGGAAATGATGGCTTTGAATGACTGCATCCACAACTGGGGTGCTTTTCGATAAATTTGAGATATGCCACTAAAAGGTTTTTTGCACCTCATCTGCCATGTGGACACAGGATGTAGCTAGTTAATGTCAGTCTCGGTTCCCGCTCCAGTGGTGGCTTTTTCACCGTCACCAAGCAGTTGTGGCGTAATGCACTAAATGACGGTACCCTTGACTTCTGGAGTGACGGATGCGACGATCGAGCGAAAAGAGCCACAAGCACGCGTCAGTCTTCTCCACACCGATAAATTGTACCTACCTGACATACCTGGGCTAGCTCACTTGGCTTGAAGTCGTACGGACCGATCGGTCTAGACCTTCCCTGAAATACTTCCACTTTTCATATAACCTCAGCAACAGCAAATACCAAGCAAGGTACCTAGGTTGTTTTTCGCATCGCAGCACGCAACCTCAAGGGAAAGCTCCAGTGTGGCGGACATGGAATTTTCACCATGGATCTCTTGGGGCTTTGCAGTGGTAAGTATGCATATTTGGTCCAGGTCGCCGGTCGTCTAGCAGAGACCGTCCTTTGCCGCAAACCCATACTAACGAGTGACCTTGAGGGATTTCAAGAGACAAGTAGCCAAACAAGAATTCGTATTTTAAACTAGCGACTTCCAAAATTTGTCTTTTGAAGTTGAGATTGAGTGACACTCGCTGGAGAATGCGCCTTGATTAAGATGTTGTACCTCTTCAGAAATTCGGTCCGAATGACAGCAAAATTCAAGAGGACAAGGCCGAATCAAAACTCGCGAATTCACTTTTCTTACTCATACGGGTCAATTGACTCCGATCATGCCGAGAGTTGCACCCACTGAGTCTCATATTTACAAAGTGAACTATCAATATTTAATGTCGTGCTCAAACGCTGGGCAGTTGAATCTTTCCCCACTCGAATTTATACTTCTATTTCGATTTCTGTGTCTCATGTGATCTATAGCTGTATTGTGGGGGACATCTGTAGTCTTGACCGGCTGACCTGCCTCCAGAAATCCCATGACCTATAGGGCGTTCGCATCGCCAGGAGACAGTTGCTCTGCTGCGCTTTAGAATCGGCGTAAACATCTTTAAATAAACATGTTTGGGAGCCATCTGAATAAGGGTATAAATAACGAAGATTGCTGATTAGTACGGAATCCCATTTGTAAGGAGCTGGAACTGGTCGTAGCCACGGGTCGAGTAGCTGCTGTAACTCTTCTTGATGAGATCTCGCATGAATTCTGCAGCTTCCCGCTCACTCTTCTCGACCACGAATCTTTCTTTGAAATGCTGGATAGTCTCAGGCTTGAAGCAAGGAAGCCCGCTGTCCAACATGAGGATAACAAGGTGAGCAAGTTTGTCAGTAAAAGGACGAGAAGCCAAAAATGCTTTGATGCACAGCTCTTCGAACCACCGGTATGCCTGAGACTCGGTAGAGCCGCCCATAACGGCCACCATTTCTGAAGTCAATTTGAATGGGGCGCGTTCAAATCTGATGCCACCAGGGGCGATATCGAAGCAAAAACCAAAGTCTGATTGTCAGGTTAGTGTATGTTGAATCTTTGCTGTGTCTTGAACATACCAATGTGCAAGATGTGTCCGGCATCGTCTACCATAATGTTGCCATTATGACGATCTTTGAATTGAAGTAGATATGAGATCACTGAGTACGCGGCCATACTCTTGACAAAGTTTTTCCGCGCTTCTTGAAATCGAATGGAGTCAGGGCCACCGTACTTGGAGACAAAATAGTCGTAGAGCCCATTGACAGCTTCTCTCCCAAGCATATCCCTGGAGATCGAATTGGGCAATACATCAATCACGCCACAACCCGGCGCAGTTGCTGTCACTCGATATGGGAACACAAAGACGTCAAGACCAACGCTATTGAATATGCCTCGAAAGGTCGCAATCATTTGGAGAGCTAGAATATCTTGACGACAGTCGTCTCCCACTTTGAAGATTGCAGATTGCCATATTTCAAAGGTGTCCTGCTCCGATGGTCTATTGTGTTTGCCGTCTTCTATGAGTACATCGGCGGTCTCGAGGTGGCTCTTATTCTTTCTGATCCGAAACGTTGCCATGAACGGGGCTTTTGCATGGCTTTGCAAAGGCTTTCCTGATTTTCGGTCAATCCCGACCACAGCACCGTCCGGGTTACTAGGAAGATACACTCCCACTTCCACTTTAATTTTTCGGAGCTCCTCTTCAATCTTTTGCTTCTTTTCAGGCTTAGGGCGCTTAATATACGGCCTCAGCTTCCCCGAAATGTCAGTCACTTCGTTGAAAAATGAAAATTCCCGCTCGTAGAAGTCTTTGTCGTCGCCAGAAAAACTAGCTATTAACTTCTCCATAACCGTGTCGAGTGTCGGCTTTAACGGATCGGGCTAGACATGGTAATGAGCATGTCAACAGAATGACAGAAGGGTTTTTGCGCTTACTATTTGAGAGTCCTCATCTTTGTAGGCGTTTGCCATCATGTTCCAGATGATCTGATGGGCAAATAGTTGGGAAAACTTTGCAGTCTCAAGGATATATCTTTCGACGTATCCAAGAATATCGTAGCGGAGTGTTTGCACGATTTGCGGGACGTAGAAAAATGTTACGTCGACAGAATGGCTCTCAAGAGCCCTCATGGCATACTGTAGTACATATGGGTGATTTGCATAGGCTGGTAAGAAGTACGTCACAGCAGCGATTGGATTCACCGGCGCCCAATAAAGCAAATACTACTTCCAATTTAGCACTACCACCTTAGATTGCCCAGTCTTCAGCACTCACCTTTAGCTGAAAAGAGACATCAGTCGGAAGAGATGACCCAAGAAGAAGTTGAAGAGCGTCCGCCTCGTCAAGGGCTCTCTCGGGGAAATTGAGTAATAACCATCGAGCGTTGTTGGTCAACTTTGGGAACGAAAAACGATTGACCAACTGCAGCACTAATGCAGTGCTCTCAGACCAGGCGGTCTTAAGCAGCGGTGTGATGGTATTCTAGATCCTTAGCAACATTTCCTTTCCCGACATTGATTGAGGAAGACTTACTTCAGCTGGTGCTTTGGCGGGATTTCGGGATGAGAAGTAATGCCTACGTTCATGATCCAACGGGAAGAGCCAGACTATGAGGCGCGTCTGCTCATTGTCTAAAAGGATCTCTAGCAGCTCTTGCTTGGACTGCAGAGACTTTAAGCTGAGACTAGTTCCCGAGGGTAGGTGGACAACATTGCGCAAGGCTGCTTCTACATCTGCTAGAAGATGAGTCTCGGCCTTTATCTGAAGCCTGTTACCGCCGAATGACCAACTGGTTATAAATTAGCTTCTGCTGGCTGGATTCTACATGATATTCCTACCTTGAGGGATGGGAAAACCATCTGAGAGCTGCGCAAAGAATTTGATCCTTCAATCTCCACTGCTCGGCTGCATCAAGCCCATTAGTATGACGGAGAATGCCCAAGGCAAAAAGTATGATCTGAAAATGCATTTCCCGAGCGAGAGGATGGTTGGTAGCATGTACGATGCCATTCAAAGTGACTCTGACAATGCGATGAAATATCCTTCTGATCTGAGGACTTCCAAGCCTATTGGCGTTGAAATGACTAGCAAGGAATTGCAGCACGCGAAAATGTGGTGCGATGATGTTATGAGCTGCCTGTTGGCGTTTTGACGTTGCTTCCCGATCCGATGGAGCGAACTCTTCTTTGATGTAAAACGGATCAAGGTGGCTAACAGACGTCAGATAGATAATCGGAGAACTCCAACACAGGCAACTTACTGGAATCGATCATTGAAAAAGCCCTGCTTCTTTCTCACACTCGCCTCCCAGCATGATGCTATCTCTGTCAGAATCCTTGGCTCCATTCGAGCATTTTCGTTGATTACTCCCATCCAGATAGAAATTCCGAGTTTGATGGATTGTTTCGAGAACAACAGGAATGGGATGTTGACAAGGTAGTGCACAACAGCGCTCTGGTCATCTTTAGTATTGCAAAGGACAGCAGCGGCTCGTCTCAATGCATCACGAAGCTCGCCAATAGAGACAAATTTTCCGTCTGTAATCCGCGTCTGAATGCCTGCAAGCAGAGATACAGCGTCTTCAAGGCCTTTCCCGTGACCGTGGTGACTCACGATACCGCCTTGCCGATCTACCCATGTTTGTTAGTTAAGACGTGCCTCATTAAAGCAAAAGCTTTTGTTAGGGCCAAGGAAGGACTGACCTCGTTGAATGAACTTGAGCCATTCTGCGTCATGGCCCTGAAGCGGCTCTGCGTATCTGTATTCCTGCCTAGACGTATACTGAGAAATGAAGTCAGAAGCCGTGTTGATGTTCCAATCTTCGCCGTCTCGATCGATTGCCCCTTTGACCATTAGCAAAACATAGCCCCTCTAAATCTAGTCGAAAAAACGTACCCAATCTCTGATCGGCTGTCGGAAGGGCAGAGCCCATCTCAGCGGCAAATGATCTACCTAGAGAGATATGGCCGTACGCCCCATCATCATCATATTCAGAGAGATAGCTCTATTTCAACTGTCAATGTTTAGATCGCGAAATTAGAAGGTACGAACTTACCTGCAGTAATCCTTTCACATCTAACGGCGCGATGTTGATCACTCTCATGACCCACGACTTCGCCCGCTTATATAAATGATTTAGCGTCGACCTTCTGAGAGAATAGTTGTCCGAGAGCTCCACCGCAACATTCCCTTTGGCTGAGGAGAAGTGAGAACGCCATTCGTACTCCTCTGTTTCCGCATCGAGGCAGCTATACCACATGATCGAAAGCAATTCCAGGAGCGAAAAAAGAGAGGATCTCTGGCAGAGGGCTGAAGGGGCTTCGTGTATTATTCGGTCAACGCACGACAGCGCCACTTGCTGCACCTTTTCCATACGATGACAGCAACCAACTAGGAAATCCGCGAGCTGCTTTGCAATAAACGGCGCAGCTAGCTCCTGTCGATTACCAGCTAGAGCTTTGGAGAGATAGATGCCTAAGACGTCTTCAACAATCGCAGCCATGCACGCGCCCATTGGCCCGGACTTGAGTGCGGGGTCGAGGAAATACATGAGGAGCTGGGAACAGCTTCCAGAATTGGCTCTGAGAGTCTCGACCAGATGTGCAGATCTCAGAAAGATAAGTTCGGGATAGGTTAAATTTTTGATATCTGCTTCTCGGCTTGGCAATAAAGCAGCGAGATCTCGCCTTTGCTCCGTTGTGCGGCGGATATCCATGCCACGTCTTAGGACAGTATTGAGCTCTATATCACTGTCCAGCTGATCTGCTCGCTCCTGTGCAACAAGCGGCCCAGTATGAGCAGCTATGGCTTGAAGATTTTTAAAAAATTCTTTGCCGAGATTTGATGTGAGATTAAATCCGTGGACAACAATATTGAACCATGCCTCTCGGAAAAGCCCTAGAACTTCTGCACCAACGGACTCCTTATAAGTTGGGTAGGTAGAGACTAAGAGAGATAGTGGCTGAAGTAGTTGAGAAATCTCTCTCGCAGCAAGCTCAGCATCTCCATGACGAGAACTTCCGGTGTGTACATCGCCTTTACTAACTATTTCGTCGAGCAGATCACGAAGATATGGCTCGAAAAACTGAGACTCTACTTCGATTGTAGTAGAGAGATAGCTTCTCGCATTTAATATCTGCAACAATTCTTAAGTTATTGTCCAAATTTGCTTAAGGCGATCCGCATACTTACAGCGTTTGAAATGGGAAGGTTTCCTTGAACAATGCTGTCATGACTCAACTTCGATATCAATTTGAGAAAAGAGCGGAACTCTAAAGCCCCACAACTCACGGCTAGCCTCGCGGCCTCCGTAATAATCCGGGCGTCCACAGTTGAGTCCACTTTCCCGATCTTTTGAATCAGCATCGACTGTGCCAGAGCAGTAATTTTGTCGTCTTTGCAGCTATTTGCAATTTCTACTATGGCATGTACGACATTGCCATATACCGCAATGACGTCGTCATCAGTATGGCTCGTGAGCGAAATGGAACTGCCAGCAGCTTGTTGTGTGTATGGCATATCGAGATTTGTTCTCGATACCCCATTTACCATAGCGGGTTTGTTGAGATTGAGGTCAGCATTTCTGCTTGAACTAAGGACATTCCCTAAGGAATAGAGCGTAGTGATCACCGAATCATGCGAAACCAGCTGCAATATTGATGCAAGACAAGCAGCGGCCACCGTGACTGTCTCTTCTGTCGCTGCCCCTTGAACTAGGAAACGCGGTAAGGAGCGGGTAGCACTAGCAGTAACCAAAGGGAAACGCTTTGCAAGAATTGTGAGACATTTGAGAACAACACTTGCGAGCGTCTCATTCGCCATCTGAATCGGATCAGCCATGGTGTTCTCCAGCCACCCTAGGAGGGTCTCGAGTTCAACGCTCTCACTATCGAGTACGAGACAAATGGTAAGATTGGTCAGAGCACTTGATTTGACGGCACAAGCAAGCCGCTGTTGCCATGCTGATCCAAGCTGGAGATAATCCGAATTATCTTCCAGAAGTTGCATTTCGTCTAGGGCTATGTCGGCTAGCAAAGTTGCCTTGTTCTTGCTGATTAATGCTTGGTCTTTTAGAGAAAATCCTTTATCAGACAGAAGTATATCCAACACATTGCTGGTGCGAAGCACCCGAGGCTCTGCGACTGCTAGAGAGGCGTGAGACATCGTAAATCTCATGAACGACCATTGAAGAATCATTGCTCCTAACGGCCTTCCGATAGCTGCATAGTGCCGCAAATTACGTCTCCAATCTCGCACGCCGGGAACGGCTGAATGAGAGGTCCGAATAATTGACAGCGCTCTCTCCAGGGAGACCATGAACTTTCCAGACAAGATGGCCCGGAAGGCCTCTATCAAATCAATTCTTTCTTCAGTCAACCAGAACGAGGCGTTTGCGGCAGCAGCATCAAGAAATCCTAGTATTGAGACGGCGAGAATGACGATTTCGAGAGCTTGCGATCCATCGGCTGCACTATCCGCATCTGCACTATTTTTCTCCGATACCAGTGACTCAGCCAAATCGGTGCATTTTTCAAGGAAAGACTGTATTCTCGCGTGGACCAAATCACGTAGCGATTCATGACCGGCACCAATAGATAGAAGAGCTGAAGTGAGGCGGAACGCCAACGCCTCCCAAGGAGACGGTTCAATATCACGGAGAAACGGTGACGGAGAGATAGCTTGAGCCTGACAATCAAGGAAGTATGGCGAGAGTTGGAGCAAGAGCCGTTCAGCCTGCTCCTTCTTCCTCAGAAAGGGTGCCGCATTGCAAAGAGAGAGGAGCACATCAAGCTCTTGCACTCTCTGTTGAAAGTATTAGCTGGTATTTGAGAGCAGGGAATGGGAATGGGGGTTTTACCATCGGCACTTTCGAAACAGATGTCTCTGAAGTGGAGCCATTGGCCCTTTCTTCCACCAAACCGCATGATTTTTGCAGTCTCTTCAGGTCGGAAGCAGTCGACGCTGTTGGCGCTGTGGCAGAGAGTAGCACGAGCTTCTGCAGCGCGGCCCTCCTGATCAGATAGGAAGAGCTTCGATATCATCAGCCTGTATGCAAGCAAAACCAACAGACATGGTAGGGTCATTACGGGTCATTCATCGTCTCCACTGCGTCCCGACGCTCCTGCACAGGTATCTCTACTGCTTCATTAATCACGACAGACGTGCGATTCCAAACTTCAGGGTCCAGGTTGGCGACTACAGGATGTCGGTTCCTAGGCGAACCGAAACCGCGCCGCGATGACGGAGGGAATAATAGCCGTTGTACGAAGTAGTCGCGCTAATAAATTACCTATAAGGTCTGTTGGCTCTCCTGTTCTCCAGGAGCGAGGAGGAACTACAGTACTACAGCTCGTATAGTGTACTTGGGGTACTCGTACTGTAGACTACCTAAGGTAAAAAGGCTCTGCTAAAAGGCATCTAACTGTACTACGAATGTCTCCAAACTTCAAAGCAGTCATCGGAAAGCGAAGCAATCAATCTGAAGAGAAAGGCTAAATTTTGAAAGGAAGTGCAGAATAGCTCTTATGAATGGCTAAAATTCGACCAATGGAAAATCTATTTATCATGAAAGGCAATTGTGAGAGAACACAACTAGTTACATTTCTCTGCTCTCGGACGTGCCGCAGTACAGTCCTCGGTAGGTACCTTTGTTAAGCCTGGGGGATCCCTTGGATGAGCACCTGGTACTTTAAAGAGACTCGCGTCGAGTAACTTTACGATTTCAGTTAGTTCCCCTTACGGCATACAACGTACCGCCTATAGCGACTCGACCGAGAGCTTTGGCCGAAGCACCTCCAAGACCATGAGGACGCTGTGATGGACCTGGCGTGATAACGCATGGAGGCGCTTGAAATCTGTATCCCTATTACCACCTCTTAATTTGCTGCGCTAGAAGCCACAATACGACTGCAACTTGTTTCGTTCTTTTCATCCTGGCCAAGGGAAGATTTCTCAACGAACTGTTCAGGGTCACTGCAACGTAGAAGGCAATCTACAAGCCGTGCGAGTTCTTGTCGATCGGACTACGCTGCGCGCTTGTGCCGTTAGCAACATGGGACCGTCCTCCGAAAAGAGTCAATTGAAACGTGGCAGGGTGGGTTTTCTCTCTTGTCCATGTGCGCCGTCTGCTGACTGATTTGGTTGCAGCATTCGACCGAAGAACCTGATCCAGAACTAAAGAAACCCCGTCGATCTGAACGGAACCAAAATCACAATGAGACCACTCCAATTGCTCATAAATCCCATCTGCCATCTCCTGTGACCCACCATGAGACCAGCAGCACCGTCGGAGACCGTCGCGATCATGTAAAGGAGATTTCAAAAGAAGCTACACTTACACCTCCGGACAGCGTCAGTCAACCGCGGCCTCGCTCATCAGGCACTTTTACGTCGTCTCAGCAGCCTGGCTCTCCGCCCTCTGATACACAGGTCTTATCTCAATTTATATATCCACCGCGGGCAGCTTCCGCTGAAGTTGAAGACGAGGATGCCGAGGGCGTTTGGGGCTACCTAATCCCTCTCGACGCTAATTGTGGTGATGTCCTAGTACTGCAGAGCCGGACTGCATGCCCAAAGCCTGTCGAGAACTCCGGCTTTGGCCGCGGGGCCGGAGAGCGGTCAAGAGGAGCTGGTCGGAATTACAACCAAGAAGAAAAGCAGTTTGAAGAAGAGAAGAGAGAACATGGCCCAGTCGCGAGCGGTTATCTCATTGGACGGCACCCGGAATGTGGTAAGTGCAGCGGTTTTGCTCTGCATGGATTTTCTTCTAATTGGCAAACGTAGATCGTGTCATCTCCCACGAATCCGTCTCGAATCGCCACTGCTTGATATTTCGAGAAAACAAACATGGTGGAGCCGTTGCCATTCTGGAAGATCTTTCCAGCAACGGAACCTTTGTCAACGAGGCTCTTGTGGGCAGAAACAAGAGAAGGGAACTCGAAGAAGGTGACGAGATCTCGATTCTTGGAGAAGCGCGTTTTATTTTCCGTTATTCGAGGAATCGGAATACCAATGCGTTTCGACAGAAATACACTATTGTGGAGCAGCTGGGCAAAGGCCATTTCGCCATTGTCTATTTATGTGTTGAAAAAGAGACTGGTCACCGATATGCAGTAAAGAAATTTGAGAAGCGTCCCGGACAGGCAGAGAAAACAAAGACCGAGGGATTACATCAAGAGATTGCGGTGTTGATGAGCGTCAGCCACCCAAATATGTTATGTCTGAAAGACACATTTGACGAAGATGACGGTGTTTATCTCGTTGTCGAGCTTGCTCCGGAAGGAGAGCTCTTCAACTGGATTGTTATGAGACAAAAGTTCACTGAACCGGAGACCCGGAAAGTTTTTATACAGTTATTCCAGGGCGTCAAGTATCTGGTGAGCTATTTCGATATCTGTCGAGCAATCTCGACTTTGTTTTAATACTAGATTGCAGCACGAACGTAATATCGTCCATCGGGATATCAAGCCAGAAAACATTCTGGTGGTAGACAAGAATCTCACAGTCAAGCTCGCAGACTTTGGTTTGTCCAAGATTATAGGAGAGGAATCCTTCACTACTACACTGTAAGCTCTCTTGCTTTACTCCTTTTAAGACTGCTCGACTGACAATTCGAAGTTGCGGAACACCCAGCTGTGAGATCAACAAGCCTCGGTAATTTGCAGCGTATCGTTGGCTAACATGTACAATAGATGTTGCGCCCGAGATCCTTGAACAATCCAATCATCGAAAATACACAAAAGCCGTCGATGTTTGGTCGTTGGGCGTTGTTCTCTACATTTGTCTTTGTGGATTCCCTCCGTTCTCGGATGAGCTTTACACTTCGGAGAACCCTTATACCTTGGCTCAGCAGATTAAAATGGGGCGTTTCGATTATCCTTCGCCTTACTGGGATTCAGTCGGCGATCCTGCCCTAGACCTCATCGATCGAATGCTTACCGTGGACGTTGAGAAACGGTACACCATTGAGGATTGTCTTGCACATCCCTGGATTACTGAAAAGGATGTCAACCCACATGACAGCACCGACGGTCTCACTGGTGCTCTTGACGGTCTAGACTTTTCCAAACGGAAAGTAGAACGTCAGCGTACGCTGCTCAGCAACCTTAATGATGTCAAGGTTTCTCGTGTCATTCAGATTCAAACAAACAAGTCACCTATCAAAGTGTACGAAAAGAATCCCAACACGCAGAATGGTGAAATTCACGCACCCAAGGAGGGTCCAGCTGTGCCGAAAGCAGACCCCACTACCAAGGAGGAAGCTCCGGCAGCGCATCGTGACCCCAAGGAATTCATGGAGCTCGGCGGCAAGGGAGATCAAGCACTCTTTGGAGATGATACTGGAAGCCGCTACGAGCGCTGACCGAGGACCACGTCCATCTCATGCGTCAATCTCGAGCCCACCCTCGAGCAGGAGTTTCGGTGTGAGTGATCTTGATCGGGGTTCGTGGAGGAAAGAACTAAGCAGTGCGGAATCGTTCATCTCCCACGACCTTTACAATCAAGCGGCAAGTCATGGGAGGATTTCAATTAGTATGGCCTACTTTGGAGTTTTGCAATGCTAAAAACGAAGCTTAAACACCTGGATACCAAGATTTTATTGTTTCTCGGCCTCTGTATGAATTCCCAATGTTCATCCACCGAGAAGCTGCGACAGCGATCCCCACAGAACAGGTTGGACTTACGTTTTATATGGGGTACTGCACGGCAAAAAGCATAGAGACAATCTTTCATGGCCAAATTCTGTTGAATGTTTCATGATATCTACGGGCGTTTCCACTTACAGAATAGTTCTTTGAATATCTTGAAAACTTGGTATATGGCATGTAATATTTTTGCGATAGCTCCATCTCAAATACTTTTGACTATTGTGCCACCAGATGAATCCTTCTGATTACACATCATCCAAGACAAGAACGTGTTTGAAATTGCGAGTTTTGGATTTTCCGGTCCGAGGCGCAAGTCACGAGTTTAACTTACGATTCGCATGGTGCGAAATTAGCTGGGCTCTCCGATATGCTCTCACCGCCCGAGCAGCACAAATCATGCGACGCCTGAACGATAATTAGTAATCGTTGCACGTCAGAGGGTCTTGTTTATGGCTGTTAGACTAGTTCGCAATGACGGATCTGCCGCAGCAGAAGCCAAGAAACAAAGCGGTGAGGAGAGATGGCACGAGGCCCCTGCGAGTGAGCAAATTGCCGTCGCTTCAAGGGAGTTCGAGCACACTAGAATCAGGAACGAAAAGAGTCTCTGGAGAGACCTATCCTACTTGGATACGTTTGATTAACTTCGATTGTGAAATGGGAGAAAGAGTATTGGAGGTTACGTCTTCGTGGGGTCAAGGGCCTAGCGCTCCCCCAGTAAAAAGTTCCTGCGCTAGACTGCCACTCGTACGAGCCGGGATTTGCCTGTCCGAACCTTTTCCTCGCCCATCAAACTTGGATGGTGCCACGAGGTTACTGTACTGAAACAGTAAGTAGATTGTAGCGGGCATTTCATATTAATTGGCGAGAACAAGGTTATTTGAGTACTCGAAAAAAGGTACCGAGAGAAGGAGTACGTAGCCTAATGGCGTGTGCCCTTCTTATCGTTTCATTTCACGTTCAGGAACCGCATCGCTAAAGAAAATCCACCCGCTTTCCGTCTTGTCGACAACAACCACGGCGAAGGGGTTAACATCACCGGAATCAGTCTGACGATACCAGGACTTGAATGCTGGTACACTGAAACCTGAATTGCTGTTCAGGACATTCCTTTTCCCCAATCTTTATTCTTATTTTCGTTGAAATTACACCTCCTCTTGTCCTACGCGGCGCATTTATTTCTACGGGTTCAAGCCGAGTAAAGCATCTTTACAATCCCACCAAGCACCATGGGTGTCTTCGCTGGCATTGCTGGCCCTCTTGCCAATCATCTGGCACAGGCGTCGACGCCTGTATTGGTGGCCGCGGGCGCATCTGCCTTCATCGTTCTCTCAATCGTGCTCAATGTTCTCAACCAACTGCTCTTCAAGGATCCTAATACGCCGCCGCTGGTCTTCCACTGGATCCCTTTCATTGGCAGCACCGTGACCTATGGCATGGAACCTATCAAGTTCTTCCAGTCAAACCGTGCAAAGGTTGGTAATGACTTCGAAATTCTTACGCCAAGAACACATTGAACTGACCATACCCTCCGTCTCTAGTATGGCGATGTTTTCACCTTCGTCCTCCTGGGCAAGAAGACGACAGTCTGCCTTGGCCGACAGGGCAACGATCTTGTCCTGAACGGCAAGCTCAAGGACGTCAACGCCGAGGAGATTTATAGCCCCTTGACTACGCCTGTCTTTGGCAAGGATGTTGTATACGACTGCCCGAACTCCAGACTCCTTGAGCAGAAGAAGGTATGCTTGAACCCAACACACCCAAAATTTTAAGAAACGAAGACTTGCTCATTATCTTTGCTTTTTACCTTTACAGTTTGTCAAGTTCGGACTCACAACAGAGGCTTTCCGCTCCTACGTACCGCTCATCGTGAACGAAGTCGTCGAATACGTCAACCGTTCCCCACAATTCCAAGGCAACAAGGGAACTTGCGATGTCTCCCGAACCATGGCTGAAATTACCATCTACACCGCATCTCGTTCGCTGCAAGGCAAGGAAGTGCGAGACCGATTCGATTCTAGCTTCGCAGACCTGTACCACGATTTGGACATGGGCTTCACACCCATCAACTTTATGCTTCCGTGGGCCCCTCTCCCTCGAAACCGCAAGCGAGACGCGGCGCACCACAAGATCTCAACCACGTACATGGAAATCATCAAGGCTCGCCGCGAAGCGCTCAAGGACGGCGGCAAGCCCGACTCGGAAGACATGATCTGGAACCTGATGGGATCTGTGTACAAGGACGGCACTCCTCTGCCAGACTACCAGATTGCTCACATGATGATTGCTCTCCTGATGGCCGGCCAACACTCGTCTTCGACCAGCAGTGCCTGGATCGTCTTGAACTTGGCCACCCGTCCTGAAATCATTGAGGAGCTCTACCAGGAGCAGATCAACGTTCTTGGCGCCGACCTGCCGGACCTCACGTACGAGAATCTGCAGACACTGCCCCTGAACGCGCAGGTCATCAAGGAGACCTTGCGTCTGCACTCGCCCATCCACTCCATCATGCGCAAAGTCAAGTCGCCCCTGCACGTCGAAGGCACGCCCTACACGATCCCGACATCGCACTCTGTCATTGCCTCCCCCGGCATCTCCGCCCGCGACGCCGAACACTTCCCCAACCCCGAAACCTGGGAACCCCACCGCTGGGACCCCAAGGAGGGCGACTCCAAGCCCGAGGAGGAAGAGGAAACCGAAGACTACGGATACGGCCTCGTCTCCAAGGGCGCAAAGAGCCCTTACTTGCCCTTTGGCGCCGGCCGCCATCGGTGCATTGGCGAACAGTTTGCCTATGTCCAGCTCGGCGCCATCCTTGCCACGCTTGTTCGCCTCTTTAAGCTTTCAAATCCCGACGGTGTCAAGGGCATTCCTGATACTGACTTTTCTGTACGTTTCCCCCCTGCTCCCCTTTCTCCTTTTTTTTCTTTCCTCTTGTCTTTGGTTGTATGTTTGCATATCTAATGCTTTCCCCATTTTTTAGTCCCTCTTCTCCAAGCCCGCTCATCCGGCCATCGTCCGCTGGGAAAAGCGCGGAACCAAGGCTTGATTAATTTTTTTTTTTTAAAATCTCTTGCCTTGAATTCCTTCGCTCCTACTCTTGGGGAACTTTTTCTTCCCTTATCTTCTCTTCGTCTACGGAACTGGGTAGTCCAGAATGACGACGCGACGAAGTGAAAAAACCCTTCTCTCCAGAGGTAATCTTATCAGGTGACAGTGCGTATCGTCAAAGCGAGCTGCGCATCAGCCTCATCATTATCAATCATCACCCTCTTCATTAATTCTTCTTCTTCTTCTTCTTCGTTGTTATTGTCATGTGTTCAGCGTCAGCATAGCGTGACCATCGCACTGCCCTGCGCTTGACAAAAATGATTTTTTATCATTAGAGCACTGCCTACTTTTTATCATCATCCGAAATATTGTAGCTTATAGAGACCGTATGATTTCGTTGTTTTATTTTTTGGAATTGAATTCGGATCATTCCAAACTATCTAATAATAATATAATAGTCACGAATTCATAGAATATTAGACTTTGGATAAACTTTTCTTTCATTACATTGACTCCTTCCTTTGTGCGATTAGCTTTCAAATTTGTACACGTTCAAGAGAGCCGCCAAAGAGAGCAAAGGGGTCGGCTTACAGATGTGAAGAGAAGCACAACATGCTATGAACCCGATCATCCGACTTGGTCTCCTGATTTGGACGCGCAAGCAAGAGTCTCCTACCGTGTGTCTAGTGGGCTGAGTAGCGAATATCTGCCATATTGGAGTCTAAAACTCCGGCTCCGTGTCATTAGGCCCAAAGCCTTCTACCATGTACGTCTCGAATTCGGGCAAGGAGCCCAATGCCAGTGGCATCGAGGGATCGCCCCAGAATGGATTTGCAGGAGACCGGCGTTGGTCCTGGTGCATTGGCCAGAGCTGGCTTAGATTGAGAGCATCGTTGTGGCCTTGTTGAAAAGAAGAAGGATAGTGCGTTAGGGGCACCGTTGTATTTGAGTAAGTTGGCAATGGTATTGACGAAGACGAGGTGGTCTGGGCTTCTTGAGACGGGATAGAGTGATTCGGAATAGATGAATTTGCGTCACGGTGTGGAAGGAGATCTGCAAATGAGAATGGATCTTGGTGCGCCTGGGGCGCCGCAGTGGCAACCTGTGGATTGGGGGCAAAATGTGAAGGCGGCTGTGACGAAGAAAGGTCAAAGTGAAAGCTCTGGTCATTGATGGAAGGATATGGATGCTGGAGATCCAATGGATCCATTTGCATGAGATTGTTGTTATTATTGTGGTCCTGAAACTGGTTGAAAATCTGATCATCGAGATTGTGAATATCCTGATGAAGAGACCCAGGCGGGAGAAATTGTTGCGCAAGCTGTTGGATATCGCTATTATCATTTCCCTGGTCCAACTGCGTACCCTCTTCCATGAAACCGACATTGGAAGGGACAAGAACCTCGCGGCCTTTGTCAATTGTTTCGACAAAAGCTGATTGATCCGCAATTCTTGGGCGAGATGGTAACTCGGTTTCCAATATGACGCTCTGCTGTCGTGAAGGTCGTGTGATTATATGACTTAAGCCCCAGTCGTCCATAATGTGATGAAGCACGTTCGCTGCCAATTGTGCGAGGGGAATTGCTTCAGACAGTGTCGTGAGTGTATCATACACAGCTTTGAAGAGAGGTTTGGCCTTGATCTTAACATCAGGATTCGATGAAGATGCGTTCATTAGCAAAATTACCGCGGCGCAATAAATATAGTGGACCACTTGGATTGGAACGCTAGTCTGGTCAAACAATTGCTTGTAGCGCAGCCAGAGACGTGCAAGTTGAAATGCACGGTCAGTGCTCAGTCGGAATGCGAGGGCTTTAGCTCTCTGCGATGTGGACAAGGAAAGCAAATGGGAATGAAGCGTAATATACCCCGTATGTATTGCCATTCTGTTAATGATGATCGTTAGTATGTTAAAGGTCTTTAATCTGGAGTGAACTCACCTTGCCCTAACCAGAGAGGTCATTTTGGCCAGTTCTCGAGACGAAGCCGTCTTTGGTAAGTCCTTGTCCAGTTTGACCAGTTTTGCGTGAGTTTCGAGGAGCATTTTATCCAACTCAATAGACGGCGAGCCGGACATTTTATCGCTGCACGATATATTAGAACTTGACGACAGAGGATGATGAAGACAACTCACATTCGCCTCATTTCCTTGAGCACCAACTTTCCAACTCCTTTTTCGATGCTGGAGGCTTTACAGGCAACATCTGAGTCAAAATGTGCACCATGACGAGCTCCCTGAGTATGCGGGTGTCTCAATTCTTGCACATGAATGCCTGTCATAGCAGACAAGATATATCCGAGTAAGTCATGGGTATGCGAAGCCTTCTTTAGAGTTTCCTTCTCGTCGGTCTCTGATGTTTCCGGATAAACACCTTCAAGACGTGCATCGGTTTCCTTCTCCTCCAAATTTCTCCGCAGAGTACAGGAAATTTCTAGAAACGGGGGTAAGAACAATGTTTAAAAAACCCAAATACTAGAGTGAGATATACCATGATAAATTTGACTCATCTTCCAGTCCCCGGCGGATAATTCAAGGTATTCGAGGATGACAGTTCCTTGGTAAACTCTGAAATCGTCGGATTGACGACAAAGTGACAAGACAGCCCCTTCCGCCCTCTCCTGAAACATTTGTCCTACATTCCTAACTGCAGCGGACGTCGCGCACTGCGCTCCCAGCGAACATGTCGCATTCGCGAGAAAATCATTGGCAGAGAGCCGGTGGCTATGGATGCTATCGTTTTGGCAAAGACGCAGCTTTCCAAATAGCGATCCGAAGTTTTTCTCAAACAGGTGAAGTAAATCCGCTTCGTGATTTAATATTGAGGCATCCACTGAGCCTGATGCAGCACTCCAGCCAAACTCAGATGAAGGCTCTTCCAATTCAGACGACATCTCGATGCTGGAACTGGATTGATTAGGTGGCTCGTCTGTTTTCAAGCTACCGCTGCAAGCTTTGAGCCATGCCCAAGGGCATGAACGAGGATCGGTAATGACAGCTAATGGCACCTGCTCAATCAGGGATGCAAATCCGTGGCTGCTCGATGGCAAGTCATGTTCCGCAGCTAAGCCAGTGGGCTGGACAGAGACCTGACTCTGTTCCTGAGCGGGTTGAGAATGAGATTCCTCAAGAGCCAGGGTTTCCTCGTCCTTCCAGTCATTTTCCAGACCAGAGGCGGTCCCAACGTCACTTGGCCCTTCTCTTGCCTTCAGCGTGGAGGTATGAGGGGAGATACCATGGCTCAGAGCTCCAGACTCAGCTTCAGTTCGATGATGGTGCCTAACGCCTTCGAGAACGTCTGTCAGATCTCTCAGCTGTTGTTCAAGGCTTTCCACATAGGCTCCGGAGACATGTTTCCGGCCGTCCGACTCTGGCTTGTAGTGGCAAATCTTTCCACTTCTCACACAGTTGCTACAAGCCGGTGTAGCTCCGTTGCACTTGTGAAGTTAGTTGATGCATGTCTTTTTTTGGAAGCAAAGGATAAGATCAGGACCGTGGAGTGCTGTAGAAGCAAAAGAAGGCTGGATCAGACGGTGGGTACATTGGAGAAAATGCATGGCGCAGCGAGAATGAAGACATCAATGACAGGCAATACAGAAAAGGTGTCGGCAACTGCCTACACCCAGAGGCAAATAGTATTTATATGAACAATCACGAAATGGAAGGCGCGAGGGATTTGAATTTCTCAGAAAATTAGGTTTCGAGGTGTCAAACAAAGGGTGGGAATGATATCAGCCAAATAGGAAAGCGCCAATGAGAGAAGTTGAAGTCAATGCATATTGGGAAAGTGCACCACATCAGCTGCGTCTGATGAACAGAGTGGAAGAACACCAGGTATAGTCATGACATATTGAAGCAGATTGAAGCTTCGAGTTGTTCTTCTCTTCTCTGTAGGCAAGGGAATCATTTGACTCACTCTTCGCTTGCTCCTTCGACAAGCAAGGCATGCATTGGAAGCTTTTGTACGTTCGCGTTGAGGCATGTAGACGGCGGATAGAGTCGATCATCAGAGATGACTACATGGAGTGCCAGAAGTATGAACTCAAGCAACGAGGCATTCTTTTTTGGGTTAGATAAGACACTCGGCGAATGCGAATAGAGATTATCTGGATCTTAGAGCAATTGCTTAGTATTTTACAAGGATTAAGTTAAGGGACCCTGTGAAAGCGAACGGAGGCGTGCGAAGCGTCGAGGTACAGTTGTATCTCACTTAGGCGGGGTCTTTCGCCGGATCTTAGCCAAACGAGGATACGTGCACCCGGACATGGGGGAAACACAGGCATGATTTTGGACTCGGCCAAATATGACGAAAATGCACAAGAAGTGGCAATAAGAGCCCACCAAGAAAGGCTGCTGAGCCTCGAGCAGAAAATAGCTTATTCTGCGATAATTGTTCGCAGAATTTCAAGTCAATTCGTTCTTGTAAAACGGTGGTATAGCAAGTATAGAATACACAGGGGATATTTGTAAGAAAATGCGCCATATACAGCCAGAAAATTGCCCTCTGCAAGCAATCAAGCAAATCCTACGCCTGATCATCGTGCTTCAAAATAAATAAAATGACAGATCCAGAAGAATCGCTTATTTGTATCCAGGAAACTGGGAGAACAGATACTCGAGGCAAAACAGTCCCGCCGATTGCCCTAGTTCCCTGAAAACCTCCATCTCATTACTCGTCCTGATAATGCCAAGCTATGTGCCCAGACCCTTTAGTCCTGCTGCATATGGCTTGGAAGATTCCAGGAAGCGTAGTCCTGATGAACGAATGCGCGGTCTACTAGAGGAACACTCTCCAGAACATACTGCAAGCTCTCGCCCAAGTCGTGGCTGTCACGGAGACTCATATGCTCGTCAAGAACAATGTCCACCTCGGCAATAAGCTTATCACCGGCGTGATATGCTTCCAGCCCTTGGATCTGGCGGATAGTCTTGGCAAAGCGCATCGTTAGGTAGAGCAGAATATTGCGCTCATCTGCCGTAGCTGCGGCTCCGGTCAGGTTTCGGATATGAGAGGCCGAAGTGCGGGACCAATTGATGATCACATAGAGAGAGAGAAGGATACCGCCGAGGGGGTCCAGCCACCATTGCCGGGAATAGTATCCAACTAGAGAGAGAGAAAAGAAGGATGAGTACTAGCATATCAATCAAGGCCGGAATAGCTTGATTCCAGAAAATTCGTGTCCGAATATCGAGAACCATTGAGTGGCTCTTCTTAGAATGTGATTCGGCGAAAGAGGGGACTTACCGAGCGGGAAAATAATACTAAATATGTTAAAAACCACATCAGTCATAGCATCCTGAGCCAGTGCCTGGACGCTCGAATTTTTGATGAGTCGGCAATAAAGCCAGCACGCGAATTTGATAACGACAGTGCTTGCCATAATAACGATTGAGGGAATCCCCAAATAGACAAGGGAATGGTCACCAGACGTTAATCGGCTGAGACCTTCAATGAAAATTTGAAAGAAGGAGGTGATCATGATTACGGAGAAGACGAGCACGCCGATGGGCTCCAGGCGTCTTCTGCCAACAGGATACGCGTATCTGTCTTGTCGTGCGATCATGCGGGTTGTAACCCACACAATTGCCGTGCTGAGAAAGTCCAAAGCTGCATCTACCAAACTGGCTAACACCGAGAGAGAGCTAGTAAGGACAATCACGGCTAGTTTTCCGGCCAACAAAATCGCATTGGCTACCAAATTAATATAGATCGCAACCGTTACAACTGGAGCCGAGCTGTCCGCAGCGTCGTGCTCATACGGATCGAATTGTTTTGTCGAAATTTGATGGTCCGGATCGGCTTCCAGCAAAGGCGTCTCCTCGCTAGGGACCTTGTATAATGCTTGTGGTGTCCGTTTGACTCTTGGTATTGGTGTCGATGGCGTTCCATTTGCATGTTCATCTTGGCCTGGGCTGCTGGAAGAACGACTTCTCTCGTCGTCTGCGTCCGAAGAGGCTGCGGTGGGCTCCTCAGTAATTGTCTGCGGGACAGAAACAGCAGTGTGTTGGTACTCTTGAATCAAATCGTGCGGAAGTGATGAGTCAAGAAGACGATCGATATACATGTATTGCTGAATGAGCTCGTTGTTACGCTCGTAATATTGGCGTCTGGGAGGATGTCAGAATTGAAAGCTCCTTGTAATTTGATGGGTAACGTGCATTGGCTTCTTCATGTTTTTCAGCTCTTCCTCACTCTTATAATATTGTTCCCTGCATGAAGTTACCGGTTAGCTTTCATGGGCTGGTTCTTGCTATAACACAAGCGCTTCCGTAGGCATCAATTGGACCTATCGGTCCAAGCTTTCAAGCGCCAATTGATATCTCTTACCATTGATAGCGAGGGTTGCTATTTCCTATCAAACGCATGCTTCGCATCTGGGGGGTCATCAAAGCCTGAGCCCCGAAGCTGGATCGGCGGTCACTGTCCAGCGACTCGACGTCGATCTCTTCTCCGGCCGTCCGCGCATGTCGAAATGGCGGCCGAGGGTCGAGCAGGGAACCCGACGAACGGTTATGGATCAGCACAGGCAAGTTGTGCCCGCGAGTTGCGAGAACATCATCCGCAAATCCCCGAGGTGTCGCATACAGGCTGTTACGTCGCGACGGCGACGAAGGGTGAGTCTGTTGGTCGCTCATGGCTTCTGTACGGAATAAATTAAGGATTCGTGCAAAGTCCGGCGGGAGTTGCGACGCAGTATTCGAAAATTCTTTCCGTTTTTGATTCGGCGTATAGCATTATCCAATTGTTGTTATCAAAGAGGAGGTGGGCGACAAATCTTTCAATTGCCCAATTGAAAAGAAAAGGGCAAATAGTTATAATGAGTTCTTTTCGTGGGGTAAAAAACAGCAGGGTTTCCCGCATTTGTCGCTTTCCATCCGGCAGGGCCGGCCGCTTTCGCGAAGCTTTCTGCCGACTTTCGGCTCGCACCGCCTTGAGACTCAACCTAGACCTGAAATGGATGCTAAGCTTGGATCCCACCAAGCACAACAACATTGCTCAATCGTCACATTTACCACCTTCTAGAGACTCTAAAAACGTTACTAACCGGTTCCTCGTAATCATGCTAGTACTTATCTTATCGTACATTCGTTTATCCCAATTCATAACAAAAAAGAGAAAGAAAACGCCATGCCATCCTCTCAAAATCGATAGTGTAAAAAAGACGACCAGATGGGTCATCGATGGGGTGCAAGACTGAATGTAATTGAGTGCCGTGATACTGGTGGTAATGCACCGTTTTTGTTGAAGCCCAGACACGGAGTTCTGGACGTGTTACCTCAATGTTTGCACTGGCTCTTCGTCTTCAGCCTCCACGCGCACCAATATTTCCTCTAAGAATCCTTCCAAGAAGGCATTTACCTCACCTCCCATCCCAACCGGTTCATGACTATCCCATTCTTCAATCTCTGCAAAGATACCAACTGCCTTGATCACAAGCTTCTTGATCTTCTCATGCGCACGCTGTCTTTGTTGCTGAGCCTGCAAATTCGATGCATCTGGATTATCAGCTCGGCCTAAATTGTTGATATTGAAAGTGCGACGCTGCAATGCAGCTTCAAGAGCAGGCAGAATGACTCCATTAAACGCTGTCAACTCCGCAGTCGGATTAGGCGGAGCTGGAGCATTGCCGGGTGCACGAGAGACTGCCGTAGAAGACCTGGATGGGGACAATAGATGATGATCGTTTGGCGCAAATTGCTGCAAAGAGTGTTGTCCTTGGGATACTTGAGATGTACCGCCAAAAGAAGGGAGTGGTTGCTGCATTATCCGTGGTAATGGCTGTTGAGCTGGTGGCTTTATGGATGGGGCTGTGACAGGGTTTTGAGGCTTTTGGAACGGATCAAGCCTTGAAGGTCCCTTAAAGGGGGGTATGGGCTGCAATGCGGGAGCTGACGACCCTGTAGCAGATTGACGCGATGGACTATACGAAGGAGGTTGTGAGTGTCGTGGTGGCGTTGGTGGAGCTTCTTGTCGAGGTTGCAAATTAGATCCAGGCCTGGAAAGCGGAGTGTCATTCTCCTTGAGACCAAAGGCGCTCATATCTTTGAGCAAGGAATTTCCAAATGGATCCTTGTTGGGGAAGAGAGCGCCAAATTGTGTTTGTGGGGGTAAAGCGTTTGTGACTGGTGGCGGTGGAGCGTGCCGTAGCGCTGGTCCTGGGGCTTGCGACTTCACTGGAGATGGCGGCAGAGGTATTTTTGCCGCGACACTGGGTGAGTAAGGCGCCTGAGTCGGGCCAGAAGGTCTCCTTTGCGGCGAACTTTCTCTTGGCGGGGATTCTACCGGTGAGCTAGCCGCCTTGATGGTACCCAGTTGATCGTATTCAATGTCATTTTCAGAGTCCACGCTTCTCCTAGGCTGGTACGCAAAATTACGAGTGACATCCTCTTGAAGCTGGGACCTAGAGTTGGCGGCAGAGTCATTCATGGCCTTGAGGCCGGGTCCCCGGCCACCAGATGGCCGGATAGTGCCAAAGTCCCAAAGATCATCACTCTCGGGAGTGCTGCTTTCTCGTTCAAAGCGCTCTTCATCTTCATCTTCTTCCGCTTCACGATTTCCATGTGTTGCCTGCCACCGTTCGTGCCGCTCGATCAGTTCGGTCAGATAGGTGGTTTTCTTTCCCTTGCGAATGAATGGATGCTTGAGCAGCTCTCGTGCTGACGGCCGTTCTTTCGGGTCACGCTTGAGGCAGAGTTCAACAAACTCTTTGAATGTCCTACTAAAGGTTCCTTCCAGAGTCGGTGGAGGGTTTTTCGGAATAAGAAATAACACCTTCATCGGGTGGATATCCGAGTAAGGCGGTTCTCCTTTGGCAAGCTCCAAGGCGGTAATACCTAATGACCAGATGTCGGCTTTATGATCGTATCCAGATTGCTTTATCACTTCCGGTGCCATCCAAAATGGGGTGCCGACGAATGTATTCTTTTTCGTCATTGTCGCGGATAGCTGTCCAGATACTCCGAAATCAGCGAGTTTGACCTGTCCATTGGCGCCGAGAAGGACATTCGCAGCTAAAAGTCATGCTTAGCATGGGGGGACAAAATCAAGTCTCGATGAAACATACCCTTAATATCCCTGTGGAGCTTATTGTCGCCGTGAAGGTATTCGAGACCCATGAGCAGCTCCCGGAGAATAATTGCGATATAATCCTCGGGTATCAGTCCTGGCTTCATCAAGTCACCACAGCTTCCACCAGAGCAAAATTCCATTATTATCCAAAGGTCGGATCCCTTGAGATAGGAACCGTGATATTTTGTCACATAGGGCGAATTGAGTTCGGAAAGGATTGCAATTTCCTGAATTATGTCCTCGACTTCATCTTCTGCGCTTTCGACGTCGATGATTTTGATGGCCACGGATTGTCCTGTTCGCTTGTCTAAACTGCAGAAGCCCGTCAGCGTATCTGTTCGAGTCTCCGCAAGATAGAGTACTTACCCTTTGTATACTTTTCCAAAGCTTCCCCCTCCTACGTACTCTTGTCAGCTCATACGGCCCACCGCCTGTCTTGAGGATATATACCAATGCAATTTTGTTTTGTGTATAGTAGTTCCGGGTCGGCCGCGCCACGACCTAAGCCAGACGGAGCCATGTTTTTCTTTATAGACTAGCAGAACAGCGCGATCTGCATTGAAGGTAGAACACCTAATATTTGAAGCGAATTTAAGCGCTGGCAACACTCAACGGAGCCTTGCCGGCCGTGACAACTATACGAGTGAGTGCAGTGGCCTTCGCCGTATAGAGTCCGGTATCAGTCGATTAGGAATTGTATAAGTCCAACGGTTGCTATGGCTTGCTAACGTATTCGTTGCGTGCTCCAACTTTCGAATACTATATGAGCGAGCTAGCAGAACAGTTGAATTGCGAGAGGAAGCACCGGTAACACGCAGATAACAAATCACTCGCAGGAGATTTCAAAAGCAAGTGCGAGCGAGAGGGGTGACACAACTGGTACTGGAAAAGAAGTGCGGAGGGAAAGAAAGTTCGGTGCCAGGGATCCAGGTTGGGAGGTGGTAAACGGTGATGGTCCGAGTGTTTACATCTATATCGGGAGGAAGCGATGGCGGGGTCCAGGGGCGAGACCGCGAGACCGCGAGACCGAGGCTGTGTCGCTTGCCGCCAGGCTCCCGGGTGTATAACTAACCTATAAGCTATGAGCAGCTGTCAACAAAATTATGGAGACGTTAAAATTCGTAGTACACGTGGCTTTTTTTGGGCAGGGAGATGCATTCATTTTGAAGCTCATAGTACTGCCGGGGACGCATTTTGGAATAAATTTGGTCTGCTTTATTTTTCTGTCATTATATTTTTATAATTGTTTATTGAAGTTTGAAATTAGCTGCAAGCAGAATCATAGGAAACCACACCAAACAAAAATTCATAATGCATAAAAATACAATCAGAGTTTGTGCGATCTTTGATAATGAAGTAGACCATTAAAAAATGATAAAAATATTGAGAAACGTAATCATTGCGTTTGAGCAAGGTCGATGGTCAATTGTTTACTCCAGCCGAGTCTCAAGCGGGACTTCTTCGGCCCGTTGCTCCGATCAACGGGCACCAGTTTAGGTCATCCGCCGATTGTTCCTGTCACCAGTCACCAGTCACCTTTGCCGCCCACCGTCATTCTCTGCTCTGGTGTGAAGCACTCGCTGCCATGGACGGTAGTGCGGAAGCTAAATGAACAGACCTGCTAATTAAAAATTCAGAGTGGTGCAGCACTTGCGTAGAAAGTACTGGCCCATTATCATCCGTGTATTTCCTTTCTATTGCCTTCAACTCTTGGATGTATGATGACCGCGTGACTATTGTAGTTGCCCAAGCAGGGTCAAGCTTGCGGAAGGAGAGAGGATCTGTTATGCCCCAAAAGATTTCAAGTTCCGTGGGACTGTCAAATCATGGCATTTGGAGGGCTACGGATTCTTTCAGTGTAATTCACATAACTATCAGTCCGTAACTACCTTAAATCATATATTTCAACACTGGTACGAATCTCAAAATGCAAACTTAAGCAAATGATCAGAATAGTTAAAACATTGCTAATGTAAGATTATCGTCTTATTGATACGTAGATAAAGTTGAATCTGTCTCTAAGTTAAACAATGATATAGATCGGAATAGCATCAGAATGCATCATCAACCCTCAATGAACTCCACCATGACAGTGGCATTCTTCAGACCCGCTTCCTCTACGGTGTGGTCAAGCACCTCTAAAAGGTTCTTACCAATACACACGAGGTCAAACTCGACACCATCCTTGCCTTCAATTGGATCCGCTTTGAGCCACTCGAAAAGTCGGCGCACTGGATCACCAAGGGCAAATCGGCGGATGATACGACCGCCGGGGTGGCGAAATTGGATGCGCGTCGTGCTCGTCGGATCAGGGCCCGGCTCAGTGTGAGGTTTATCGGAAGCAATACGCGAGAAAACGGACTCGTTGGACGGAACATTTCCTGTCTGCCGCTCATCGATCGACATCGCATCTGCAGCCCGACCTTTTCCTTTGCTCCCTTCCTCCTCATGGCCTCTAGTGAGGTCATCCGGGTCTGGTTCTCTCATTCCTTCTGTTGGCTGGTTCGCCAGGCTATTCTGCATCGCCATCTGTAGCATCTCTTCCTCGGTCATTCTGTCCACGTCCATAGCCTTCTTCTCCGGTTTGCGCGTAGCCACTGGGTTTCGTACATTAGCTTTGAGGCTGTATCTGTCGAGAAACTCGTGCAATTGCATAAGAAAATCCATTGCCTTTGGTGCTGGAGGACCAGACCAGACTTTCATTTGCTCTCCCGTCCGAGGGTCCACGATAGCGATGTGGGGATAAGCTTCCTGGACATCACGGGCCTGGAAGTAATATTGCACGTATGGAGTCCCTCGAGGGTCATCCTTGCTGTATTGTAAGAAGATGAAATTCTCCTTGACAGTATCCCGGATACTATCATTCTTCCAAAGGTCCCGATTGAGAATCTGACAGTCAAATATGGCGGGATCCTGAACATTTACAAGTATCCATTTTTCGCTTTCCCGTCCCTCTTGTCGAGCGTCATCCCAGGGTAACCGGTACATGAGCTCAAACGGCGGTCGGTACATTTCAGCTAAAAGACTAGACTTTGAGGAGGTTTCCGAAGCCCCTGCTGTAGCTTCTGCGAGGTTTTGTCGGCGGGCGCTGGAATCTGCACCTTGCCCCCAAACCGATGTCGCAGTTGCTCGCTGATTGAAGATTCCAGGTCGACCTAATATTTGTCAACATTAGCTGTATACACCCCAAAAAGCTTGAATTGCCTACCTTGCGGTCTTCTCCTTGCAAGCATTTGCTCTTCAACGGCAGCCCGCATATCTGTAGGATCACTCCCCCAATCGGCGTCCGGGCCAACCAATGTCTCCGTAGTCCTTGCCATAGGCGCGCGAATTCCATCCGCATCGGCGCCACCTGTCATATCGCCTCCGGAAAAGAGCTCTTCCTGCAAACGACGAGCCATGGCTTCATCGTCTTCGAAGTTGGCACTAATGTGACGACCGCTTTGTGTTCGTTCAGGCCTCCGGTCTTCGTCGTCTGAATCTATGTTTATTACACCGTTCTCGTCGGTTCGATACGATGATCCCGTCTCCCGAGTTCCGCCGGACTGTGCACCAGATCCAGTTGCTGACGTAGATGGGTTTTCGGATCCCTCGAGGTCCAGGCCATCGCTCTCGAAAAAGAGCTGCATGGCTTGCTCGAGGTTCCCATCGGTAAGTCTGAGATATTGGGTAGCACGCTGGGGAGTGGTACCGGTTATACCGGTAAACTGGGCAACTAGCTCATCCATGATGTAGCGATGCAAGCTATGAGCGCAGGCACCTTGAAGCCAATCGCCAGTAGCGGGTTCACTAGGACGGTATCGATTTGATTTTTGAAACCCAGCTAACGTCCTACTTGCGGCGTGCGTGCAGCTGACTGATCTTTGATCCTGATCTTCACTTAGGTGAGCGGCGTCGTGTTGAAGGAAGGTGGCTGCGGAGAAAGGTAGTAAGCAGGGAGCCGGATTGAAAGAAAACCTCCCGAACTTCGTCCAGCTTTATAGTTCGCTGCTATTTCAACTCATTCAGCGAATGTACGTAGTAAATACTTCGGAGAGCTGATTGTAAGAATTACCAAGGTGGAGAGAAATAATGAATGTGAGGTTGCTAGGGTTAAACTGGTGTGAAGGTTGAGCTAACAGTTAATCATGGAGAACGGCTGTCCTCGGTGATGATCTAGAACCCGCTATCTTATCGCATCAAGGCGACAGAACCTACGCGGCGTTACAGGATTGACGTATTTTCCGCGGGCATGCTGAGACCTCGCTAATACATTTGCAGGACCAACATACTCCGACAGAGTCCCCGCGCAGCACCGTAAGCTGCCTAGTAAAATACCTAATAGTAATAATTCACAAGACGTAGAGACTGAAAGTTGATTTATGTTGGCAAGCCTTTAATTTCAGCAGAGTATGAATCAAATACAAAAAAAGGCTTTGGTGAAATTCATGTCAGCTTGCCGGCGGGTTGTAACTGACCATTGGAACTCATCTTCGGCGGCACTTGAGTCCTTCGACCATTGTCCAGAAAAGTCGAGCTACTTAGTCCAACGACGTTTCAACGTCGTATTTGAAACAACTCAAATTAAGCGTGCATCTTGGGGCTTCCATGAGATCTGGCTAGACTACCAGCTAGGCCTTCCGAAGCATTTATATACTTCACGACACTTTCTATAGTAGTTCATACAAGGGACCTGTGATGGCTGTCCGTCTATCAACACAAGGTAAGTATCATTTGATACGCGTACTTGACACATGAGACCATGCCTTCCGTATCGCTCGTTATGTTCACCTTTCTCTAATTCCATTGCTGTTTAAATGGTATAAAGTAGACCGAATAAGCTGGCATTTTCGGGATTAAGCCTCGGGACTGTCAACATTATCATGTTAACACGTGCAACTAACCACTAATAGATACTTATTGTTCTCCGATAGGTAGCAAATTTATCCTTTGCAGGCAAATAAGAAAAGGAAATACGCCATAAATTTATGGGTTTCGAAACCAGTGTGTACGCTCAAGTTCTTAAGAATATGTTCTGGCGCAAGCTCAATGGAAAAAGAAGTATCAGTACCCGGGAAGTACTTTTTGTTATTGGGACCGCGCCATGACGGACTAAAAGTCTCACAAAGACAAGAAAGACAGATCTAGTAGTACAGTTTGGAATTCTAGCTTGAAGAATTCAGCCAATAATACTTGTATAACAGTGCTCCATCAGCCATAGAACAATGCAGGCAAGGAAACGCATTGGACAACCGACAACCTTGCATTCCCCAGAATAGCACCAGCTGAAAATCGCAGATAAAAACGAGGAAAAGGAATATTCAGGATGCCTGGTTTCGTTTCAGCTTTCAAGTGGATCTATTAAGAAACCCTTGTGGCTGAAGGTGATGCTAAACTGAATTTCAAGACGTAAAAGATTCGATGCTGCAAGGTTCAGTCCAAGGATAGAAACTCAAGAACGGTGCGGCTCAATTCGCGCCTTAATAGGATCGCAGACAGTGGAAAGGAAAAGGATATGCGTCGCGAAAAGTGGAAAAAAGTATAACAAGTAAAACAGAAATTTGGGCCTAGACTCCTCGCAACGTGCTTTTGGAGAGAACCAGTTCAGAAATGATGCGAAACGATTTTAAACAAACTAGAAAACAGGTCTTGAAAAAGGTTGTAATGCCTCCACCATCCTCGAGGGTTTTGTTTCGTGTCAAGGAATGATAACGACGCATCGGACAGATAATAATGTAAGGGTATTTTATGCAGGAACCTGGGAACAACGACATGGTCAACCGTGGTCAAGACAGGTCCGAAATCTCCTGCCATGGCCAATGCTAATGCCGAATCTTCTTTAGAGCCCAACGTGGACAAGTTGAACGCCGGACTCGAACATCACTTGAATCCAATCGACATGCACTGAGGTACCCACAGTCATCACCCCTTCACTTTGTCGCTGATATACAAATTGTAACAATTGACGAGTTGCCCTGGTGTTATTACCGACGCTTTCCCGCTCCATGGCAATGATGAGCTCAAGTGCCACCTTTTTATCTCTCGAATGATGCGCTGCAACACCGGCCAAGAATAGAGGGAAAATAATAAATCGATAGGTGAATCGGCCTTCGGCAACAATGGTTTGGCCGACACGAAGGACTTCCGCAACGCACTCGCTGATTTCTCTTTCATCCGCATTTGCGAGATGGGCACGTTGAGATGGCCACATGCTTGTATGGGAATAAATGAGACACAGACGGTACAGCGCATAAGCCTGTAAAAGTCAGTTATACTTCATTGGCTTTTACCAGGGAAATTGAATGGGCAGGGAATAACATCATACCTGTTTGAGAACACCTTCAACTCTGGGCGGTAAGCCACAATCCACGCTAAGCCAATTGGGGGGTATACGATTCTGTGTTGCACTGTTCCAGGTACGTCTCAACGATGTCTGCAAATAACCCAGTTGACTCCTGTGGCTCAATGGGGGCGACGGAGGCAGAGAACCCGTTGTACTTCCAACGTACAATCTCTGAACAGCATCTGCCCTTAACACCTTCGCCATCTGGCCAAGTTCAGCTGCCAAAATTACCAGCTCTCGATTTAGTTGCAGGATTGGTAAGAAAATATTCTGCTCCTCTGGGAATAGCGGACCGGAGATTAAAGAGGATCGCGGAGGCAAGGTCGACAAGGCTGGAGGCAAAAGATTCAATCTCATAATTGCTTGCATGAACTCTCCACTTCCAGTTCCCCCTAAAACCACGAATATATCGATAATGCAAACCCACCATATCAGGTACGGATATGTTTCTCTGACTTGTGAGTTGCGTCTTTCAAAAATAACCCGTAATAGCTGAGCAGCCCTTTGTGACCACAGATTTGGAGTCCATCGCATTGACGCAATCTGGTGGAATTAGAAATCCAACGACTACTACTTTTGCCGAGTAGAATATTCACGTACCTCATAGAATAAATTTAATACGTGAGTAACAAGAGACCCATCCGACAATATATCGTCCAAGGCTCCGAGAGGTGGCTCAAGGAACGACAAGATGTTTTCATAGTGGTCAACCGGTACACCGTGTCTCCTCGTAAGACTGAGGTCGCATAGTGCCATCAGCGCATGGTAAGCCTAGCAATGATGGTCAGCTCAGCACACGGTCCGCTCATCAACCACCACGTACAGGTATAAATACACGTGCTTGCTCCTCAAACGGATCTGCGAGGTCTTCGATCCCGAGGCCACTTGTTCCAGATCTGAAAAATTGAATGAGACGAGGTTTGACGAAGGTGCGATAGTGTACCAGCGATGCTGAATCGCTTTGATCTTGAAGATACTCAAATTGCGTTGGACTTTCAAAGGCGGCAAAGTTCGCAATCGGTTCGCTTGATAAAGTGAGGGCCTGTATGTGATGAGAGACACTTGCAGAAGATGGCATTGGAGCATAAAGCGTGGCTGGTGCTCCCTGCTGGACACTGATAGCTTGAGGTGTTGAACGAGCAGCAGAGTCCTCAAACGTATTCAAGATCACAACGTTTGGGTCGTCCTCCAAGGTTGAGAAGCTTACAGCCTGTGGAGCGTGGGTGCCACTCTGAGGCCTATTTACCAGACTCCACTCGGACGTTGTATCAGTCGGTTCAACAGATCCGCTCTCACTGGCATATTCTGGCAGATTTGCAAAGCTGCTCGGATTGACCACGACATGAAAGGTACCAGGTTGTTGAAGCTCTGCCTTTCGTTCTCGATCTTCATCGTTCGTCAATGCTGCGAATGGAGGCAAGTTGTCCTCTGCAGATGTATTTGTATTGTCACTGTGAGTTTGAGATTGTGCTAGTTGATCTGTCAGCTCATCACTTGCAGCCCAAGACGCTCAGGCAATATCGCTCTGCTGCATCTCGAAAGGCAATCTGGAATATTAGACACGGAGTGGATCTTCAAATAACTTTGAAAACACTGATTTTTTCTGCTGTCAAAAAGAAACTGAATCGCACCATTTCGCTCTTGGAGACTCTGAATCTTGCCCAGAGTAGGTTTACTTGATCAAAAATCATTGTTGGCACAGAAGAAAGGACTAGACTTACGGTTCCAGACGGGGCTCTCGCCCTTTGACGTATCCTGCATCCTTTCGACTACCCGTGGAGTGTCGTCTCGAAATGATAGTCTCGGACTATAGTCGCATTCATGACCCAAGCGGCTACAAGGCTTTCCTCTTGACTCTTAGCACCCTTCATGCGGTAAAGACGCGAGCTGTGGGCATCTCTTACACCACAAGTGGGCCGTCCTTCATCACATTTTACTTTGCGAGATCGGCAGGTCCTGCTTGATCAGTTCGAGGTCCTTTTGGAAAGTACGAAAGACTTACCAGCATCCTGTTTTTGATCGAGGAGGAAGGCGCGCTCGGGAAGAGCTGGACGCCAAACCAAACTCCTGCCCCGAGGAGGACGAGGGCGTCGACGACTGATCATTCTTGGGTGCTATCGCTGGAAAACGCACCGTCTGCTTCTTCGTCTGCCGTTCATTGTTGCTTTGCATGGGCAACAATGGAAAGCAGCATCAAATGGCCTTGAACGGGGAGAATAAAGCTCAAGCAGACTTAGACCGTCACCTCGCTGCCGCACTCCACAGGGGGAAAGAGCGTTCAATATTGACACCATAAGATGGTACATGTATACGCCGAGATTGTTCAGGACCCTAAGTCGGATGTACGGCCAAAATCTTTAGGGCTATAGTATTTTAGCCAAACTCAGGGTTGGCACGAGCGGTGCGGTGTAGCGCAGCGGGCCACCTTAACCCCAGGAGGGGCAAAGTGTCCGGATGCCGAACAGGGGGGACCTGATTACGAGCGTATGTGGGCCAGGGATTTTTCTACAAACGTCTGGTAGCTCACAGGGTTCGTCCGTGGGTCTAGACCCAGTTCAAAGTGTCAGCAGTGCGCTGCTCGGGTGCACGTTCCTCAAAAGAAGTTGTGAGGAAGTCTTGGCTTGCTAACGAATACACTGATTGTAGGCACTTTCAAGTGGGTGAGGTGTGTTTATTGCGAAACCAGAAAAATATATTGTTTGAGCAAGAAAAAGAGGAAAGCAGCAGGGATATGCTTGGTGGCTTCCACTCAGCCGAAGGAAGAGAAACGTGCTGCCGGGACGGGTGGGACATTTAGGGGTTTTCCAGTGGGTTTCAATGTGGTATTCCCTTCAAATGCCTGGTAAGATGCGTATCATAGGAATTATAAATTTCCTTTGATTATTGTGCGAGGAGAAGAAGTGGGGTGGACCAGAATGGGGTATTAGCATTGAATGTTGGAGCCACCAAACGCTTATGGTCTTGGCTCACAAGCAAAAGTTTCACGATGCTGTGGCGTTTTGAAAAAGAAAAAAAAAGGGTAAGGAAAAGACAGTAAACGATCCCTGATGGGCCCCAAGGAGCAATACCATGGGACAGACAAATACGCCGGCGCCGTTGCTTCTCGTTGTAATTGTTCTGGTCAAACTACTACGACCGAGGGAAAGCAAGAGAGATCGTCGACGCCAACTGAAGAGGTGGAATGTGGCTGCCAATAAACGGCCGTGGTTGCTCGGCGAATGACACCTCAGATGTCTTTAGCGTCTACAAACAATATGTTGAGCTCTCTCTCTCCTTCTCTTGTTCGCACAAACCCTCATATTGTTCTTGCTGTGTGCTGGCTGTTCCAATATCCAGGGTCTTTGGAGTGCGGTGGCTTCGATTACGGTAGCTACTTTCCTTGGTTGACAAACTCTGCATACAGTATTTAGAGTTTTCGATGCCTAGAAGAGCCCTCAACTTTTTCACTTGCATATTTTTGCTCTCGATTCGGGTGCGTGCGCTCTGCCTACTTCGTAGGTATGTCTCTTAACACCCTAACTCTCGTGCCCGAGGGGCACGGATGCTCAGCTTACCGGTCTTCCAATGGGGACTTAACCGTAATCATCATTTGAATCAGCCCATTTGGCTGGCTTAAAGGGTCACTCCGCTCTCTTAGTTCAGGGATTTGCTTGTCTGGCGATTCGGCAGCCCAGCGCCACAAAAGAATTGGCCACAATCCCCTGTTCATGACTCAAAGAACAGTAAGTTACTTTCTCGCGGCATCTGGGGACCGTTTCCGACGCCACTTTTTTTTTTTCGTTTGGAAATTTGGGTAGTGGGTGTCATGCACCCGCCTGTTGCCCGGCATTTCAGGCACACCCGCGGAATTCGACTGCTTTTGGCCAGATGCTGCTGCGGAGCTCTCCCCGCGGTGTACGTACTGCACTGTACACTCAAAAATGGTACTTGGGGACTGTAACTGAATTCGGTTGTAAATGCGCCGTCGCATGGTAATTCCCTCTACTGTCCGGCCAAATCTACCCTTGACCTAAGGCTGAGCTTCCCGCTGGGGCTGTGTTCAATTTCCATGTCGGTCTTGAACGTGATCGAATTCCACATGTCATTTATTACAGAATGGCCATTACGTAATTGTGCGTACAAACATGGATGTTCACAGTCAATAGAACAAACTAGAAGCAACAAAATTCGATGATGCCTTGGGCAGATCGATAACAAAAATCGCCGATGAGCGCTCATCAGTACGATCGCTATTAGTCTATCATGTTTCAGTCGGAAGTCGCTGGGCAGACGTCAACGGGACCGTTGCGCTGGCCACTGGGGCAGTAGCTCGAGCCACGCACGTTGTGAGACCCCACCACAAGGATCTATCCGCGCGTAGCTCCACCTCTTCCCCTTGACATTAATTTTCTATCCTGGCTGTTAACGAGGCGATTCCCAGTGGCGTGGTAAGCTGACCCTTGCAGCCGTCCGGTGAGAAGAGTAATGCGTAGTACTAGCGGGCCCAATGGTATCTTCTTTTAGCCATGAGGTTCTTTCTCCGTGGACATTGTAATGCGACGCAAGTATGGAAACCAGGCCACTGAACGTCATGGATAACGGAAGGGTGGGCGCCCGGCGGGGACTCCCACGTGTCTTTAGTCGGCCAGGGCGTCAGCGGCGCGACGTAGATTTTCCTGAACAGCCACCGCTCGTTCTTGCTCAAGAGCTTGCGCGATCTGTTGCTGTAGAAAGAGCCGTAACCGATGCGAGTTGCTAGGCGAAAGCTTGGCGAAAGCCAAAACGACCCCTGACCGCTTCAGCCGGAATGTCTCAATACCCTCACCCATTTCGAACAGAGCTTGAACAAATCCGGCCAGGACATCGCCACTCTCGTTGTCCGTAGCCCGAACACTTTCACACGACCTTGGTTCGGCTTGAAGGCGATCCAAAAGAATCTGGACCCCGTCACAAATAGCGCCGCGCATAAGTGTGGTCGCACTCGGAATTATTCGCTGCAGTATGGTGAGATTGCGTTGAAGTTTAGGCGTTAGATCTGGCCGAATCCAATGTCAATTGGCAAATCACTCCACAATTCCGCACTTCAGCCTTACATACCTTCTTTTGCAATGAGGCCTGGGTTTAGAGATCGGAACAGAGTCTCGATGCTGTTAGCGACTGTCGTCTCGTGTCTGGATTACGCAGTTAGTCTCGAAGCTAATGGGTGGCGTGAGTGGCTTGACGCAGCTGGCCGCACTTACATGACCTTCCCGGAGACATCACCAGATGCGGCATCCACGTCCATTGCTCCGAACTCAGGTAACGTGTCTTTCAGTGCTCCAAGTACGATGTCGAATATGTCATCGGAAATGTCTTTATCGTCACGTGCCTCAGCATAGAGCCCCAGACTCTGAATGGCGCTGATCCGATATTCCGCATTTTGGCGTTTGGCTTCCCGATACATGTACTACAACATGGTTAGCATAGTAAGTTTGATTGTAATTCGATGCCCCAAATGTCATTCCATCAATTGCATCGAACGGCAAATCGAATGAATAAAGACCTTACCATTTGCATCTGGTCCGCTATCTGGCCATTACCTTTCCAGAAAGCTCTCGACTTCCTGACAAATTTGACAAAAGCTTCTAGTACGGCTTCTTTTCCTTTCCATGACTTGCCACCTAACGCTTTTTCTAAAGCTGGCCAAATGGTCCCACAATCACTGAGACTAATGGTTTCTCCTAGATTACTGACCGAAGTAGCGACTGCAAATGCTGAAGCGTGTTTGAGAGCATGTTGGGTTGAGTCCAAATGTGTCGTTGCCAACTGTATTATTTCTTTCAGGTAAAGTGCAACAGCTCGACGACCGCCAGCGAGTTGCTCCCAAGCGTTTTCAAAGGAAGCTTTCACTTCGGAAGCAGGATTATGTTTTGCCACAAATATAAAAGGCAAAAAAGACGCGGCGAGGGAAGCAACCCTATCAGTCGCACTAGTCCAAGGTGTTAGCTCACGTTACCACGTAATTAGAATCTGCAGAGGTCGTTCAGTGGAACGCGCATGTCTTCTCGGGAGCAAAAGACAGGTCGTAACAATACAATGCCACAATCTGACTGGATCTGCACGATTGAATAGCAACCAATTATAGATCTGGAAGAACTCAAACGCATTCTTGACCAATAAAAAGGATAGAGAATCTCCACCAGATACAAACATATAGTGGATGTACTAAGAAGAAAATAACGCAAATGGAAACCCTTACGTTTTAGATACTGCCAAGATTGTATCGCCAGCTATGATTCTATACCGTTGATCTGAGAGACAGTCAGCTTGTGGTTTGGCCGCCTATTGGTAGAGACGTACTATCTGAAGAGAAGTACAGATTCTGCGCAAACTCCTCGAGCTTCAAAATTTGCTTATCTGTAGCGATCCTTGCAAGATAACCAGAAGCTGCGGCATAAGAAGTTGATACAGTGTCATTGCGATCAAAAATAATCTTCTGAACGAGTTGAAGCAAGCGATCTGCATAAGGTCGGAATAGATAACTACGACGTGTGCTCAGAGAGACAAGAACACGACTGCAGCCGACCTATCACAAAATCAATCAATTCTTGTCAGTAATCCCAGCATAGTCGGATGACAGATTATTTAAGGAGGAGTTGCGTGGGTTCGCTTACTCTAGAGGGCAGGCCGACGGCGGCTTTCATTGCCGCTTCCAATCTCGGAACGAAGATGTTCATGCTTTCCTCGTCTAGTAAATCCAAACATCTCTCAATAGCCTCCATCATAGGGGAACCTCGAATGCTCGCGAGCCGCATATCGTCAATCTAATTACAAAATTAGCTCCTTCAGAAGAAAAATTTGAAAGCAGTGGAAAGAACCTTTTGCTCAGTCAAGTTATACTTCGATGCATTCAAATGAAGATAATTTATCGCTTGTGGCTCCAAAATGCTGAGTAAACCAAGAAGTCGCTCGAGCAGTCCGGGAATGAATGGCTTAAGAACGCGGCTTGAGCTCTTCTTTACAATCTGCAGAAGCGTATCTATTGCAAGGTCAGTAGAGGATCGCAAAAGACTAGCCTCCAATTCAAAAATCCTTGTCCCTAATGGTACTTGAACCTTGAAACAGAACAACGGATTATAACATCAATTTTCTCCGTTATTTCTGCTATATTACAACTTACCGAGAGCGAATAGTTGCACTTCCTGAGCGCTTGCCTCAAGCTGAGACAAAAGAAATGGAATCACTTCTGCTAGAATCGCACCTGCTTTGGTGCTGCCCGATTCACCTGCTTCCAGGCTTCTGACAGTAATCGATGTGAGAACTCTTGCTAGGGCCATCGCAGCCACACGCACAGTCTCCTTGATATCGTCAAGGACTTTGAAGCAGAAGCCCCATATTTGTTTCAGGTATGTCTCATACTAGAAATTTGTGAGTTCAGGTACTGTTAACTGGTTCGATGGCAACTCACTTTTCCGAAGGGTTGACTTTGAATAAGATCAGCAATCGCTGCACAGCTTGCCTGCCTAACGCGCCATTCTTTCGCAATAATTGTCCGGAGTAGATCTTGTATTATATCATCGAATCTTGCGCTAATGGTGGCAGCTGGATCTTTCACGAGAGACAGCCAAATGTCGTTCATTGCCTTTTGAACGTTTGGGTTAGGGTCGAAGCGATACCGGTATAACTTTTGGTACAACTTGGGGTTCTTGGCCAGATACCCATCAGTGCTCGATTCAGAGAGTATGTTGCTTAGTCCGAAGCGTCCAAATGCCGCACGACTTGACCAAATGGCATTGTGAGACGCAAGTGACATGAATCGGTATACAAGGCTCGGATCTCCGACTTCAGATGCAAGACTCATAATCTGAAAAGGTCAGTAGATGCAGCATCTGAGCTCGCTTCAGGAAATGTGCTTACATCTTTATATGTTGTGACTGAGCCATCGCCGGTGGGAAGATCACCAGGCTCAAATAGCTGCGTCTCTCCAGTAACGTTCCCTGCCAACTTCGAACCGCCGCCGGTGAAAGACGTCAGAAGATCCCGAACAAGGTCATCCTGCATCATTAGTACAAAGAGCATGAAACGTATACGACGAACATTACCTTGGCAGTCCGATCGCCCTTTTCATAGATTAGCCCTAGCCCACGAGCAGCCGATTCTTGAATCAACTCGTCACGATCGGCTAAGAATCCCTTGAATGCAGCTTGACAATTTTCAAGGTTTGATAGTATAGCCTGCTGATGACCGCAATACTGTATCAAACATAATAGCCAGATTAGAGACGCCTAGAACCGTTTGTCAGCCTCTAAAATCAAAGGACGTGTGCATAATACTGGTCACACCTTTCTTAGGGATGGTTTTGACTTTTTGCAATCAGCCAAAACCATCTCTACAACGGTTTCAAGAGTCTTTTCTCGCTCAGCCAGCCTAGGCTTTGACCCTTCTATATCAAGTTTTGCCACGAGAGCCTTTGAATCCCAGCCAATGGAAATACAGCTCCATGCCTCGCCCACCGTGAATTGAATTTCTGGTTGTCGCAAATCATGCAACTTATGCAGTTGTTCCATAATATATGGAAGCAAAGCCCCATCAGCACTCTCCTCTGGCGTTGCCATACCTAAATATCCAAGAGCAAGGATAGCTTTTTCATCACCAGACATAGCACGTTCGGACAGCTTCGCGACAATAGATCTCTGCGAGTGGGATGTTCCTATCTGCTCTGTCTTCATTACGGAGAATAAACAAAGCTGACTTATGGCAACATCGGAAGCCTCCTGGAGTAAGGAATCCCTTGCTCCATCAGATATTTGAGCGATCATCTCCAAGTAGGTTTGCAGGCCGCAATCAATGGCCAGTTGATCCCGGCCACGAAAGAAGAGCCTGCTGAAAAGATAGGCAAGGGCTACTATACTTCCGTGTACTTTGTTCGTTTCCGCTCCAACAGATTCATTCCAGGTTTGAGCCCTTTCAAGGAGTTTGGCTGACATGATTGATACGTCCGCAATGGAGCATTCGTCATGGGAAGTAATCAGTCCAAAAGCGTGAGCTGCCATGGATCGGATGGCCGAATTATTGGCCTTGAGGGGATCCTCTAGTTTTTTCACGCCGCCAACCAAACTTTGTACAACCTTGTTGGGGCTCAAGCTGCAAATTTCGAGGAGATATTCACCGCACTGTATAGCAATGAAAGCTTCACCATCGACAAACCCCCTGAATGCTGATTGGATGTAGATACGAAGAGCTTCGTCGAGAGAAAGTCGACCTTCGATTGTCAAGCTATTCTTCCCTGCCGAGATTGACTCACCAAAGTCCATTGAAGCGATAGCATCTTTGAATTTTTCACGTGCAACCTCATCTGTTGCGATGAGACTATCCAGCCGTCTCTCCCAGTCTTCGTCTATAATTACTGGAATGCTTCTGGACTGGAAAGCTTCAACTTGCAATGTTCTCCGACAATATGAAAGAGCGGAAGAAAGCAGCGTTGTTCGCTCATTGTTACTCTTCCATATCCTCTCCACATTTTCCACAAAGAATAGATGGATTAGTTTAAAGAACTGCGGGAAGCTTGATTTTGAGTCAGGCTCTCGTCCTGGGACAGGAATCTGCACCTGGTCCGTTGATTGACTCATTCTGTACCAATAGACATCCAAGCCCTTTTTTCCTTCCTCGACAACCTCATTTCGCTCATTTTTATGGCCGCCAATTGCAAGCAGGTCGATCCAACGTGCGACTGGGTCATTATAAGGCAGGCACCGATTAGCAAAACGCACGGCGACGAACCTTGTACTGCGGCGTATTTGAGAGTCTGAGGGGTCTCCGACGTCCAAGGTCATATGGTGCAGTAGCAGACCGCGTAAAAGGTTTGCAACTTCATCATTCAAAGACTTTGACAATGCTCCAATGATGCTTGACAGTGCCTCTTCCACACTTACTGCAATATTTCCACCAGATGCTTCCTCGCTCAGTGATTGGAAAAGCCACTTTACAAGATCAAGATCAGCCTCCAGGAGTGTGGTGTCCGGACTTGATTTGGCCAAGAGGCCGATGATCTCATAAGCGTAACCTCGAAGACTAAGCTCATTCTGGGACCGAATGCCTTCAAAGTTGGCCCGCGGCCATCCTTGAACGGTTATAAATTCCCTGAGTTTTGAAATTATGGGGGCCGATATGGACCGCAAGTCCTGAGCATTTCCCATTCGGGCAATCCACGTGACGAATGAGAATATTCCGGTTTGCAATTTCGAACCCTCTCTCCCAGAACTTATTGCGGATTCTTGTTCGCCAACATTTGATTGTGGCACCAAACCCTGCTCCACGAGAGCCGTTATCCTTGCCGTGAAAGTCGTAGCAATTATTGATTTTGCAAGGAGAGAAAGGATCTTTGTTTGCAAAGCTGGTCGAACCGAAGGTACAAGTTCCGGCGTGCTTCTACCAAAGTAGATTTCAAACAACTGCTCTACCAGTACTCGGTCTTCAAGAGAGATTTTTGGTATAGCGCGCTTCGTCAAATCTTCGCCGAATTCATAGATATTAGAATTGGTGTCAGCAGATGCAAAGAGAGCTGGCAAGAACCGCTCTTTGTCAGTAAAAGCGCCACTTCCTAGAAACTTCAATGCCAGGATTTTGGACTGGGTTAAATTTAGTCCATGTGGGCTCGCGTCGTCCCAAGTATCTGCTTTTCTCTGAAGTGTAAGAAAGTCATACTCCGTGGCTGAAAGTCCTGGACAGCGTGGTCTGTCGGTTTCTGACGTGTTCTGCAGCGAGGAACGGGAGATAGAAAGTAGAAAAAGCTTTCCAAACCAAAGTGCAAGAAAAGTAGCATCCTCCGGCCGTTCAGAGAACCCAAGGTGAGCTCGTAATGCATCGTCATCTTTGCTTCCTCTTGGCGGGAGAGTAAAGAATGGCAGAAGTCTGAGCACGAGGTTGAAGAGTGCCGCGCCATGTGTTGGCGAACTTTCTACATCTGATGAAATGCCATTGAGCAAGGCGGGGAATATCTCGATGCGATCAGCGGGTTGTAGCCGCTCAAGTCCTTGCTGGATGTAATGGAGATCAAAATGTCTGATTAGCGGAACCGCTGGATTCTCTTTGAATTGCTTCAAGAGCGCGGCTACCGGTAATTTTATAGATCTGAAACTTGATCAGTACTAAGTCTCTACTCAGAAGGCTTTTCCATTGAGGAAAACAGCGAGCAGCCCCAGATTTATCTCTGATGCAGAAGGGTGTCTTGTCACGGGGAAAGCTTCGCAAAGGGCTAAATCAATATGTGCTTGAGGGTACTTACGGCAGTGTGATGCGCGTATTGATATGTTGACAGACCGAGATGACCTGAAAGTCTGCGTGAGTACATCTAGAGCACATAGAAATTCGAGAGAAGACATGAAAAGTAACACACCTTGTTGCGCACGCTCAGGTGATCAGAGGCAAGCTTGAGTAATAGAGGTGCAAGGTACACCTTCAATATCGCTTCCAGCGAGGTATCTGATTCAGCCAGAGCGATTTTGAGCTCGACAGCTCCAACAAGCCTCAGCTCTCGAGCTTCGCTGGAGCTCGATTCGGATGATGTTGACATGTTTTTGTCTGTTGCTGGAGGTTTGTCGTCCTTCCTATTCTTGACGTTCCCGCCTAACGGGGAAGCCGACTTGACGCTTAAATAAGATACGCAGCACAAGGCAACATTGATGGCGCGTCCAAAGTAAACCTTTGCACATCCACACGTTAGATTATGTTATGACTCTCGTATTGATATATTCAATAGGTTTCAACTTCAGACTAGATGGAGTGATTGCAAATCAGATGATATAGCCAATAAGCTCCTCGCCTCATAGACCGAACAAAATCACAGTTCATTCATCGCAGAGGGATCCTTTCAAGACTCCAGGCAAACGCTCAAGTAATGAGGGTCAAGAGATACAATAGCAAGACTTACTGTTATTCTCGCACGAAGCTCTAATTAGGACTTCACGATCGAATCAACCTGTATGCTACGTAGACTACTGCGGAGGATTAGAGCTTCCTATCGGGCTCGCGTATTTTCCCCGTTATCGACGTCAGCGATGAATTACGGAGTACTACTGATTGCGATATCTCCGTTGAAAGATTATGTGATTGCTACAGGCTCTCTTTGTCATTTTTGCATACAATGCTCATTATACGAAGCTATTTATAAATGAATCGAAGTTGAGAAGGAAGAAATTGAATTGGCTCAGAAACTTTTTCAATCACCACCAAAACATGGCAATGGGGACGGCAAAGCTATCGGCGTGCCCGAGCTTCAAAGCTCCGCGTTAGAATTGATATCATACGTTTCGATGAATCAAAATCCAAAACTTTTGCTGGACCTTGTCCATATTCCGAATGTCAAAGTGAATTTGTCTCTAGAAAGTCCCATTAAGAATTTTCAAGGCAACATAATTTACCACCGTGCCTTTGGAAGACAAGCCACTAGACGGTAATGGTGATTGCAACGCTTTAGTCATCTATGATCGCCCCCAACCGTCTCCTGATAATCAAGACATGGAATATCGTACCACGCCGTAGATACTCTGCATACATATCTACCATAATCGCCAAAGAAATGTCTGGCACAACGAATTTGGGTAATTTACTCCGCATTAATCCATTACCACTGAGCGCGCTCCCAGCACATCCAGCGCTCAATGGCGACGAATCATCCGCCTCGAATCGCCCTTCGCTATCCGAGTTTACATCAGCAGCACTGGACGAAGGCACAGCTTTAGTTTCGTCGATAGATCAGAAGTTCAAGGCTCGATCATGGAAATCTTCGCCGCCGTCTTCTTCCAAAGTACAGCTATTCTCGCGCACAGTTACCGCGAGTGAGCTGTCCAAGGTGCCCTGGACTGCCGGACCGGTGCCCAGACAGAAACCAGCTCCTGGTGACAATACCGAAGAAGCCTGGTTCGCACGCAGGAGCTATCATGCCAATGACAGCAACACGAACGATGCCGCTTCGTATTCAGAATTCGAAGAGGGTCTGCTAGAGAAGCATTCCGAGCACGAAAAGGAGTACACACCAGACGTCTATGACGCGTATGAGGTATTGCGGTGGGATGTCCCCGCCGAAAATATTGGGAAATATTCGCATGTCAACATGAGAGGTGAGCTTCTCAGCCTTGCTCAAGCAAATTCATGAATTACGGTCTGACAATTGCTGTCGAACAATAAATAGTTGTTGAAATGGCCCATCACATTCCTGCGCCGCTTGCGAATCGCGTGTTTTCCGTCGTTGTTGTCACCGCCAAGACATCAGACACTTCTTTTCTCGTGGTCCAGATTCCCGTGGATATCAGATCACTTTCTGGAGCATTGTACAGCAACGATCGGCATTTGCGAGAGGGAGATACCAGTATCAAGAGAAAGAAGGTGATTTTGGGCGTTTATGCTTCGGTGGAGGGCGTTACTTTGCGACACGACAATGACCGAAAGGATATTGAGTGGATTATGGGCACTACTAGTGATGCGAAAGGCTGGCTGCCAATGTCTATGCAGAAAATGGGTGTACCCGGTGCGGTAGTCAAGGACGTTGGATTATTCTTAGCGTGGGTCAAAAAGCAGAGGGAAAAGAAACAAACTGGCACTGGGTGATGTGGATATAGTGCTGCGTCGAAAGCCAAACGCCAAACTACCCTACTATCTTCCGGGCGCAGGAACTGAATAATCTGGAGATACGAATATTCAAATGCGGATTGATCTTTCTCCGGAATGTACAGCTTTGGCTGCCATGCAGGACACTCCAACCACGGTCTAAATGAGGTCCTTTCCCTCCTCCTTTTCAACGGACTCTTCGTCTACGACCACGACAGCTTTGCCCTTCATTTCTCCACTGTGAGCCAGTTCAAGCAGCTTTGGGACTTTTTCCAATCCAACAAACGGATTCGTATGGACGGAAATTCGGTGGTCAACGACCGTCTGGAGCATGTCTTGTGCTTGACCTTGAGAAGCGAGTAGCGATCCTTCGATATGAATATCACGTATGATAATTTCCAAAAATGGGACGGAAACTTGATCGGGCTAAAGTTTCGAGGCGCAAAGGTCAGATACCGAGTATAGACAGCCATGGTCAAGGACGTTGACATACCTGAGCGATCTGTATGACACGACCGTGCATCCTTGTCACTGCACAGGACATGGCTGCAGCATTTGGAGCGTCTGTAACGTTAACGGTAGCATCGACTCCGCCAGCACCTTTTGTGGCTTCATGGACCTCCTGGACCACTTTATCAAGCCCAGATCTTGCGTCTACGACGAGATCTGCGCCTGCAGAACGACACAGCTCAAGCCCTTTGTCCCTTGCATCAATAGCAACAACAGACAAGCCTCGCGCTTTTGCAAATTGTATGCCTAGATGGCCAAGGCCGCCGCCTGCGCCCATTATCGCGAGCCATTGACCTTCCCTAAGGCGAGCCTGAACCACTCCACGCCAGACAGTGATTCCAGCACAAGCCAGAGGCGCTGCGGAGATGAACGACAGCCTGTCAGGCAGACGGCAAGACTCACGAGCATCAATTCGAGCGTATTCTGCAAAGAAACCATCTTGCGTCACCCCAAGAAAGGCCTTTTGCGAACAATATTGCCGGTAGCCCTCAGGAGCGCTGCAATCAGCACACTCACCACAGGCGCCATACACGAGGCTGCACAGCACTCGATCTCCAACAGTAAAGTCTTTGACCTCACTGCCCAGCGCAACTACAGTCCCCGTACCTTCATGTGAGGCAACCAGAGGGACTTGGGAAAGCGCATACCCGGCTTGGACCATACTATCGGTATGGCACAGTGAGGCTACCGCAACCTTGACCAACAGGTCATGTTTGCCGAGTTCACGGGGCGTCGGGATCATTTGAAGCTCGTAGGGCTTGTTGAACTATTGCCAGCCGAGGACGCAATCAGTAATATACTTCCTAAAACTGTATGTTGAGAACCAACCTCGACAAGCCGAGCCGCTCTCATATCTTTGGGGATATCGGCCATTTTGTCCAGTTGCCAACCAATGGACACCTAGAGATGGTCTTCCTCACGTATCCTGATGCTTCCTTTTCACCAAATATCCAAAAAAAAAAATCAGCTACAGAAAAAATGGCCGCGAGTGATTGATCTCAAGGCAATCTGTCGTATTTAATGTCTCTCGCCGTGGTAGATGAATTTAATTCTTTCAGCCTGCCCTCCTAAACACCTGCTCGTAATGGTCTCCTACCCCGCTTTGTGTTTGTATGAGAGTGAAACCGATCAGATCATGTCCCGGAGTGAAACAATTAAGTGCAACACAGTTCCCTCTGGCTCTTTTCAACTTTATATAGCGTAACTTTATACACCGTAATCTACGAGACAAGAGTTTTCGACCATCAAGCTTAGTTGTTACTTCAAAACCACTTCCCCAGAAATCCATGGCTAGAAGGAGGGGCTCGTGCGCTCCCGCGTCGAGTCAATGCGGCGAGGCTGACATCCCGTGCCCGCCGCATTCTGCAAATTACGACCAATATACTTCCCTGCGGATCCCATCAAATCCAGGCGTCCTTTTGTTTTCCGGTTTCCCTTTTCCCCCCTGTTTGCTTCTCCACCATCTTCCAGCAGCCGTGTTTTGAAGCAGAACATGCACTGCAGCCTCCCGTTGAATGTCGAGTCCGTTTGCTTGTCCATTGTGCATTGTCCACTTTCCACTTTCCGGCTGCAGGCACCCGTGCTGCGCCGCATGTCGTTTGTTCTCCCCACTCTCGTTATTTTTCGTTGACAGTATCTGTGCTCTTGATGGAGTGTTGGAGGGTAGAAGGTAGAAAGTACAGAGTATAGGTTAACTTACGCCATTTTGACAGTCGCGCTTTTGACGTGTTGAGCACGGAAAGACACATGCGCATGATGCCCCCGGGAACTGGAGCGTACGAGTCTACGAGCTACGAGTATGCAGGTCTATGAGTCTATGAGTCTACAGGTCCACGAATCTACGATCTGCAAAGTCTACAAGTCTTCGATATCAGTGACATGCCGAATCTTCATATCCTTTTTTTTTTGTTTCTAGGCATAAGTAGTTTGTACCTTAGTTACCAATTCCACACGTACTGTTCCCCATAAATACGGAGAGTTTTGCCTACAGACAAGGTCGTTCTACGGTAGATTTAACAATGGCGGGACGAGAGGGCAGCTGGCAGCTGGCAGCGTGGAAGAGTGGCAGCGTTACAGCGTGGGGAGCGTGGGGGGAGCGGGGAGGTTGGGGAACGAAACGAGGAGAAGAAAAAAGCGGGACGGGCCGACAGGGACCACGGACCGACCACGGACTGCCAGCTTGTCATTGTAAGTTGGCCTGCTGGTCACCAACAACACCAACACCGACGACGACACCGATGACACCGACGATGGCGTTGGTTGCCAACCTTCCATCTTGCAGAAACCTACCTAAGGTAGGTAGGCAGATACATTGTTCCATCACAAAGAGGTACACGTCCGGCTACTACTACGTATTGTGAGCTGCATGCAACACTGTATACGTAGTGTAGGGTAAGGTAAATAATACCGCATGTCGTTCCTGATGTACAGTACAGAGTACAATGTATTGGGCTATGAGCAATGGGCATTGGGTATTGGGTATTGGGCATTGGCAATTTATTTCTGGAACCTCTCGATCCCTGTCCTTGGCCGAGACTCGAAAGCTACCTATATGCAGTACGCAGTACGCAAAAACAATGGGTAAGAGGTACGAGGTATGAGGTATGAGGTATGGGGCACGTCGCACTAGGGATAATGGTTTACCCTCGTAGACTTAACCTGTATCATACACCGTATGCAACCCCAAATATACCTGCACTTAGAGTACGGTATCTTGCTTAATAGACCTGGGTCTAGTAGACAAGGTATGACTCTTCAAACCCCAAAAAAAAAGAAAAGAAAAGAAAAGAAAAGAAAAGAAAAGAAAAGAAAAGTAAAGTAAAGTAAAGTAAAGTAAAGTAAAGTAAAGTAAAGTAAAGTAAAGTAAAGTAGAGTATGGTAAAGTAAAGAGAAGAGAAGAGAAGAGAAGAGAAGAGAAGAGAAGAGAAGAAAAATTAAAAAATAAAAGACATGTTTAGCATTGCCATGTGACTGACTAGTATAGATGATGTAGGCTCACAAAATGCCGAATCCCTTGTTCACAACTACCACCATCTACATCTCCCAAGGATGACGATTGCAAAGCTACGCGGAGAAAAAAATTTACCAAGGGGAAAAAACAATCATGCTCATATTACAGCAGACACAAGATACTCTAGACGAATCAAAATGATTGAATAACAGCTGACATTGGACCCAGCACCATTATCTAAGAAATAATGGTGGCAAAATTTTTATTTGGTTCATGATCGAGAATATACAGTCTTTGACAGTTCAATTTGATGAATCGAGGGGAAAGAAAAGAAATAAGAAAAAGGAAAAGAGAGAAAGAGAAAAAGAAAAAAAAAAGATAATAAGAAAGAAAAAGAAGAGGAAAGAAGAGGAAAGAAGATAAAGATACATGATTGATAAGAATGAGACAGGAGACAAGAAGGAAGAAAAAGGATCAAAGGAATACAGCAAGAGACACACACAGTCAAGACATACAGACCCAGGGGGAATATAAACAGTGATGGATTCAACAATTTGGGTAAAAATCCGCTCACACCAGACCACTAAGAAAAGAAGAAAATATAAGACCGGTAGAAGAGGAGAAAAAGTGAATGAACAATACAAATGGACGCCAGCAGAGCGAAGAAAGAACAAGGAAGATCAAGAGAGAAGAGGAGGAAACGACCGAGATGGTCTATCCCACTGACCCAGGAAAAAGACACACTCTTGTAAAGAGAAGAAACTTTTAGATTGCAAAAAAAATAAAAGGTGGGAAAAAACAGGCGTGATTTTTCAACGTCTGATGGTTCTCCTTTTTTTCTTTTGTATCCTGTATGTCAGCAAGGTAAAGGAGAACGTTATTCAGGAGAAGCAGCAAAGATCTCAGAACGCTATGCCATAGACAAGTGAGTAGGTTGAAAAGACAGCGGGTAGAATGTGCCAATATGCGAGCAATTAGAAGCAAAGCAGTATACTTCTTTCCTCGCATTGTTTTCCGTTCTTTTCCTGTCGCCCTACAAGCTCCTTCTCGTCTTCATTGTATCGGCATCGGCACTGATGCCGGAGGAGAGGGGGGTTGACGAGGATGCAGAAAATATAAAGAGAACAAAAGGTAGAACAGATTGTGGCGATGACAATAACAAATCAAAAAAGTGACAGAGGTAAAAGAAGAATAGTTGCAAAAATTTTTAGCAACTGACAGTATAAGACGGCGCTCACGTGGAACAAAGATGATGCTCGCTTTTAGGTAAAAGGTGAAAACATCGTGCAAGGTCGCTGCGCATATCGTGACGGCCGTGCATAATTCAAAGCTGGTCAGGCCTCAAAGCCAAAACCTTCATCCAGAGTCGATGAGAAACTCCGTTTGCCATGCGTGCACCAACCCCACTTCCCAATCCTTTCCCTTTTCCAATTTCCTTTTTATTCCAATTTCAACACCCTATCGCCTTCAATGAATTCTTTCATAAGCGCTTCTGGCCTTGTTGCCTATGCCAGAAGTTCGCGACGTTTACGTAGGTTCGACAAACAGCCCTCCGTGGTCGATGAGCTGTCCGTCCTCATAATAGATCCAGGAGTGTTTCCAATCGATCATATCGTCAAAAAGTTCCCTCGTTGAGAGTTTGGTATACTGCACGATGTTTGTCGCAGGGATCACAGTAGGCCATGGCTCTAAAACTGACCACCTGCACCCACGTGATGCCCTGGTGATGAGTACCTTTGCTGATTTTACATAGCATTGATGGCACTCAAATGGCAGTCAGAATGTTCATGAGCTATAAAAAGGTCATGCCCGACTCTGAGGGGAGATCTGGCTTCGCAATGACGTGACCTCGTCCTGCAACCGATTCACCTTCTCTTCCAGCCCACGAACGTACGCCCATATGCTATCTGTTCCCGTCATCAGACTCCGCAAAGACTCTCCACTTCCCTGACCATGACTCGAAGCGCTTCCACCAGGAGTACCACTAGCAGTTGAAGGCGCTACCTGACCGACTGGCACACCAGCATGAAGGCTTTGCGGAGCAGCGGTCGCATTTGGACTATGCAGAGGATAGCGCGAGTCTGGAGGCGCCAGCCCCGGCAAGGACGGAAGTTGGGGTGGATTTGCATTTGCAGGCGCTGTTATAGGCGGAGGAAGACCTATGGGCGGAGGTGTTCTTCCTGTGCTATGCCGTCCGAATGGCTGCTGCGAAAGATGATGCTGTGTCAAACTGGGAGAGCGATGCCGGTAGGCACTGGTGTTGTCGCCATGGCTAAGATGGGCTGCCGGCCCGTGCGGCGAAAGCGGTTTGGGGCTTTCCGTCATTCCAGTAGCCGAGAACATTGACGGCGGTGGCCCAGATGCATACGCAGAACTAATGCTGCCACCGGCCTTGGGACTGAGCGTGTGCTTTCGGGTACCAGAAGAAGAGTCCGCGGCAGCGCCGATGGGAGCAATATTTGTGGATCTCTGCATGCTGTTACGGGGCAAAGTTGACGAACGAGCCAAAGCTGGCGGATAGGTGCTGGAATGTATATTGGCGGGGTAGGCATCCTGAGTACTAGTCGCGGATTCATTCGGATGTCCGGGAGGCACGTCGTGAGCGCGTATGCTCGGAAGACTCAGCCGCCTTCTCTCTCTGGAGACCTCAGATGGTTCTTCTTCAATCCGTTCGCCTTCTCCACCTCCGCCGCCAGTATAGAGCAGGCCATCCATGTGGTCCTCAGCTGGCTGAACACCAACGCCGGTATCGTGAGCTCCCTGCGGACCCTCACCATATTCATCCTCGCCAGCGAAACTTCCAGCGCTGGCTCTTCTTCCAGCGCAGCCACCCTGCCCTTTGGTATGTCTGGCCAAAGCGTCGCCACGAGCGAACCGTCGACCACACTTGGCACACGAATGCGGACGCTCTCCAGTATGCAGCTTCGTATGACGTTTCAGGTCGTGTAATCGTCGAAATCTTGCCTGGCACGTTGGGCAGATATAAGGCTTCTCATGACTATGCGTGAGCAAATGACTCTTGAGGTTGTGATGCCGTGTAAAATCTGTTGCGCAGTACGGGCACTTGTGCTTCTTCGCAGTCGGCGAGCGCGGGCGGTTTTGATTAAATGCAGGCATCGGGAGGCTCATTCCGCGGGCGGGGCCAGCGCGGCCATCATCGGGGAAGCCGCCAGCGGCGAAAGGCTGAGGGAATGACAGCGCTTTATTCGAAGGTCTTTCGTCTCCTGGTGTGGTCAGCTCGGAGCCAGAGGGGCCGGTCGTTGTCGGTTCTCCGTGCGAAGGGGGCGCTGTCGCTCCTTGCGTACCGGGACTGGCTAGACTATTGGTGCTGCCAGCAGAGGCGGTGGCGACCGTGGTGCCTTCACCTGTACCATAACTAGAGGCGCTTCCAGGGCTTGGCTGAACATTGGGATCGATGGGCATTGGATCGGGAATGCTAATGGGCCTGGACACCGAGGCAAGAGACTCACTGAGCGCGCCGGCAACAGCATTGGGAGCATCTTGCGCTTTGCTCATCGGCGTATTCTGTTCTCCAAGTAAAGCGCTGAGACCAGTTCTTGCGGGGTTGGGACTTTGCTTTTGTGATTCTCGACGTTCCTTTTCCTCATTCATTCGACGCTCGTCGGCCATTGCGGCAATCCCGGTAAGAGGAACGGGGGAATAGCGTGTTGACAGTCCGACTCGAGCGGCCTTGGGTGAAACGGAGGCTCTGAGGCCAGCACTAGCAAGTGACCCAAGGTCGGTAGAAGGGGGGAGCTTGTCGGAGCCGGGCGGTGCAGCCGATCTATTGGTTGCTTCGACCTCTGCGATTGTTGGTAATGGTGACGACGAAGAAATCAAAGCTGATGTCGTCGACAAGGCAGCAGAGGCCGGGAGCGGCTGCTGGTCCGTAGGGGTGCGGGGAGCGGTAACAGTAGGACCCAAATCGGCCATGGAGTATATGCAGAGAACAATAAAGGGCACAGAGGGTGCCAGTGGAACTTGACCAGCTTCTAACTGCGTCAAGAGTAATCGAGTCCCTATCAACTGTATTGCATTAGTTACCAGTTACGGAAGATGAAGGCGCCCATCTCAGCGGCGATAGAGAGCATGACTGGGTGAGGAGTTGTACGCCAGAAAGAACAGAGGGTATTAGCAGAGATGTTTTGATGGTGGACGAAGAATCGCACACTGCGTAGGAAGCGGAGTGGTGACAGGATGCGATAGGTGTATGCCAGGGCGTTGAACCTCCGGAGCTAGGTCCGGATAAGCCAAAATTGTAATGTGTTTAGGACCAGGACCGGGAATGTGCTCTCGTGGCCCAATCTCAAGCCAATCAAGCCTGCTTGGGGGAGAAGCAAATAGGATATGACAAGAAAAGTGGCGCGCATGGGCATTTTCTGAACAAAAAAACAGAAAGCACCCAGCGCAGAAAGAGAGCCCAAACATACCTCTCCTTCAAAAGAACCGTTATCATAGGCCCGTCACGTCCGGAACGAATCACTCATATCTGATAACAAATAAAACGTAGAGATGTTCCTCGGTGGTCGCCCTATCTAGATCCAGGCGTGTACGAGCAACCGATTGGTGCAGTCGGACAGCGGTTCGGTGAAGCTGGAAGGCGAACAATGTGCGAATTCAGGACTGGGGAAAAAAAGTTGAGGCGAGAAAGCCAGTGCGCGCGATGATGATGCCGCTTGTGGTGGGGGACAATAGGCGATGAAGTCGGATCAAGTCAATGGTGACAATAGAGATGAAAGTGTTTGATCCGTACGTGCATTCGATTTTGTCGTATGGGATGGCTGGTTGGGAGCAGGGTGGGCAAGCCTCAAATGTTTCTTTTCCTTGGGTGCCGTCAACCTCGGGTGCGCTTCTTCGAGCTGTGGCGCTGCAGAAGGTGGTGGTACAAGGCGATGACCAAGAGGGACCAGCGGGAACGAAGTCGCGACAAGAAATTTTGGGCAGGCGGCTCAAAACGAACGAGTTGTGCAATGAGCACGTCAGAGGTACTCCAGTAAATAAAAAGTATTCGAATGTTCCCAGGATATCTGAGCACAAGAGCGCGCAAAAATAATCCCGAGCCGTATAATTTGAAATTCAATTTACAGGTTCAATGCATTGGGAGTCCTATTTGGTTCGTTTTTCCCTTTTTGCCCTGCTGCCCTTTACGGCCCTTGGGGATGGAAACAGATGGGGGTGGGATCACAGCCAAGTTTTGGGGGAGCTCGACCGGGATCATTTGGGTACCGAGTGACACTTCTTGGCTCAAGCGGCCGGGTAGGAGGCACATGGGGAGGCAAAAAAAGGTAACTTGTGACGAAACTACGCTTGGTAAAATACAATCTACTGGAGTAGCGCTATACGGGGCCTGGAGACTTGCTGGGGGGGTGGGTTTGTGGGCGATAGGAGAAAAAAAGGAGGGGTGCGCGTGTTTTGTCCGGTTTCCATTTTCCAAGGAAGCCATCAGAGCAGTAAAACAGACAAATAGTTAGATGCTGCAGCTGTAGAGTTGGTAGTGAGCGGAACCGCCAAGTAACTCGAAGTTAGACTCGGCTCAAGGGTTGATGGATGACGGGAATTCCTTGGTTGTAAAAGTGGCTGGTGCATTGAGAGCGCTTGACTTCTCTTCCGGATCAAATGATATTGACTGCTGTTCCATCTCTGGAACCGTGCCTCCCCAATAAATGCTCCAGGGATAGCGGCGCATAAGCCCCGTCATGCCAAACCCACAACTTATTTTGCGCCCCCTGCCAGATTCAGCAAGAAAGCCCCATCTAAGTCTAGGACGCTCTTCCGTTGTTAGCATCCATGTCTCTCCTCCATAAAGATCCGAGCATCCAAACATACTGAGAAAGGGTTCAGTACAAGAGAATTTTGGATGAATCGATCAGCAAAATTAGTTAAAAGAAAAACAAAACGGTACGGAGGCAAAAGAAACGTATGACGAAATGCACGGTGAGTAGGACGCGGGCAAGTATAGTCGACAGCGTGACGGGATGATGACAAGTCAGAAATTTCAGGTAAGATTGATGTAGATCTTAAACGGCAAAGAAAGCACCAAAAAGAGGAGAGACAGCCACAGAGAACATTAAAGAGTGTAAGCAGGGCAGATCCAGAAAGCTGGTGGCGGCGGCAGCGGTACCTCGTCCGGTTGAAGGGGCTGACTGCGGCTGGAAATCAGCGATGCTCTCTTAGGCATGGCGTCCTCGGTACGCCGGCCGGGCGGGTTGCCTCCTCGAAAAGCCACATGCCCGCCACTTGCGGTCCCAAAGACTGGTGCGATTGATGCTCAACAGATTGCTTTGTACGCAGATGCCTCGTGCATCTGCCTCTGAAGCGCTTCAGCTAGCCTGTCATCAAGACAGCTTCCTTGTAGCCTAACGGTCCAGTCATTCTATGGCTCTGTTAAAATATCTTGCATGTCTGTGGTCTCCAGCTATTTGACCAGCAAGAAAAAATGTCGACAAAGAAAGCGTAGCCATTGCGTCCGGAAAGAAGACAAAGTGTAACTATCCAGTGTGTACAGATGTACAGAGTTAGATTATCTGGAATCCAGGAGCTGCCCTATCGTGCACGTACCGGTACTCGTCCTATTACGCCGAACGCCAAGACTCCGTAAGCCGGTCTATTTGTTGCGGTGGGCATCGGAGGCAACTAAGGGGGGCTGATCTGATCGTAAAAGAAGGTGAGGATCGAGAAAGCCTCAGAGAGCGACTGGCAAAAAGCCAGCGTCCCGATCGAGCGGCGGGGCTTGCGTTGGAAAACATGGGAACAATTTGGCAGTCTTAACTGAATCTGGTATGGAACAGAAAAGCCCCAAAACATTTCAGCCAAAAGACTTACTACTGCGCCGCGAAGATCAGGGAACGAACCATAGGATGGGAGGCGCTGCTTAGTTTTTTGGTTCTGCGGGCCCCGGCAGGCTGTGTAGAACATGAAGTTAGTCCGCCCACGTCATCCTCCCTGATTGAGGGGACCATCCTCCCCTTGCTAATACCCAGTGGCGGGGCGCATCGGTAGCTAGGGAAAGCTGCTAATAACTAGTTAGCTCCGCGTGCCACAACCACTCTTTCATGTTATAGATCCGCCAGGTTTGATTCAAGGTCGCTCGAATCTTCCTGTCCTAGACAAGCTCCATCACGAGTACGCACAGTCTTTTCAATGATAATAATGGACACTTGAATCGATACATAGGTAGGCTTCAGCCTCACCTTGTGCCGGCCACGGAAAGGAGCCCAACAGCACCTTGTTGATAGCTGTTGATAGCTTTTGTCTGCTGGCGACAGAGTTACTTCCGGATACCCTGCAACGCCAAAAGACCTTTGCATGTGACGCGGTATTTGCCAAGTACAGGAGTCGGACAGGGACGGAGCTTTAGATGACAAGCAGCGTCGGTGCCTTACCAAATGACTACCTTACGTACTTTCTGGGTAAGGTCCTCAGGTAGCTACCGAGTACGCAATGGCTGATGCTCACGGTCGATACACAGCCACGTGAGCCACGCGTACCAGGAGGGAGCATCACACAAGCCACACTCTTGTCGGTTGAACTTCGTTTTTGCTTGTGTATTGTAGCAGTCACCTGGAAGATTAGCGTTGACGTAGGATTTCTCATCTTTCCTATTTTTTTTTTTCTTCACCTTTCCCTCTTCTGGTTGTAACTGTTGTTATATCAAACGACACAAAATTCAAATGTTTCCAGGTGGGAACGAGGCACTAAATAAAAATAAAGATACCAAATATAATACCAAAAATGAAAGTAATGAACAATAAATCAAATAGGTATAAGTTGATGCCAGCAATATAAGCATCATCTAGTCATTAAAGCATTGTGGCTGCTAAATCGAGTCCAAAGCCGTTTTATTAAGATTTCTCCTTTTGGCATCTTCTAGAGCCTTCGCCATTCTTCGAGCGTGGTCGAAATCGGCATCATGTCGAATGGTCGAGCTGGTCCGCGTATCCGGTTCTTTTTCTGGGTCGACTAAGAGTATATTCTGGGCCTCGTCGATGATTTTCTTATGGTCTTCATTGAGTAACGAGAGTTGACGATCAAGTTCCGTGCCGAGACACTGCTTTTGCTCCCCTCTTTGCCTTTCAAGTTCGGCCATCCGCGTCTCATCCGCGGCAGAGAAGCTTATTTCGGCTATTTGTAGATCAAATTTGGCATCTGTCATTTCAAGTTGCGCAGCATTCAAATCCTGGACGAGCGAAATGGAATCCGCGCGTAGAGAATGCACGACAGCACAAACTCGCTGGAACAGCTCCTCTGATTTATTTCGTCTGCTCGAAATATGCTTGTAATGCTGGTCAATTTTGCTTTTTCGAATCCCATGGCCAATCAAGTTGAGATAATCTTGATTTTCCGAGACACCTCTAGCAATCGATCGCTCCAGTAAGTCAAATAATCGTCTAGACCTGTCAGATTTTCTCTTCGCAGCGTCTAAAACCGTCCTCTGGGTCGATGCTTTGAAGTTATCTTCTACCCCATTCGGCGTTTGCGATTTTCCCATTGATTCTGGCCGATTTTTCTCAACTTCTGCAAAGCGAGTATCTCTCTCTCTTATAGCCGTTAGTGATTTTGCATGGAGCGATTCTATACTCCGGTGCAACGCCAAAATTAGTCGCGATACGTTTGTCAAAAGTGGTTGATGAGCACATGCATCAAGAAGTGCCTGCTCCCAAGCAATGCTCTCCTTGAGAAGACCGGCACAGACAACGTAGTGTTCCATAAGATGCTTTATGCCCTGCTGAAGAAGGTCATACGTCGGCTGAAAGACACTGGTGTTATAGCTATTGTACTCGTCTATATATTCTTGAAATTTCTTTTGCATCTCTTCATCTTCGAATTCCTCTTCAAGGTTGTGTATATCGCCGTAGCCGATTTCGTCATTATCGAACATTGCATCGATCTGCTCCGCTGAATGTTCTCGACGCCGTTGGCGATCGATATACAACTTTTCGCGGACGGATTTTGCCTGTCTTTCCCATTCAGTATAAAAATGCTCCAAACCACGCAGACTTTGATCACAGTCTTGCAGAGCTTGCTCAATCTTCACTAATTGAGGATCTTCTGTTCGCGTTTCCATCTGCGGCGCTGAAAGAATAAGATCCAGATTTATGCTCAGTGGATCGGTGTCATCTTTTCCCAACGTTCCATTTACTTGATCAGCAACGACAAGTTCCATTTGAGTGACACCACCTGGTGATGCCATTGACATCTGATTCATAGAAGAAAGAGGACTCGGTTCATCTTGTGAGGGCGACGGCCTTCCACCTGCCTTATGATCATTCTCGTGCCTGGATAAAGCCGAATGAACATCGTTCGCGCTTTCAGTTTCTTTCAAGAGCAGAGGACGGAAAGGCTTGAAAGGCACACTTTGGTATTCTGGCGGGGAAGCGGATGCTGATGATGGACGTCTGATATCAAGATTATCACAATGGCTCGGTTCTGGGGCCGATACGCCCGAAGGAAGACTAAAATCGCCTTCTTGTGCCTTGTCGAGCGTGTTTCTGTTGTCGAAATTGGATGGTTGATATGAATGCGCTCCCTGCGTTTCCATGCCTGAACTAAGGCTAATGGGAGATTCTCCATCAATTGCAGAGCCTTTAGGGCTCAGCGTTACCGAGTTCTCCGGCCTGGGTGAGATGCTCTTCTTGACTGTGTCGCCTCGCGAGGTAGCTACCTTTGCGGAAGTTTCGGCCGGAAATTTTAGCATGGGCCTTCCGCCGGGGCTGTATTGAGTTTCATCCACATTTTCTGCCAGGCTGCCCGTGTCAGCAGTTGACACTGAAACCACTGGTCTACCCATTTTGAGGCTAGGTTCCTTTGTATCCTCTTTCCTCGTATCCTGTGGCATTGGCAAATCGCGGTCCTTGGCTTCGAGCCTGGGAATAACCACGGGCAATCTCAGTTTATACCGATTTTCCCTCAACCCGATTTCTGTCCTGATAAACTCAGAAAAGATAGTGGCCCTATCGATATCTGAGGCTGCTCTCGACTCATCCTCAATCATTGATAAATATCGAAATATCGACTCCTTGTACCAAAACGGGACCTCAAGTGGAATTTTGATCCCTTCGTGTTTCTGGTGCTGCTGTTCGATAGGCAGAGAATCCCTCTCAAGACCCGGAGAAGCAAAGCTTTTTGGCGAATTCTCCACAAGATCTCCCGTACTAATACTTCGTCTCATATGCTCGATGCCAACTTGGACTGGATCTTCGAAATGGGATTTCGTATCATGAATTCCAATATGACCCTCGGCAGAGCTGTCAGGCTCTTTCTCCACAGGGCTAGGGATTTTGACATCAGTCATTTTAAGCTGACGCAGCTGTGTGCCTTCGTCCACCTGGATATGAGTATCGCCTTGACCAGGGCCTTCATCAACAGGGTGGGATGGAAGTTCCGCAATTACAAAACCCTTCTGGTCAGGATCGTCTAATGAAAACCTTGCCTCCGAGACAGCCTCGACATTGGGTTCTGTGGATGACTCAAAAAGCTCCCAGTCAGATGGTCCTCCTGGCCCAAGAGCTGAGGCCTGCAATGGTCCACCTGGACGGTCAAATTGGACAGATTCCGCCATGACACTTTGATCCGGATCTCCCACAACCAGTTCATTCTTGACGGGGCTTTGGTTTTCGCTAAGCCCATTAACTGGTTCTCTGAATGGACCGATAGGCGGTGGAGGAATAGGGCTCTCGCTTTCGGCATCAAGAGACCAAGGATTGAGAGAGCCAAAGTGTCGAGGAAGCTGGACTTCAGTTTTGAGTGCCTCATTGAATATCTCATTGTGCGTCCCCGGACTATGATCAGGCCGTATTCTATGATTTGGCAACCCCGATTGGCCAATAATATCCTCCGGCTGCGCCTTGGACAGTCGGCTCTCTGGTACTTCGACTTGAGTCGAAATGGGCGTATAAACTTTTGGTTTATCATTTGCTTGCCCCTCTCTGTTGGCAGAAACAGGTTCTATTTTGGGTGGAGGACTGTATAATGAAATACTTTGAGCAATAGTCTGGTCATTCGAAGTTCGGGGGCGAGGTGGTACAGGAGGGGGGAGAGCTGAATCGCGAAGACCGTAAGCAACTTGATTCGGGCTCAGAGATGATGAATGAACGCCTGTAATACTCTGGTGCTCGAGCAGAGATGCTCCTTTTGTCTCTGGCTCATAACGATGGCTCGGTGGTCGATCAGAGTAGGGAGGGTGCTGAGGCATTGCCTGCATATTCTTTTGCACTTGTTCTCGATATCCGGCAGGAAGCGGTGGCAGAGGAGGCGGAACGTTATCCTGCTGTTGTGACGGCTGCCCTACTCCTGGGCTAGCAGACGCCAATTGATTCGTCTCACCGGCCTCTTGGGTTTGGGGTCGTAGCCACTGTAGCCCGCCAGTTGCAAGTTGTACTGGCTGTGATTGTGGCGGCTGGGTGAGCCCGCTTGTGAGAATCGCGGGGTCGGAGGGGCTATAGTAATGTTGAGGAAGAGAAGTTGAAACCCCTGGTAAAGTTGTATCATGAACTGTGTTATTTTGCTGTTGAAGAAGCCCCATTTGCGGTCCAGGATGCGCGGGGTCAATTGAAGGGACTGTAATCGGTGCGCTCTGGAAGAAACCCTGCGGCGCAGACATCGGATTTATCATTGGATATGAAGCACCAGGCATTGGCCCGTATGTATTGGGATCGTAGGGAGCAGCTGGGGCAGAATTCGAGAGCGGAGTATATGACTGGTGCGATGCATGTTGATGGCCTGCAACCTGGTATGCAGTGCTAGAAGCTTGTTGATACCACGGCTGGTATGAGGCGTGACCATGTTCTTGACGGTACGGGTCTCAAACGTCAACATGTTAGTAAATCCAACTAAATTCTGGACATCAGTTGGTCCTTTCATATCAAACAAAAATTCGTACAGTGATTAGCATGTGGCACAGGCTGCTGGTAATGGACACCGTCATGGGAGCCATAGACTGAGGGGGGGTTTTGGTCATAACTATGACTTGGGGGCGCCATGTAATAAGTACGACAGATATCTTGCTTGAGACGACGACGTAGAAATTAGCCTGCTTGATAGATTTCCTTTACATGCAAAGTACACATTATTTTGCATGTTGGTATTTGACTCGGTAGGTGTGTAAGGCAGGTTTATATGCCGTCATGTGAGTTGCGTAAGGTAGGTACCACTAAGTATGCGCTTAGCAAATGTGCCCCGGTCGTCCATCATTGGCTCCACTCTGCTGTGTATACCGGAGTATGGAGTAATATAACGCTTCTGCACGGCCCGACGGCCACGTGCCGACATCTCTTCTGAGTTTATTATGAGCTTCTGCGATACACCGTCAGTCTGACCCAGTAACAAATCAAACATGTCATTCTGCCCGTGAGCTGGAACCTCAGAATCAATGCCTCAGATTTTTGACCAGGCCATAGAAGTACCAGACTTATTGCTGAATTATTATAACGCTGAATTACCGGCTTGCTGCGACGATGCTGATCGCCAGAGGCGCTCATTAGCACGTAGAGCAAGTGAATCTAAAAGCTGTTCATATCTGGGATTTTGGGATTTAGGACAATCATCCCACTGAAAGAATGCCGTTGTAATATGCAAAAATTAATTCAAACAGAAGGGTTGATAGGGGTGTTGAATAGCACAGGGGAATTATTCCACGACGCCTTGCCTCCGGCGCGCAGCTGCCCAGCCTACTTCTCCGCAAAACATTCATTGGCCCTCTGATTGATCCCAAGTGAAATTCGGCTAACCTTGCTTGACCAAGTAGTGTTGAGCAGCTTGCGAGGTATATTCGCATAATATGTAAAATAAGCTGCTATCGGAGAGTAAAGAGAAATACTAGACGCCTTTTCAAGTTGCCCGAACCCCCCTGCCGACACTGCCGGTCTCAAAGATTTCAATAAGACCGGCGCCAAGGCATTCCTCTAACGTCCAGTCAAAGTTCAGACCATAAAGCTGCTTCCACTTGCGCGTTCGACCTGGCAGAACGCCAGTATTTTCGCCCCTTGCTCGTTTCGCACGAGACGAAGGATCATCCGCAAAAAGTCCGCCTTCCCACCTGTCCCGCAAAAGGCTTACGGGTGCCTCTCGGTATTTTGATTTGGCAAGGAGCGACATGAAATGTGCCCTTGCATCACTTACAAGTCGTAAATACGGTCCAGTGCTCGGGAGAGAGACAGAATACCTATCTCCGCCGGCGTTCTGATCTCGCTGTCCCGTCGGTAAAGTACCACGCCGGATACCACCCCCTCCGCCTTCTTGAATGGCGTCAGGTCCGCCCACAGCATCTAACGTACCTGATGCAGCCTTGGCGCCTACAGATGAGAGGGACGCTAAAGTTCCTAGAGAGGCCGCGCCGGGACGAGAATAAACGTCAGTGGAAGTCCAAGGTTGCGAAGATGCCGTCAGGAACCCCGCTCTCATCAAAAGCGTCGCATCTTGCGGGCTTAAAGCGGATCGCAGAACTGTAATGGACGTTGGGTTTTGATGCAAGAGACTGAGAAACCGCTCTAAAGGTGCTGTTAGCATTGAATTAAAAGTGCATATCTAGGTACTGCACACCCACGTTTTAGAGGTTCCCCAATCTCCGAGGAATCTTGGATCATTTTATCCCAAGCTTCCGCAAGAACTAGGCCTTCGCCTAGTCCATTTCCTCCGACTGCGCGCTCAGGAACCACAATCTTTCTTATAAAGCCAGACCTCAATAGATGAGAGATTTCTTTCTCTGTCGAAGTAGGAGAATTGATGAGGGCATGAACGTGAGCAGCAGAGACGATTGGTGGCAATGATCTCCGGTAATTCAACACTTCGGCGATACGCGTGCTATTCACGCCAGCCCTTTCGGGAAGCTTGTCAAACATATGACTGTTGATGTATTTAATCGCCTGAGAAACATCACGTAGAGAAAGGTCTGTGGCAAGACACTCGACCAGCCCCAGATCTGTCAGATGTTCGTCCGACTCTTCGTCATCCCCGCCCACACTCTCTGGTTTTGATTTTGAGCGGGAGAGAGGTTTTCGACGAGGATGTTTCGCAAAGGGAGAAGACAACGAGAATGAAGTAGACTTCTTGAGGACCGAGTTTGCACTTCGTGGTTTCGTTATCCTCGAGGAATGCGCCGCGGTGTACTGCAATGGCATAGTCAAACTGAATCACTTCGTATGTCCTGCCAATGTTACAGATGCGGATACAAGATCGGCGTATCAAAAGCAGTCGACAAGGAGCCCATATGGCTTGATAAGAGTCGCTTCAAATCCCTGTCCGGAATGCTCCTTGTACAGTGAAGTTGCAATTACATCGACTGTTTAAGCAGAGATGCCTCCGACTGTGAAGCAAGTGGCGAGATTTTGGCTTCCAACACGACGTACACAGTCAATGATGTTACGGCGGACGGGGACTGCCATCATCGCAAACGCTGCTGTCACTTCAACGTGGAGACGAGGGAGGACGTGCAGGCAACGCGCAGGTTACCGTTGTTACGCTCTGGAGTACTCTTATGTCAGGGAGCTCGGGAGAGCTAAACATGGCGGATGGAAGCCTTACCAGAAGTACTTGGTAGGTACTTATGTGACGTGACACCCTTTCAAACATTACGTCGCATCTCAACCAAGTTGTTGGAGTGAGGAACTGTAGCTATCAAGTCGTTCCGGACTCATCGTCATCCGCTTCCAGTTCGCTGCTTTTTAAGAGGACTGCCGGAGTTCGCCCCTCTTCTAATTGAGCACACCACGGCATTGCAGGTCAGCGGCATACTCTTTGTTTGTCTTATGAAGACATTTGCCGCTCTCTAAAATGGCGGCAACATCAGATCCTGCCATTGCATCTCAGACTTCTTTGCCGCTAGAGCGTGAAAAGCAGGACCTAGCTCCAAAGAGCTACGCTGAAGCAGCCAAAGAAAATAAGACCGGCGCCGGAGATCACGAAAAGTACGATGGCGATGCAGTGAATGGAAAGCCAAACCAGCGCGATCCCAAAGGAGTCAAAGTGGGAAAGAGCGAAACTAGGGTGATCTATGAAGAGGTCGACGGTTTGGATGGCGGGAGACTGGTTAGTGTGAGGCTGAACAACACAGGCAATGATTCCAGTAGCTTGCAAGAGGGAAGATCTTCTGAAGATGGGCGGCTGGTCAGTGGCCGCAACGCTGAGGCTGGGTGGGAAGGGGCCGGGTAAGTAGAGATTTCATCATGGCTGATGCTTTCTAGCTAACAGTCAAATTGAAGAATCCATTGGGCACCCCTCCATGTCCCCCTGCGACGTCGATTACAGACGCTGGTCGTGCTATGTCACACCCTTTGCGTTCCTCTGACCCTGACGATATTTTTCCTTCTTTGTGCCATCCCGCTTTTCTGGCCACTTCTCATCCCGTATCTCCTCTACGTCTTGTTCTCGCGTGCCTCGACATCCGGCGAACTCTCACATCGTTCGGATCGTTTCCGATCTTCTCGCATCTGGTCCCTCTATGCATCATATTTCCCTGCGAGACTTCACCGCTCGGAGGAGTTACCGCCAACGCGAAAATATATATTCGGCTTCCATCCTCACGGAATCCTTTCTCATGGCGCATTTGCCGCGTTCGGAACTGAGGCATTAGGCTTCTCCCAACTATTTCCTGGAATCACCAATTCTCTACTCACGCTTGATTCGAACTTCAGACTTCCAGTCTATCGCAATTACCTCCTCGCAATGGGACTTGCTTCGGTGAGCCGCGAGTCATGCCAAAATATCCTTTCCAAAGGCGGGCCCAACGGTGAGGGTATGGGCCGAGCCATCACCATTGTTGTTGGCGGTGCCCGTGAATCTCTCGATGCTCAACCTCATTCTCTTCGCTTGGTGTTGAAACGCCGCAAAGGGTTTGTCAAGCTTGCGATTCGGCAGGGAGCGGATCTTGTTCCGGTTCTCTCTTTTGGAGAGAATGATATTTACAATCAACTACAACCTAATGAGCATCCTTCCGTATTTAAAGTTCAGCTCTTGATCAAAAAGCTTTTGGGCTTTACTATTCCTCTCTTCCATGCTAGAGGAGTGTTCAACTACGATTTTGGCATGATGCCCTACCGTCGACCGTTAAACATTGTCGTCGGCCGCGCGATCAAAGTAACTCAGCAGAGCAAACCAGAAGACGCGTATGTAGATCAAATTCACGAAATGTACGTAATGGAGTTGGAGCGGCTCTGGGAAGATTGGAAGGATGTTTTTGCAAAAAATCGGACAGCTGAGTTGGAGATTGTTGAATAACCTAGTCAGCTCAAATTTCAGATTCTGCAATGCTGATGCTTCCATCTACAATTGTTCTTTCAATGCCTGAAAATTGAATTAATTACATGGAATTCAAAATTTAGACATTATCAATGGCAAAGGATCGGGCGATTCTGGATATCAGCTATAGCCCATCGGCTCTCGCCAATTGGTCATGTTATCAAGAACGGTCTACTTTGCAGTACTTCCTGTCGCGTCCGGTCTCGTTGCAATCTAATCCTTGCACAAGAAACAGAGAGTTGCAAGAAGCTGGCACAGGATTGGCTGATAGAACTAGAATATGGATTAGAAGTTTTATTGAAAAGGCAAGACGTAAGTCAAGCAGACAATAACGAGCAGCCGGAGGTATGACTTTTCTTTAAACAATACACCACACGGAACACCAGAAAATTTATAGTACATGTTCAACTTAAATACTCTAGCCTCTCGTAGTTCGCCTCTCTTCTGCTTGTCTCTTGGCTCGAACCTCGGCCCTCCTGCGCTCACCGCCATCAATCTTGCGACCACGTTTGTTCTCCCACAACCCTTCAATGACCGAAATGGTAGCTACCGTTCCCTGTGTGCCTTTGACGGGTGAGACATGAGGTCCTTTGACTTGACTGGCGCCATGCACTTTCATAAAGCGAATGGGCTGTAGCGACTCGGCGGGAATACTAGGCTCAGACTCGCCGTACGGGAGGTTGACAACGATTTTTCTTTTTCCTGCGGAACCGGTGGCTGATGCCGCTGCATCGCCGGTGGACTGGGATTTTATTGGAACAGGAACTTCAACCACACGGACTTCGGCCTTTCCCTCGACAACATTCTGCAGATCACCGCCCACGCCATACTGTCCTTTTCGAAATTTTTCGCACCACCGTAGCAGATATCTGCGGTCCCGGGCGGGTTCAATGCCTAGCTCGCGCAGCTGTGGCGAAGAAAGCGAGAAGAGTGCTTCCCAAGAAGGGAGCTTTGATGCGTGCTTGCTCAGATTGCGACCGATGAGCGATAGGAATGTCTGGGTATCTGGGACGAATGGAGTAGGTGCTGGAACCCTCGAGGCCGGCATCCGATGATGCAGCGAACGAACATGCTGACATGTCGATACTTTCAGATTTCGGAATGTTGGAGGAAAGAACAGCCGTAGCTGCGACGCTCGGTTTATCATTTTGAAGAAACGCTCTTTGGGAAGAAAAAGTGAAATGACCAGAACGAACGCTAGAGGTTGCTGATTAGAAATGTGAAGCAAAGATTGTAGATGAGCACCCGTTCGTACCTAAATAGCCTCGAAGGATATCCTTTAAGATACCCCTGCAAAGAAACGACAATCAGTCGTTCTGGAATATGGAATTGGGCGCTTGGGTTGAGTGTTGATATCAATGGTTCCTGACGCCGTCAATCTGAAATGGCTTTCCCGAAAGATTGAATGGTTCGACGTCCGCCTCGGTCTCTATTGACGGCATTTCCCGAGCGCCGACAAGTCCACGAGCAGCATGGACACCAAGCAAATAACACTGTAGCTTGGCACAACTACATTACCTGTTACCAGCTCCGTTTCTCTTTGCGCTTTACAACTCCTTGGATTAATTTATTCAAGAAGCTGTGGAATAGCCATCTGGTCGTATGCAACATTGCATAGCCGGGAATGGCTGTCTCCCCTGCTATTCCTGGTCCCCGTCCAGGGGACAGCACTATTACAGCAACAAAGGCCAAGTCTCTTGCTGTTGAGAGTAATGAAGCCTCCAAATCAGCACCGGAAGCCATGCCAGACATGGCTGAGCATTTAAATGAGGAGACAAAACAAAAATACGTCAAAGGTATATTTCTCGCTGCATTTGGACTGACGAGATCGGTGAGCGCTAATGGGTTGGTAGATAAGAAGCTTGGTGAAGGAACCTACGCTGTCGTCTTTCTTGGGCACCTTCGAGCAGATCCCAAGTCTCTGGTTGCTATCAAAAAGATCAAAGTCAATACCGAATACCGAGATGGACTATCTATGGACGCTATCCGCGAAGTCAAATACCTCCAAGAGCTGTCACATCCGAACATCATTGCTCTGCACTCCGTGTTTTCCTCCAAACATAAAAATCTAAATCTAGTACTCGAATTCCTCCCGCTTGGAGACCTTGAGATGTTGATCAGGGATGTCGATGGAGTGCGCTATGGTACGGCTGATGTGAAGGCTTGGATGGGCATGTTGGGACGAGCAGTGTGGTTCTGTCACGAGAACTTTGTTCTACATCGCGATATCAAGCCAAACAACTTGCTGATTGCAGCGGATGGGGAGATAAAACTCGCTGATTTTGGTCTTGCCCGGTCGTTTTCAGATCCGTATCGCGTCATGACCCATCAGGTCATCACAAGATGGTACCGTCCCCCAGAGTTGCTCTACGGAGCTAGATACTACTCAGGCGCAGTCGATGTTTGGTCTATGGGTTTGGTTTTCGCAGAATTGCTGTTACGGACTCCGTTCCTGCCTGGCAACACTGATCTCCATCAGATGGAACTGATATGTCAGGCGATCGGCACGCCCACGGAAGAAAATTGGCCCGGGGTTACGAAGCTTCCGGATTATGTCGCCGGTCCGCCGCAGCCGGTCAGAGGCCGTGACTTCTACCTGGCAACATTCGGCACTGCAGGACCCATTGGTGTTGACCTACTGATGGCCATGCTAGCACTTGATCCCCGCAAACGGATAACAGCCCGTGATGTGTTAAGGCATCAATGGTGGACAAGTGATCCAAGGCCGACCAGGAAAGCCGATCTTCCTCGAAAAGCTGGTGGTGCAGAGAAGATGGGAGAGGATCTGAAGAGACGAGGTGGGGAGCTCGACGAAGAGCGACTCGGACAGGTTTCGCGCCGGCTCGATTTCTCTTCCATGAAGTGATTCGCGATATCTGGCAATTAAAGCATACTTTGGTCGCTATGAATATAGCAAGACCTGATCAATGCATGTCCACCGCAAGCCGTTTCTATTCCCCTAACTGCGACATGCTATCCAACCTGAGTCGCCATGTGTCGGGTGTTCTCTCAAAGGGACCAGTCGAGCTCCTCCGCCGTATGATGACGAGCACAGAAAGGAGAGCTTACAAAAAGCAGTACCACTGCTCTTTCCGGATCGAACTCCATCAATAACGCGCACCAAACATGGCACTCCAGTATGTCGGAATGAAATTGCTCATGCTTGGATTGTACAAAAGCAGCAGAAAGAATTGCGGGAAATGGATTACTGGCACACTTGACAGCGGTTGTCCTACGCAAGAAAGCTACCTTACGTGGGGATCACTCCACTTCCGTGGGTGAGGGACGTCATCGAGGAACCATTAAAGTCATGACCAGGACTAAAGAAAGTTGACAATCACACATCATCGATTTCGCACAATGGGTCACTGTGTAAGCTGATGGTGAGATAGTCTGTTGGGTCTCTGTATGCATAGTAGGGATCTCTTTTCAGGGGGCCAAGCCGTTTTTAATTATCCAGTGTCTTACCTCAGGTACTCTCTTACGCCTAATCCACTTTGGACGCTCGTGTATGCATGCAATGCGGAACGTTAATTTGCACTGCTGCATGGCCAGCACCACCCGCGTGGCAAATGGTTTAATAAAATGTTCACATATACTGTCTTTGTTTCTTGACCGGAAAGGGTGTGAACAGTTGACTGGTTCTACCTTGGCGGAATTGGCACATTTCATGCTCCAACTTGCTGTGCCGCGGCTTCCATGTGTTCTTCGCGATGTTATTATTGATTGAAGGTGACTTGCATCCATATGAACCAATGAGACCGTCCACACGATGATCCCTTAATTTGTGCTGAATCACAAGTGAGTATCTCTGCTTTCGGGTGGATGAGGCGTCTATGCGCCACCGGAGCCAAGGCCTGTCAGTTATGAAGGGTGTCCAATCATCCCACCGAAACCTGGGTTCCCGTGAGCTCTCTGCAGCGGCCCGTGGCAGTTTTAGGAGTTTTCTTCCGGACTGGCGGCCTTCTGAAATTCTGGGCAGTCGTTGGACCCCAGTATATAGCAATAACCCTGTCATATTAATATTTATTATATTCTCTATTGAGAGAACAGGGTGATTGTTCCATTTGACAACTGGAAGCGATAGGTAACTGCAATGAGGTACTTCAGAGAACCCAAACGAGCGAGCTTGCGCAAAGGCGGACGAGTCAGTCCCTAGGGTTCCAAAATCCCTGAATGCAAACACGATGAGAATTTGGAGGGTTTTGTGGTATTGCAAAATGTGTGTTGAATCACATTGAATTTTCTTTACCTCCAGAACTGACACCTGGTGGACTCTGGGCTCGATATCCAAAGAGGGTCAAGTGCGTACTCCGTACGAAGTAAGAACAACTACTATGTAACTAGAGCTCGATTTCGCCCGTACGGTAATTCTGGCTAGTAAGATGAGGATCCGCTGATCATCGTGGAGAGCAAAGCGCAAGTGCTGTGCGAAAGGGCACTGGTCGTACAATACTGGTTGTAATGTGGTCTAACACGGACCGAAACGGTGGTGCCGTTCTACCAGTGGTTAGAGCGGGTGATATCCATGGGCTCAGGGACCTATTAGGTCTTGGTACAACTTTCGGGCCATGATTTACGTAGTATTATTACTTCCCACTGATCGTCTTAAATTGCCCCTGAACCGTTACCTTTCATCTTTCCGTTCAAGGACCAGGGAAGACAAGGGAAAGCAGGGACCCTCGAAAAAAAAAGGACTTTTTAGTTACTTGTCCCGCCCATCCGGTATGATTGTGGTACTGTTATTGGTGTCCGTTGCCGAAAACTGTGGGTGCTCGTTCTTGTCGTGTCTGTCCCACCCACAAAGACAACCAAACTTCTGGGGACGGTCGCTGAAAATATGTGGGCTCGAAGAGAATTAGTCCATTATTGATGCCGCAAGTACGGAAAGTAGTAAGCAAGTTGGCCAGGGGATTTCGGTGGCATCTGCCATTTCCCCAAGTTGCATGCTCAGACATCCCATCTGCCTTTCTCTTCAACCAGGTCGCGACACGAATCATACGCCTGCAGCGAGGATTTCCACCTTCACCAAGCGGCGTGGCGGAACTGCATGATCTCTGTTCGCTAGTGGGGACTCATACCAAAATCCGCAGTAAGTGTGCCGTGGTTGTTGCCTCTTTTTCGCTCGTGCATCGTCCGTGCTCCCTTATCGATCGGCATTGCCCTCGCCAATTCAATGATCAATCACGACTGAACGAAAAGCATGTCATGCTGCATTTTGTCCGTTGAACTTCCACAATTGCATGACAAGCAATTATATTCTGCTCCTCCTTTATTTGGCTTCCTAACGACTTGTACGTCTGGCGTGTGCTAATGGCATGAGAGAGTAGTCATTCCTTTTCTCAGTTGCATGTCCTTTCAAAGTCATCGTCGCGACACTTGAATATCAGAACGCCACGAATTGGAACGCAGCTCTTTCAGAACTCTGTTATCGATACATTCTCCATATCAACAGTTCCTTCCACGGAAATAATACATATTTCGAGACTTCAGAAGGAAAGCCAACGGGTTTGATTGGTGGAATACTCCTTTTGCTGCGAGCTATCAGCTCAATATGAGTCAATTGTTTTAGGACAACATATCTGGAATCAAGGAATTAAACAAAAAGGGGCTCGGGATTGGACCTCCGTAGCAAGCGGGCGCGTTTATACGAGAAAGAGACGGAAAAGATTATCACGGAACTGGCTGCCATGGCGACTACTCTCCCTCGACCCTCGAGGGCGCCGTTAAGTGATCCACCCGCATCATTACCGCCATTGCCATCAAGCCGACCTCTGCCCGGCTCGCCGAAGACTCCATCTTCAAATAGGACCGTCTCAAGCTCGAGACTCCCCACGAGTCAAGCGCCCGGAAAAGCTCCCTCGACTCCCGTGCCTCCTCTTCCGACAGGGCAATTGACTGAACCTCGCTCGGCTCTTCCAACGCCGCTTTCAAACGCACCGCTTAAGTCCCCAATCGGACGGACGCCTACCACTGTACGGAAGGTGGTGAGCATTTCATCATTTCCGCAGCCACCCAAGGGTAATGGACGATTTATGAGCCATTCATCGAGTCCACTTGCTGGGGCTCAAACAGAGACACGGCGAGGCTCGGCGGACACGGACTGTTCTGTAAACAGAGAGACGCGCAGTAAAGGCGGGAAAATGAAAACTCACAACGGTGGTGTCGCTCTTCGTACTTCGAGCCTCCCTGGTAAAGGCGGAGAGCCGAGAACGGGCCCCAATGGTCGAGGTTCTGACGCGCTACTTAGCATTCCATCCCCGCCTCACAGCAGAAGCTCTTCTGCACAAGGATCAGATTCAACCGGCGCTACAACCCTGGATGAATCCGGGGATGCGGGAAACAAGATCGTTTCCGCAACTCAAGATGCCAAATTGAAGAGGGAGCCCAGCAACAAAGATGGCAAAGGAAACGTCATCGTGAGCGTTCGAATACGGCCTGATCTTGGCACAGCAGAGGGAGGGAAATCAAATGAATGGCTTTTTGATGGACAAAAGAGCCTACTGGCATATCGAGGGCGGGAAGGTGGCGACTACTATTATGGTAAGATTTGTTGTCTTCAACCCGAATCTCGCAGTCGAGTGCTGAAATTACAATTCATCAGACAATGTGTTCACTCCGGATGATGGCAATGACAGAGTGTATGCGTCTTCAGTGAAGCGAATCGTTCGTCGTGTAATGGAAGGTTATCACGGGACAGTCTTTGCCTATGGTATGACGGGTACTGGCAAGACCTTTACGATGCAGGGTACAGACCCACAACCGGGTGTCATACCCCTTGCTATTCGTGACATCTTTTCCTACATTCGTGAAACACCTCGTCGAGAATTTCTTTTACGGGTGAGCTATCTGGAAATTTACAATGAAAAAATTCACGATCTTTTGGCTGCCTCATCTACGAATGGTGCGGCAGTTGGTATTAACTCTCAGGAAGAGATTAAGCTCCGCGAAGATAGTAAAAGAGGTGTTTATGCCACACCCCTCAAGGAAGAAATTGTTCAAAGCCCTACACAGCTTCTTCGGGTGATTGGCAGGGGTGACATGGCAAGGCGCACGGGAAGTACACAATTCAATGCACGCAGCTCTCGTAGCCATGCTGTGGTACAAATTGTCATTGAAAGCCGAGATAGGACGGGAGGAAATAGCTCTGTGCAAGGGGGCAAACGCTCTGCCATGAATCCAGGTGGAGTGCGGGTATCCACTTTGAGTTTGATCGATCTTGCTGGGTCTGAACGTGCTGCGGAATCAAAAGAGCGGCGAACAGAAGGTGCACATATCAACAAGAGTTTGCTCACTCTCGGAACAATCATCTCCCGTCTTTCCAAGGATAAAGATAAGAGCGGCAATACGACGAATGCCGAAGATCGACATCTTCCCTTTCGAGACAGCAAATTGACCAGACTACTTCAGCCTGCGCTCTCTGGAAATAGTCTTGTGAGTATACTGTGTACCGTTCACCTAAGTCTAGCAGCCAGTCCCGCCGGAAACGCCACCGAGACTCTAAACACTCTCAAATTTGCTGCTCGTGCAAAGAATAGTATTGTTAGTCATGCGAAAAAGGCCGAAGAATCATACGGAGCTGGCTCTGGCGATGCAGGAAGCAGAGTACTGCTTGAGCGATATCGCATGGAAATTCAAGATCTGCGAAGCCAGCTTGAGAATCAGGCAAAGGCTGCAAAGGACGTGGAGGACCAGAATGAGCGAATAAAAGAAGAAAAGGAAGCCGAACAACGACATGAGGAACAAATTTTGGAGATCCAATTGGCTCGAACTGCCTTGAAGGAGCGCATTGAACATCTTACACGCCTAATCCTGTCGTCGAAATCCACTGGTGTGAATTCGAGCCGATCATTTTCTTCTTTGAGTACCCGAGTCAGAAACACTGCTGCCAGTAGCGATACAATCGTCGCCAAGCCGTTGCGTTCTTCAACGAGCCACTCGACACTTGGCGTGCCTCGTCCTGCCTCAGTCCGCACATCATCTGCAGAGTCGGCTGATCCTGGGTCTCCCACGAGCAATCTAGAAAATTCTCCAACTACTCCCGGAGAGATGGGATCCGATGAGGAAGATTCGGTTGGCGAGTACGGGAATGGCAGAGCTAGCGTTGGATCGCAGGTTCGTGCCTTGCAGGCCGACCTCGCCGACAGAAACCAATATATCTTGACGCTTGAAAGGCGCCTTCTCCACGCTCGACGATCGAGTCATTCACGGACTTCGCTTCAGCTGTCGCCACCACATCGCATGTCGGAGGCTACGCCCGAGGACAATGTCCGAAGACTTCTTGACGAAAAGGATGCAGAAATCTTTGATCTTCGTGCTCGTCTAGACGATAAGGAGCGTATGATAGCTGCACTGCGCACAGCGGCCCGCAAACGCGAGGTGGCAGAGATGACCTCTAAGCGAAATCATCGAGGTTCTGTTCACAGCCGCAAAAGCAGTTTTGGCAGCAGCACTACAAACACAAATCCCGTCTCTCCTACGACTCCTTCTTCCTTTTTGGCCTCGGACAAGCGGCTAAAGCCAGTCGATGAGGTCACTCGCATTTTAGATGAAATGCTTCAAGACCGTGTCGGCCCTGGTACTCAAGGACGCCGAGGCACTGTTCGCTTCTCCGATGACATCAAGCCCGAGGTTGTTGTTGATGATGTCAATGGCCTAGAAATTGTAAAAGGTGAAGCTCACGCAATGTGAACATTAGGGGTTGTAAATTTCTGGCCAGTGCCATGTATCTTTCATTTCCAGCTTGATTTTTCTACCATTTGACGGCGTCGAGGCAGCATTCGATCAAGGCATCCATCTAGCATTTCGATACCCTATACCTGAAAAGACTTTGTTTTCCGTTTTGTACTCCTCTTTATCTTGTCCGGTTTAGACATCACTCTGATTGAAATGGATCTTCATCTGATCTCTTTTTCAAATTGTTATTTCTCTCGAAATTTCTTTTGGTCGTGGTCCTTCTAGCGGCTAGCCATGCAGATTTGACAATTTTCTTGCAAACGTTTCTTGTGCATAATATGCTTTTATTTTGCGACCCTGTCTTCTGTCTCTTCTGTTATGACCTTGCATTCTGGCCCCGATTGGGGCGCGAATGATGAGACAGTCGATGATCTAACGTGACCTTTTCTTTTTCCACTGCATCATCCCAGAGTTTTGATTTGGGCAAGATTTATAAAAGTGGTTAAATCAATATTCTCCAGTCAAAGACTTGTATCATGTTCGTTTCACCTTTCTCTTTTCCAATTATTCGATTTGTTTGTCACGTTTTTAACAGCTTCTTTTGATGCATAGACGATATCTTTCCAACGTAGAAAATAACACAATGATTCCCTGACTTGTGTTCTTATTACAAGATTCTATAGCATGGGTGCTCGATACAATATAACTAGGTTACTATTGTTGTGGGTCCTCTTAAGGGTATGTGTGAAAAGAAGGAATCAGATGAGTGGATTCATCAACTTCGAGCAGACCACAATAATGGACAATCCATGGCCATATAAAGTCTCAAGGTTCTCAACATGTATTTATTTCAACTCTGCTTTGGGGAGCACGACTTTGAGAGATCATGAGAACCTCACACATCTTAACGTATGACATGCAAGCGATCAACGGGAAACAACCAGAATCGTTATGGTCAGGCAGCGACGGAGAGGCGTTGAGGGGGTCAGGGGCAGGCATCTATACCGATTTCAGCTATCTAGCCGGGCCAGGGCGCCCACCCGAGCACCATTCTGTGGAGCTAATCGGGTAAATGCTGAGGCGGTGTGCCGTAGGGGGAAAATCCGAAACGCTCGGGCGAGAAAAAAAGACTTGTTTCGATTTTTACATGGGTTGATAGCCAGGATGACAACAAGGACCATCGCTGGCCGAAGAAAGGATATATCGGCTCTGTTTGGCATGGTCTTTTGATGAGCCATGTTTCCCCATGTTTGTCCCCCAATTTTTCTGAGGGTCCATGTCCAAGCTTTATTGTCCAAGGATCATTCATCCTCTTTTTATTTCATCATTTCGTCACTTTGCTGCAGGCCAGCTACAGTATAGTAGTCCATCTTTCCGACCTATATCTGACCGACTTCTTTCGAGGTTCCAGGCCCCGGGACTTCTCCACAAGCTTGTGAGCTTAGGCCACTGCTATCTCAACGACAGGGAAAAGCCCAGAACAAAACCGAATACCCCGCTGATACATATATATCTGGCCCCGTTGCATCTTCTGTCCATTGCTACAACTGGCTCTCCATTTCTTCTTACTTTCAAGTTTGAAGTTTGATCATTACATAACTATTTCCGCGGCAGGCTCTGCGAGTGAGTGAGATCACGACATGAGCAAGATTCTGCACTAAGAAGTGGCATCACGCTCTTCTAACCCAAGAGAAAATCGTCCTTTTCGGCCCGTTTCAAGCACCTGTTCAACTATATATAATCAAGTCTTTTCCTTGTATTCAAGCAGAAACTGCTTTTTTGACAATTCTTGCTGCCGGGTGCTGGTCGTCTCGGATCTAGGGCGTCGATCGACACAACTTCAGCGGTACGGCGGCTGGTCTGCGGTTCTATACGTATTAAAATCACCCAGGATTACAAGTCGCTGGGACGATTTATCATGAGCTTTTCTGGGCCGTGACTTTTCCCCTACCTTTCTGGATTTTGCTTTGCATCGGGACTTTGGGGTTTAACGGCACACTCTCAAATACACAATGCTTCTCTCATCCCAGAGGGACCCTTCGACCACGGCCTATCGCCGGCCTTCCGCAACGCCTGCCCCTGTGGGGTTATCCCAGTCTTCTGCAGGGCAGACGCTTGGAATCCCGCCATTCTTAGAGACCCCTCCCCCTTCCCCGGGCCTTCCTCGTATGATTCCTCGGCCCAGGAAACATTTTCTCCCCCGATGGTTTCGAAAGCTACTCCGTCTGCTCATATGGTTCCTGATCGGAAGCACATTCGTGGGTCTCGTTCGTCAACTGCTGTCAGGAAAAAGGGGGAATACATTTTTGGGTTTCAATTCATCTCCACCTCAGTCTCCAAAGGAATACGAGCTTGTTGAGGACAATAGCCTGGCGAAGATACCAGCCCCGGTACTGGTCGTAGATAAGGAAGGCTCTCCCAAATGGACGATTTCTGTACCACCATTCCGGACGTTCCCTCTGCGGCCTGAAGAATATGAGAATATTTGCTTGGAATCAACACACATTGCGGCTCATGTGGCTGGCCTCAGGACCCGCTCCATCCTTGGTCGGCCAGGCCATCGTCCCGGCTACTATGACGTCGATCCAGACTTTGTGGACGTTGCGGAAGCAAGAGAAGCCGGCCTACTGCCGTGGGAAGGCAACGCAGACTTGATGCGGAATTGGGATGGCAATTCGGGTGGCGAGAGTCAATTGAAAGGTCCTCCTCTGAGCTGGGATCGGAAGGGTGGAGCCCAATTTTGCCAGAAGAGTCTGACATTCGTCCTCGAGTCGTCAGATGCAGGATTAGGGACTACGTTGATGGCTCTTTGGATGGCATACGGTTTAGCTCAAGAGGAAAATCGTGCCTTTTTCGTTGAAGAGAGCAACTGGTATGCTATTATCCCAAGCTTGCTGCAAGGGGAAATTGCTAATCTTGTTGGACCAGGGCTTTCGGCAGGTATACGGATTTCTTTGCTGATCCGCCATCTCAAGCGTGCCAGCTACCTCCGGACGAAGAGAGAGTTCCCTGTCCCCATTATGCACGCCATCTTGTTGTATCTGCAGCAACGATGAGGTGGGCTTTCGGAGACACTTTTCTTGAGCATTTCGAAATATCCGGACACAGTGGCGTAGATCGCCAGACGCGCATATTTGAGCTTGCACGCAAAGGCTATGACGCTCTATTTCATCTTGCGAGCGACGATGCCCCATACTTACCCCAGCGCGTGGGTGAGATTAGACGCCGCTCTGAAGAGGATGGAAAGCTTGCGGTCGGGTTGCACATTCGACGAGGTGACCGACATCCGCGAGAATTTCAGTACGAGAAGTCGTACCTTCCGCTTGATCGTTTTACAGAAGTGGCACAACAAATCGCCAAGAGATTTGGCAAGGATGAGTCCTTGACGAGCAAGGAGGGGTCAACGATTTACCTGGCCTCGGATGATCCAGACGTATATTCTGCGCCAGAGTTTGTTCAAACCGAGCGTGCGCAAGACCGAATCCTACTTGCGTCCAAATCTACGCTCGAAGCAGCCGGGAAAGGCTCATCGACCAAAAAGAACAAGTTTATTGATGAGAACATTGGCTGGGAGGGCGGTTTCTACCGTGATTTATTTTGGTCTCTTGGCCAGTCCTCTTCCCACCACAGCCCCCACAGTCCCAGCGGAATAGATTCTCATACGCCACCGCCTGTGCCGGAGCTCGCACTGCGCCTTCGTGGTCTTGTTGCACGTACATATCTGCTTGATTTAGCGGTTCTGGGACAAATGGACGCGGTTGTCTGCACCGCTAGCTCCGTTGCATGCAGGCTTCTTGCAGTCATGATGGGATGGGATGCGGCCATTACGCAGGGTCGCTGGCAAAATATTGATGGTGATTGGCATTGGAAAGCGCTCGACTGGTAGAATGCCTCTCTACTTGGCTATTAGGGTGGTGATCCCCACTAAGAAGGAAATGGAGACTTTACTCCGATTTTGAAGGGGACAAAATATTATAATTCTTTTTGAATGCTATATATATATGCAAGAAAATGGTCTCTTGGCTTTGCGGCGTTCACTGGTGGTTCATCTACGACACTCAGCATTTATTGGCGTTGGTTTCATCGACGGGAAAATAATCATGTACATAACGAAAAACGCAGCACAGAAAAGTCATGAGGTGAAAGAGCTTCATGGATATAGGCGCTTGTGAAATTCTTGTCTGATTTGTATATCATATTTGATTTTCCTGATTGGCGCATAAGGGGTCCTACATGTCTGCCATTCTCTCCAGGCTAACGGCTCTTTGTCCGAAGGTTCGTAGATGGTGCCCAGTCTGCAAAATATCGATTTCTTACTTTTTCGTTTTCTTTGTTTCACTGATAAAGAACGCACGTGGATCGGTGATTTCTGCATCCGGTGGAAGCTTGAGGAACTATGTCGAATTAGAGCAGAAATTAAGGGAGAAAAAAAAAGAAGGTAATTTAACCGGCGTCTTTGTTGTGGGGAAGGGGAAGGCTACGCAGAACTAAGTAGATCAAGGTGAAAGGAGGTGTGTGTCAACGGTGTTGGGGTTCGTCAAGCCAATGGCGGGAACCGAAACTTCCCCTGGAGATTTGGCTGCTCAGCTTTCTCATTATTAACTGCTTCCTGCAACTCCAGCAAACACGAATCCCGAAAACGATGAAGTTTCCGTGCTCTAATGGTCTCCATATGGCCCTTTTATGAAAAATGCATCCTCTTCATTGTTTTATACGGTGTGACTTGGAAGATTCACCTAATCTTAGGGGGTCCAGCTTCCATGTTGGACGTTATGAATCAAAGCCCTGAGAATCCGGCTGCAAGTGCGACGGATTAACTTGTTACAACGTGATGATGCTATCCAGTCAAAGATGATGGAATGAATGAGTCGAACTGACCATTTTTCCGTGTCTTATTCCAACCTGCTCTTAAGACTGTACCGATGATGCTGATGTCGGCCCTTCTGACGGCGATTATACGGCCGACGAAGGGCCTAGGACGTCAACAAGATGCAGCTTAGTTTTTGGGCATCCAACGTCTTTTATCCAAATGCCGTTGCTTGGCCTCGGCTTTGGACTTTTCAGTGATGTCGAAATCACGATGGATTTTTGTGTTTGCGTTTCATTCACCCCACAATAGAATCATGCGATTCTATCTATCATTCCTGCCTTTGACAATAAGTATCGGGGCGAGTCGAATGCGTCTATTGATTGAATACATTCTTCTTTGTTTTATTCTCAATGCGCCTGCCAATGTTTGTCGCTGGAGAATATATTAGTTTGTCCAAACCCGTCATTTCATTATGTCGGACTTTCTTTGTTTTGCCAGACTTCTGCGCTACCATTTTAATTCTGCACTCCTGCTTCTGCCCCTTCTTAAGCTTTTTCTTGCGACGAAAGTCTCTCTTTGCGACAAGATATTCTTTTTTTCCAGCTTCGCAATTGCTAGAGCTGCAGTTGTCTGCAAGTGTGTTCTAAAGATCGCGTGTTCCGTTGCATTGCATTCTTACCGCTGATATCCTACTTCTGATAAAGTCGCTCTTTTACTGTTTGGCATATGAGAGTGCTCAATGTCGGAATCTGAGAGCCAATCCGACCGGGCAGCTCGTCGCACCGTCCCCCGTCAATTCTTTTCCAGTGTCTATGATTACCAGCGCCAAAGTCCGTGGCCCCCGAGACCTGACCTGAGCGACGAGGTCAATTGGGGAGATTATCCCACTGCGGAGCGATACGATCAGGCCTATAGACTATGGCGCCTTCTCAATAATAACGACTCTGGAGAATTACCGCCTCCCCCAATCTATTCCGAGTTCTACGACCCATATCAAGCTCGCCAGATTGGACCGAATGAGGCACGGAGTGGTGCAAGGCCCGATTTTGCTTCGGTGCAGAATATTCTCGTCCGAAGGGCGTACAATGGCTTGTTGAACATTAATAGATATTACTTTCCCACCCCTGTCAATATGCCACACGACCAGAACCAGGCTGAGGCAGAAGAGCCGGATGGACCTAATGAGTTTGCTCAATGCCCAGATCCAGACGATCCGCTGTTGGGGTTTCAACCCGCCGATATCAGAGCGATTATTCCCTCGTCATCCGGGGACCACTTGTCGGCAAGGGATATCCGAGTGGATGGGACGGCATACAATGGCGCCTGGAGAAAGGACGGACTCATAAAAGCCCTGGATGCGCGCGGGATCAATTCTCCTGCCCTGCGTACAAACCCTTTGAGAAAAGATGCTCTCTTTGACTACGAGCTACAGAAGAGAACCACCATTCGGGAATTACCTCGATCACATCTGCCACGGTGGGGATTGAACCGCGAGAATCAATTTATAATCCCCTCTGGCGAGAATGAAACGTATCTCCCGTTTGATGTCTACACGCTTGCGCTCATGCGCTCACCATATAATCCAGCGTACTGGACCAGCAGGGGCTTCCTCTACTACCAACAGGGTCATTATGACCTTGCTCTTGGCGATGCTTATCGCGCTTGGTATCTGGTAGAGGTGCTTGTCAACCCGTCGTACAAGAATAAGCAGCCGGGTCTTCATCCTCGCATTGTAGACGCAATCACAGAACATTTGATCCGCGCTGGAAAGGAAGAAAAGCGAGTTATAAACGTTTTACGAGGGCCAAATGGTAAGAATGTCTCCGCAGTCATCTTATGAAAGAATTTGACTTTTGCCTCTCTTATATCAACCAGATCTGACATTGATTAGGAATTATATCATTCATACCGCCCTTGCGGCGAACAATTCATCACCTCATTGCGCTCAGCCTCCTAAATCTTCAAGCCTTTGAAGATCTTCAACACATGGATACAAGCATATTGGCGCGACTCAGAGGGAATTATGCCGAAGAGCAGCCGTTCAAGGATAGGCAGCACCATCTAAAGAATTTCATCGCTTCAAGGAACCAGAATGGCGAGAGATGGGACCACGAGAAACGTTGCGGTCATGTCAGAGTCAGAACTTTTCCACAGAATGACGTTGAGCGCGTGAGATATTACAAAGCTTGCAAACAAAATCTCACTGCTGGGTACATCAATCAGCTTCCTAATACGAATTCCAAGAAGCGGCTACTCATAGTACGATCGCAATTCAAAGGTCTCGGCGTATATGCGGCCAGGAGCATTCCTGCAGGGACCATCATTCACGTTGAAGAGCCCACACTCAGGGGACACTTGCAGCGGACTCCACCATCCACACAGGACCTATGGTACTATTGTGAGAATTGCAAGCGTCGGATACTCAAAGGCGCTGCCGATGTTGCCCAACAGACATGGCAGATGCTTCTCGAGGAAGAGAAGGAGCAAAACGAACATGAAACTCTGTGCGCTTGTCTTGGAAGAAGCCGACGAGTCTATTTTTGCGGATTAGAGCCCGGTTTATTCCATAGGGTTGCTGCGGACAGAGAAGCTGAAGCTGCGCGACCACGTCGACGAACCCGACCCACAGCCATGGAAGCAACTGAAGAGGCAGAGGCGCGAGCAAGGCGCCTTTCTACTCCAGATCCTTCATGGCGGGAGAGGAATTCTTCCTCTTGCTTGCCTATCGCGCGCAAACTCTTCCATTACCGCTCCTGCGGCCGAGAATGGGACTGGCTGCACGAAGGCATGGTAAATATTCCTGCTGATCCAGGGGCCCCCAAAATCGCGCAGAACAATGAACGCCACCATACGCTCCTCAGTCTGCTTTTGCGCGAGGTTTTTGACCTCACACTACACGAGCGAGACAACGACCCGGAATCGAGAATTCTCGCGCACGAAATTGAAGCGCTCTTGCCACTATGTGGCGGTACCGACGCCGACAGGATATACAAAATTGACGAGATTGGTGACGAAGAGTGCACACAGACTTTTCCCTTTACATATGCCGCCAACATTGTCGTGCCATTTGACATTTTGCAGGCTTTGGGCGTCAATATCTTCCGCAACCTCGACTTTGACACTTGGGTCATTCAGACCGTCTTGCGCAAGCTCACTCTGAATGTCATACCCTGGGACAAGTCCCGACGCGGCAGGATGAACTTGATAAACACTCCTCGCTCCCACCGGCTCCTGAATCCACCAGACCAAAATTCTCTTACAGGAGCGCAGTTTGAGAATCTGTACATTCACCCGGGTTTTTCTCTCTTCAATCACGCCTGCGGCGACGCCGCCAATGCCGATTGGTTTTGGGACCAGCCCGAGATCCAGGATAGCGAGTCTGAATCCGGGTCCGAGTCTGACAGCGAGTCAGAGGAAGAAGAGGCCCAAGCTAGAGGAGGACGCCTCACTCTGAAAGCGCAGATCCAGCTAGCAAGCCGAAAACGAAAGCGCGCAGAAAAGGAAACTCGAAGAAGGAAGCGCGCAGAAAAACGAGCAAGAAAGTACGGTGGTGATGCTACAGAAGCCAAAGTGGCTGAAGAAGGAAATGTGCCGAATCGTCTCATTGTGCGCGCGAATAAGGATGTACAAAAGGGAGAGGAAATCACGATTAATTACTTTCCCGAGACCCATTTACCGCGCGATTCAGAGCATCATATCCGTCTTCTGGGACAACCTTGTCTTTGTCTGAAATGTTCTCCCAGTCGTTATGTGGGTGGCTCCGGCGGAGGAGGAGGAGGAGGAGGAGGAGGAGGAGGTGGTGGTGGTGGTGGTGGTGGCGGTGGTGGTGGCGGTGGTGGAGATGATAGTAACGGAGGTGACGGAGGTGACGGCGGGAGCGGTGGAGGAGATGGCGAACCGCCAGGTAGTAGTCCCGCTACTGAAAAGACCACTGGCACTGGCGACAGCAGCGGCAGCGGCAGCGGCAATAGCAGTAGCAAAAGCGGAAGTGGCGGTGGTGATGCTGGCCGCGGCGGTCGTGGCGGTCGTGGCGGAGGAGGAGGAGCAGGTGGTGCCGGTGGTGCTGATGCTGGAAAAAAGGGCAAAGGCAAAAGACGACGGCAAGACGAAGATGAAAACGAAGCCGATGACAACGATAACGATAATACCAAGGCTCCATTGCCACCGAGACGGCCCGTGACTCGATCTCAGAGCAAAACAAAGACTACCACGGCTACTGGCAGTCGTAGTGGTAATGTCCCGGGAAGACTTACTGGCGACTCGAGCAATAGTAAGGATGTTCAAGAGGAGGACGAGCTGGCTTGATTTTCCGTCCTTTTTTGTTTATTTTCTTTCTTTTTTTTATTCATCCTTTGGATTTTATCTTTCATCTTTACTTTTCAGCTTTTGTCCTATGACTTTTATCTCCTAGTCTTTTATCTTTTATTTTTAATTTATTCTGTAGTCTTTATCTCTTATCTTTTTCCTTTTACTTTTTCCTTTTGTTTTTATCCTTTATCCTTTACCTTTTATTCTTTTACTTTTATACTGTAACTTTTACCTCCTAGCCTGTTATCATTTGGCGTTTCAACGTTATGTCAATTCATCTTTTCAACTTTCGTCGTATTCTACGTTTTACTTTACGTTTTACCTCTTATCTATCTACCACTTCCCTTGTCCCCCCCTGTCTCCCTCTCTTATTTGGTATCTATCAATCTATCTATCAGTCAGTCAGTTATCTATCTTTAATGTAACTTACCTGGCGTCATCTCTGCGCAAAAGGATTACTTAAGTTGTCTACGCACAGGGATACTGACGGATCAAGTTGGCTTCACAAAGAGCCACATCATGAACAAATATGATACTTTTTATTTGGGGTGGGGTTTGTAAACTGTTTTGATTCTTTCTTTAAAGGTCTTGGTATTTCGTATTGGTATTTGGTATTAATTTTGATGCCCGAAATAATAAATAAAAAGAGAAAAATAAATAAAATAAAGATATATAGCGGTAGATGATATTGCGAATATGGCAATGGCGCAATGGAGAGCGAAATCTTCCGGGGGGGCCAAGAAAAGTGACTTTTTCTCTTTGAGATTGAGATGTTGATTGGCGCGCGAAAGGGGAAATTATAAGGTAAATGTAGAAGAGAGAACCGATTTAAGCCGAGAAGATGATAAGAGATATAATTTTGGGAGGAGGGAGAAGGAGAAGCAAGAGAAATGGTTCAAGGGAATCATAGGGCAAAAAGTTTCTTGAGCTCGGCGGCAGTATCGTCAGGGTTGGTCACGGTGTGGCCAATGGTGCGCGGGTCCTCGTAAATCTCCCAGTCGTTACCGCCCTTGTATGTCTTGTCGCCGAAGAAGTGGACGGTAGTGAAGGTGGCACCGCCGGGGAGCTTGGACTCGGCCTCAATGTGCTGCAGGCAGTACGTCTTGTCCCATCCGGTAGGGAAGACGTCAAAGGAGATTTGACCGCCAATGGCGAAGCTAGAGCCTGTCAGCGGAGTCCTGGACCATCTTACCAGCGGTACAGTGCGCGGATTGGAAGCGGGGAAAGAATATGCTAAGAACCAAGGAAGCAAGGGAAGAAACGTACGTCAAGCTGAGATGAGAAAAGTTATCCTTGAGGGCCTGGACAAACTTTGCTCGGATCTGATGCACCTTATCGTAGCGCTCAAACTCGTGACGCTCCTCGACGCTGGCGTTTCTGCCAATAGGGCTGACGTTAATCATGCCATTGCGGAACTCGACAAACGTTCCGCGCTTGATGGGAATGTCGATATCAGCCAGGTAATGCAGGATGAAGTTGACAAGCTTCTTGTAGTCCTCCTCGCCGATCCACTTGATGAAGGAATGCGACGCGAGCGGCACGCCCAGCCGGTAGGCGGTCAGACCGTTCTCCGCAAAGCAGTAGTCGAAAAGAGACGTCACGTTGATCGACGGCGTGCCGAGCTGCTCCTGCTGCTTAACCAGATCGGAGCCACCGACGAAGCCAATAGCTACGCGGTGACGCAGGCGAGACAGAAGCTCGAGCATCTGGGGGGAGATGGACTATGTACAACACATGTTAGCAATGCGGGGAACTTGCAACAATCACAGGAAAGGAGAAAAATGGACGGGAAGGATAAAGGGGAAGCTTACTCCCCGCGCAGGAGTCAGTGTGCCATCGACGTCAAAGAGACAGATAGTATTGGCAACAGGACGCTGCTCAATGGGAGGGTAAAGGCTGGCGGCTTCAGTCATGATGGCGGAGAGTTTGAAGCAAATGGGGGATTCAAATTAAGTCTTGTCGAATTGGAACAAAAGAGAAGTCTCAAAGAGAGAAACTCTGACAATGGCGAGAAAGAAGGTTTATTTATATTTTGAAAAGGAGGCTTAGACTTTGTTGCCAAAATCGCGGAGGAGGGAACTGTGGAGAGAACGTGTCCTCTTTTTTCGGGGGGGGGGAGGGTTTTCGTGTTCGTAACGCCCGTTCCCGTAGTCAAAGTTCCAATCGATCCATCAAGGGTCTCCCGAGGGGTCCAGCGTCGGAGCCACAATCAGTCTAGCCCGATCACCCCCTTGACTTGAACCGACAGCCAAACAGACGACGTGCGTCGTTTCAGGTTCGACTCAGCCCTTTTATCTTATCGATAAAATCCGTGTTTCAAGTCAATTAAGGAAAGGACATGGGGCTCAAGCACTACTCCGTACTGCATGGATATTTTGAAGGCTTGGAAAAGTAAAAGAAGAGAAGACAATTATTCATTAAAATGAAAACTACATGGCATGCTACTTGCAGATGAATAACATATTAGAGTTTCAGAGTGCCATCAACGCCGCCAAATCCAACATTTCGGGTATAGAAAAACTTATCCAAACAACCAGTCAATTCCAAAAAAAGATAAGGTATATGCAATATCAATGGGAGTGGGCTTGACCGACAATCTCAACAACCACATTCCCTATTGTGCTTGCGCACCAAAGCGCAATCAAACCCCAACCAATTCGCCGGTCCAATCTCCACTTGTTCAAGGGTACAATCACCAATAAACCAACCAACGTGACAAGAAGACTAACGGCGGATATCAACAAGGTATTGCTGACTTCAATCTGGTAGGGCTTGTACTTCACCGGCCGATGCGGGTGCTTCTCATGGCGGTGACGTCCAGCTTGGATGGTCATGTACAATCCACTGAGCCCAATTCCAAGCAAGATGTTAAGCATGGGCCCACCAAAGCAGGCGGAGAGCGCCATGACCGGGTATCCAAGCCGGGCAACGGTAATATCAGCAACGAGATCCCCCAATGAATTGCCCACCGCGAAGACAGTCAAGCCTAAAATCGCGTCGGATATGTTGAGTATGACTCCAAAAGCTTTTAAAACGCCGACCACCTCGTTCGCAATAGTAGAAATCCAAGCAATGGAAACCGCAAACCCAACAAAACAGAGGGCGTAACGCCAGCGCGGGGCCTTGTGTGCCGAAGTAAAAATATATAAAAGAGCTAGTGCGATGAGTGAGGCGAGGAGAGTCCAGAGAATGGGTTGGATCAGGGAGCGTGGGTTCAAAGGCTCAGAAGCAGCGTTGGCCCAAACCACGGAGACAAGAAAGAGAGGTGCTGTGAAAACTTGGATCGAAATGAGCCAACGGTTCCACTGCTTGATACTCGAAGGCGGCTCTTGTTCCACAGGAGATGGCGCGGGCGGTGACTCAGGGGGAACAGGGGATTTTGGGTGATAAGTCATGCGTTCAATGTTCTGTAGAGCAGCTGCTTTGGAGTCTTTCTTCCCTTGATCAGCTCGCGGGCTGGGATCGCTTTGTGGGTTGTCCTGCAAAGTCGACCTCTCCCCATCAGCCCCATTTAGGGTCGGGCTCTCATCCGGCTGCATTGCAATAGACCTTCGCTCAATGAAAACGCTTGGAGCATGTGCAGGTACAGAAGTACTCCTCCTCTCGCACTGAATCTGAGCGTCACCGTCGTCCTCTCGATCTGCTTCCACAATCGGTAGTGTGATTGCCAGAACAAATAGACTTGGAGCCGCGATTATACCAAGCACCTTCTCCCACAGAGACTTTTCACCCCACGCGTAGAGCGTTGGAAACAAGGTTGATGCGAATACCTCGGGCGGAGGCAAATACTTGTAGGGCCACCATGACAGGGGCTTTTCCTCTTCCTCTTCCTCTCCCATATCGAAATCATAGCTTTGAAAGGCACACTCTGGCGAGAGGCTAGGAGGCGGTAATTGAATGCTCGATGCCCGAATACTCCTCGTCCGCGAGACACTGCGAGGTGAAACTGCATGTTCGCAAAAAGGTGGAAATGGCGATGTCGGGGATGAACCTTGCGAGCTCGGTTTGCCATCAGGTATGTCCAAACGAAGACTAGGAGGCTGCGACCCTTTTGGGGATGTGCGAGGCGAGATATCTCCTGATTCGGGTGACGATGGTGGCGAATGATGTCTTCTCTGAAAGCTGGCAAAGGGGTCATGGTGTGATGGATGTAAATGCTCTGGAGACGCTGTTGTTTCTCGCGGCGTTCGGTCCCGCGATCGCCGAGGGGTCTCAATTCTGATATGACGCTCGGATGGCGGCGGAGAGATTGAGATTACGGGTGACGGTGGAACAGCGGGTGATGATGGCTGGGCCGACTCAACTGTTGAATCACCCGTTTCTGACACTTGGCCTTGCCATTGATGGGGTGGAGATGGCGAATGAATGCCAATTCCTGGTACAGAGCTGTTGCGATGAATCTCAATCCTAGGAACATCAGCTTGTGTATTTGTAGCGGTGTTGGTAGACGCAGAGCGTCTTCGATTCGGCGAATCTTCCACATGGGATAATCTGTTCCTCGTAGTATCTGGCTCGACGGCACTCTGGACTTGACCCGGAACGGTGAGCGTTGCGCCATAGCCAGCGTTTTCCGATTCCTCATCTGAGGCGTCAGAAAATCGACGAAAGTTCATGGGCGACGCTGGAAAGTTTCGCGAGCGATTCAGTGATGAGAGTACTGTTCGAAATTCCAAGGCGCCAAATAGACTTGGACGGATCGGGGTAATAGTGTTCCGTCGAGGCCCCCTTGGAGGTCGATTAAGACGCATATTATTGTTTAGTTCTGCAAGCCACCGATCTTGTACGTCTTCGTCCTCTTCCTCAAAGCTTGGCTGAGACGGAGGGGTGTTCCCGCGTTCTAGCGCGCCAAAGTCATCTGTCGAACCTCTAGAGCCTGGCGGCAAAAGACTTCTACGCTCGGCACTCCTTGTATCCTCCTCTTCTTCTTCCGCTTCCGGTTCTTCATGTATCTCCTCGAGACCATGGCCAGGCACAGCAAAAGAGGATCTCGCAGCAGATATTCTCTCCCGGCGACGACGGCGCCGCGCAATCCACCAATGTGAAAGCATCACGCTGGCGACATAAAAGACGTAAAAGCCGACCATCACGCCGCATTCCCACAGGTGAAGGCTGCCATCCGCAAGAAATACCATGCTGAAGCTTGCCGCGACGATGAAAAATCCAACATCTCTCACGAAGCTTCGCCGGGAAACTCTGAAAGGTCGCACCAATGCCATGGAACCTGCCACTACCGCGGTGATGAAGCCAGCTGCCCCTATCAGCTCCCCAATGGCCAAACTCCCACTATGCGTGCTCATCGCGGCAAAGGTTGAAAAAACATCCGGGCTTCCATTCCCAAAGGCCAAAAAGGTTACGCCCGCCATACTCTCCGTCATGCCTAGGATGGTCGCAATTGTACTGAGATTGATGCAGAAAAAGTCGCTGGCAGCTATGCCAATTGTACTGAAAAGCAGGCCCAGCCAGAGTAACATAATAATAAACGCAACTGGCTTCGCATGGGAAAGTCTGCAGTAATAGAGTGACAGATATGAAATCAATCCAGCTTCTTCATCTGGGCAATTTGCGCGAACGTAGGCACACTGGTCTTTTGCATGGTGAACGTTTCGACACTGTGCGCAAATCACAAAAAGTTAGTATAGGCCAGAGCGATGGCGCAAATATGAGATAACCATGGACATAAGCATCGAAATAGTTTATATCAGGAAATGCGTACCTCCAGGTCTTGTCCTAGACGGCGACCAGCTCCAAGCCCAGAGAGCTCCTCTCCCCGCTGTTTCAATGAAACTTCAGACCAGCTGAGCGAATCGCGGCGCAACAAAAGACTCCCAATCGTAAGACATGATATAATCAGGATTGAGATGAAGAATGCCCGCGCCGATCTGTATTTCTGCCTTGACCTGCCAAAGGCCAATTCAGATTTCCGAGGGCGCGGCCCAAATGATGGTTTGTTGCCAGGCATGTCTGGTGTTTGTGTCGTCACCCGTCCCTCATAAAGTCATAATGATAAATTGTCGCCGACAAATTGATGTATTAAGAAAGATATGCCATTCCAAAATTGAGAGGGGTCCCTTTCGCTGGTGAGGTCACTGACCACGACGACTTGTAACCAAGAAACCTGGTCATGGATTCGTGAAAGTTGTGGCGCAGCTTGGAGATGAGTTTGGGGTGAGGAGGCAGCTTAAAGATAAGGGCTTGGACGCCAAGGGAACAGTACACTTTGCAATGTGAATGACGCAAATGATCAGATGTACTTTGTACACAGTATTTAGACCTGAAACACCGAGGGCACCGTCCACCAATCGGCAACTCAGAATGATCTGCCCGATCTCTACCCTCCCTCGCTCGTACCGAAGATTACCCGTTAAAAGCGTTAGCGGGGTGTTTGTGTGTACTGGCGACGCGAAAGTCCAAATGTAAACACGGAGACGGCAGCCAGAGAAAACAGTGGACAGGCCGAGCAACGACATCGAACTACCGCATCTGAGACGCCAACCCACCTAATGATAGTGAAGCCAGAACGCCGCGCAAAAACTTAGTTTACAAAGACTCTTCTGTTTTCCCCCCTGCTTTCCGGGAAGGGACTTCCGGCTATGCCACGAGTCACGAGCCAACCCCGCGCCGACGGGCGATCATCTTCTTCTTCAAAGCGTGCCCCGATCGCTACTCCGCAAAAACAATCTCCTCTAAAGTGTGTTGGAAACAATCATCTTAGGTGACCGATCGTGTAGACTGATCTTTGTGTTAGGAATATTCCTCTGAACGATGATCGGCAAGAAAAGGCGGTGCGGCTCCAGTCTCGACAAGCTCTTCACGATCTCCAGATGAATCAGCTCAAAGCAGCTGCGTCGCCAGTGCGCAGGGTGCAAACCAACGAAAGTCCCAAGACGCCAGGATCAAATGGGAGGGGCAGGGAAAATGACCGGGACCCTGAACTCATGGTAGTGGGGAGCGAAGTCTTGACGCCTCCGAAGCGGATGCCAATCCTGGCTAATTTTGAAGAATGGATGAAGATGGCAACAGACAACGTACGTCTGAGACGACTTTTGAGGGAAATTTTTGCACTGACAGATTCAGAAAATCAATGCCAACAACTCATGGAATTTTGCTCTCATCGACTACTTTCATGACATGTCTCTCCTCCGCGAAGGCGACGGTGTCAATTTTCAGAAGGCTAGTTGCACATTGGATGGATGTGTGAAGATCTATACAAGTCGAGTGGACAGTGTCGCCACCGAGACCGGAAAGCTTCTCAGCGGCCTCGCTGATAGTGGAAACAAGAAGCGGAAGGATGCCGAGGAGGCGGACGGAGAAGATGCTGATGGCGACGAGGAAGATGGCGAAGAGGGTAGTGGCAGGAAGACAAGGAAGCGGGTATGCCCACTCATAATCTTCCTCGGGGATTCTAAATTACTGAACCATATTTCAGACGCAAAGAACTGCCGAAGCGACTCTTGCCCCGTCCTTTGCTCCGCTGCAGCTCAAGAAATTCGAGTTGGAATTTTCTGTCGATCCTTTATTCAAGAAAGCTTCAGCCGACTTTGACGAGGGTGGTGCCAAAGGCTTGCTTTTGAATCATCTTACAATCGATGCCAAAGGCCGCATAGTATTTGATAGCAGCGATGATGCAGGCGATGCAATGGCCGAGGAAGATGCAAGAAGGAAACGGACCGATACCGCCGAGGAGGACAAAGAAGACGAAGAGGAGGTGGAGGAGGTGGAGGAGGGACGGGACGGGGGACTGGACAACGAGGAAGTTGGCGAGCCAGAGGCTGAGCCTGCAGAGGAGTGCGAAATTGATATTGCATCTCTCGGTGCTAAATTCTTCCCGGATCTCGGTCGATTGGATGATCAGGACATATGTCCTTCGCTGAAAAATCTTGACCTAGGCGATCCTCAGGGCTCGCTGGACATCCCATTCCTAAAAGCGCCGGACGACTGGAGGAAAGAGCCAGATAGGATGGACGACATTGGAGATCGATCAGGTGTCTTCCTTGACGATGAGGATCCGCCCGGATTCGATGATGATGATGGCGCTTTGGGTGGATTTGACATCCCAGCCGACGTAGGGTTTGGTGAAGGTGGAGAAGCTTGGGCAAGAGATGCCGCAATTGAGCCTCAGTTGCGGGTGCACAGGATGGATAGAGACCCCGGAAGCGCCGATAACGACGATGGGGCAGTTGGTGAATTTGATGCTGGCAATGGGGAGTATGTCGTTTCTCTTGGCCCTGCTAAAGGCGCCGCAGACCATGAAGATATCTTGAGTTATTTCGACCAAGCTCTTCGCTCGAATTGGGCAGGCCCAGAGCACTGGCGTATCCGTAAGATCAAGGACAACACCAAAGCCGCTCAGACGACGACGACACGAAGAAAAGAAAAGGAACCGTTCCAAATTGACTTTATGTCACCTCTTGATCCTTCACTAGCTGAGGCCATTTACACACCTGCTGCTTCGAATACGGCCATTTCCCTGCCAAAAACGCAATGGAAGTCCAAGTCTCGCAATCTCCTCCCAGACGACAAACACTTCAATTCACGCCAGTTGCTGAGACTCTTCCTCAAGCCCAAAGCGCGCATGGGTACTCGTCGGCCAGGATCAGGCTCAGGAGCCAAGGCCATATCTTCCAACGAGCCGCCAAATGGCGAAATGGACGAGGAGTTCTGGGCTCGGAATAATGATGCCGCCGGTCTTGGCCAGTCCGCTGATGCTGACGCCTCGACTGCTGCACCCGCAGGCAATTATGATGCCGACTTTTTCCAGGACGATGGGCTTGCCTTCCCCGGCGGCATCCCCGAAGACGATGACGACGAGGACGAGTTTGCCGATGCTAGGGAACATTTCTCTCCAGGTGCAGAAGGAGCCGGCATCAATGCGAATGGTTCCGTCGATGGCACAGGCGCGCCTGGAGCAGAGGCTGGTCTTGACGGTCCTTTTGGCCAACACCTTGTCACCCAGAGCCGTCGTCTCCGGCCAGAATATATGCAGTATGCACGTGTCGCGAAAAAGGTCGACGTTCGTCGATTGAAAGAGGAGTTGTGGAAGGGAATCGGCCTGGAGGAAGTAAGTACCGCTATCCCTTTTGCTTTCGTGTGCCTTTGACCTTTTGATGCTCTCGAGCAAACTTGCTAACCTCTCTACCAGCCTATCCCAACGCAACAACCAGAGGAGCCTCCGACGCCCAAATCATCAGACGGAACCGCGGACGACGATTCAGAACTCACAAAACCTGCTGCTCCAGCTGTTGCTTCGGAAGAGCTCAAATTCACTAGTGTCATGAACAACTTGCAGACCGTCTACCCTGCTCAGGCAATGAAGGACATTTCTACATCTTATTGCTTCATTTGTCTGCTTCACCTGGCCAACGAGAAGGGCCTTGTCCTGTCGAACGATGATGGTCTAGAAGAGTTGAGTATACGGAGAGATCTCAATGCGGAGATTATTGAGGGCTCAATTTAAAGGAGCTTGTAGATAAGATTTGAGCTTCAGGGAGCGTTTTCGAGTCTTCATTTTTTATTTTTTTTATTTTTTTATTTTTTGGCGCGAGTTTGGCATGACTGGGCACCGTGTGAGGTGCTGGTTTCTCCGGCGTTTGCGTGGTATAGTATTTTGATAATGAAGGAGGCTACGAATTCATATATGCCTTGTTGGCTTTAGCTTTTTTCCCTTGGTTGACCATGGCGCGCGGATTGAATTTGGAAAGTTAAAAATCTCCATTGCCGCCGCTCCATAATGTGATAAACATGAATGTGAATAGATCCCGTAAACATCAAAGTCTATGTACATATTTTGACTTGTTCCAATTCGAAAAAGAAAAAGGGGAAACAGGTATACGCTTGGTGTTGAATAATCACATCAACAAGCGCCACACACCAAGAATCAATGCCGCCGTACCGGTACATACACCCCTGGAGGAATCTTGGGTTAGCTTTTCGGTCTGGACAAGCATAAGTAGAAGCAACATTCGGTACTCACATCAACCACTGCAGCGTACTGAACTTGACACCCTCGACTCGCTCTCGCAATCCGGCAACTTCTTGCTCAATGCGCGTTTCCGTCTCCTTGATCTTGAGTTCCTGCACATTGGCCTCCTCACGAATACGGCCCTTTTCGAGGTTCAAGTCCAGCCTGACGCTGGCCTGAGTTCGCCCAATTTCATCACGCAGGCGTGAATTTAACTTGGCGAGGTCATTTGTCAACCGCTCATGCGATGCACGCGTCAGAGATGACTCGGTGCTGTCCGCCGAAAGAAGCTCAGAGCGGAGCTTGGCGAAGTCGACTTTCTGAGTATATGTTGCTTTTTCTTGCTCTTCGCGGAGAACCATGGTGCGAGTGAGGTTTTGGATGCTGTAGGTTGTTAGTTTTCCCAAAAGGCTAGACTTAAGATGATTGGTGTAGGATATTACCTCTCTTCAATAACATCGTTGAGTACACGCATCATAGCTACGGCTTGTTCCTCGGAGAATCCCTCGTCACGAAGCCGCTGGACGAACTTGAGCGTGTCGAAGTGGTGGTCCTTTTGCATCTGGCGGGTCGCGTGAAAGGCGCGCCGAAAGCCAAGCTGCGCACTCGAAGTGAGCAGAGATGTCGATCGCGACGAAGATGCGCGTTGTCTTGGGGCGTGGAGATTTTGGGGGCGCGAAGATGGCGAGAAAGTCGTAGATGAGATATCTCGTCGCTGTCGAACATGGTGGCCAGGAAGCGTTGCACTGAGAGCCAGAGGCTGAGCGGTGCGAACGCCAGCGCCTCCCCACGTCAGACGAGGTAGGAGGAATCGTGGAATTGTCGCCATTGGTATGGCTGTACGGAGTAGTGTGGTGCCTTTGCTGGTGTTATTGCAAGATGTCGTTGGTGTTGATGATGGAGATGGAAGTTGTAGCCAATTAAGTTGAGTTGAGTTTGAGATTTGGGTTTGACATGGACAAGAATGTCCCTATGACGGAGCAGGGCGGAATGACATCACGTGGTCCAGTCTGTTTGACAGACGAGTCTGTCGGTCTATCTGACTGTTTGAAATGCCGCGACAATAAAGAAGAAGATGATGAATGTCATACGGGAAATTTAATGCAGACACTTCTTCTTTTGCTGCATGCAAATATGCTACCTGCAAATATATTTTTACTGCAGCAACTTTAGACAGCATATGACATGGGATGATCTCAACAGTAGCACCTCTACACATCACAATGAAACGGATTGCATTCAGCTCTTAGGGCGTTATATACCTTATGTATTACAAGTGATTCAACTTCCCAAATGCCGAACAAGTCTGCAGAAGACAAATGCAATAGCACAATGACTAGAGACGCCTCTGCCGCTTTCGCGAGTATTTGTGCGAACTCGACACGAGACCCCACTGCTATTGATGCATGATAATCGCCAGTGACTTTGCCTCGTATTTCATCGATGAGCCTGGACTGACCAGCAGAGATCTTCATGTTGATAGCTTATTCCGCATGTAAGCGATAAGCAAGTGTGCTCAAAACAGAGCCAAACGGCACATACTCCATATGCAGAAGATATATTACTATACAGCGTTCTAGGCGCATCAGGCCAACAACTGATTTGCTCGCCGTGCAGCATCCACGACTTCCTGCATGAGAAATAGCGCATCTCTTGCGGCGATGATAAAAAGCTTCCATGGGTGCAGATCAATGGCCTTTTCAGTGCATGCTCTGCTGAAAAGCTTACTCAGACGGCTCATATTTCGGCAAAGTTCCAGCGGTTGAATGGCATTGCTGATTATCGGACATGGGGGAGGTGGGGAGAGGCAGCACCAAACGCACACTTATCAACCTTGTCTGACAGCAACCCAATTAAAGTAGTGCTGTCGAACAGGGACTGAGATGGCCTAGCGCTGGGCTTTTACATGCTTAACTCACTATCAGTCCCTACACCTGGCTCGGGCCAGCTCTGTTCCGTCGCATGGGCTTTCATGGGCAACGTGCAAGCATTTTTCGGGGCGCTTCCGAGATCACAGTATTCAGTGACCTTGCTTCGGTGCGACTTTGAACTCTTGCCGAACATCTTGTTTGCAAAGGAGCTTTTCTCCGATGCTTTGAAGAGGCACAGCACATGTAAGTACTTGTACGAAAGTCTGATTCTACAGTCTACGACGTCTCGAGGACACGTCCTGCCTGCAAAGATAGCCGGGTCGTCACATTGAGCCACATATGGTGAAAACGGCACCATTTCCTGCGGCAACAAGCATGAGAATGAATGCGTGGCGATGGGCAAAGTCGCAACGCCATTGGGTTGGCAGGGATGGAGGGAACGGGAAATCAAGCTGATGGCTGAGTGGCGCCAAGCCCGTGCCTGCAGGTCAAAGCTCGAGAGCCAGTGAGCGGAGCGGGAGCGAGACGAGTCGCTCATCAGCTGCATCCGCTTGGGGTTCCCGAAGACCCCTGGTCCAAATGTCTCCCGCCAATGACAGTCCCAAATTCTGCTGTGACACTGCAACTGTGCGACAGTGAGCACACCTCGACCTTTTCCCCGCTATCGTGGGCGCCAAGGCGAGCACATCAATTGGAAGATGGCAACAATGTCGACCTTGGTTGAACCAAGCGGTGATCTACCGAATTATTCCGAGGATGACTGCCATCTTGAAAATACGTCCGATTCCCTCGCTGGATTCCTTTCGCCAGAAATGCATTTTCTTGTCTTTGGCGCTCTTTTATCATAGCAAAGCTTCAACGAGCTTGCTATTTGGTTTTTCTATCTGAAAGGGTAGGGAAGAAAAAAAAAACGGGGAAAGCTGCATCACATCATTGCAGAAGCGCCCAAGACGTGTGCAGGGTCGTGGGACTCCTGCTTGCTGGTCGAATAGAAGAGAAATTCTCCTAGACCACATGTACTGTTAGTCTCGGGCGGCTATTCCAGACTCCTGGACCGGTCACAATACCGACCAGCATTTTAAGTCCTGGCCTATCAGTGGGTTTAATTCAAGCATTGCAGATCGACTTTCGCGCCATACTTTGAGTATAGGTGAGGCCCGTCTGCCCATCTCCCCTGGTCTTTACCTCTATCGCCATGCACTTCAATCACAGTCTCCACCTCTCATCCTGACTTTAACATCGTTCAGGGAACATATTCCCAAGCTTCATCTGTCTCCGTTTATCCGCCTTCAGGGTTCTTTTCTATCACCATACAGTCTTTCAGCGGGCACTTTGCTTTAATCTTTCTGTCTTTTAAGCTCTAGAGCACGGTCTCTGAGTTCTTCAACCTTCTTTTAATTTATTACTTCTCTTTCGCCCGGCGTGAGATGTCAGACGGTGCCCGTCATTTGCAGATACAGCCAGGCACCATTGGAGACGATCAGAAAACCGTTCATATCACTGTCAGACCACGCACCTCTTCGACCTCATCTCTTCCTTCTCTTAGAACCCCTAGGACCGCTCGCTTCTCCGAGGCCACGGCTGTCCATTCCCCGATTGAAATGTCCAAGATGTCTGAATCCCCCTTTGCCGACCCTCGGCCGGGTTCCAAGGAGTCATCAGACGCCACCGGACCTTCGGCTGTTGGTTTTGGATATCTCTCTGAAGCCGATGCACACCGTCATGATACTGTGCCAACAATGCCTCAAGAAGGCGAAGTTACCACTCGATACTTGAATGCTCCTGCCAGTCCTCTCAAGAGTGCGCTCAAGAGTCCAGGAACACCTGGCCGACGGCTCGAAAACCCGTTAAGCCCGACCTTTAGAGAAGAGCAAATACTCGAGAAGCAAGAAGAAAGAACGGAGAAGCAAAACGCTCGCGATCTGGTAAGTACCACACTGCTGCAACCTTCTCGTATCTCAGTCGTCTCATTGTCTTCCTCCCTCAGAAAGTGAAAGCGCGCGTCCGAGTTGCCAAGCTATTCCTTAGAACTGTCAATTTCAGCTGTAGCTTGATTGTTCTTAGTATGCTTGCTGCTACCTTTACCATCTTCAACGCTACAAAGACTTTGCCGAAGAGAAACAATCTGCCTCCTTGGGCGCTTGGCCAAAAGATTTGGCCACAAGTGGTGCTGCTTTGCATGGCCACTATATCCCTCTTTATGTCGCTGGTCGTCTTCTATGGATATTGGAGAGGTGGCCACAAGCGTGCTGAAAAGGTTGCGGTTTATTACACCGTCTTTGCTGTCTCGTTCTTCGTCTTCAGTGTCGTCATGTGGGGCATTGGCGCCGCCATTCTCAATCAAAGCAGACAAACTGGAAACAACAAAGACATGTGGGGATGGTCTTGCGTCGACAATGAACGGAAAAGTCTTTTTGAAAAGGAGGTCAATTATGCGCTGGTCTGCAGAATGCAGGTAAGATCCATTTATCCATCTTACCACTCGCTTGAGCAAAGAGATCTCTTCTAACATGCTGCATTTCAGAACTGGTCTCTCGTTTGTGCCTTAATCGAGATTGTGATTGAGCTCCTCACCATCCTTATCTACGCGGTTGTCTTCTACCGCTTCTACTCCAAGAACCGACTTCGGAAATCCATGGACCTCCGCGACAGAGCTCGCAGCGACCTCTACCTGGCTCAGCTCCGCTCGCAATCTGCACCAAACACTCCTGGCTTCATGAAGTCGCCCATGTCGGCCACATTTGCCATCCACGATCCGCATGATGCTGCAGAGCAGGGCGATAACATACAGTATGCCCAGAAGAACCAGTCTTTCTCTCAGCCCAAGCCCTTCACTCTCCAGCCTCCACCGATCCGCGTCCAAAATGCCACCCCGCAAATCCAGCAAAACGGGTTCGAGGCTCCTCCTTCATCTGCACCTGCACCTGCGCCTTTGTCCCAGCATGCTCCTGTCGCTCCTGGCGAGCAGCAGTACGATGCTGTTCCTATCCCAGGCGCATATGCTAGCCCCTTGTCCAGCCCGTCATATGCTCCTCCTCCTCAGTCGATGCAGCACGGCCAGCCAGGGCAAGCATACACCGCCGAGTCCAGGATTGACAGCAGGCCTGCCAGCCCGGAGCAAGCATACGTCCACAAGGCTAGATTTGCATGAAAGGCAAGACACGATCACGGTTATGGGCAAGTGGGAAAATGGGCAAATGGGCAAATGGGCAGCATAAATGGGTTTTGGATGCAGACTAACGTTGACCGTTAAAATCTTGTATGAGATTCTGTGCGCTTTATCTTATCCTTCATTCTCTATAATTTTCTTTTCTTTTCTTTCTTATCATGTTTCACCTTTCAGTTTCTCACTCATATACCTCTCCTTTCTCTCTCTCTCTCCTTTATAGTTTTGGATCTCAGCGCTCGATATCCCTCTGGCAAACAATTGTTAAATAATATTCCAATCGGACAATTGCGCGAGACATTCTCTTAGAGTCTAATTCAAAGATGTGCTCATAGTCTATGCTATTTCAGAGAATACACTATAAATCCCCGTTCACCTGCGCAGACTTTTAATACAGGTAAAATGAAAACAACATCAATTCGTACTATGAGGTGAGACGTTTCTTTCCCGACAAGATTCGTTGAATTGCAGCACCTCAATACCATTCCGTCATTACAAAGCCGCTTGTCCTTGAAACTAACAGATGAGGCAAGCTGCATCGCGGCGTCCAGCAACCCGCCATTTCATATCACCGTCTGATAATACGAAACCATACCAGGCCTGCAACTGCTAAAGCAAGCCCAACTTCAGATCTTCTCCCACCATCCTCCTTCCCTTTCCACATCTCTGCAAATATCTCTCCACCGCCATCTCAAGCTGCCCTCTCGACTTCACCATTTCCGCTTTTCGCTCTTGGTTACCTAGCACAGGGACGTGTATTCTCACATTCACATGCTCCAGCCACTCGCACTGGGCGAACAAGAGCAACGGATGGACCCAATGCTCTTTGAGTCCCATTTTCAACGGCCAATCGCACACCTTCAGCACCACACGCAGGTCCCGCAGATTGACCAGTTGTGCAGCGGCCTTTGAGCAGATTCCTTCCCAGCGCGCATCATGGCGTAGCTTCCACTGCCGATTCTTGGCCAGCCAGGGCTCGCCAGACGTAATGTGCGCTAGCCAGAGACTTGTGATATTGATCTGCGCTAGGGACGAGAGCCCCGATAGAAAACGATCCAGAGAATTGGGCGAATGGAAGTAGAATTCAGCAGAGGAGTAGAAATAGTGTGCTGCTTCGCTGTAGATTTTGCGGTTTGTGAGGAGCAACGCAGCGCCCACAGAGGAGCGGAAGTTGCGTGCTCGGGACTGGAAGTGGAGACTATTCAACGCAGCGGGGGCGGAGGCTGGCACTTTGGTATTTCTGCTGGAGGAAGGTTTGAGGGAAAGATACTGAAGTGCTTTTGTGCAGGAAGTACCTCGGGCCCGAGCGGGCTGGAGATTCTGGGTTTTCCGGATGGGTATGTCTCCCGTCGCTCGAACAAATTTCTGTCCAGGGAGAAGCAGATCTGGATGAATAGTCTTTGCTGGATCCCATTCGCAGGAGTCAAGAGTGAGGATCGAAATTGGGCTATTTCGTCCAGAAGACGACTGCATAGCTTCATTCTGAGAGTGTCGTCGGTTGGACGTGCTACGCTCGTCTTCAATATACAGAGTACATGTTATCCCACGCGGCTTCTTGCAAGATTTGATATGATAGACTCGACCGTCGTCTAGCCCAAAGACGAGGTTGTAGATTTTGATTCGGATCTCAGCTGGCAGGTCCAGGAAGCGGAATGGCTGGGTTGGAACGGAAGGCGAAGAAGATGTGCTGAGATGATCAGACGGCTGTAGATACGCGGGAATGACCCAGCTGCCTTTGGATTTGCGAGTGTCTGATGGCTTATTTGCACGCCGGAAACACATCTTGTTTAAATATTTGAGATAGTAGATATAGATGTGGAGAGTCGAGAGATGTAAGATCTTGATAGTTGAAGGGATCAAAAGTCAGAGATGCTTAATTTTTGGATGCAAACATTTTTGATGCAGAGTGAGATGGAATGAAAGAGGAGAGAGGGACAGGACCGAGAGATATAGTGTAGAGAATTTACGAAATGATTCGTTGGTGAATGTCATAACAAGATGACTCAGGACTGAAGGAGAGATGGAAGGCGTTGCTGTGCCACTGAGGCTTGACATGTGATATCTCATCCCGCTCTCATGAAGAAGTATTTTTTGATCATTTTCTGTATATATTTTTAATATTTAATTTGTATTTGAACAGGCAGACGTTGACTCATTACAAGGGTATGAGAGTATGAGGCTGAACTTGCGATTCTGCCGGATAGTGTAAGGGCGGTGAGACGAAGGCGGTAGGCGGTGTGATGCCCCGCATTGCCATGTGCTCACGTATCTGCATCACATTTCAATTTTTGAATTTATTTGGAGTTATACATATAGGAGTATTAAATTTAGTCAATCGCAATCTGATGACGAATCTGTAACATAAGACGCATTTATCGAAATATTATCCATTTTGTGATTAGTAGTTGCTGGGAGGTTCTGTATATCTGTTAAAAACAAAATAATCCCAACAAAATATGCTTCCCGTGGAAAATATAAAATCCTTTTAAAAAAAATTCACAAGAGCATACGGTGTCTCTTCTTCCTTAACGACATGCTGCAATTTTCTTTCGTTGGAGAATGATAGACTTGTACGACTTATCAAACTGGAAGTCAGTAAGTCCAGGTGTGCACTTTTGACACCACTACTCTTCCGTAATACTACGGAGAGACGATAGAGACAAAATGGATGAAACAGCAGGGAAACATACTACTTCGTACTCGTACCAGATGATGCGTGCAGGTGGTCGCCTTTGAGCTCCGTGCCTTGGAATTTGTCGCAGCCATGTCATTCCCTCGATTCTTCCGGCCGCTGACCTCTCGGCTTGCCAGTCCTTCCTCTTCTTCCTCTTCCTCTTCCTTCTTCCCATCGCTCTCTCGGCGCTCAGGATCTCCTTCTTCCCACTTCACTTTCCGAGCGCTGCAACAGAGAGGCTTCGCGTCTGGACGTCCCCAAGGCGGTTCTCCTCTCCGCATCTGGCCTTTTGCTTTGATCCTCCTTGGAGGCACAACTTCGTACGTGTTGATGGTCAAGAGCCGTACCGGTCTTGGTATGTGAATTGTCTTTCCTATACTCAATTCAGCATTGTTTTCTCCCTCAGAATTGCCGTATCATCTCTCCGACCGAGACCCCCCGGTCTTCTAATCCCTCAAGCCGCGCAATCCATAGCTCGCAGATAAATTCAATATTAGCGTTCCATGCAGCCTTGCCCCTCCGCGCGCGGCCTCCCCCTGGAGAAAGCAATCTCTATGCTGGGGTTAACTTATTAAACTTTGACTGAACTGACATATTTCAATTGATATAGACACTAGAAAAGAAGAAATGCCCGCTATTCCCTCTCCCCCCGCCGCCGAGCAGATTGCTGCTCCCAAGAAAGATGTGCCGGCCTTTTCCCCCAAAGACGTCGGTGTGATTTTCGTCCTTGGTGGTCCTGGCGCCGGCAAGGGCACCCAGTGTGCTAATCTCGTGCGCGAGTATGGCTTCAAGCACCTCAGCGCAGGCGACTTGCTGCGCGCGGAGCAAGAGCGGCCTGGATCCCAGTTTGGTAATATGATCAAGGAGTACATCCGCGAGGGCAAGATTGTGCCCATGGAGGTTACTGTTCAGCTTTTGGAAAATGCAATGGGCGAGGCTATCCGCACTGAGGGCAAGAAGCGCTTCTTGATTGATGGTGCGTGTTTATGTCTTACCTGCCCCTGCCCCCGCTATCCCATTTCTTCTCGAGAGAGCATTGTTATCAATTGCTAACAGTTTGCCCCTCATTCTGTAACAGGCTTCCCCCGTAAAATGGACCAAGCCCTCAAATTCGAAGAAACCGTCTGCCCGTCCCAATTCACCTTGTTCTTCGACTGCCCCGAGTCAGTCATGCAGGAACGCCTGCTGAACCGCGGCAAGACCTCTGGCCGCGCAGATGACAATGCCGAGAGTATCACCAAGCGTTTCCGCACCTTTATCGAGACCAGCATGCCTGTGGTTGACTTTTTCGAGAAGCAAGGCAAGGTCGTCAAGATTCCTGCCATCAAGACTCCCGAGGAAGTCTTCCAGGACGTCGAGACTGCCATGAAGACCAGAGGTTTCCAGCCTCAAAAATAAACATGTCCCTTCCACCGCGTTTTCTCGTGGATCAATGTTCCCCTTATACCAATGACTATTTTTCTTGGTGTCAATAGGAAATTGATCTACAGTTTCTACTATACTCGCGGCCCATGCAGCGTTTTGCAAATTTAGAGAGATTAGATCGGATGGTTCGGTCCTTTCCCCGCTTATCATCTTGTCGCCCTAGGAGAGACAGAGAGAGAGAGAGAGAGGAAGGGGGAGGGATCATACCCAATCCATCCTCCCTTTTTGTTTAAATATTACACATATAACCCTTCTTGTATATTATACATTATTATTTTCTTACTTTTAGTCTGGCAACCCAACCCAACCCAATCGTTCCACTCTTCTTTTGACATGCTAAAGGCATTTGGGCAAAGCGGTTTAGAGCGGTACAGACGGGCGTCAATATACAAATATAATCACATACATTATACATTCTATAGGTTGCAGATATACTCATACGCGTTTGGGACACCACGACATCACAATCTATAGAGCACAGTTTGGATAAGAAAGTCGCTTTTTTTGATTAGAAAAAAATGTCTTTTCCTTTTTTTTCGAGACTCTAGCACATGATATTTTTGGGGTCGTTCATCATGAACAACACAACACGACCTTTGGCACCAGTACATACATCCATATGATCTAAGACAAAAGAAGGTTACGATAAAGAAACCATAAGGTAGATGGAACAGAGAGAGAGAGAAAAAAAAAAGGGGGAGGCCATCAAAGAGCAATCATCCGACGGAGAAGAGGGGAAGGTGAAGGTGAAGGTGAAGGTGAAGAAAAAGGAGGTGAAATAAGAGAGCAACCAAAGAAAAAGAGAAAACAACTCAGGAGAGAGAAAGAAGAGATATTTGAGAATTCTTACTCGACCTCAATCTCGCGGGGAGCGTTTCCTCTTCTCGTGTTGCCGGTGGGAGCGGGAGCACCGGTCACCTTGGCCTCGAGCTCACGCAGCTCGCGCTCTTTCTGGACGATGACGTTCTCGCGCTCTCGTCGCACAACCTCGAGAACGTTGACGAGGCTCTCGCGCCAAATGTCAAGACGGGAGGCAACCTCGCGCCACTGGTTCTCGCCAAAGACACGGTAGGTGCTGCGATGGATGAGGAAGGTCTGGTTGAGCTGGGAGAGCTTGCCCTCGACGAGACCGGCACGGATGACATCGATGACCCACATCTCGACCTCTTCGGCAGGGACCTGGAGGGCCTTTGCGATCTGGGCGTAAGGGAGGGCGCGCGACGGGGTAGAGGCGGCCAGGGAGGCGAGCGTCAGCAGACGCATCTTGCGGTAGAGGACGTCCTGGTCGAGTCCCTGCTCGTCGATCCACTTGGCGTTGGTCTCCTGGAAGTCGGCGTAGTCGTCGAGAAGCTCGGCGTTGAAGATCTCGAGCAGCTCGAAGAAAATCGGGTCCGACTTGCGGAGAGCCTGGATGGAATCCAGCGCCGTCAAGTCCTGGAAGTCAAAATGCGAGGGGGATGTAAGAGCCGACTTGAGAGCGCGGAGGGACAGTTCGCGGGCCTCAGGCTCCGAGACTTCCTCGGTGGGGATCGTCTTGAGAGCGCGCAGCAAGTACAGGTAGGATTGCTCGGTCTCGCTCACTTCGAGGGCAACATCGGCAATGCCGAGGAACAGCTTGCGCTGGTCCTCCTCGTCAACTTCCCATTGCGCAATCCAGTTGTCCAAGTTCTTGAGCTGTGGCCGCAGAGCGTCGAATGAAGCGCTCGACTTGATGACCCGCAGGACGGCGAGGAAAACGTGGTACCGGCTCTCGTTGTTGGACGGGAGGATGTTGAAGATGGTGGTAAGAACCGAGAGAGCAAGGCCGCTTCCGCTGCTCGGCGAAGCACCAAGGGGTTGCGAGAGGTAGTTGCAGATTTTGGGAAGGAAAATGTTCACATTGGGCGACTGGCGGATCAGGTGGACAAGCAGGTTGTACGCAGGGATGATCTCTGTATAGTATTAAAACCCATTCGTTAGCTTTTCTGATTGATTGCAATTTGTTTTTCCCTCCTCCTCCTTTCCTGTCCGCGTAGGCGATATTTTCTCCATTTTTATGCAGACGTGAAGCCGAAAATCTTCCAAACCCCGCGACTGGATGGATAAAAAAACTAACCCTTCTCAGGAGCGCTGTTCAAGACTGAGCTGGAAGTCACCAGCTTCTTCAACACCTCGTCGTTCTGGCCCTGCTCGAGCAGAGGGGTGATTTCCGAGTGCACACTGGTGCCATCCTCGCTTTTGCGGAGATTGTCGAGGTACTGTGCGAATTCGTCGACAAGTTCCTCGAAGCTACCCTCAATCAAGAGGATATTTGACGGTGCAGGCATGATGTCGACTACCGGTATTGGGAGAATCGGGCAACAGTATGCGCTTGGAGAGACCCGAAATGCGTCAACAATGTGGTGCTTGTCGAATTTAGGCAGTCCCAGACCCCGTTTGGCGATTTGTGCGAAGTGGTTTCGAAATCTTGGCGTTCGGTGGTGATGGTGCTACGGTCGACTCAGTGAACCGCTACCGCGGTCTAATTAGTCATGACTTACCTCAGCAAAAGTCGTCAGAGCGCGCGACAAAAGCCTTTGGTGCAAAGCTCCTTTCTACCAGAAAGGTACGAAGGTATAGAATCCACCATGTTGTGGTTACCATCTACATTCATGATATTCTTTGAAAAGTTAAATATATTTACAAGCTTATATCAAGTTTATGTGAAATGAGTAGGAAAGCAAATATTATATATCGTCTACTTTGGCCCAAGCCCCATCATAGCATGGCTTTGGGACGGGCCTCGGCCGGATGCTCCAATTCCAAACGTTTCGTTTCGACCCATTCCTCTATCCTTTGTAAAAGACCTTCCAGTTCTTCTTCCGTGGTGCTGGCATGAAGACAGACTCGCACCCGTTCGGCGCCAGCGGGAACGGTTGGAGGGACAATGGCTCGGACTATGTACCCGTGCTTCTGACAGTACTTCGCCAGGCTGCGTGGACGGGACGTGAGAAGCGCCAATATTTGAGATTTTGGCGCTTCGTCAAATGTCCGAAGCAATTGAGGAGGACTCTTCTTCGCAAGTGCGTCGAGTCGACTATGGAATGTCCTGATGGTAGCCCAAAGCTGAGATTGAAGCTGGAAAATGGATTTAGCATCAGCATATATTAACGGAAAGGAAAACTGGCAATGACAGTCCAATGGATTCATACTGGATTGATCTGGCCTTCCTTCATGAGCCGGTAAACTGCTTTAATGCTTGCCAAAGAAGGGTACGATAATGAGGTGGTATAAATCAGGCTTCGAGCATAATTTACAAGATATTGTTTCATCAGCGGAGGACATAATACCGCGGCTATCGAATGCCCAAACAATGTAGGTTAGCAAGTGGTCATAATCGGTTATGATCGAGGAGACATTTGTCATTGGAGTCCGTGAATGATTACCTCCATTGCAGGCTAGTGCCTTGCCAAACGTATGCAAACGGGCAAAGATGCGATCCTCCATCCCAAGGGCAGAGACAAAACCGCGCCCATCTTGCCCAAACACACCGGTGGAGTGTGCTTCATCCACTATAATATATCCGTTACCGGCCGGGAGCATGCTCTCAACACTGCTCACAAACTCCTTGAGAGGGCAGGTGTCTCCGTCCATGCTATATACACTCTCGACGGCAATAATCACATTGGACTTTCCCGTTATGAGAAGAGGGTCGGCATCAATGAACGATTGAAGAACCTTCCGAAAGTCGGCAATCGAATTGTGCGCGAAGGCTTTGCAACTCTTGGCCCTGGAAAGTCGCATGCCATCATGGACGCTGGCATGGATATATTCGTCGTAGATGATGACATCTCCAGGTTGCGGAATGCACGAGAAGATGCCCACATTTGCTTCAAAGCCCGAGTTGAATAGCAGGGCAGCAGGAGCATTATGGAATGCAGCAATCTCTCTCTCTAAATTTTCCGCGTACGAAGAATTTCCGTCCAACAGACGTGAGCCGGTACTACCTATCGGGAACGTAGGCTGTAGTGCAGCGAGCTCTTTCTGAAAAGCGGATTGAAATGACGGCGAAGGAGCGAGGGACAGATAATCATTGGAAGAGAAGTCCACCGAGTCGGCCGGGGAAATTGTCAATTGGCGGAGGGTTGAATTAGAAAGTCGCCGTTCAAGTAAGGCCTTGAAGGTCAAAAGTAGACCAGGCGATTCTGAAGAGTTTCCCCTGCTTGGTGACATCTCTGGACGGGAACACTTGAGCGGAGTATTGTGCAGGCAAGCATGATGGGCTGCATCGTCTCAAGACCCCGCGATACAGGAAGCAGACTTCCCTCGGGCCTCGGTCATGACAGCCACTAACTGAACTACGTGTATCAGTTAGTTAGTAGATCAAGTGGTGGTTGGCAAAATGTTAGCTAGTTGGCGCGTCTGAGGACGGATTCTCCCTCACCAAAAGCTGCCTAAACGTTGGTTGGCCCTCTAGTTAAAGTTAGTGAGCCATGCGATCTGCTCTCGCTTTTACGTAATCGGCTCTAACGGCTCTTTTGTATCCGCTGTCCAGGAGCTTGTTGAATTTGATCCCAATTAGAAGCTTCAGGCCAGAGCTTTAATGAAAGAGTGCTATGGTAATTCAGTATTGCTTGGAAAAGAGATAAGTTTTTTTGTTATATTATCTGTAGTCTCGTAATACATGTAACACGAGGGTCTGTATTTACACGAAAAATGGGTGATTGGTAAGAAGCACACTGTACTCGTCAATGGAAACAAGCGTGGTGTGCGAAAGCATTCTCTGTAAGCATTGACTTGTTCATTCCTTTCATTACAAAGGCCTATTCGCATTTCAGCATGAGTCAGAAGCATCTCAATCGTTGGGCGATGAGATTTGATAGAGAGAGCGTAGTGGGCTTTGGCCGGGAAAAATGTCTCAACCACCGTACCGTGGCAACGGAAGCTATCCCCGAGCCTAAACTCTACCAGTAAAAGTCCGATTGCGCAGCACCTGGCAGTAACCCCACTGGAAGATCTCTCTGGTTCCTGCGTCCAAGCTCTACGGAGTAGTAAGACACATTATTTAATCTCTTATCGTTGCATCTCATATTCCCTCAACCACTGTCAGACGTTCTCCCTATCATTCTGTGCAATTCAAAGGAAGGAAACGGCCCAGCGTTCTGCGCTTTGCAAGTCCGTTGCGAGAGTGCCATTGGACCTTCAGGCCGTTGCCCTCAGAACCTTAGCTATCTGGTTATGGAGCTTTTGCCGAGAAAATAAGCTGCGGGACATTTGAGCTGTGGGGTCGAAAATACCTGTCAAGACGACAGAATATTTGATATATACCCAATTCAATTGGCAACTCATTTTATGTAGACGACGAGGACTCCCAGAGTATTAGTACAAGAGCCTCGTTTTCGGCTTCCATCAATTGGAATGTCTCAGCCAATTGGCTCTCTTCTTTGGCGTTCTTTACGAGCCTACCAAGTTTATGGAGCCAACACAGATGTAGGAAAAACCATCTTCTCCACCATCTTGGCTAAGGCGTCCAAAAAGAGACGCCCGGCGGAGAATGTCTGGTTTTTGAAACCCGTGTCAACAGGCCCACTTGACGAGGCTGATGATAGGTGTAAGTTGTTTGCGATTATCCGTTTCGGCGTTTGACTTCTGCATTTATAATTCTATTTGAACCCTCTCCGGCGTCTTTCACCAAGGAAATACTTGAAGGCAATACTTCAAACATTAGACTTGACCCAGTTGCGTTGCCCGCAACATTCTACTCTACACGAGATCACCTTTATTCTCTAGATGCCTCTGCTAACTTTCTGGTATCAGACGTTGGCATGGCTTTTTAATTTCTCATTACCCGGCCCGTGATTAACTTTCTGAGACAGACATGTCTCTCGTTTTGCTCAAGGCGTATCAACGCATTGCCTTCACCAGTTTGAGAAACCGATTAGTCCTCATCTTGCCGCTCTTTCTTCAGCTCAGGTAAGTATGTCGCAGAGCTTCAACACCCCAGCTTCCCTCTTAATTGCGAACTCATTCAGAACAATGTCATAATTCCAAATTTGACCTGTTTCTAGGAAACACCCTCGGACAGCAAAGTTCTCAGAGGAATTCGGGATCATTTCGTAGAATGTGCGCAGGCAGGTCCTGGTTTTGCCATTCTTGAGACTGCCGGCGGAGTGCACTCCCCTGGACCAAGTGGAGCTTCACAGGCGGATCTGTACCGGCCACTGCGACTTCCTGTAGTCCTAATTGCGGACTCCCGTCTTGGGGGTATTTCTTCCAGCATCTCCGCTTATGAGTCGCTCCGAATCAGAGGATATGATGTCGCTTCAGTTATGCTTTTTCATGATGCGGTCTATCAGAATGACGACTATCTCCGAACATATTTTGATAAGCAGAACATCCCGAGCTTATCGCTGCCGTTTCCTCCAGAACGCAAGGAGTCTCTTCTGGAAGACGAGAAATCGCTCGCGACCTATTACGAGGACGTTAGCAGTCTTCCAAGCATGCAAGATCTCTTGTCAAGACTTGATGAACAGCACGAAAACCGGATAAATCGACTTCAGAGCATGCCTTCCCGGGCGCTAGAGTGCATTTGGTATCCTTTTACACAACATCAGCTCCTTTCACCTGAACGTATCACGACAATTGACTCCGCCAGTGGTGACTTTTTCCAAACGTCAACACTGCCTGTCAAAGCAATTGATAACTATACGGAGGATTCTTCAGCACCTCTCCTCAAGCCTTCATTCGATGGCTCTGCCTCGTGGTGGACACAAGGCTTAGGCCATGCCAATCCCGAGCTTGTCCTTGCAGCAGCCTACGCAGCAGGCCGATATGGCCATGTCATGTTCGCCGAAGCTGTCCACGAACCAGCACTTTCGCTGGCTGAAATGGTTCTCAAGTATCTTAATAACCCAAGGATGAGCCGCGTCTTCTATACCGATAACGGCAGTGCAGGTGCCGAAGTTGCCATCAAGATGGGTCTACGAGCAGCTCGCCTTAGATACGGATGGTCTCCATCCGATAATATAGAAATTATTGGGCTTCAAGGAAGCTATCACGGTGATACCATGGGCGTTATGGACTGCGCCGAGCCATCCGTATACAATGAGAAAGTGGAATGGTATCAAGGCCGAGGCTTCTGGTTCGACTACCCAAAAATAAAGATGGCTAACGGCTCCTGGGTTGTGGAGGTACCAGAAAACTTACAACAAGCGCTTGGTTCCGGCGGCGTTCATTCTTCTCTTACAGATATCTTCGACGTTGAGAGGCGAGAACATGGAGAGGAGGGCCAAAGATACCAGCAATACATTATAGACACATTGGAAAAGCTGCAGAAGCAGGGCAGAAAATTCGGCGCCCTTGTGATGGAGCCAGTCATATTAGGTGCCGGAGGAATGCTTTTTGCGTAAGTTGCTCCCTTCAACAAGGTGAATATCGAAGCTCCAGACTGACAGGTTCAGCGATCCACTCTTCCAGCGCATGCTGGTTCGCGTGGTACGGGAAAACCCGGAACTGTTTGGAACCAGAAGCAACGAGACTACGACCATTGAAGGAACCTCAAACGACTGGTCTGGTCTCCCGGTAATATTCGACGAGGTCTTTACCGGATTCTACAGACTAGGCCGTGCCAGCTCCTCCGCATTCCTGGGCGTACATCCAGATGTCTCTATCCACGCCAAGTTGCTGACCGGAGGCGTGGTACCTCTGTGCGTGACCGTGGCCAGTGAGCCCATTTTCAACGCGTTTGATAGCGCCGAGAAGACGGATGCTCTCCTCCATGGCCATAGCTATACAGCGCACCCGATCGGGTGCAAGGTGGCCGAGAAGTCTCTCCAGACCATGAATGAGCTGGATAAAACGGGACATTGGGACGTTTTTAAGCTGGATTGGATTGCGCCTTCAAACATTGAAGCCGAGTCGGGTGACATCAAGCTTCATACTGAAGAATGTCCTACAGGCGTGTGGAGTGTTTGGTCCAAAGATTTCGTCACTTCCTTATCCCTCCACGACAAAGTGCGCGGGGTTTTTGCAATCGGTTCGGTCCTTGCCATTGAGCTACAGGATCCTAGTGGAGGTGGTAAGTCAATTGCTTGCTGGGGAACATACCTACCTTATGTCCTTCTTGCGTCACCAATCCCTTGGAGCATTTCTTTTGCTAATGTGTCACAGGTTACACGTCTACGGCCTCCAAGGAGTTGCAGTCCGCACTCATGACAGGCACGCTTGGCGATGCTGGCCCGCGCTGGGACATCCATTGTCGTGTGCTCGGAAATGTCTTGTACCTCATGGCAAGCCAAATGTCAACCCCAGAGACCGTGCGCGAGATTGAGGCCTTAGTCCGCGCTTCCCTGTGAGGGCAGATTCCGCTCAAAGGGTGTAAGGACTAAGCCGGGGAACGGGAACGGAAATTTTGTAGATATTTACCTCGTGTACTTTTGTACTTATATTTCATTAAGCGAATATATATTAGATCACGAATTAAAAAGGCTTTAACAACTTTGGCTGCTGCAGTAAGGACTAATCAAAGCGCTACTGCTGCGATCTGCTTGAAGACGGAGCACCAACAACAGAACTTCTTGGCTTGCCTGATTGCAACTGAACCCACAGCTATTGATGTCCTCGCCTTCCTTACGGATAACGGGTGGGATGTTCAAAAGTGGTTACTTCTCTTCTCGATCACAGATAAACAAGATTACCTTGTGTATCAAGACCATCGGCAAAGGATATATCATGAATAAGTACTGTAGCATTTTGACACCTTTACACAGAGCCGCCAGGAAATAAAAATAAAACTAAAAACTCAAGAGAAGAGGATAAGGGAATGGAAGGTAAAAAAAATTAATAGATTGGAGCAAAAAAACGTACAACAGCGGGGATTCGCTGGTCGTCACCGACCCAACTACTAGTCCGCCGATCTGAGGCTTATGTATGGCAGAGCGGACGGGATGCCCAGTTCTCCTCAGTCTATGGTCGTACGTGCTGAGTATACAAAAGTTTGAGTCTATATACCTTTGATCTAATTCCATATTGCATCTGGCTGCTTGGCCGCCTTAAAATTGCGGTGCATTGGCAAGTTACTACTTTCACGTTTACACCGAGTTAAGTGATTTGTTTATGAACTTTAGAACTTCTACATATATCGGACGTCCAGAATATGAGTAGAGAACATCAAATTCTGGAAGCATCCAAGTGGATTAGTTTCTGTACATTTAAAGATATGCATGATTTTTCAAGTGTATGTTGGAGCAACAGAGTGTGGTGTTAGCATGGATAATAGCTGTTAGGTTAAAATCATGCACGCAGCATCTGTCGGCAAGGGGCAAAAAGAGCGTGAGAGAAAATCGTCTGTGCGTTAGGGATCGATGATTGTGGGTTTAGGAGTAAGGCGGCCATGAGATTAAACTAAAAGGCATTGGTAAAGACTTTTAATTACATGACATCAATTTCACGATGATTCGTTGTGGTGGTTAGATTTTGAAATGAAACTGGGGAAGAGCGGAGAACTGGAATACCGAGGTTCCGAGCTGAGCGTGGCATTATTGGCTAGATGGGTCATGCAGGCCAAGGGCCAAGCATTGGCTAGCCGAGCCCATCTCTGCCGCTAAATTGGACTCAACCTGTCCGAGCGATCTTACCGACATTTCATTGGCTGAAATGGCAGGCGATATCGCTTGGCCCGAAGTAGAAGTAACTCATAACATGGCCCTTTCAACATGGACAAGGACCTGGACCACACTAGCGTGCGGGCCATTGAGGCAAATTGCCTGATTGAGGTCACCAGCCCCGATCTTGTGGGTGGTTCCATCCCGCGACTTGAACTCAACCTTTCTTCCTCGTAACTAATGGTACCTTTTTCTATGAAGGAGGGCTCTATTCTTGGAACTGTTAAGAATCTCGCACATTGATGTTGTCTTTGGGCCAGTCTTTTACGGAGAGGAGGGTTTTAGGAGTTGGACATGGAGGAAGCCTTTTCCATTGAGCGGGGCATGACGAAATGAGGAATGGAGCAGTATTAGACAGGGGGGAAAGGGTTTGAGTCTGGTAATATTTGAACCACCCATGCTAGCCCAATTTGTTCCATACCGCATCTTTGCTGGGCCCGTCGAGCTAAACTGTAGAATTGGCACTGGGCCCGCTGCGCTGTCAGAGGAGCTATCATTCACATCCTGGCCGAGTGAGCCGAACTAGACAGGAAGCACATGGAACCACCGAGGCGCGCCCAGGCAAAGTGTAATGACAGTATCATAATAATAATGTGTGCAGATTTCGGCGCCGTTTGTTCCTGAGAGGATGGCTGGCTGGCCCACCCTCCGAATTTTGTTTGCACCCCTCGGCTCAGGCTAACAGGAACCTCTAGCTTGATAGAATATACCTTAGCGGAGACACAAATAATAATCGTCCCCCCTCAGAAACATTCCCCATCCCAACCTTCTTCCCTCATCCTTTCGCTCTCATCGGCCTCAGATTCACTCGTCTGAAATTTCATTTTCTCTCTCGCGTTTAATACCAATCTTCTTCTTCTCTTCTCTCGGCTTCTTTCGTCGCGCGCGCAGCAGAAACATTTCTACCAGAGACCCCAAAACAAATAAACAGGAGCTATCCAAATCAGCACAAACGTCACGATGCGCTCCTTCTCCGCTTTATTCGTTGCATCCGCTGCCTTTGCAGGCTTCGCGTCGGCCCTGGGCAATCAGACTATTGATCCCAACTCTGTAGACTTGTCCACCAGAAGTAAGTGAAGATCTTCTACTGATAATTGTCAAAAATAGCTATTTTTCGACCACTTAGCTAACGCCCTTCTTTCACGCTTAGATTCATGGTGCTTGTCTGAGAATAACAACTGCCCACTCCTCTGCGGTGGTAGCGGTGATGTTCAGACGTTATCTTGCGATGGTGTAAGTCTCTTTTTCGCAACCTCAAATAATTCATACAGTTTGATTGACTTGGTCATTCCTATTCTAGAATACTTTGCAGTATCAGTGTGTCTGCACCAACGGTTCCTCGCCTGACGTAGCTGCCTACACGGGCACTCTTCCCTTCTTCATCTGTCAAGAATATGTCAGCCAGTGCATCACCAACCATCCCAACGACCTTGACGGTCAAACTGCTTGCCGAAAAGACAATCCTTGCGGTACTCTGGACCCAACCAAGGTACAGGCTGCGAGCCCCTCGAGCTCAAGCTCGAGCTCGGTCTCAGCCTCTGCAACCAGCGCCTCTTCTACTAGCTCTACGCCGAGTGCCACCAGCGCAACAGCTACCCCCTCGGCTACCCAGAAGGCCCACAACGCCGCCGCCGGTCTGAATGTGAACTACGCAACAGCCATTTTCGGTGCTGCATTGCTCGCCGCTTGTGGCGCTTTTCTCTAATTCAGTCGCGCGCTCTCCGGTGTTCGGGTGGCGTAGGCACGCTTTATTTCTTTCACCGGCCGCGCAATGATTCTAGCAGCAACACCATGCTGCTAGGTATTTCCGACGCAGTGAACGCGTTTCTCTTTCTTGCGTTTAAGCCATTTTCGTTACGTTTGCCTCTTGAAATTTTTCTGCTTCTCTGTTGAAACGCATGCCTACCTGCAAGTTGATGTGTTATTATTCCCCCTAATGTCCTGCCTATTGTTTTCCTGGGCTGGCTTTTTCTTGCAAGGACGGATTCGGATAGGATGGATTAGGACTCACTTTAATAAATATTTAATCAATTCGATTCAGCATCAAGGCTGCTTCAACAGCAAGATCTTCAAGTTTCATACGTGTATTTAGGGTATCAATTTGTTTTCGAGCCTCTGGCCCGGCACAGGCTGACATCACAACATTACAAGCATCACCGTTGGTGTATTGCAGCACCACCAATAGGACCGGAGTTGTGTCATTGAGTAGAAAAGTGCAATTAAGCATTTAAAGTGCGATGATCTCTCGGATAGTAAATAGAGTTAGCCAATTCTTGAAGAAGAAATGATCAGCAATGAGAGATTCGGGAGTTGAGCACAGGACTGTACTCTACGGTGTTATGCTGCATTCTACAGTATGGCACGAGTGCGACAGTTCTCCCTCGCTTCTGTCTACCTTTTGACGATTTCCACTCGTAAATAAATGACCGTCTTGAGATTAGGTCGACTGTTTTATTTTTGGCCAGCCAGTAAGCCAGATCACAAAATCCCACCGACGCAATGTCAGTGGGAAAATCTTACGAGATGTGGCGTTGAGTTAGTGCTGTAAACTACTGTCCCTGTGTGGCTGAATCTTGCGCCACTGTCAGTTGAAAGGAGGGCGTTTTCTACCTTAGTTGAAGCGATTCGGGGAAGGTCTCTCTTCCTCCAATCCTCCCCTCGTCCCGACCCCACAGGCCCGGGCCGAGGCGAGTCCCCAAGTCACTTCTCCATGTTCTTGAAACAAATGAGTTTTCGAAAGGTCGCAATTGCAACCAAGGACTATCTGCAAAGTACCTCTTCGATTTTAAATTTCTCTAAGCATGTTTTCCTTGAAATAGGCGGATGGCGCGAGTGACTGTTAGAACCTTGGTCAGCCGTCCAACCCTGCGCGACATGTGATTTTGAACCCCGCAAACATGGGACCTGGCGGCAGAGTGTACCGGTTGGATTGAATCATTGTTGCAACCTAGCATCCATAGTATCGATGAGGACACGGGAATCTGGAGCCCCAGTAATGACGGAAAAGTCAATATAGCGACTTTTTTGAAGAGACGATGTATGACTCGGTGGCCTCAGTTTCAGGATGAGCAACAGTTTCCGGCGCTTAGATAGCTGAGCCTGTAACTCCACAAGCCAATCAAGGTGCGATGTACAGGGTTCAGCTCCTCTCATTGCTGCGTCGCCCCACGTCAACCCTTCCCTGCCAGACTGATCGGCGGCCCTCTGGCCGAGAAATGCGGCGGTAATGGGCCAGCAGCCACAGTCTACTGTTCCTCTCTCCTATAGCTATTCACCTCCTTCACACCTCGTCGCCGTGATGATTTCCTGTTCTTTGCCCAGTCACGCTCAGAGCTGAGCGTAACGGCTTCTAATCTTGACGGCCAAGGCACTGTTTCATTTTCTACTGCTCTCTACAGCACCTTGCAGCGCGGGGTTGTACAGTCAGATCTTGGACTTCGTCAGTCTATCAAAAATATTCGAGTGGAGGCAAACCAAACATACAGTGATCTGCGGCCTTATATCTTTGTCATAGGTACAGTTTCGTACATGAACCTGAAAGCTGCACCAGGGGTCTGATGCCTTATTCGGCTGCCGGTGCCCTATAGAAGAGAAGCATGGAACCACCCGCTGGACTGTGGCTAGTGCTGCATTCATTGGCTCTTCTCCGTATATACATTTAAACGTGCATTGGCTGACGTGGGCTCGTTCAAGGACTCCGCTTCGGCTCCTGACCACTGACCCGTTTCGAGGCCCAGCAACCGGCGACCCCGAAAGTTTACATCAGAAGGACTTTGCTACTTGTACACTGTCGAGACAACATCGTTCACATTCTCTCTCACAATGGCTACCGCGAGTCGATCCGGGCGGGCTGATGATGAGCTCTTCCTCCGCGGCGCAGGAAACGAACCTCAGACGCCAACAGTCGAGCCGCTGCGCATCAATAAAAGAGATTCTGCGTCTGCCTCGCCCCCTTTGAGAACAGGCTCAGCTGGAACCCAGCAGAGCAGCCAAGCACCAGCAACCAAGATACAGCAACCGCTTCCTTACCCCTCCGGTCCCTCTACATCTACTATAGCACCAACAACACAACTTCCTTACCCAGATGATAGATTTCCCAGGGTCAACGATCGAACACATCAAGCTCCTTACCCAGAAGATGGCTCACCTAGGATTCCTGACGCAGGTCGTTCCTCCCCAGCCTATGTTTCTTCCAACTCTTCGCCAAGGTCTGGCACCAGTGAACACGGTCGATTTGGAGTCTACTCTCCTGCCAGGGACGGACAACCTCCTTTAAGCTTGGGTGAACGGAGAGGAAACGTGCCGAAACCTCTTCCGGAATCACCGGGGCCCGATCTTCCGGATAAAGAAGGCTTATTTCAGAAATTGCCACAGCGCCAGAATCCTCCTTCAACACCTGGTCTCCGGCAGGCTCCGGAACGGCCAGCAAATGCAGCTCAGGATGAACCCTATGCGGATTATCGACAACAGTATAGGGCTCCAACGGGGCGCCCGGCAGCTGGATCTGCCGACGGCGTCGCTGATGCTTATGCAATGCCCACTCCAGGAACAGTTCATCGTTTACCTTCTACAGCATCTATTTCAACAACGCGTGCTCAGCGCGGTTCTCCTCCGCCACCAGAGACACCAGCAGTAGGCCCAGGAGAACCCGTTGGAGGTGGTATAGAAGCTCGGTATGCGGCTTCAGGCATAGCGGGTACCGCTACACTAAATAGCTTGCAAGCGCAGAATGCAGCAGCCGCTCAGCGTGCGCAACAGTATACAGCGAGAACCCCACGGTATACGCCTGCGCCGGAGAGACAAGAGCCGCCCCGCCGGCCATGGACACCCACAGAGCTGCCAGGCACTGCGCCTCATGGTCCACCTACAGTCTACCAAGGACCGACAGAAGTTACACAATCAGTCACACCAGAGCCAGCTCCTGCGCCCCGCGTTGACTCCCCTGCTTCCTCGGCTCATTCCCGCGCATCGCAACCTCCTCACCCACTTGAGCAAGACATTCAAAGATTGCAAATGACATCTTCGCCTCCTCCGGCATATACCAGCGTAACGGGCCCTGCAGCCGCCCAAAGATACCCTGCAGAGAAACAAGGGCCTCAAAGCGGCACGGCAGTAAATGCTGGTGGGATCACAGCCGCAACATCCGCTGGTCGACCTCTCAATGGCCATTCCGCTACTCCTTCGTATCAGGATAACCAGATTCAAAACCACCCAGCATTTGCAAATGACCCGAGACAGGCAGTGGCTTCCCCCGGCCCTGGACAAACCACTTTTGCCTCCACACAAAAGCTTGCAAACACATCACCTGGTCCAGGGTTTGGGGCGGGCCCTGCCTCTCCACCACCATTGCCCGAAGGCTGGATTGCACATCTCGATCCTAACTCTGGCCAGTATTATTACATTCATCTTCCCACCCAATCCACCCAATGGGAGTTTCCAAAGGGCCCTACTCCATTGAACTTGAATGAGCCGCTGTCACCTACAATCAGCACATATGGCGGCCATAGTCTAGCCTCACCCATTATGAGTACATTTGGTGGGAAAGCTTTAGCCTCTCCTGGATTCCCATCGTCCGCTGGGTATGCCGAGACTGTGTTTAATCTCGGCAGTCCTCCCGGCGCTGGTTTTACTGGTCCGCCTCCAAGCAGCGGCGTCGATATTTACCGTGTTGCTCCAACCAACGGAGTATACTTTGGTCCGTATCTTCGGTACACGAATATGGATCTAGAGAGAGGCATCTGGCTAGGTTCTATCTTGCTTGTTACGGATGCTCCTCAACCGCCAACCATACATATTCATCAAAGCATTGATCTTTCTCCAAACCGTAAATCTCCATAACTTTTCCTTTCTGAGCTTGTGCTAACCTGAAGGTAGCTCGACAATTAAAGGCAAATCCGATATTTACTCATCAGAGATGGGTCTTTTACCGATATGAAATTGATCTGCGGATGGAGGAAGCAAGCACGAGATGGACCTACGCCATCACCTCGCACCTCGGGTGCACTCGTTATGAATTTCTGATCGCAGGACGGTACGAGACAAATTGGAGGTTCATTGCCCATTCAGGGAATGATTTCTCTTTGAACGTAAACGCAAATGAGCGATCTCGTCTCGGTGGAGTAGGCTATATGTGGAAAGACATTATGCAGAAGCATGTGGAATGCGGAGGATTCCATGTGCAGCTCGGCCTTGGCGATCAAATCTATGCAGACCGGCTCTGGAAAGAGATACCGTTGCTCAAGCAATGGCTTGTAATGAGTGGCAAAGAAAACAGAAAGAATGCTGTATGGACCGCGCAACACGAAGAAGAGGTTTCACATGCCTACTTCCACTACTACACAAGCCACTTTGACCAGCCACATTTGAGAGAAGCTTTTGCTCAAATACCCCATATTCTCCAAATTGATGATCACGATATGTAAGTTCTGCTAGGGGTGTGTTGGTGGATAGCTTTAGCTAACTCATATAGTTTTGATGGGTTTGGCTCATACCCGGAGTACATGCAATTCTCGCAAATGTTTCGAAATATTGGCCGAATAGGCATCGAAATGTATCTGCTTTTCCAGCATCATACGACGCTTGAAATTCTTCGAAACGTCAGTGATGACGTAGACCTATTCACCATCACTGGTACTGGTTGGCATTTCGTAAAGTACCTTGGTCCCGCGTTGGTTGTCGTTGGGCCAGACTGCCGATCAGAACGGAATCCACATCAAGTCATGGCGGGACCGACCTATCAAGGACTCTTCCCAAAGGTGGCACTTTTACCCCCGAGTGTGCAGCACTGCATATGGATGATATCGGTACCGTTGATTTATCCTCGGCTGGAAACTGCTGAGACCATTGCCAACACCGTCGCCACTGGCAAAAAGGCTGTTACCGGAGCTTACAATGTGCTGGGAAAGGTGACCAGCTCTGTCGCGGGCGTTGTTGGTGCAAAGAACGTGGTAGGATCAGGTTTTGAATCAGTCAAGCGAGCAGTTGGCAAGTCTGGGCTTATGGGCGGCATTTTGAGTCCGTTTGGTGAAATTGACATGCTTGATGAACTCCGTGATCAATGGACGCACGAATCAAAGGTATATTGTTTGCGTATACAACTCCATTGTGTTCATCTTAGATAACTGATCATCCCACCTCTAGGACCTCGAACGGACTTACTTTATTCGAACACTGCAGGGCATTGCACACCAAAAGTCTCTCCGAATGACTATTTTCTCAGGAGGTAAACCATAGACCTCCCATTAATCCAAAATAGCTTGTGTATACTAACTTTACTAGATGTCAACTGCTGTGGAGCAGGACTTGTCCATGACCCTACCCGGCCGTCCGATCATAAGACCATGTACCAGATAATTGCGTCCTCTGTCGTAAATGTTCCGCCTCCATCCTACATTCTTAAGCTCCTTCACAACAACAAGCCTCTATATGTCCCTGCCAATGGACATCGCTCGACAAATGCGCCGTCGGACACAAAAGAAGACATGATGGAAATATTTCAGAGTGAACCCAATGGCACTCCACGTGAGCAGAAAAAACTCATGGGCCGAAGAAATTATGCGGTTTGCGTTGCATACGATCCAGAGGTCATTACTGGCACGTTTGGTCAGGCCACTCCTAGTCATGGCGGTGGAAGATTAAGCCTCGCGGTGGATTTCATGGTCCAAGCTGATGGAGGGTATGCTGCGCCGGTGGTCAAATACGGACCGGTCATTATCCCAAGTCTGGAATACGGTAGGTGATCCATAGAGGATTGTCTGTCATTGTTTATTCTTTTTTCTCCTTCCTTCGAATGATTCCCGTCTTACCATGAGCGTTGCGTTCCATTTTCTTTTATGATAGCATAGCCCTGCATATTATTCCCAAGCAATCCAAACTTATCATTTTAGCACAAGTTTATGCGCGGAAGCTGTGTCGCACTTTCCCCATCTATTGTGAAAGTATATATTTACCCTACAAGCGTCCAATCTATGAATTAGAATCTTTATGCTCGGTCTCTAGTTCAAATCTATGACTACCACCTCGTCAGGTCGACATTCTCGGATGACGTCTATGGCTTTAGATATCGATCTAATTTATATCCATATCTGAGTCTGTCCGCTTGTAGCTTCTCGCACAGTGTTGGGCCATTGAATTAGATATCCCATTGTGCATGGAGCATATAGACATACAGCTGTGGAAGTGTGGGTGCTTTCAGGGTCCATGAGGTATCAACTCTAGTGATCCAGTCCAGGACAGTTGGCGAGGGAGAGTAGAAAGTCGGAGGTTCGGAGACATGACACTACGGCAATCGAGATAGGCCAATGGTGCCATCAAGCTTGTGAATGGACGGAAGATCACAATCATCCCAAAGATTGATTTACAATACAATTCAATATCATCTGTCCTCGTTATTGCTTATTCCGACTTTTATATATTCGCTATCTTGTGTCTTTTCATTACTAGTGTTTTCTTGCAAACTAGCATCTACTTGCACGTTTCGCATACTCCGGCAGAACAATTGGGTATTATCAGGTGTGTGGAAGACGAATGCCCAAATCTCACAACCCTTTATTTTATATGATAAACCAGGCGCAGCCAACTGACACGCTTGAAGAAAGCCTTTAAAATCTCTTAAATCTAGCACTTTTACAATATGAACGCACCGGATAGGTCAGTATCTCAACCTAAGTCCCTTCCCCGTACCAATCCTACAAAATCGTATACCTCCTGCGCGCTGGTTCCTCTCTCTCCTCTCGAACTCCAAAGATTTTCGAAACCCGCCTGTCGTCTATCGTCGTTCGCTGGCCGTGAGTGGCTGTCTCCAAATATCGAAGTTGAAGTGAAGAGGCAACGGCCGGAAGGCGAGTCAGCCTGTCCTAAACTGGAAGGCACGGCACGTCGTCCTGAAAGCGGGTTGACTGCCTTGGCCAAGTATATCTCGATGGGGGGCATCACACCTCACCGATGAACGATGGGGAGGTGAATTTAGATGCCTCTATATATTTGGCCTTCACTCTCTTTCCCTATATCTTCGTCTGCCTCCTCTTCTTTTCTTCTACACAAACACTCTTTCAATAAACCTTCTGCCTCCGCTACGAGGGATCGAAGCCCTGTAGTATCTTTTTCTAGATATCGGAAGCAAGGATACGATACCATCTATACTCTTTACAAGAACGGGACAACGGACAACGGCCATGCCGAGCCAGGATTTCTTTGACGAGTACCGCCCGGACCCTCCGTCGAGGAGAACGCCTGATCTCAGATACGATCCCAGGATACACGATACCATTTCCGACAGGATTCGGCGAGAGAACCAGTGGCGCGATGAGCAGAACCAGGCTGAAGGTACTAACGTGCCGGACAGATTCGAGCTGTTTTTGCTTGGAGAGGGCGAACGTAAAGTCGAGGCCAAGACTGATACTCGTATGTCTCACTTCATTCCCCTGCTCGTCTCTCTTACCTTTCACATCACCTTTCTCTCTCTCTCACTTTTACCCTCGACCCTCGCCTCAACATTCTACACAGCATACTCTTTACCCTTTACCCCTTTGTCTTGGGCACGCCTGAGCTTCGCTTTTGTCAAGCACCAACGCTGTCTCATATCACATTTTTATCTTTCACTGCTCCACCAGTGGTTTTGCTAGTTACCAGCACAGGACACGCTGCTCAAGTAGTTAATACTAACGCCCATCAGGCATTCCCAACTCCACCATCTTCACCTTCAACAAGGAAGACCACACGCTAGGCAATCTCCTGCGTGCCCGTCTCTTGCAGAGCCCCCATGTGCGCTTCGCCGCCTACAAGGCCCCCCATCCTCTGATCGCTCAATTTGAGCTCCGCGTCCAGACCGACGGCGAAGTCACTCCCAAGGATGCTCTTGTCCAGGCCTGCCGCGACATTGTTCAGGACTTGGCTACGCTGAGTCGAGAATTTACCAAGGAATGGGAACTTCGCAAGATGGTTAGCGAAGGTCAGCAGCGGGAGTAAACAAATGTCTTTATGCTTTTATCTTTCTCTTTTATCCTCCTATTTTCTCGCAGACGAGATTGATTGCGACTGCAACCCAACCCATCCGGTTTCTTTTTAAAGATTTCGTTCTCTGATGAAGGGAGCTTTTTATTACTCGGCGAATGATCGATATCCCAACTATCCGATTTGGGACATTCACAAACCCTGAGAGGGCTGCCTTCGCGGGAGGAAGAAAAAAGTGTTACTTTGGGCGCAAAACACGGTGTCTTTAGGGCGTATTTTACTTGGGTTTTCGGGGACTTGTTTCTTTTATTCAGAGCCTATTTAAAGAATTCATAATGGGCCACGTACGAGGATTGACACTGCATTACGACTGTGTCTTGGGGATCATGTACTCTGACGCAAATGCAATCCCCAGGCCAGGGTTCTCTCTCCGCATATGGGACTTTTCTAGAAGAATTTTTCTGCTTATCACGAGTGAGGCATTTGAATATATTTTTGACTCAAAATAGATCCAAATTTAAATTCACAGAAACGGTTTCGCATATTATCTGTTGCAAGGCCCTTGAGAGTCAAAAACGTATGTAATCAAAAGAGAAAATAAAGTATTATTATTCAAATTGGTCTACTATTTTTACTTGTGCAAGAAATGCATTACAAATTCCATGGTGGAGGAAATGGAAAAGTGAGAATTGAAACAAGTCAAACTAGATCAGCGTTAATGGCTCACAGAAGAGCTGAAGAGCCGAAGAGAAGAGCTCAGCGAAATACATATAGGGATATATATATGACTAGCGACTGAGCACGTCGACCAAGCTCACTAGGTCGCTGAAATAAGAAAAAAAAATTATTTCAAAATGGCCTACAAGACTCTTCCGGCCAAGGTACTGGAGCTTCTGTCCTTGGTTTCTACTTTGCGGAGACCCCTACCGGCCTGGATCTGGCCGAGTAAAGCGGATCTGCCAGAATCCGCAGCAGAGGGGAGCGAAGGCGGGGGCGGGGGCGGAGCAGGGGGTCCTCCTGCAGGAGCACCGCCAGCACCACCCATTGGAGGCGGTGGCGGGGGAGCTGGAGGCGGAGGAGCGCTTCCAGCCGGGATGGGAGGAGCAGGCGGAGGGGGTGCCAAAGCAGGAGCTGCACTCGTTGGCGTGGAGCTCTTGCTGTTGTCCATTGCGGAGAGGGGTCGAGGCGGGCCCATGGTGCCGAAGAGAATGGAAGCGAGTTGCTTTGCGTTTCCACCGGCAGGACGGTCGTCATCGTCGTCAGACGAGTCGTCATCTTCAGAATCGACGACGGACCATTCGTCTTCTTCGGGCCGAACGCGGGATGGACGGGGACCGGGTGCGGCGGGCAGCTCAGGAGGCGAAGTCACAGCCTTGTTGGTGTTTTCTTGGGTTAGACGATGGAAGGGGTTGGTTCCGGTGGTGGTGGCTGTGCTGGATGCGGAAGCTGGCTCGTTGGATTGAGCGAGCTTCTTCAAGAATGGATTCTTGGTCTCCACGTCGGCGACTGGCGCGGTAGGCGCAGGGGGGCTGCTAACAGGCGGGTTGCTGGCCGATGGGCTGGTAATTGGAGGGCTTGTGGGTGGTGCCTGTTGAAGGGAAGGTAAAGGTGGTGCGGGAGGGGCAGGTGCAGGAGGAGGTGGCGGGGCTGCAGCTGCTGGGACATTTGGCGGAGAAGCGATGTCCCTTGATATCTCCATGCTACTGATAGGGGTGATATCCTGGGGAGTGGTGATGTCTTGTGGACCTTCGTCATCGGAGGAAGAAGACTCGTCGCCCATCTGCTCAAGCTGGAGTTGAAGCTGTCGTTCTCTCTCCCTAGCAGCTTCAAGTTCGGCACGCTGCGCAGCGAGTCGAGCTTCTTTCTCCTTGGCCTCGCGTTGAGCAGCTTGCTTCCGTCTCTTTTCCTCATCTTTCTTAACCTTGCCCATCTTGACCTGTTCTTCCAGAGCCTTGAGACGTGCCTGTGCCGCCTCTCGCTCTTTGGCAAGGCTTTCTTCTTGCTTTCGCGTTTCGTCCCTAATGTCATTAGCAAATCCATCTACTTTGCATTTTGCATGGAACAACCGGCTTACTCTAGTTCGCGTCGCTCATTTTCCTGAGCTTCTTGTTGTTCCTTGAGCTCACGCTCTTTGGCTTCCTGTTCCACCTTTCTCGCTTCTTCCTCCCGTTTCCGGGCTTCATCTTGAGCAGATGTATCGACCCTTGTCTTGCGAGACGGAGGTGGAGGCGGTTTCTTGCCAGAGGTTTTGCTGGACTCTGGGGGGATGCCATGGTCATCGGCCAGTCTGCGTTGCATTTCCTTTTCGCGTCGAGCATCCTCTTCCTCGGCCTGCCTCAGCCTCTTCTCACGCTCTTTCCTCTCCCTCTCCTCTCTCTGCTGCGTAGACTCCCCAAGGTTCGTTGGCGGACGGAGGCCTAGCGCTGCGACGCGCTCAGCCAAGCGTTGCTCTGCCTGCTGTTTGATAAATGCCGCTCTATCATCGGCAGTCTTATAAGAGGAATAGGAGGGCGACCTAGAAGCACTAGAAGGTGAAGGCGACGCAACATCGTTGCTTCGTGCTGCTGGCTCAAGACGCGAAGAAGACCGAGAACGATCCTCCTCATACTTAGGAGGTTTACGTTCCGGCTCACGCGAGCCGTAATTGTCACTGATACGATCCGAACGTCAGCTCTTGAATGCAATAGCGTGCAATGGAAGAAAACCTACTCTTCGCGCCGGATTCGGGAACTACGGCTGCTTCGCTGCAAATCAAAGATAAAGTCTTTCACTTCGTCCTCAACTCCTAGACCATCCTCCCAACGTCTCCGTTCATGTTGACTAGTAGAGTCGTCATCGCCTTCCTTCAGGCTGTCAAGGATACCTTTACCAAAGTCGTGAACTCCATCCTCTACATCTTTGATCATACGCTCGTTATTCTCACGCTCTGCTCGAATGCGAGAATTCTCTTCTTCAAGACGCTTAGTCGCTGCCAAAGGATCGTCGTCCGTCGCAGCGCTAGGGCGGCCAGTCAAAAGAGCCGAGCGCTGCTGAATCATGGCCTTTGAACGAGCTCGAATCCGATCAGCTTCAGTAACGGATCCACCAGGCCCAGTTCCAACTATAAGTGAAGCACTTCCCGGGTGTGCCTTGGCATCCTTGAGCCTGAACAGTTCTTCTTTGGCTTCCGCGATAGTTCGCTCGGCGCGCCTCACTTGAGAAGCTAACTCGGGAAGGCGATCGGTTAAAGTTTGAAGTTGTCTTCGAAGTGCTCTTTTCTCCGCACCAGAATCTAGACTTCTAAGTGAAGCATCCGGGTGGCTGTCAATGTCTTCTTGCACTTCCCGGATACGGCGGTAGAGGTCTTCAGCATCTCGTCGGTCCCTTCGATCAAGTGCATCGTCCTCTTCCGCGAGATTCTCGTCTTTAAAGTCAATAGCATCAAGCAACACTTGCTTTTCACGGACCTTCTTTCGCAGTTGATCGATGGACAGTTCTTCATCGGATCGCTCGGATGGCGGCGTGGACACGGCCGGAGAAGGAGACCGGCCACCTCCAATACGGCGGCGGGCGCTTGATCTGTATCCAACATCGTCGTCGTTATTTTTGAAGACTGTGGCATCCTTTCGTCCAAACGTGCCTGGGCTCGACCCTCCTCTGAAGGAGTGATCCTTTAGATAACTCACACCGGTCTGCTGGGGCTTCAAAAATGCACCCGAGGATTTACGACTTTCAGCATCCTGCGAGAGTAATGACTTGATAGTGCCAATGGAGTCAGAGAAATTTCTTGTAGAGGGAGGAACAAGCTCAGGCGGAAGTCGATTGGGCACAGGATAGCCATTCAGCTTGCGGTAAATGAGATGCATGGCAACGGCGAACTCATCCATATCAAGCCGACCTTTGTTATTCGGATCTGCCAATGTCCAAATCCTTTCGAGGTCAGGCTTTTCAAGACCACTCTGACCAAAGATTTCGATAGCAACATCACCACCTATGAAGCCTTTATTGAAGCCATCCCAAGCTTTAAAGAGTTGATCGTATATCTTCTTCTCATCTTTGGTAACAGCCCAAGGAACGGTCGCATTGCCGGATAAGCCGGCAGTGGTGTAGCTGCCGCCTTCACGACCTGCCTGAGGCATCATACGCTGCTGCAGGGCGGAAATATTGGGAAGACCTGTAGATGGCGCATTGACAAGCCCCCACTGGCCCGGAACACCCGTGGGCTGGGCGTTTAGTGGAGCAAGGCCTGTTTGGTTTGGAGACAGGTTCGAACCCAATCCGGTTGGCATAGGAGGCATAGGCGGTCTAGGGCCACTAAAACCCGTTGCTTGCGGGTTAACAAAACCAGTTTGCTGAGGTTGGAGTCCGGAAGATTGTTGCTGGAACTGGGGCTGGAACCCGGTCGGCTGAGGTTGGAACCCGGTGGGTTGAGCCGAGAGCTGTGTGAGAAGCTGAGCATTGGAAGGCTGTTGAGGTTGCGGCTGTTGTGGTGCTGACGGGAACGACGTGTTCTGACTGAGGGGAGTGTCGAAGTCGGGCGCGTTGCTCCTCGAAGGCACGGGCGGGCTCTCATCTGGAATACCGAATGAAATTATATCGACCATGCTCGATACTTCGTTTGAAATTCGCTCTGGCAAGGCCGACGGAAGGCTCTTTCCAACAATTTTCAGGTTGCAAAGGTACATTGCGAGTGCGAATTCTGGAAACAACAGTTGCCCCGATTTTGTCGTGTCCGATAAAGTCCTGAATGAATTAGCAACCTTGAGCAATTGAATCAGACAGTAGTGTTTACCATATCTGAGCAAGTGTATCTCCCGAAAGCTTTGAGCGAAGTAGTAGATCCTTTGCCTTGTCTCCTAAACCACTGTTAGTACCTCTGAAGTCGATTGCAAGCGTCGCGTGATGTGGATGTACCTGGTAGGGCCTGGCCGTTGCCTACAGCAGACTTAAAAAGTTGCTCAAATTTGGCTTGATCTTGGGCAGTGAGAAAAGAGAGTCTGATCTTGGGAATCTTCGTCGTTCCAGTGCTTGTAGTTGGGGCCGGAGGTTGAGGATTCACGGATCTGAACGAGTCGGCTATCTGAGATGACGTCTGACCCGTCGGTTGGACAGATATTTGGGGTGTTGCGGGGTTTTGGCTGGCTTGAAATTGGGGTTGAGGGGGCGGACTCTGCATTGAGAGTTGAGGTTGACTAGGCATGCCAGTGAACATTGGCTGCTGCGCTGTAGCTTGGGCGCCGAAACTCTGCTGGCTTGGAGGGTTCAGCCCAGTGAATTGGGGTTGTAATTGTTGCGATTGGAAGCCGCCCGGTTGCCCAGCTCCTGGAAAACTGGTAAATTGAGACTGCAGAGGGCCAGCACCGAAGCCGGTGGGTTGCGATCCAAATCCGCCAGGTTGTTGCTGTCCAGGGGCCATGTTGAATTGCGGCTGCTGTTGGCCATATGGCGGTGCACCCGGGCGGCTACTGTTCCCGCCACCCAGGAACGCACTTGAGCCGGAAAACATTTTGTCACTGAAAATTGCAACGCATGAAGGTATAGAGAGAGGAGGGTTGCTGAAGAAGAATAAAGTTTGAGAATAAAGAAGTGGCAGAAACGGGGGTGGAAATGAGGTCGGGAACGTCGGCGTTGGAGCTGGGATGAGGGATGGAGGTCGCTGGTGACGACGAACACGCGGACCGGAGCACTAGTGGCCCAAGCGACAGGGGGAGCTCCTATATACTCTACGCTCTCACCTCAGCTCTCGCAATCTTATTGATCACGGATCACCGCCATCGAAGAGTGGAGCAGTCAGTTATGACTGTGTGGCAACAAACTAATATCTCAGGCAAAGATTACGGCTCGAATATAAGTGCCTGGGAAGTGGACGCTGAAAATGCCCGCCAGAGAGGCTGCTTACAGCGTCATTTCCACGGAGCAATCTAAGGAGCTGGAGTTGCGCTTCGTTTTTGTACAGTATTAGATGATCGGTTTGAGGAAGTTGGTGCTAGAATTGATACCCAGTATACTGAATTCCAAGTTTGCAAATACCAGAGATTGACTCGGCGGAATTTAGAAGGACCACAGCTCACAAGAAGCTTCGTGACCGGTTGAATGAGGAGGAAGCCCCTTAAGAAACTCGCGATAATCATCATGTTTCCATCAAAATCCTTAAAATGGTCTGTCCGCAGATTCTTTCTGTCAAGTCCTTTTCCAGTGCCAATTGTGCCAGTAAACCTTCTTCCGGCAACGGAACCTGTTGAAGAAGAATGTGCACCTCACTATAGTCCCAAACACTTTTATCCGATGCATCTATACGAAGTACTGAACAACAGATACCAAATCGCTGCAAAACTTGGCTGGGGTACCAGTTCCACGGTCTGGTTGGCGCGAGATCTCCACCAGTATGTGTATACTTATCTAACTAAAATGGAAGGCTTGCTCTCTAACGAATTAGATGGCGCTGGCTTCCAGGGCGCTATGTTGCAGTCAAAGTTAATGCAAACAATTACGCAAGCAGAGAAGCCGCCGAAACAGAGTTACGTTTGACAGAGCACATAACGAAAGCAAACCCTCACCACGTCGGCCGCCTTTTTGTCCGCACCTTGCTCGACTCCTTTGACTTGCATGGACCTTGCGGCACCCATGTTTGCATGGTCTTTGATCCTCTGCGTGAGCCTCTTTGGATGTTAAAGCGGCGCTTTCAAGGAAGGGTGCTCCCGGCAGATGTCCTTAGGCCGGTCTCCAAATTGGTAATAGAAGGCCTCAACTATCTTCACTCTCAGTGCCGCATCATCCATACAGGTATCTTCTTTCATGATCTATCTTGCCAATGAGGATTATCCTGATAGCTGACCGACATAATACCAAGATCTAAAGTCCGATAATATCTTGATGGCGCTTCGAGACCGGGCTGTACTAAATGCAGTTGCACAGGATGAGATAGATAGTCCATTGCCTCAGAAAAGACTCGGGGATCGAACAATATACCTCTCGAGGAACGAGTTTGGCTTGCCAATTACCGAAATAGGAAGACCAGTAATTACTGACTTTGGACTTGCCGTGCATGGAGACAATCTTCCTTCTTACTATCATCTTATTCAACCTGATAGCTATCGTGCTCCCGAGGTAATCCTTGCATGTGGTTGGAGTTACAGTGTTGATATATGGAACCTAGGTGTCTTGGTACAATTTATTTCGCCTTTTGTTTTGTGGACAATCAGACTAACATTAATGAAGATTTGGGATATGCTTCAAGGGAGCGGCCCCTTTGATGTAGAAGAATCTAGAATGCGAACGTTCTCCAATGAAAGTCATTTAGCGCACATTATTGCATTACTAGGTCCGCCACCGCTAGACATGCTCAACCAAGGAAAAGAAAGTTTTCACTATTTTGATAACGAAGGTATAAACTCTTCTGTTTTGTCCTTTTTCTTTTTTTTTTTCTTTCTTTTTTTTTAACCTCTGCTAATGATTGAGCCAGGAAACTTCAAGTTTCCCGAGCTTATTCCGAAAAGTCAGGGGCTCGAAAATTTACTTTCTTGCATTGAAGGAGATGAAAGGAAGATGTTTCTTAATTTCATTTCAAGGATGTTACAGTGGCGACCGGCAGACAGGAGCAACGCAGAAGAGTTACTCTCAGATTCCTGGCTCCAAGGAATATAAACACATGTCCAAAACTCCTCTCCATGCTTCAAACGGGGGAGCTGGAGTGTGCATATCAATTCCAGGTCCCCACACTTCACTGCATGTTGCCGATGTCAGGACACCCTGATGTAGAGCGTAAGAAGGAAAGGGCAAAAGTCCCATCTTCGTGAAGCATCTGGCACATGAGGTTTACCTCAGGCTAAGGGCGAGAAGTCAGGGCCAAAGTGTCGGAGCGAGATCTCAGTGGGCAAATTGTCTGTATAAATAGAAAGGGTGACATTATATAGATAGATGGAAGAGTCATTTTATTGATACAGTATGGCTATCATCGCCAGAACAGATTGTGGCATGGAATTTGCCGAACTCCACATAAGACATGTTGGCTATTGATTGAATTAATAGCCTAGGTATATCCTTTGACCAAATAGAATTGAGGTTTTTTCCCGACTTCACGAAAAAATTGTCAACCTCCACCGAGATAACAGTACTTCGTGCATTTAAGCCTCGGTGATGCTTTGCCAGCAGAGAGGAGAAATCCCATTAGGGTAGATTGAGAAGTGAGGTGGATTTATAGATTTATTGCAGAATAAAACTTTCTTTTTTTATTTAAGCAGTGACCAAATGCATGTGACTTTCGTGAGAGCTCATTGGAAAGCATTAAGCTCCAACCTTAAACGCCCAGCAATTCGAATAACAAGACCCATGAGTTACAGCTCTTTGATGTATTAGAGCTAAAATCAGGCTGTAGCAGCCACAGGGCCTTCGCCCCCTGGTACGAGCTAGAAACAAAGTCAGCAACTCGGCTGAAAAGGCACAAGAGTTTAACTCACCATGCAAATGTTGTTGCCGTTTAATAGAATCTTGGGCAATTTGGTCTGTGATCCAGTATAATCACTAGACAGCCATTAGTACAGCACCATCAACCTATCACCGGAGAAAACCGCTTACAATTCGGTCACATCTTCAAGAACCATGTCTGGCGGCGAAGTCAGTATTGCTTCTTATATCACTGGGAGAGCAGTCATCTGGAAAGGCTGAAACTTACTGACGTAGTCATCAAAGCCTAATAGCGTGCCACTAAATTCTACATGAGGACTTCAAGTCAGCTTAACAAGCTCTGCGAGCTCCATGGCAGATTTTGAAGGACCTTTGTCGCCTTTCATGACCACCCATATCCTTGAGCCCACACACTTGTCAATCAATTCTACACCAATGTTAGCAGCTTTCACATTGACATCATAGAACAATGATATTCAATATACCTAGGGGCAAGAGTTGTGATGCCATTTTTAATGGATAATTGTCGGAGATTTATTGAGCTAGAACTCGTGATTGATGCAAATGCGTCGTCGGAGCGAATGGGAGGTCTGAACGCTGGTATCGATAAGCGAACGGGCGTTATATATTAGTATTTACACATAGATTTGGTATTATTACTCTCTTCCACTTGCAGGCTTGCCCGCTGCAAGTCTGCGTGCACGATTGAGTATGTGACCATAAAACAGCTCAACCTCCCCCTCCTTCCTCTCTAGAGTGAGGGAGGTTGTCTGAGATTATGACTGATATTATTTTGAAATTCTCATTGACTCTGTCATCATGGAGCCGATAGCGAATATCACCGTCGATGTTCAGAATCCGATCTCAAGACCTATCAAAAGGCGTAGACGCGCTGTCTTGTAAGCTACCTGCTACAGTTTGCTGACGTCCATACAACTGAACGATTTCAAGGAGCTGCACGAACTGCCACGAACGCAAACAAAAGGTCCTGCTCATTCAATCCTGATCGCCTCATCTAAGGATGCCCTCTGATGGTAAATAGTGTGACCGTGAGCAGCCCTGCTTTCACTGTAGGTCGAGAGGCAAGCAACACGAGTGTTGCTATGAAAGTCCACACACTAGGTATGCGAACTTGAAACCATTAACACCAGCTTGATTTCTAACGGGCAAGCATGATTTTAGGCAGGAGACTCGCGCATCTCAAGTCGGCGAAGTGACGCCACCGCAATCAAGTCCGGAAAATGAAGCCTCAGATGTTGACGAAGCAATATCAGGTCTAGAGCAGCTGCACATATTCGGCTATTCCAAGCTCAGTGATCGAAACTCACTTGCTCTCCTCAACAAAGTGATCGACCCATCATCGACTGCATTGCGGCATTCAAATCAGGTTCCGGTAATTGATAATGGAATTCGAGACAAATACAGAAGCTTGATCCGCTCATTACCAGCTCGACGAGATATTGAGCTTTTGGCGAGTGTCTACTTCGAAGAGATAAGCTGGTACTATGAGTCGGTAGATGCTTCGTTCTTTTCAGATGAGATTGAAGAGTGGTACAAATGCTCCTTTACCGCCTTAAAACATGGCCCAAGCAAACTCTCCGAGTCTATGCGATATTTTCCGGCCTTGTTATTCCAAGTCATCGCTTTGGCTCTCCAATATCTTCCTCCAGGGAAAGAGACCAATTTCGGTCATCTGAAGATTGGTGAAGGTCAGTCATATGACGATCTTGCGGCAGATTATAGCGATTCGGGTGTGGTGGTTTTGGATCTTTTAGGCAAGCCGGAAAACACGGTTGTTGCCGTTCAAGCGCGCTTCTTGCGAGTATCATTCTTAAAGAATGTTGGGCGAGTTGTGGAGTCTTGGCATGTCATGGGAATGGTCGTCAAGGAGGCCTATGAGATTGGATTACATCGTGAGCAGCCCATTACGAAGCAGTCAATGGAAGAAACTGCCGAGGCTCTATGGGAAACCGAACTGAGACGTCGATTGATGATGCACATCTACTTGTGGGATAGGTAAGGCAGATTGCCACAAAGCAGCTTGCTATATGCTAACGCCGTTGAAGTCAAATGGCCGTGGTACTAGGTCGTGCTGTGACCATTAACCTTCGCGACTGCGACTTCAAGGCACCTACTGACACGCCAATCCCGCGGAATCGGAGAGAGACCATTCCGGTTGCGCGCCATCCTCGATCTGCGCCAAATCCCACGACCATTCGTATCCACGAGTACGAAATGCATAAAAGGCTTCCTGAGATCATGTCACTTGAAGCTGAAGGCACGTATCCCAAGAATTACTCAAAAATTTATCGACTGCATCAGCAAGTGCTAGATTACATGAACACGGTGCCAGAAACCCATCGCTTCGAGAACCCAGTCACTGTATGGGATGAACAATACCCATGGCTTCCTCTGCAGAGAGAGCTGTCGTGTTGTTCTTCGTGGTTCTTTTTACTGGCATTGTATCGGCCTTATATCTTCACCCATGCATTCAGTCGAATCGAAGCCTTCAAGGCCTCCATTGCGATTCTGCAGTGTCAAGAGCGTCTATATCACATTGCTTCTATGCAGTTTCGCAAATTATTCAGCTTAGCCTTCTTCACAGTCGACGCGGCGGTTATTTGCGCAGCCGTCATCATCTCTCATCCATACGACACGAAGGACTTCATTCCTCTTGCTGTACAGTGTCTACAGCAGAGCAAAGCCCGCTTAGAAGATATCTCTGATCGAAACACATTGGCCAAAGCCGGAAGCGTCATAATTAATGCTCTTCTTGACAAGGCGAATAAGGTTATTGAGAAGATGTCGCTTGGCACTTCAATTGGAAGTACTTCGCAGACACCTGCCTTAAAACCCACCTCTGTCGCATACAATACTCCGGACTGGAACACTCCTGATTCCCTAATACCTTCTGCCACGCAGCAGGAGAATACTCTCGCTGAACAAGACGGGCTATTCAGCCACTCAGATATCTTTTCATCTGTGGACATGCTTTCAGAACCTCTCGGAGACGTTAACAATGACATTTTCTCACCGGATCTTCTCGCTAATATATACGGACTGGATGGCAACTTTTCTTGGACTACTGGCACTGATGTATCCGACAATTTTTTTTGGAATACATTACAGGCTTCATAAAATTTACTTGAATGTTGTATTCTTTTTTTTAAAATGCGGCGTGGAACTAATGGGTGTTCCGGAGCTCACAATTTGAGATGAACGGTCTTACTTTTTATATCCCTGAGCCGGAGAAAAGCTTAATGATGATTACGATATCTTTATCTATATAGCTATATGATTGCTTTACTTACTGCATTCAATTTCAACAAAGTTTTTATACTCGTGAAAGTGAAGGCCAAGTATTATTCCGAAATGCAGGTAAACAAAATAAATGAATATTCAAGAATTTGAATCCTTGAGAAAAACTCATAGAAGTGTTCTAAATCAAGTCGTCTGAAGCCACTTATTATAGATATTTAGATAGAACTAGAGGCACAAACTGGAAAATAATTCTCATTACATAGTATAAGTCTGAATCTCTTCTACGAGTTAATCTATTATCTGGTGCCGAGTCTTTGAGGGTGCAATTTGGGTGGAGGTGATGTCCGAATTCGCTTCCTCTGAGCGCCTTGGCCGTCACTTCGGCGTTTCCCCGGATTTTAGCCTCGGATTCCACTTTTTGTTGCAACAACCGTTGTTCGTGCGCTTGGTCGTTGGCGCTTTATGATAGCTCTCAATGCTTGTTTAGAATCTTCTACATTCAGGATCTGTTCTATTCAACCCCAGATGGAGGGCTATGTTCGCTCTCTTCAGGTCGGACGCAGTTGAAGTCCGCTTGACTCGTCATTGCATCGACGGTTACCGCCGGACGACTCACATAGGAAAATACCAAAGTCCTCGATGCTCAGGGCAAGTTCGCTTTCACAAGTACATTAATCTTCGACTACTATTTTCTCTTGAGATAATGCTGAATTTATTTTTAGTGGTGCCGCCCGCAATAAACCCAACTCCCGCCGTGGCATTGTCGGCTCTCCGAAGGTGACCACTAAATGGTTCTCGGGCAACAAATCAAAATCAAAACAAAAGCCCAATCCTATCACAAGGAAGGCTCTTACTACCGAAGCTCGCGCGCTAGCTTTCACAGGAGATAATCGGAAGCATGTGCATGAGAAAGCCGCCATCGTTTTTGCCGCCAGGGAGTCTCAGTCGCGCAATCATGAGTTGATGACTGTATCGCACAAGAGACGTAGAGACTCCAATGTCCGAAAGCCACGACGAAGAACTCCTTCTCCGACTCCAAACCAAGCACGACGAGCACAACCGCCGCACTCGTTGCCTAATAAAGTCCCTGGGAAAGCTATGCCAAGTAAAGCCCCTTCGAAAGCAGTGACAAAATTGAGAAATGGAGGGAGTGTTACAGGCCATCCACAGGGCTGGAAAAGCTGCGTTCCTCGCCCGTCACGTCCCAGTCGTCGAAATCCAGTTCCAATAGAGAGGGGCACTCATCTTTTAGCTCAGAAGCCCAAGAAGCCGGAGCGGCGAAGGCCCCATGAAGCAGCGCTAGCTGCAGTGTCAGAATTGGAGAGGCGCAAGGTCATAGCAGCGGCATTAGAACGTCAGGAGAAAGGAACACACATGTGGTCCTGGGCCCCTTCTTACCTTCGGAGCGGTGAACCTGTCCTTGATGTGGAACACAAGCAAATACGGAAGTCAAGAGGTTATTTCCTGGAAGATGCCGGGGATAGAAATGTCCGCGAAGAGACAAAGATACGAATCGACGCCTACTATGACAAATATAATGGTCCGGAATACATAGACATAAGAAAGCCATTTTCGGCTTTTGACTGGGCACGCATTGATCACTTTTACTCCTATCTGGATCTTCCCCGACATTCTCCGAGGCTGCGCAAACTTTTCGACTACTATGAAAAAGTCTACAGACCAAACGACAAAGACCTTGCATATGCTGCTCATAATTTTCGGATTTTCTTACTTTTGCGCCTCCTCACAAATAGATTGCCTGGCTGCTGGCAGCATTTGAAAAGGAGATTGTATCTTTTTTTCCCTCTCCAGGAGCAGGAAGGCTCCATGAAGAAGCTTATTGATGAGCTTGAGGGATATAATCAATTTTGTCAGAAGGAGAAGCTAATCGTGGGCAAAGCACCACGAAATTTTCAGGTCATTTCTCTAGCTGAGAGGCTGAGGGTTGGTCAAGAGGAGCTGCATAAGGCTTACGACAGGATAGTTTGGCCCATCATTGATTTCGACAGAAGAAATGATTCAATTCCTGAAAGGGAACGTCATAGAATTATGAGCAAATTTACGGGTATTTTACCCTCACTCGGATATCGAGGGCCCATTGGAGATATCGCGAAACTTCAATCCCAAATTGAAACGCTCTCCGAGACGATAAGGTTTTCGAGATTGCTCAAGATTGGCTATGCGTTGAAGCTCTCATCCTATTCATTAAAGCACGCAATAGAAAGATTCGAGGAATTCGTCTGGCTCAGTTGCATGCGAAGAGCAGCAAAGTCTGATTTAAAGTCTGATGAAACGCTGGACACAGACAAATGGACATATAAAACTGGCCTGGCCTCCAGAATAAGGGAGGAGAGACGGATCCTTCGTCATCTCAATCTTCGTCCCACGAATAGGCTAATGCATCAAGGCTCTGCAGGCACCAGTTGCTTCTCAACCGAAGCTGGCCAAGGCGAGTATTTTGTTGAGACTCTTCAAGACACCCAGGGGCAATCGGAAACGACAGATGACAGAGCTTATGATGATGGAGAGTCCTATGTACCTCTTTCGTACTCGATACCAGAAGCTGTCATGCGACAAGCAATGCTTGCTTCGTCAACCTCTGTGGCAGCATACTGGCAGTATGATCTCTACGAAGGACCACAGAAGGAAAAGGTCAAAGTCCACTATTGTCGTAGCAGAGAAACGACTGAACGAGTTGCGCAACTGTTTCTGGACAAGAAGGTCCTTGGATTTGATATTGAGTGGAAGCCCCATGCGCTGCCACATGAGGGAATAAAGTAGGTGGAATCTACCCGCACGTGGTTATTATTCATTTTCTAAGTCTATTCCACTACCAGGAAAAATGCGTCACTCATACAGTTGGCAAGCGAAGATAGGATTGCACTCTTCCATATTGCGAGGTACAGCAAAGGTGAGCTCACTCAAACCGTTCACTTCCATTCCACACACCCTTCTATCAGGAAACGAAGAAATGACTATTCTCCATCACCGATATGCTCTAGCTCACACTTTTGCAGGAGACACTGTTGAAGACCTCGTGGCGCCTAGTTTAAGAACAATCCTGGAATCTCCCAATATCTCCAAAGTTGGCGTTTCGATCAAAGGTAATTTTAAAGTGCCCCTACCCCTATCAGTAAAAGAATGATTCATACTCACTTGTGATTTCAGCCGATTGTACACGCCTGAGGAGATTCTTGAACATTGACCCCCGTGGTCTATTCGAACTCAGCCATCTCTACAAACTCGTCAAATATTCATCTCACGACGTTTCCAAAGTCAACAAAAAGCTCGTCTCCCTTGCCCAGCAAGTCGAAGAGCACCTCCAACTGCCCATGCGCAAAGGAGAAGTCAGATCAAGCAATTGGGCAGAGGAGCTCAACATGCAACAAATCATATGTACCTTCCCCTTCATCCCCTTTCTGTCTTCCTCCCTACCCGGCTCCCTTTCCCCACTAACTAGAGTTTCTTTTCATTAGACGCCGCATCTGATAGCTACGCCGGTCTACGTCTCTTCGACGTTCTCGAGCAGAAGCGCATGTCTCTACACCCCCGTCCTCCTCGCCCCGCCCATGCCGAACTCAATCTCCCTATCCGCCTCGCCGATGGCCACACCATGACCACCACGGCCGACGAGCCGACTGAGCTTGAGGAAGACCCAGCTACCGCATCATCATCATCATCATCATCCGACCCCTCTGCAAGCACAACGTCATCTACCCAACCAGGCGAAGAATCCAACCAACCACCCCTCGCTGGCAAATCCTCCTCCTCCTCTTCTTCCTCTGATAAGCAAAAACCACCCGAAGTTCTCCAAGCCGAAGCATGGACTGCTACCTGGCGCGCCGGTCTGCCGTCAGACTACAAGACCCGCGCCTCACCCGCCCATCTCCGCGCATACGCCCTCTGGCACGACCAATCGTTTGATCCACCCGTCATTGCCCGCTTACTTCGCGACCCCCCACTCCAGACTACCACTGTATCCAGCTATATCCTTGAAGCGATACGACTAGAGAAACTCCCCTACGATCCAGCCCGCCTCAGAGATGTCATCAGCCATCTCCCCGAACCGATTTACGAGCGGAGATACCGTGCGCTGAAGCGGGACTTGGAAGGGCAGTAACTGTATTACTCGTTATAGCGGCGCGGTAAATTCGAAGTTGTGGAGACATAGTAGCGTCCGCCCTTCATTCTCTCATCTCTTTTGGCACGGCTTCTTTTTATCAGTGACTCCAATTGTGGGAGCATAGTAGCGTCCTTCATTATCACTATCGTATTTTTATCAAAGTAAAGAGAGAGAGAGAGAGAGAGAGAGAGAGAGAGCTCTTTTGGTGAATTTGTATACTAGCTTTTTCTTCTTCTTATTTTCTTTGGTTAAAGGTTAAAAAGTTCATATTCAATACCCTAGATGGAAATAGCTTTATTCCTGAATGAATGAATGTACTATATTCAATTGCTACAGATACATTCTTCTCTCCAGGAAAGACATTTCGCACTGGTACTAAGTATTCCATCATAGGCATTGCCGCATTGCCGCATTGCGTTGCGTTGCGTTGCGTTGCCAGCACGTCATTTAAAAATAAATCAGTAAATCAATAAATCAGTAAATCAGGAAACGAATAAATTAATAAATAAATAAATGAAAAAAAAAAAAAAAAACCAAAACAAAAAAACAAAAAGGTACTTGAAGATTAAAAGGTAGGACTAGAATTGTATTTACTTTGCCATTAATATCATAAATTCGTGCTATACAGATATTGCTAGCTGCTGTAGTTGTTTTGATCACATATGATACATGAACGGGAAAAAGGAAAATGGAAAATGGAAAAGATAAAAGGGGAAAGGGAAAGCCCGGAGGAGTCCAAGGATGTGCAGTGAAGACAAGGAAAAAATAGAGGAATAGTACTATCCATCTAACAAGGGGGGAGAAGATGACGCTAAGGGAGAGCTAGATTAAGTAAATCCATTTTACAGAGAAAAGGGAGAAAGAAATGAACAAAACAAACGTGAATACCGTAATAAAATATAAGACGAAGACGTAATAAAGACCAAAGCATACAAGATAAAAGAGGAAAACGTAGGAAAGACGAAGACGTAATGGAGACGAAAAATAAAAGATGAAAAAAGACAAAACAAAAAAGCTATCTAAATTCGATTCCCACCATGAGTATCCGTCCGATGCGTTTCAAACAAGTCCTCGAGATACGCACTCGGGGCGCGGCCCTGGGGCGGGGACGTCAGACTTTCGTGAGAAAGCGCAGCGGGATTGGATAATCGCGAGTATGTCGAATCACGGTATCCACCGCCGCCACCACCGCCACCGCGCTGAGGAGATAGTCCAGGAGACGAAGGAGGGCTAGAGCGAGACCGCGAGTAAGCGTGGCTGGGAGAAAGATTGTACGAGCTGCCTGCTGCACCTCCTCCTGCACCGCCGCCGGAGCCGGCATGGGCGGTTCCGGCTGCATAGTAGCCCGCTGGCAAGTAGGTAGAAGCTCTGTTGTTGGTGTTGGTGTTGTTGTTGGGGCTGTTGTTGTTCAGAGCGGCGTACTGCTGGCCAGCGCCAGCGGTGGGGGAGAAGAAGAGGGAGTCTCGCGGAGGAGGCATGGATTTGGGCCGAGCCGCATGTTTGGTGACTGGAGTAGAGAGCGCGTCGAGAGAGAGCGTCGAGCTACCGCCGCCGTGGGTGGAGTAGAATCCTGCACCAGGGGCACGGAGCATGGCTTTAGACTCCCGAGCATTCTCGTGCATCGCGGCGCGCCGGACGGACCGGTGCAATGACCAGGCAAGGAAGCCGCGCCATGCGAGGACGGCGAGGCCGAGGAAGCCAAGAGCTGCGCCGACAACAATGAACACGGTACCTTCGGGAAGATTGGAGTGTTGCATGAATGGCGCGTTGGCGGTCGGAGGGACAGATGGTGGTGGGTATTTGTATCCGCCTGAGAGCGTTGGGAGATCGGTTAGGGCGCCTTTTGAAGAGGATGCTTTGGTGGTTTTGGCCGCGGGTGTTGTTTTGCTTGACGAGTCTGTGGTCTTCGCTGCTGTAGTGGTAGCTTTGGAATCACTCGTCTTTGCCGCCGCCGTTGTGGAGTCCCCGTTGGGCAGTGTAGGCATGCCGGTGTCGGCGGCGTGAGAGACCGCGAAGAGGCATAGTAGAACGAGGATTATGCATGCCGTTGAGGATATCCGGAGGAGACGCATTTTGTGTAGTATGCAGGCTATAGAAGAACCTGGGACACAAGATGCCAATATAAGATTCGAGTGGCCAGTGTTTCCTGGTGCCTGGCGCGATGCGAGTTTCTCCGAGTCTAGATCATAAGATTCGAATAGGGAGCTCGACGAATCTCGTAAAAAGGGTTGACAAGTATATATGTGCTGAGATATCTAACAGAAATATCGATTCTTAGGCAGGATTATTGTCGTAGATCTACTCGGTCTATTGCGGTTGACCACCAATACGTTGAATTGGCGCGGCTTGGGCTCCTTTCACAACGTCGAAACGAGAGCAAGTGGATGTCGAAAGAAGCGAGTGAAGTGCCGAGCCTATTAAAGAGGAGGCTTGGGCAAGCAAGACGCAAAAGGAAGAGGAGCGATGGGGTTTGTGTGATCTTGAGGAGAATTAATGTTGTTGAAGGTGGGAGTTGAATTTAGTGTTGTGGATGATGCATGACGGGGAATTATTGATTGTTCCTCTCCTCGCTCGTCGTCTAAGAAAAGAAACACTAAAAGTCGACCGAGCGACGAAAAAGGTCTATGTACTGATACTTTGATTCCAGTGGCACAGAAGAGAAACAGTGCGTACCGAAACCTCCACAGCCAAAGTCATCATACCCGACCAAAAGAAAACCATCGGAGACTTCAATCGACTTTCGCCGACTTTCAAAAGTTATTCAACCTCGACCATTCGATACCTCCGCAACACCGTCCCTTACCCCCGATCTTTCAGCATATATCACCTTCTTGACAGCTGCCAGTGGGGGCTGGATCATCAAAATGGGTGTTCAGAAGCGCACCAGAAAGTTTGCGCAGGTACGATTCCCACTGCCAATTTCCACCTTCTTATCGATAACCCGCTGTGAAGAAATTTGGAGAACTGATTCTAACCAATTGTACAGGTGAAAAGGATCATCGGCCAGCGGGACAACCGACTGTATGTCTCATTTCTATTCTTGCCGTTTGAAAAAACGACAGTCGCTAACAATAAACTAGGAAAAAGAACGCAGACAAGAGTGAAGAGGAAAGCAAGAAGAAGGGCGGCGATGAAGTTGTACGAGAAATGTAAGTAGAGCCCTGCAATGTTGCGCATGTTGCTCTCTCTCTCTCTTCTATGGCGATTATGAATAATTATCAATAAAAAACTCATTGCTGACAATCTTCGTTGTGCAGTCCTCAAGTCTCTTCTGCGCTCTTCTTCCAGTACAACACTGCGCTTGTGCCTCCCTACTCCGTCCTGGTCGACACCAACTTTCTCTCGCATACCGTTCAGCGCAAACTCGAGCTCCTACCGAGCATGATGGATTGTCTCTACGCCAAATGTACCCCTATTATTACAGACTGTGTCATGGCCGAATTGGAAAAGCTCGGACCAAAGTATAGAATCGCATTGCGTATCGCCCGCGACGAGCGGTGGGAGCGGATCAAGTGCGATCACAAGGGCGTCTACGCGGATGACTGCATCGTTGACCGTGTCATGAAGCACAAGATTTACATTGTGGCGACCAACGATCGCGACTTGAAGAGAAGGATCAGAAAGATTCCGGGTGTGCCGATCATGAGTGTAGGAAGGGGCAAATATGCCATTGAGCGGCTGCCAGATGCTCCGGAGAAATAATGTCTTTTTTTGGTTATATACGCCCTTTCTGCACCGGGGGAGACTTCTACCCCGCCATCTCTGGAGGCAAAGAGCACCTCTTTGCCCACCAAGGCGGTTTTTCTTTTTTTTTTTTTTTTTTTCTTGGATTTGCATTATCGGGCGTTTAGAGGGCGGCGTACAAAAGGGTCCAAATTTTCTCATGCTTTAAGTTTTCTTACTGAGAACAAGTAGTTGCCTAGTTTCCCTCTTCTGTTTCTTAAGACTAGATGAATAACATCCAAAGTCATCATTTACTGCCCATTTTGATGTACGAGAAAACTCGATTAGCAGTCAGGATGGCAATTCCAACACCGCAAGCACTCGAGAGTGCTCCGAGACAGATATTCTATTCGGAGTGCAGTAAAAAGCCAATGTACAGTGTATCGCCTGTCGGCGTATTATGCATGCTATTAACACCACAAATAAAATACAACGCATATACGATAAAAAAAAATAATTATCTCATCCTTTGATACACGTAGTCACGTAAGATATCGTTCACTGCTGCTTGTTCTTCTGCGCCGCAGGGCCGTTCTCCTTGTCAAAGGCGGCGTACGACACTTGCAGACTTGCAATGGCATTGATTCCAACAAACAAGATTCCGAGGAGCAAGAATCCCACCAGAAATCCTTGGAACAAGCCTAAGACTACCAGTCAGACAGCTCGAAAACTCTCCGTGGGGCACAATACATACCTGGAGTTAAGAATTGGTATTTCTCGAAGAGAGGGGCGCCATCGATGGTCTCATTTGAAGAGTGGGGGTGGAGAGACAAGTCCCGCTTCAACTCGGTGGCGAATGGGGAAGGGAAAGAGTCCTCCATTTCATATTCTTGGATATCTGCGAGTTCAGGCTGCACGTCACCCGAAGGCGGTGTCGTGATATAAACAAGAGTGTAGTCGTGTGAAGGGAGAAGATCAATGATCGAAGCCAGGAAAGAATCTATAGCTGATAAGCGGAAGGAATCATATCACAAAAGTCTTGTTATTTTCCTACCATGTTCGCCCAATTTGTCCTTTCGCTCGCGTGTAGTAGGGAGGGCAGGAAAGTTAACCCGTACAACACGAGGTCTATCGTCGTCCGCGGTTGTAAAGGTGCCAACTATCAGACATTGTCAGAGACGAGATCGACAAGAGATTATTCGAAAGGTATTCAATTTCCCCTCCCACGATCATGCTTAGGTAGGAAATCATACCTGAAGCATCCACAGTCGTAGACCCAGCGCCGCATTGCATCTTTAAAAATCCTTCCAATGCATCGGGGTTCACCTGCCCTGAGACATCGGTGACGCTAAAGCTGGATGCAATATCGGCGTCCTTCTTGCTTATCCGTCGTCGCAGGTGAGGAGCAGATTGGCGGCCAGCAAAGTCGGCAGCGTAGGCTCCAGGCTGCGAAGCAATGACATATGTTTGCGAAGGGCAGCGCGAGAGCGTAGCTTGTACAAAGTTTAACGTGTCCGAAGCGGGTTGCAGTTGTCGAAGACTGTCAGGAAAGATTGGCAGGCTAGGTAGATAGCTGGGTTAGCTACTTCTTCTATGACATATGGTATGATATGCATACTCAGAAGTGGAGGCAAAGAAAAATGGCGAGCTATCCTGAAAGGCGAAAGCTGGCGCAACCCCGAGGGCCAGCGCCCAAGCATTTCGGAGGCGCATAATGGGCAGATGTGACCTTGAAGCTCACAGATGACGACCCGCGAACGAAGTCGGTGATGTGCCCAGGTGGATGGGCGCCAATGCCAGGTCCCGACTACGGAAACTCTAAACGAGCCACGCTAACACTAACTGTAAGTGATTCCGCCCAGTAACTTTTCTTAGCCGGGCGGACATAGGTAATGTCGAACTGGATCAGCGACAATAATTGTTCACGTCGACTCATTTTTCCGAGATAAGCCTTTTGCTTCACAATGGCTCCTCCTTCCAAAAAGCGAAAGCAATCTCAGGCAGCTATTGAGGAGATTCTATTCGACCCATCTGCACGTCAAGACTATCTCGCAGGATTCCACAAACGCAAGCAACAACGTATAAAAAATGCCCAAGAGGCGGCCATTAAGAGAGAAAAGGCCGAAAAGGCCGAGGACCGCAAAAAGGTTTGCTTCACTGTACAAATGAAAATCAAAATTTTCTTACTTACACAATGTTCTAGTTGAGGGAAGGTCGCAAATTAGAAATGGAAAGACATGTCGAGGCTTTCAATGCATTATTACGCGAGTCCGGAGAGAAGGAATCTGGTTCAGACGACCAGGGAGATAGCGAAGACGAGGAATGGGGTGGTTTTGAGGAGCCTCCTGCCATCGATCACGAAGCCGAATACATCGATGAAGACCGATACACTACAGTTACCGTCAAGGACATGGACCTTTCCAAAATCGATCAATCATCAAGCGATGAAGACGAAGGCGAAAACTCGGAACACGAAGGGAAACATGTTCAGAAAGGAAATGTAGCTGAGAAGGCCTCAGGGGTAAACAAACCGGGAAAACGTACTTGGACAAAAGAAAAACCCGAGCAGCCAAAGAAGAAAAAGAAGAAGTTCCGCTACGAGAGCAAAGCCGAGAGGCAGTCTACGAGGCGTAAAGAAAGAGCGAGCAATAAGGCTCAGGCTAAGGCGAGGCGTGGTTAAAAAGAGATATTAATATATACCCCACATTTCAATTTTTGAGAGCTTGCATCGAGCTGGTTTCAACGTCCAAACACCAGTATAGAGAGTAGTATGTAAAAGTTGAATTCTAAGCAACTGGGATGAAACCACCATCAAGAAATTGCTATCCCTAATACCCTCAAGTTTGGCAACCGCCTTTGAGCGGAGCTTGAGTGTCCGCAATCACTATTAAACATTTGCTAAACCACGCGCCAAAGCCACGCCACTTCATTTGGCCAACTGAGCGGCTTAAATGCTTCCAATCTCGCGCTGGAAATCGTCCAGTTCCTTCTGCACGTCGCTGTACTTCTTGGCCATTTCTTCGTATTTCGCTTCCCACTGGTCGCGGGCGGATTCCAGCGCTTGCACCTTGCGCTCGTAGTGACCAGCTTTCACGTCGGTTTGACGAAGCCTTGTAAACAGTCAGCGATGGATTTCGGGTATTGGAATAAAGCTCGACTCGAAAAGCAGCTATATCGAGGAGCTTGAAAGGCACCCACTTTTCATTCACCTCTCGCAAAGTCTTATCCGCCTCCTCAGCCTCTTCCTCGAGCAGCTGCAATCTCCGCTGCAGAGTCTCGTTCTGTGTGCCATGTTCACGGACCTCATCGGCGGCGGCCTTTGCATCCCGGATACCGGTCTCAAGCTTCTCCACTTCGGACTCCAAAAGCTGGTTTTTGTGCGATAGAGATGTAATTTCTTGCTCCTTTACCAGATTCTCTTGCTCAAGTGCCTTGATCTTGCTCTGCAGCTCCTCGTTCTTCGAGTGAGCCTCATCGGCCTCGAGGCGCAGGGAGTTCATTTTCTACTCGCCAGGTAGGTTAGCCTGCTTCATAGAGCTTTCATCACTTGGAGTAGAATGTTGATCAAGTGACTGTGCTCTCTGTCAATCTGCGGGTGGCTCAGGTTGACTAGGGCGGGGTGAATTTATTGGCACTGAATGTAAGACTCACCTGCTTAATACCCTCCATGACGGACATAATGTTTGGTATTGAGAAATATAGAAGGCTGATCAAAGGGGTTTCTAAGAAAAGGTGCAGATAAATCTGTTTCTGCGTAGAGGGAAATGGCTAGTGTTGTGGTAGACTTGATGGATAGAATCAAAGCTATTGAACTGGGAGAGATGCCCCGTTGCGTGGAACTTGTAACAGCTGGTGGATGTTGCGAGGTACCAAGGTACCACTCCATGTGCTTCCCCTTTTTTGTGCTAGCGCAGGGTGCGAGCCTATTCCCCTCCCTGGGGACCCTTCAGAATACCTGCCCCCAATCATCGTCGGTTGCAGCCGTACAGTGGACATAACAAAACATCAGTAAGGAGCACAGCATCAAATTTTGCCTCCTTAGGAGGAGGGAAGGAAAAGGGTATCCGGAATGTCTCCCTAAGTGGCCTGTTTAACTATAATGCTGGTTTAATATTACAGTGCTCTTAGAAGTCTTTGCTAGTTTCACAGAGAGTGAAAGTGCACTGTGTAAATTCTTTTTGTATGTATTCAGTACACTAATTATAGGAAACCTTATTTGCAGGTCGATCTGTTGTTTTGGCGACGTTTTATTGCTTCGGTCCACGCTGGCTATTTCGGAGACAATATTGTACGTTCCCAGCTCTTTCCCGATTGGCTTTACGGTCCGTTTCCTCGTCAACATCGACATCGGTAAACAACGCGCTCCCGAGGGGGCAACTTGTGTCGTAGCCAAACTTGTCACATCACTTTACTGACGTCGCCTTTATCATACTAGAGGCATCGAATCTGCATGGCACTTCATACGACATCCTAACGGAATACTCTGGCGAGAAGCTCAGATATCATGCTCGCGGCTCACGATCAAGAAAATTTGGTGCATAGTCATCAGGCCGCTGCCGCGGCAAAGCCACTTAACCATGGGGCGAAGCAACTCCAATTTAGAACGCCTGCTGCCAAAGCTCCTAAAACGCCATTCAAGATACCTTTGAACGATGAAAATGCCCCGAACACCTTCAATGGCAAATTTCAAAAATCCACTGTCAAAGGCCAAGCCTTCCAGATGGCAAATGGAAAGAATGGTCCTGCCGTGGATAAGAATGCTTTCATCACCCCGATGGGTAAGACTGTAGTACCGTGGCAATTTTATAAATTTGTCTTCTAATCTTTTTTTTCTTTAAAAAAGGTCCGAGTACTCGCGCCCCTCTGGGTATGAAAACAACGAATGCAAAGGCAAAGACAATCCAAACCCCAGCTGGGCAAGCATTGGGTACAGTAAATGAAAAGAACCAGCAACGAAGCACCACCTCTCGGAAGGTTAAAACACGGCAGCCACAAATCGAAGTCTTCAAGTCTACTGAAACCGGGAATCTTGAAGATGAGGAGATACCTGATATTGAATATATGCCTCCAAGATCAAAGGGCAAGCTTTTACTGTCCCCAAATACAAGGCGTCATTTTCTAACCGTAACAGATATCCAAGATTATCCGGATGATTTCTTGCTTAATATGGATTACAGCCAGCTTCGTGGCTCGAATTTGACGCGTGGTTGGTATCAAACATATTGTAACCCAGTTGGCCCTGATGGGTTGACAAAATTTCAGCGTCAAGAGAAGGAGGCACAAGCGAGACATGAGAAGGAAGTAGACACGATGCTCAGGAAAGCTTTTGACGAAATGACTTTTGACTTGCCTGAAGTGCAAAACAATGATATCTGTGCGAACCAGAAAATAAAAACACAGTCGGAAAGTTCCAAAAGGATTCCTTCGAGCAAAGGTTTGCAAGCGCGACAGAAAACGAGCAGGCCTCTTGCTAAGGGCCCTTCCTCACTTCGCTCAAAGGCTGCGGCATCTGCACTTTCTTACCACAACCCAGCTTCTGAGGCTTCAAATCCCAACCAAGCACGGCCTTTAATAAGAGCGAAAGTTCCGACGTCGATCATGGGTCGTTCGAAGCAAGCACCTGCACCAACAAACCCATCATCAATGCGTCATACTGCAGCCAAAGTCACTTCTCAAAATACCATTGGTTACACAAGGGGCCGGGCTACTTCAGTTTCTCTCAGGGCTAACGATTCATCCGAGTCAAGCAAATCAAAGTCGATCGATGCAACGGTATCAAGTGAACACCAACCATTGATCAATCATTTTGAAGCCCATTATTCGCCCGAGGCCGGCTCCGACGAATGGAACAAACTTCGAGGTTATGATACCGCTGAAGACGAGGATGAAGATATTGAAGACGCACTCAAAGGACGTGGAAATAACTTTCTTTACCTGGACGAGGATGCAGATAAGGATTTTGTTCTGACTCTCTAGGCTGTAGCTCTAATAAGCCTTAAGGCTTCTTCAGGGGGTGAAGATTGATAAATGGAACTGGCGTCAAGGACATGGATGGAGTTTGATGATCAGGCTTATTATGGGGCAGGAATGGCCTTCATAAGAGATTGGCAGGGAAGAGATATTGCTGACGGATTAAATTCATTTTCCTTCTTCTCTTTTTTATGCGTCGGCTGGTCGCAAATGCGGACAAATTTGGTACAAAGGAATGACTTGAACCCTCTTTAAACATAAATACTCGACTTGGGCGTTCATATTGTATTAACGAAGATATGGTCCTAATGAAGCTTTTTTTTTTTTTTTTTCGAGCTGTGCAAAAACTGTAGTAGCTATGTTTTGAGACCGCTATGGATATTCCTAAAGAATGACGATGAACGTTACTCCGTAACATGGAAGATGAATATTGACGTTGATTTCCCAAGTAAGGTATCTTCTCGAAAGCCTTTCTCTTTCCATGTCCTAAGAAGCCTCTAGTAATCTGTCTGCTTTCTCCTTCAGCAACGTTCCAAAATCAGTCGGATTCTTGGGGTCTGAGAGGGTCATCAGAGCCGTCTTTCCCGAAGTGTCGTGAATCATTATTTTTGTCATGATGCAACGTGAGATACAATCATTGTAGGTCTCGACAGCCTTCTCATCATTCGCTTCGAGCTTGGAGACGTCTAGATTTCGCAGCCACGAGCGGGTTCGCTGGCAGAAATCCCACATAAAGAAGAGTGTTCGGTTGGACCGGATTCGGGAATCTGCCTCAAGGGCACTTTGTTTAGATACAGCGTTATTATCAGCGTGTTCTTCATACGACAACTATCGAAAGGATGGGCGTCAATGCCTACTCAATAAATTCCGTCAATCGTGCGTCCAAGGTGGAGACCTCGGGACCACCTTCCATTTTCTGGGCGTTTCCCATGTTGGCTTCAATCGTGACACGAGATGTAAAGACTCGTTCTCAAAGATTTTTTTTTAAAAAGTTGTAGATTCAATGGAATGTTCCCTGCGTGGATTTGCGTGCACAGATCTTATAAGTGATACCTACCTACTTTACAGAACATTCACGAGTACGAAGTACACACAACCGAATGAGCCACCTTGGCAGCCAAAGAGTTCCGAAAATGTTAAGAGTCCATCATTGGGCCAGAAAAAACCAGCAGTGAGAGTCCCTTACATACGAGAAGAATGCTAGAGCTGAGTTGAAGATTTGGCCTTTGAGGTTTACTGATGCATTTAAGATAATCAGTGTGTACAAAGGCCTGATGACTGTCTACCTTAGGTACCTAGGAGTGCGATCTTTGTCGTCATTTTGATACTTTATTGTTTGGCGCACCGTTCCGATGGACAGATAGGGAATCATGCTTTGCTTAGATAGGCATAAGGGCAATCGGATCTATTCATTGTAGTGGAGCCCTTGCTTTAGCATGTTGAGATTTGGCAGTTTTGATTGGTTTAACCAGCTAATTGCCCCTGATATCCGTGGCGGGTTGGGTAGCTATCGCTCACCGTGCCCAGGTACTCGAATACGAAACACACAAGAACACGCAACACGGAAAAGTTCCCACCGTCCAAGCTCTCAAGGACCTCCCTTGACGGTGTTATCTTCTTTCTTGCACCTCAATTGGCGCCGATAGATTGGCGCAGTACGTCCTCGATCATGTCCGAGGTCAAACCCACCGTGTCTGAGGACTCATTCGAGTTCATTGAGACACCTCCTGCGGCCACTCCTAATACGCCTACTGAGAATTATGGCGTGAGGACGACGGCGGTGAGTTGTCCTTAACTCCAATTGTCTGCCTTGGAAGGCATTGCGATCCAGAACGGGTCACTGATATAGAGGCAATACAGTATCCTGCTATCAAAAATGCTCCTCTCCCTGCCGATGCCGCTGGCAGCGAAAGCTTCAACAACAAGCTTCTTTTCTCCCTCCTTCTGTTGATCCCCCTCTACTTTGCTAGGAAGGTTGGTGGCGGCCTCAAGACATGGCTCTTCTTTGCTATCTTGACTGCCATTCCTATCTTGATGGCCTTCTGGACTGTCGCGTCCAGTATGTCCGCCCGCAAAAATGAGAAGGCGCGGTACCCTGGCCGCGGCGTTGACCATTACCTTCATTTCCACGATGCGGCCGACAGGGCGCGCTACCACGGAAAGAGCAAGATCCCTATGGAGACCTTCCACGAAATGTATTTCGCTGGTGGTGTTGATTTCAAGGGCGACGCTCTGGAGATTCTGGAATACCGTCACGACTGGGCCAACTTCAGGTTCACTCTGAGCCTATTTTGGTTTTTCCTGACTGGCATGATTCCTGAGGTTATCATGCATACTCGATCCCAAGGTACTTCCAATCTCTACTCTTTCTCCAGGAGCATCATTAACACGCTATAGATGAGGAGCAAGTCCGCGACCATTACGATCGTGGAGATGACTTCTACGGCTGGTTCCTCGGCCCTCGCATGGTCTACACTTCTGGTATCATTTCTGATATCAATAAGGAGGAGTCCCTTGAGCAGCTCCAGGACAACAAACTCGGAATCGTGTGCGAAAAAATTGGCCTGCAGCCTGGTGAAACTATGCTCGACATTGGATGCGGCTGGGGTACCCTCGCCAAGTATGCTAGCGTTAATTACGGTGCTCACGTTACGGGTGTTACCCTTGGCCGTAACCAGACGGCCTGGGGAAACAATGGACTGCGCAAGTCTGGTATCTCTGCCGAGCAAAGCAGAATCCTCTGCTCCGACTACCGCGACATTGTTGTTCCCGAGAATGGCTACAAGAAGATTACTTGCTTGGAGATGGCAGAGCACGTCGGTGTTCGCCACTTCTCAACGTTCCTCCGCCAGGTCTATGACATGCTCGATGATGACGGTGTCTTCTTCCTTCAGATTGCTGGGTTGCGCAAGAGTTGGCAATACGAGGACCTTATCTGGGGTCTTTTCATGAACAAGTACATTTTCCCTGGTGCCGATGCCTCTACCCCTCTCGGCTGGTTCGTTGATCAGCTCGAGGGTGCCGGTTTTGAGGTGAAGGGAATTGACACGGTTGGTGTTCACTATTCCGCCACCATTTGGCGCTGGTACAGAAACTGGATGGCGAATCGGGAGAAGGTAGAGGCCAAGTATGGAAAGAGATGGTTCCGGGTAGGTCTACTACGTTGAAATTGTGTGCCTCGGCTCCTCACTAACGGTTTAATAGATCTGGGAGTACTTCCTCGCATACTCTACCATCATTGCCCGACAAGGATCGGCTACTTGTTACCAGATCACCCTCGTCAAGAACATCAACTCAACTCACCGTGTCGAGGGTATCCCAACCCAATTCGGCCTCAGTGGTGCTCTCGGCGCCTCCAAGGCTACTCAGGCCGCCAAAGCAGCGAAGGAAGTTACCGGTGCTTTGACTGAGAAGGTTGGAAACCTCCTAGGAGCTCAGTAATCTCCTTAAAAAAAAATTGAGGAGTATGTCCAGGTCTTATTAGTCGGTGGAAGATGGGGGACCTGGGTAAACGGGGAGCAGGCAAGTGCAGGAACGTTAATAAGGACGGGCAGGGACTGCGTAGACGGAAAAGCTTGAATGATCAAAAGTTTCCAAATGAATAATTTACCGTATCTTAGACTTCTGGCATTGGAGAAGGCACAAGAAGTTACTAGTATATGAAGAATTCGTGGTGGAGGATATCTTGTGCGCTCCCTCTAATGGATTGAATTAGTGAAATGATTGGATGATTATACAGCTGTATGAAACGAGCTTCAGCAATAGTACGGTTTTCATCAATGCCAAAAGAGCAGTTTTAGCATTAACTACGGTACAGTACCCCAGACCGAGGGACCATCCTAAGCCCAGTGAACGAAAGAGCGAGGTCCCCTCGGTCCCTGGCGCATCGGCGCTTAATTGCCACGCTACGGGAACCTGAAAAAGCCCAGGTGGCCGAACTATGTGAAGCCGCTGGTAACTCGCTCGAGTGACTAGAAACCAAGACAATCCATCTTAGGGAATGGTATCCATGAGTGCAGCTGGAATCTGCCTCTGGCTATTCTATTTACGACCTTCTCTTACCATATAAGCAGCATTAATTATTTTGTCAATCCTGTTCAATCGGGCGGCAACGGACATCATTACATTCAGTGGCTGGCCCATCTGAAGCTATGTCTACTTTCAAGAGGGCCACCGTTGTTGGTGGCCCTCCGCTGATGGAGAAGCGTGATGTGCTGCAGCCGCTTCGAGTAACCCAGATCATATCATCAAAGGCAATTTTACCTGCTGGTTAGTATTAGAATAGCTGGTCACAAGTTACTGTCATCATTCATGGAAGCTGATATATGCAGAGATTATTTCGATGATCATTGACTTCCTGCCTCCCTCCGATTTAATACGATTTGCTCAAACATCTAAGCGCATGCAAGAAATGGTCTATGATGACGCAAGATGGGTTCAAAAGTTACGGTTGATGGGATGCTGGAGCGACTTGGAAGCGAGAAAGCGCGTGGAAGGTTCTATGCGGAAGAGATACGAAGCACACAGGTCCAAAGCCGAAATTCCAGGTGCCAGCGGCGGTGCGGATGGCCTGGAAGGTATTAACGGCGGACTCGACAGCTTGAATTTGAGCCATGTCTCAAGACCAAGCATCACGTTATTTGATGCGACGGCAGAGGAGGAGCATCGACAGTCCTTGGAGGCTATGGCCCGACAATCAATCGAGGTTTTACCCGGTGACGGCGGTCAGAAGGCAACTCATAGGAGGCGTCCGACATTGAGTGACTTGGAATCATGTTTGGGTGTTTTCGATAGGGTCCGGTCAATTCGAGGGTTTGCTCGACAAGAATTCGGACGCATATATGGCGCTATTGCACCTTTTTATCTGGATCTCGCTCGTTCAAAAAGTCACAGCGACCCCATTGTCTTTCAAGCGTTCCGTGACCCAGAGCAACAGGCCCAAATGCTCGCTCAATTAAGGAGATTCTCCAAGAGTGACACAGCTGAGGGCTGGCAGCATAGAGTGGGGAAGCTTGAAGCTATGATAGAAATGTTTGAGGGTGCTGTATTGCGCGAATTTGAACAAGGTTATGAGATTGGAGATGTTGATGGACGTATGAAGCGGTATGCCCATGTTCTTGTCACGCTCAATGGCGGTCAGGCTGCTGTGGAGTTGTTTATCCAAAAGCATGCGCTGTTAGCGGGTCGCGACAAACTTGGGAATCCGTTGGACTGCTTAGAGCATGCAGCCCCGGGAACGATTGACTTGGGTCCCGCGCATGAGTTTTTCACGCGGCTGACCATTGCTGTCAATGAGCAAAGCGATGTCATTGACCGCGTCTTCCCGTCTTCTGTCAATGTATTACTTTCACTTCTCGAGCGAGTTGGAGAAGATGTCATTTCTGAATATGTCACACCCCTCTTTGATGAAGCTCATTCAACCAACTTGGAGTCGTATCTAAAGGCCGTTCCGGGACTCTATGGACAGAGCATCAATTTCGGAAAGTCTGTCAATCCCACCAAGGGCTCTGGGGATCATTTCCGTCAAGACGTACATACCATTCTTGCTGCAGTATTCGAACCGCATCTTGATCTCTACCTTCAGGATGAACTGGATTTTTTCCGGACTCGATCCGACGCAAAAGTCAGCGAGTGGGAAAGGCAGCTTGTCGAAGAGGAGGCGTCAACCGAATCATTTTTCATGTCCAACGTCAGCCGCCACGTTGATAAACGCGATTTCTTAACATCATTTAAGAAAGTTGTCATGATGCCAGTTAACGCATTACCTACAATACCGATTTCTTCTCCTTTTGCCTCAAACAAAGCGGCCCAGTCTGAAGCTGAGGAAAAGGCGTCAGAACCAACCAAAGCCGGCTCAGATACTTCTTCTCGACCTTCGACACCAAGTGTGGCAAGCAATGTCAATCCAGTCCGACTATCACAGATTGCCGCACCTACCACTGAACTTGCGGCAAAGGCTGCGATTATGAATTCTAGGCTCGAGGGTATCCGATCGCTCTTCAGCATTGAGGTTGCGCTCAGCCTTATTCATGCAGCCAAGTCTGGTCTTGAACGCGTTGCTATGTTTGTGAGTCTCGGCGGACAGACAGGTGAAGAAGCGAAAGAGCAGTGTGAAGCTATCTTCGTGCTCTTACTACAAATACTCAGCTCTAAACATATGAGACCGGGCTTCGACAAAGCTCTCGATCATTTGACCAAATACAATCCTCGCGACGTCAACGAACACAGTCAGCCTGGAGTGGCTCCTCTTGTCATGTTTCTTGAGCTGGTCAATGTCGGCGATCTTATTCAACAAATGGTGGATGTCTTCTACGAGCAAGAACTTGTGGCAATGAAACTCACGGATCGCAACGATTTCTTGGATCCAGCGGTCCAGGAGAAGAAGCGGTTCGAGCAGATGCTGGACGAGCGCGTCGCTGCCGGTCTGAACCGCGGTGTCGATGTCTTAATCGACGAGGTCGAATATGTTTGCGCCACCACGCAAATAGTCACTGATTTCAACCCTGGAGCAACGAGTGACACCGCTAATCAGATAGTCGACATTGGCCCGACTGAAACGGCTCGAAAGGTTGTCGAAATAGTATCTTCGCATACTAGAATGCTCGTTGGAAGCACGGACAAGCACATGCTCGAGGTGTTTAATCAAGAAGTGGGTCTGCGACTGTTTACGGCGCTTTGCAAACATCTCAAACGTCAGCGCATCAGTCTTGATGGTGCTATCAAGCTGATCAGGTTCGTTCGCCATAAATGCTCAGTCTCTTAGTCTCTCATATTAATATACTTTCCAGCGACATGAATCACTATTTCTCATATATCTATACCATGAAAAACCCGGCGTTACTCGAATACTTTAAAGCCCTCCGCGAGCTCGCGCAGATCTATCTTATTGATCCTGCCCATGCTAAAGAAATGGCTACCATAATTGCCGATGTAGACCGCTTTCACGGAATCTTTCGCCCCGAAGAAGTCTACGAATTCGCCGAGCGTCGCGCAGATTGGTTCGTCGTCCGAAGAAGCGTTGAACGTGCCATGTACGGCATCGGCTGTTCAGTGATGTAGGTTGCTTTTATCTCATTTCTGTCTGGTAGCGCAATCTGATTGCGCGTCTCTACCGTCAAATCCCTATTTCGTCATCGATGCATAGCCTGGTGTGTTGGTGTTTCTAAGTTTGATATACGGGTATGGTCTTCTGGCATTTCAGCGCTTTCGGGCGTTGGTAACGACTTTCTAAAAGCTTTTTTCCATTATAACTGTATCTATGAAGTGCACATGTAGATTTGAAGGCAGGAGCTTTTAGATAGAAACTCAAATGATTACACGTCCATCGAGAATCGAATGATGCTTGTGTTGCTATGGCTTGCTATTGTATTGCTGACCGTGAGGCAAACCCCCCACGATTTGTACGGCCGAGGGTCGCGAACTGATTAGGCGCTCCGGCGTACTCTATAGTCCGGCACAGTGACGGAGCAGCGTTCGAATACCGCTCGAGGAACATTTATTTTCGACCCAAAATAGTCAAACCAAATGTAAAAAGGCGTCCAAAAAAAATTGGAAGATACCATCTATCAAAGGTAAAATAAAATATAAAAAAAAATCTTGAGTCTCTCTTTACTGGAAGCGTGTCATCCTTAGTGCAGGGGCCATGCTAATCTTCTCTGTATCGTTTCAAATTCTGGAGCATAATTAGCGTCTGTATTTCTGGACAGGCAGAAATCAAGTGTACTTACGACCAAGTGCCCGAAGGCAAACAGTATTTCACTAATCTACTTTATATTCCTGCAACCCTTTGACTATTTTCGGTTAGCTAAGCGAGTCACTTCTGACACCTTTCCATGGTTCAGAGGCACTACGAGCGCTTCGCATCCTTCGTCCACAGCAATATTACTGCGATGTACTGCGTAGAATAATTGACCGAATATTTGCATGATCTGACTGGATCATTGATTGTATGAATGGTCAGCAAAGGTTTAATTGTTTTAGACACTCAATTGAAATATGCTGTAGGCTTCTTGAGCTGTCTAGGAATTGCTAACGAATCAAGACTGATCTGCTAAAAAGGTTGTTCCTGCCTTGATAAGGTCCAGATATAAAATGCGAGATAATTTATATTTTTTTTGGATTGGTTTAAAGGATTTATCTGGGCCAAAAATCCTCCCAAAAAGATAAATAAAAGTCCCAATGATAATCCTTTAAATAAGTATCATATTGTTATTCATCCGAGACATAGTCCTCGTATAAACAATTTAGCAAGGGCAATTATCTTGTGATTACTACTTCGTACTTGTTATGTTTCATGAAGAGGTGGATTTTTTTCCCTACCTCCCCTCGAAATAAGATGAATGATATGCATGCACTTGAGTCAGATTCTGTCCTAAAATACCAGCTTCCTCAATTAGGATACAATTTGTTGCTCTCACAAGAATCCACATGGGAGTGATCTCCAAGTAGCCGATATGCCTGTGTACCTGACACACAACCGACAATGCATGGTGGTCTAGGCTTACGGAAGAAATTACCGGCAGATTGTGTAGAGTCATACAATTTCAGGACTTTCTTCTTTTGGCAATCGATCTAATTAGATGTTGTCACCACCGTCTGAGGCGGCTACGTACCTTACCTTTAGAGAAGTTGTTTACACAAGGTGAATCTCAGCGGCAGCTTAAATTTAGTCGGAACTCCGTCATCGCCAAATCCAAACGGTGTGCGAAATTGGGCCCCACCAAAACTCTACTTGCATTTATTTGTTTGAACTGCGCATACAGATACGGAGCTGAACCGCGGCACCCCGAGCTCAATAGCACATTCGCCCCAAATCGCACATAGAATTCTTTTTTTTCCCCCGTACTATAGCTCTCGAATGGATTCGCAAACCACTACCGGACCAAGAGCGCAGGCGTCGGCGGAGACTGGTCCTGCCCGTCACTCAGCCGGCCGGGACTCTCGCAGAGGAGGTAGAGGAGGACAGAACGCAGGCCGCGCCGACGGACAACGAGGCGGTGCTCGCGGCGGCGAAAGAAGGGGAAGGGGAGGCAGAGGCAAGGGCGGTCCCAGTGGACGCGGCCCCAATTCAGCCACCGATTCAGTCGCTGCTCCGGGACATCGTGCTCGTGGTAATTTTGGCACGCGCTTGACGGGAGACGCCACACAAGCAGAGGACAACAGGAAAGTGGCAAAGCCTGCTGACGCAGGTGCGGAGGTTGATGAAGAAGAAGATGATGATTCGGAAGTGTGCTTCATTTGCGCCTCACCTGTCATCCATCAGGCTGTTTCTCCATGTAACCACCGGACTTGTCATATTTGCGCATTAAGGCTCCGTGCTCTCTACAAAACAAAGGCTTGCGCTCATTGTCGGGTCAGTCTAATAGTCCCAACGGCAAAATTGATTTCTTGGGTTACTTTGCTAAACTGCTGGACCATAGACTAATGCGGACTATGTCATTTTCACCGACCACCCGTCAAAGCGATACGAGGAGTTTGAGGAGAAAGACTTTGCAAAGTCAGACGACATTTTGGGAGTTAAATATGAAAAGAACGAAATCTTTGAGGACACTGTGCTTCTGCTCCGGTACAACTGCCCTGATCCGGATTGCGACGTTGCTTGCTTGGGCTGGCCAGATCTCCACCGACACGTGAAAAGTACGCATCATAAGGTCATGTGGTAAGTTTTTTTTGACAATAGATTGAAGTCCAGTTGCTGATGAAACGCAGCGACCTTTGCACGAGGAACAAGAAAGTCTTTACACACGAGCATGAGCTCTTCACGGCCAATGAGCTACGAAAACACGAGAGACATGGTGACAATGTTCCAGGAGCTGCGGACCAGAGTGGGTTCAAAGGGCACCCCGAGTGTGGATTTTGCAAAATGCGATTTTACGGGGATGACGAGCTCTATACCCATTGCCGCGATCGACACGAGAGATGTCACCTCTGCGACAGGAGGGATGGTCTTCGATTCCAATACTATGTCAATTATGACGCACTGGAACTCCACTTCAAAAAGGACCATTTCCTCTGTCCCGATCAGGAATGTCTTGACAAGAAATTTGTAGTTTTTGATTCTGAAATGGACCTCAAAGCGCATCAATTAGAGGCCCACCCGAATGGACTGTCAAAGGACGCACGGAGAGATGCGAGGAGAGTGGACCTATCAACCTTTGGCGATTTCAGAGCGCCCCACCACTTTGATGGCAGGAGCAGAAGAGAGGGACGAGGCCGGGGCAGAGGGAGGGATCCCAACAGCGAAGCGTTGCCGGTGTCAACTGCTCAGCCTCTTCGAAGGGACGAAATCGCTTTCCAAAGACAGCGGGCAATTCAGAGCGCTCAGTCCGTCACGACCTCCACATTTGGCACCCAGCTCTCATCCACCGAGGCCTACGCAGCACGTCCGCCACCACAGTCTGCCACTCCTCAAACCGTCACGACCGCCCAGCGAGACGACTCCTTCCCTGCGCTTCAAAACCTCAACATCAACAACAACAATACACCCAACGGATCTTCTTCACAACCCTCGCAATCTCTCCAAAACCTCCCTCCCCAGGAACAGGCGCGCCGCATGAGACATGCAGCTGTCACTGAACGGGCCACCGCCATGTTGCGAAACGACCCGTCCAAAGTATCGCAATTCCGAAACAAAATCTCCGCGTTCCGCTCCTCTTCCATCTCCGCCTCGGAACTCATTGACTCCTTCTTCTCTCTATTCGACACCTCGAGCTCAGAACTGGGCAAACTTGTCAAGGAACTCGCCGACATTTTCGAAATTGACTCCAAACGCACCGGTCTGCTCAAAGCCTGGAGCGACTGGCGCGCCATCAACGAAGACTACCCCGCACTTCCAGGCCCCAGCGGTATCCTGCCAGGCGCCTCATCCTCTGCGCTCGGAAGCGGCGGCTCCAGAGTCCTCAAACTAAAGTCCTCCACTGCCCAGTCTTCGCGCTCGGCCATTAACAAGCAGAACAGCTGGGGCACTGCCGCTTCCCCTTCCTCTTCTTCTGCTACCTCTTCTTCTGCCGCTAATGCTTTCCCCGCCTTGCCTTCCGCCTCTGCACCTTCATCCAATCGTGCAGGTGCCTCAAAGTCCACCACCGCCCCGTCATGGGCCGGTGCCACTCCTTCCGGGCCTGCAGGTATTCAGCCAACCTCATCATCATTATCGTCCTACTCTCGCCCCGCACCAAAAGCGTCTTCGCGCGGCACTCCCACCGTCAATAGCGCCGATGCGTTCCCCGCTCTTCCCGCCGCTGCTAAACCCACCAGTACCATTTTCGGATACGGTTCCGGCGCAGTGCGACGCGACTTTGGCGCTAGCCGCAACACTGCGAATGCATGGGCCAGCGATGCGCAAGCCGCTGCTGATGCCGATCTCGACACTGATGGAGCCGGAGCAGCGGGTGGAGCAGGTGGAGGTGGAGGTAAACGTAAGGGCAAGAAGAAGCAGACTTTGTTTCACTTTGGGTAGTATGTCTGCTTGCCTTATTTTCAATGCTTGATGGGCCTGTCTTATCTCCACTGTTTATGGGCCTGCCTTGCGTCCAGTGGATCTCATTTCATCTCATCCACCTCTCTCTCTCTCTCTCTCTCTCTCTCTCTCTCTCTCTCTCTCTCTCTCTCTCGTTGCGAGCTGGGTACCTAGCTTGCTGATCTTTTATTCGTATGTTGAGCGGTCATATCCTACTTCCTTCTAGCGGGCAGCTCTCTCCCCAGCAAACTATGTAGCAGCAAGCGTGTAAAGACTTACAAAAAGTGATAAATTTAAGATTTACGATTGAGATTGAGATTTACGATTGATTAGTGTCGACGACTTTCGATTTTTGGACTTAAACCGGATAAAAGAAAACAAGAATGTATGAATATATTATAAACAGTTATTGTACAATACTAGGTATATTATCCCCGATAAATGGGATACTATGTTTGTATACTATATAGTCGTCTTACATGTAGTCTATATACGAATACCTTCGTATAAGGTATGAACTATGAAATATGAAAATGAAGTAATGAAATGTATAGGTACGTTTCGTGAATACTGGGTATTGGGTATTGTGTATTGGGTATTGCGTATCATTCCAGAACGTAACGAACCATCCCACCTTCCCCTTTTTTTTCGTTTCTTTTTTTTTCCTTGGACTCCAGTACAGAGTACTCTGAAGCATGAAGTGGAAAGCGTAAAGCCAAACAAGTATACAAGTATGCAAGTATGCAAGTACGCAAGTATGCAGGTCATTGATTCATCAACATCATTGCCGCAAGGCCGACGACTAGGCCGGCCCAGGATACGCCTCTGCTGCCGGCGCCGCTTTCGCCGCCTTGTACATGCTGGCTATTACTGTTGCTATTACTGCTGCTGCTGGATTGTTTGTGTACGTTTTGCTGGTATTCCCCTGCGACGTTGCCGGGGGGCCAGTATTCGCATACGATGATCCTGGATAGTAAAGAGGTGAAGTTAGCGGTGGATGGGCTTTATGGTTTTGCTTTCTCTCTTTCTTTCATTCGTTGTTGACTTGGCTTTTCTTTTGGATGAAATGGGTTTGGATGAAATGGGTTTGGATGAAATGGGTTTGGATGATGCGGTTGAGCGCTTTTGACAAGACACTGGAAAAAGTATAAAAGGACAAGGGACAAGGAAGTAGGTAAAAGGGAGGGGAAAGGGAAAAGGATAAATGAAAAGGAAAAAAGACATTTCTTGGAAAAAACATTGGCAAAAAGGAAAAAGGATAAAGTGAAAAAGAACAAGGATAAAGGATAAAAGAAAAGGATAAACGAAAAGAGAGGATAAAAGGAAATAAAAGGGACATGAAAGAGAAGAAGACAATCTTACCATCCATTGGCACCGTCGGACTTGGAACCGCTCGAACAGGACTTGCGTCCGCACCCGACAGACTTCGTTGCCGCCCAGACTAATTGCGTGAAATGGCCCGTCTTCTCGGAGAACCCGGGCTTGTTGTAGTTGTAGTCGCTGCGCTCATCGGCCCACGCCTGCACGGCCAGTGTCGTGTTGGCGAATCCTTCGGCGAGGTTCTCGCCGTCGCCGTAGCCCTGATTACCACCTTCGATTAGTATTATATCCTAATATTTACGACTGTCCTCTTGGTAATTGTGTTGATCTTTGGTTTGCCTGTCGTGCTGTATAGGTATAGTCCAGTTTGGTTTCAAATGGGCTATTGTGACAGACAGGTAGCCGTTTGTTTTCTCGCTTGCTTTGGCGCTCGACAGGTCGATAGGTAAACATGTCGCGAGAATTTGCGAGACGCAAAGCAGACAAAGCAACAGTAGAGCGACGTGGAAAGAAGGGTTATGAAAAAGAGACGAGACAAAAAAAGAAAGAAATGAGACAGAACGTACACTGTGTTTCCAGAGACACTTATTGGCCCATTTCTGCGCCGTCTGGGCCAGGGTGTTATTCCATGACAGCGCCGACGCGCTATGTTCGGAGCGATACGAATTCTGCGAGTCGAGCATGGTGTTTTTAAAGTCCGAGTCGGAATTGTACGTGTGCGCGTCCGACGCGCTGAGCGTCGGTTTCACGGTGGCTGTCACCGTCGAGGCGGTCAGGGTGACGGTGCTCGCGACAGCAACGGCGCGCGCGTTGCTCGAAAGCAACGCGGCATAGAGGATGGCTGTGAGGAAGACTGCATGGAAGGTGCTGGTCGGATGAGAGGAGAAGAGCAGCATTGCTATCTTCTAAATGGCGTTTGGTCGGAGGCGGAGGACTTTGCTGCTGGGCCTCCAGGTCCCCGGGTTCCCGGTCTTTCGTGTTTTGAGTCCTAGAGCCCTTTTCGCAGGAACTCGTAGGCTGAAACAAGGAATGTCCAAGATCGTGTCGTGTAAGATATTGAGGTGATATGTACAATGCAAGCGGCCCACGAGCAGAATGCTAAGTTGGTAGAATGGTAAGTTATCGTACGGTAAAATTGAACGGGTCCTGAAGGCACGATAGGCGGTTAGGCTACAATATATATAACGGGAACGAAGAGTCAACCGCTGCACTGACCACGGGCGCGATAAAATACCGAGTTGTGGAGAACTGCTAACCTGCCTAGTCTCCTGGTATGGCTGAAAGTGCGAATCCCGTAAGAGCTTCAAGGCGACGGTATCATAAGGAATCTAAGGAATCAAAGAAATGAAAAGTCGGAAAAGAGGGCCGTGATAATATTCGAGCGCACGAGTATAATAAGCCATTATTGCTACTTTCACGACTATAAGGCTCTCGGGGCGACAATGCCACTACTACGCTATGCCAAGCACAATGACATAAGGTGCCATAATTCCCTGTCAGGGCTGTAGCTTGCTCTTCAGCGGTCAGATCGACCACGCATTGTGGGATAAGCACAATATGTAGTATAATACAGTCAAATTTCCCGCAGTCTGCCGCAGCCTTGTGCCAATGCGACATGGGGCAATGCGCCAATAATTGCTCCCGTTGCTCCCTTGTCTTGCTGTAACGGCGAGTGCTCTCGTTCCGCGACTCTTCAGGATTATCTTAGGACCAGAATCAATGTCCTCGAATTACGGTTAGCCTCCATATTGTGTGAATCTATACTGTTTCAAACGAGAATACTGTGCGACATGTTTGCAGAGTGCCTACGAAACAAGGTAAAGAAGACAGGAAAAGGGAAATAATGACGGCGGGGGAGGTCAAAGGTATGACGGCACAGAATACCTTGGCGTGACAGGGGTCCAGGGGTACGCCCGTGGAGAGACAGGAGGGGGGAAGGAAAGAGAAAAAGAGAAAAAGAAAAGAGAAGGAAGCTATACTTTTTCTAGGCAATTGTGAGATTTACTTTGGTAAGCCTCGAGAGTGATTGCTTTGTTACAACTTATACTTTGTCTGTTTATGACCAATTGATGGGTGTATTGATATTAAGGAAATACGAGTGACATTAGGGTGGGAAGCACAGTTAGTGGTATAGCTAAACTGGATCAATGTTAGCGGGGGGAGCCCGGAAGAAGCTCCGACAGAAGACTACAGAGTACACGCTGTTTGATGGTAAATGCAGTATGAAGTTACTGAGAAACTTGGTAAGTTACAGTGCGCACTGCCCAGTTCTGTTCGTCTCGTGCTTCGGGTCTGCCAGATCGCTAGGCTCGTGGGGTCGCGTGCGGTTGCCTCGCTACAATAGTTGGCCTGAATAAATGTCGACTACAGTACAGAGTACTGGTACAGAAGAATCATGACAAAGGATTGCGGGGTGTAAAACATGATGCCATTTGCATGAGGCTAACCAGACTGAGAAGCTCTATTGATAAACACTTCCATTATATAATCAAACATATAGTGACAGTCACGACGGGTATATATTTCTATAATCTTGACTTGATGCCTTCTATCCTAGTTTCTCCACACCCGGACGGCCTTGTCTTTTCCACCGCTGCCGACTCTTTGCCCGTCAGGACTCCAGTCGACAGCATAAACCTCGTCTTGATGTCCAGGGAGATCGATTGACAGTTTGCCGGTCCGAATGTCCCAGACCTTGAGAGTGGTGTCCTTTGATGCGCTGACTAGTAACCGCGAGTCGGGCGAGAAGCAGCACTGATATACGGGTGCTACGTGGCCACGAAGTGTCGTGATGAACCTGAGACGAAAAATCGAGATGAGTACTCTGACCGTATGCAAAATAAAGACACAAAAAAAAACCAAACTTACTTTCCGTCACGAGAGTTCCATAATTTAACGTGATTATCAAATCCTGTCGAGGCAATGAAAAGTCCATCGGGGGAGAACGTGACATGGTTGACCTGCTTCTGGTGTCCAAGCATACGAGCCACTGGCTTGGTCGAGTTGGTAGGCTCCCACAGATACATCGTAAAGTCGTCACTGGCAGACACAAGGCGTTCGATTAATTGCCCGTTGATGGTGGCGGCCTTGGTGAATCTTTCTTTGGCCTTGGCAACCTTCTCGTCATCGGTGGCAGGAGCCTTGCCGGTGTGATCGTAGTAGGCTGTACGAAGAACAAAATCGGTCGAAAGAGCAAGGTGATTAACCCAGTGCGCGTGAGCATTGAGCGAGTGTGCCAAAGTCCCATCTTTGTCATTCCAGACTTTGATGGTCCGGTCATGAGAAGAAGTGTAAATGAATCCTAGACCACCCCACTTGACACAGGATATGGACCCCTTGTGGCCACTGAGAACTATTTCTATCCGTTTCGACACAGCATCCCATATCCGAACCGTGGCGTCTTTCGAGGCCGATGCCAGTCGTGGTTGGCCGGGAGCTTGGCGATGATAAGGTTCCCATGCTAAGCTTGATACCCATTTGCTGTGGCCCTTCATTGGTCCTCCCAACGGTTTTCCGGTTTTGGGATCCCACAGTCTGACTGTGTTGTCCATGCTACCTGTTGCGATCATGCTGTTGTCTGGTGACCAGCTTACAGCCAGGACCCAGCTGGTGTGTCCCTTGAGAGTGTGCAGAGGCGTTCCAGTATCACAGTCCCACACTCTCGCGGTACCATCTCCACTGCCACTCACCATCTTGGAAGATGATGCGGGAGAGAATTGCGTCGCTAGAATTGCTTCTCCATGGCCAGAGATGGCTGCAGAACAGCGCGACACTGCTCGAACGCGGAAAACTGCTTGTGGGGTATATTGGAGACTTATAGTGTCTTCAGTTGTTTTGATACCGGGTCGAAGAATTGAGTGCCATAGGTGAGATACAATATCTACTGCATTCTCTGCACTCGAGGGATCTTGTAAGTCTGGGCGAAATGTGAATCGATATGGTATCCGTTCGTGTTCATCCTATAGACATATAAGCCATCCGTCATGAAGAAATAATATCCCTTGGATACTGACATTTCCTTGTAATGTATTGAGAAGAAGTTCCAAGTTTTTCACAGAGGCATCTCCAACTGAGACCGAAACTGGAGGCCCAGTGGCCTGTCCAGTGGCTTGATCAAAGAATTGTACACGGACACTTCCGAGGTCTTCAGGTATCGCATCGATTTCTTGTTGCTCGCGCGCCTTTTGCGCAGCCGCGGTCTTCTGCCGCTTATTTGGAGGAGGTAGTACGGTCGCCATTGTGGGCTTTGTTGGTGTCAATCCGAATGGCCGTTGTGAGAGTAGAAAGCGTCCAAGCCTAGAAGTTTTTGTGGATGAATTTCAGCGCGTTATCGAAAGCGATTAGATTAGATAACTTTAGATCAGCATCTTCCTCTCACAACTTAAGGTACTGTCTCAACGTCCTTAAATGTTTACCCAGGCAGCGCAATTCTTCATGAGAAGAGATATCTGAAGGATTCATTTCTGATTCCTCAAATTTTGTTACTGCCCAAATGAGTACGTCCCATAGTTTTGGTACGGATTCCCGCACCACACAAGGCGTCCCAAATGCCGGCGGACGTCCTCCAAGTGCCCGAAGAGCTACATGGACAATGAATCGAAGAAGGCCGAGAACGGCCGCATCGACCATTGCAGCACCTAATGTTCGTGATATAATTTGCACTATCAGTGAATCTCGTGGTATATCTCCTGTTGTTGGCTTGGCATTTGTGGACCTTACTACTGCAGAGGTTGTGCTCTGCCAGATCTGCGACAGCCAAACCTATGTGAGAACGCTTCATAAGATCAGCGTGTACGATCCAGTGGAAATTTTGATGCCAGGTACCTCTGTTTCGAAATCGAAGCTCTACCCTCTCATACAGCAGAACTTTCCTGATGTAAGCTTCCGGTTGCTGGACCGGAATTACTGGAATCAAAGCACCGGGCTCGAGTATATTCAGAGGGTAGCTTTCGAGGAGGATATCGAAGCTATAAAACTTTCAATTGAAGGCAACTACTTTGCAATCTGCAGTGTTGGAGCTGTATGTCCATGGCTGATTGATCGAGTCCCTTCTCGTCCATTGCCCACCTGTCGCCCTGCGATTTATACTACGATCTGACTTGGGCCCAGGCTCTTAGATATACTGAACTAGGACGTTCCGTTACATTTCCATCCCACTCGCTGAGAGTGAGATATGAGCCCTCGGAAGGATCAATGATGATCGACCGCCTGACTGTTCAGGCACTTGAGTTGACCCAAAATCTCCAAAGTGCAAAATCCAAGCACAGCCTATTTGGCATACTCAACAGTACAATGACTCCGATGGGAGCAAGGTTGCTCAAAAATAACATATTACAGCCATTAATTGATGAGCAAACTATTCAGGCGAGGTATGAGGCGGTAGCAGAGCTTACGTCAAAGGAGCAGATGCTTCATACTGCCAGACAAGGTCAGTCAGCTTTTGACTTTGCCCGTTCAATTGCCAATTCTGATGTTTTCCACAGCTCTCAAAGTGCTTCCTGATGGTGATCGTCTTCTTACGGCCGTATGATCATTCTAGGATCTGGCCAAAGCATAGACTGACAATACTATAAGCTGATTCTAACACCCTCAAAACACACAGCGGCCTATATTGAGCAGTCAATCAACATGGTAATCATGCTCAAACAATTCGTGTTCAGCATAAATCCCATATTTGAAGCGCTCACAGGAGCAACAAGTGAGCTAGTTGCCACTATACGAAAAGTTGCCTGCCCTCTGAATATGAATGATTCTCTTTATTGACAAGTTGCGAAGCTCTGTGCTCCGACCAAAGTAAACCTGGCGCAGGAAATGATCGAAACCGTGATAAATGATGATATTACATATGCACGTCAACCTCTAGATTTGAGAAACCAAAGAACTTATGCTGTCAGAGTTGTCTACCCAGCATACTCCACGTTCAGGCATGATGATAGGCTAATCATGACAGTCTGGTGTTAATGGCCTGCTCGATATCGCGCGGCAAACGTACAAAGAAGCAAGTGCCGATGTTTATGATATGATCACCGCTCTAGGAGGTAATGTCAATTCCATTTCAATCAGATTGGTCTGGACTGAAATATCTCAGAGGAGCTTGATCTCGCATTGACCCTCAAATATGATACTGCTCATCAATTCTATCTCCGATTTCCTGCTGCTGATATAGAAGACCGCGCTTTTCCCAGCGTGTTTATCAACGTCTTTAAAAAGAAACACTTTTATGAATGCCAGACCTTGGATCTCGTGAAACTTAACCAGAAAGTATCGATCGATGCGTAGGGATTGTGAAAAAAAAGGAAACACTAATGAGAAGACAGATTGTTGATGCCCACAATGAAGTTCTGTTATTGAGTGAGCAGTATTATTTGTCATACTTTGAAAATTTTCTGACTTGATGGGATCAGGCGACTCGGCCGTACAGGAGCTCATAGAAAAGGTTCATGGTGAAATACCCGGCCTTTTCAAGATTTGCGAAGGCGTTGCTATGCTTGACATGGTACGCTGTTGCGCCTCTCTTCCAGACTTTGGCTAATTTTAAAGCTTGCATCTTTTGCACATATCTCCGCAACGAGTGACTATGGTACAATGGGGGCAATTCCTAAGCATCAGTTCTCTGGCTGACGGTATCCTAGTTCGGCCTGAACTTACCGATACTTTGGCAATCAAGGCCGGACGACATGCGATTCGAGAGAAGATACACACGGAAAGATTCATCCCGAATGATGTCTATGCAAGCCAGCAGTCACGCTTCCAGATCATCACAGGTTTGTAACCACCTCCGTCTAAACACCGTACAGTGATTGACAAGTATCAATGCTTAGGTTGCAACATGAGTGGTATTAGCCTTCTCTATATATCTTAATTTTCGATATCTGATGACTATCAGGGAAGAGTACCTATATTCGCTCTATAGCTTTGATGACAGTCATGGCACAAATCGGCTCTTTGTGCGTTGGTCACACATTGAAAATTATACGCTGCTGATATTGCTATAGCGTACCTGCACAATACGCATCATTTCCAATCACTCACCAACTCTTCGCACGAGTCTCCATTGACGATTGCATCGAAGCCAACATGTCCAGTTTCTCAGCAGAAATGCGAGAGACTGCGTTCATTTTAAGAAATATCAACAGGCGAAGCATGTCAGAATTTCCTTCTACCAAAAGTCTGACATTGTGCTTATCATAGCGCAGGGTCATTATCGATGAGCTCGGTCGTGGCACAAGCACTCGTGATGGGCTTGCAATTGCACTGGCTGTTGCAGAAGCCCTAGTAGAAAGCATGGTATGCTTCTTCAAGATAACTCTTGTTTATATACTGAGACACTATAACAGGCAGTCGTCTGGTTTGTGACTCACTTTCGAGACCTTGCAACGATCATGGCGGAACGAAGTGGGGTTGTCAACCTGCACCTCGCTGTTGAAGTAAGAAGCCAGTTCCAATCTTTTCCCAGGCTTCCGGTCTAACTAACCCCTTAGATGTCCAACTCCAATGAGATGACCATGCTTTACAAGATCTCAGACGGCTGCGTACAAGAGAAATACTACGGCCTTTCTATAGCCCGAGTCATGGACTTCCCACCCTCTGTTATTGAAGTCGCCACTGCTGTTTCCAGAGACCTGAATTTACGCAACGAGAAACAAAAGAGAAAAGCCAAGGATCTCAACCTTTCACGACGACAGAAATTGGTCCTCAGCCTACGTGAATCTCTAAAGCAGGCTGCGGATGGACCCCTCGAGGGCAAAGCGCTCGCATCCTGGCTACGCAAGCTTCAGACAGAATTTATCCATCGCGCCGCGAGCTTGCAAGACGACATCGAGTCCGAAGATGGTACTACTGAAGCAGAATGTACGAATATGGACGAAGAGGATGGTACGGATAGTACAGCAATCGAAGGAAGTTATACATCCACAGTCCGCAACGCTCTTGCACACGATAGTGAAACTCCATCCAATAATTACGATACCAGCGAATACGGCTTCAACAGTGCCCCCGATTCGAATCTTTCAACTCCAAACGAGAGTCAAGTCCATGACTTGTTACTGTCTGAAATCGCCGCGGCTGCTGGTGCTCGCCCTGGCCCTAGACCTGATCCTGCACCACCTGTCTATCCCGATTCATCTCCGCATTCTTCTGCACTATTGACATCACCACCGAATATGATCAAAACCAGCCATTATCCTGGCACCCGCACTAGACCAAATCCATCCTTTCCCACAAAAGCGCATCCCCAGTTTACTTCCGACGACAGATACGATATCATTACACACACTCAGCCCAGCGATCCGTTTTATATCTTCGCACGTGAATCACATGACGCCTCACCCGCTACAGCACCATTTGAGTCCTTCGCCGCTGCTACTCTCCCCGATGACCACTTTGCGGATGATGACCAGACTCAAACAGAGCATGTGAATGTTCCCGTGTCTGAACTCCAGAGTATGTATGCAGATTCCGAACTCAATCACTATGATGATCGGCCTGAGGGAAGTCTGGACTACGATTTCCCGGACGAAAACAACAACAATAACAACGAGCACAGTTTTATCCCTAATGATGATGATGATAATGATGATGATGTCAATCACGAGGATGATGACTATTCGCTGGACCTGCGGACAGATATGACTCGATCGCGTTTCTTCATGTCTCGTCCTTCTTCTCCTTCTCCTTCTCCTCCTCGTTCTCTTTCTGCTTCTGCCTCTTCCTCTGCATTGCGTCGTGCGGGCTAAAAGAAAAAGGGAACGAGAACATAGCTAAACAGTAGCTGACTTTGCTATCATATTAACGAAAGATCTGCTAATGCCACTAACTCCACATATATCTTATAAATGATACTCTACATGGCGTACATGGCTTACATGGAAGAGACAGTCTTTGTTAATATTGTTGTTGTGAAAAGATGAGATATATATACAATACAATACACACACATACGCGGGGGAAAAATAAAACATTTACAGAGAAAGCTATATAAAGAAAAATAGAGGAGCAACGACCGAACAATTCGAGTGAGCAAAAGGATAAAAGGGGGGGAAAGGAAATGATATTCCCTTTCCTTCCGCTTCCTTTCTCCCCCCTCCCCCTTCCCCCCCTTTTCCAAAAAAAAGAAAGAAGAAGATAATTCTTCTCCCTAAGCAATATCCAGACTGATTCCGCTCTAATCGTGTGTGTGTATTTCCCAGAAACGATAAGCCAAAAAAAAAATAAAATAAAAGGGGTTTTTTGCCTGACGCGAATATTGCGGCGTGCGCTTTGGCGCTTGGGTTTGTCTGAAAAGGGGGAGATAGAAAAGAGAAGGGGAAAAAAAGGGAAAAAAGATAAAAAAAAAAAGGAAGAAGGCAAAAGGTCCATACAGTCCACTGCAAGTACATAATATTTGCTTGAGGGATATAAAGCCGCAAAGAACCTTCAATGTTAAGGGGAAAATACATATCCGGCCGTGACTGTCATGGCGCAAAGTGCAGCAACAAATTCTTTTTTAGATAGAAAAATGAAAAAAAGGGGGGAGGGGGGCAAATACTGAGATGATAGATCAAAGGGAAGAAGAAATGGAGTGTGGTAGTGAAGCACATGGCGAATGGAGAGTATCTTGGATAATGGCAATTGTATATATTTTTCAATGGGAACAAAATCAGTCATCATTGTCATAATCTTCCTTGTTGCTAAGCGCTTTCGGGCCGTCTTTGCGAATGGGAATCTTGATGCCCTGCGTGGCAAAACATTTGCTGAGGTTGGTACTCTCAATGACACCGGGGAATTTCTTGGCGCTGAAGACTTGGAAGACATCGGAAAAGGTACTGGCTAGAACCGGAGCCCGGGCGGTATTCAGCGAACCGTTCTCGCCAACATCGACAAAGTTCATCTTTAGTCTACTAGCCGTAAGCTAAGAATGTTTCAACAAATGTGAGATGGGAGAGTCAAGTGCATACCGAAATTGGCCTTCTGTGCGGACAGAGAGATCCTGCAGGATGAACCAAATGCCGATTTTATCGCCCGTGTCGGCAAGCCGCTGAGCACTGGCACTCAGGCTTCCAATGAGGTTCCGCGTAAACATGCCAGATGGCGCAGGTGGCTGAACCTGCTGCGGCGATGTCATTTGAGGAGGATAGTATCCTGCAGGCGTCATTGGGTTCATCGGCGCCCCGGCTGCTGATGATGCGTAATATCCGGCTTGCGGTCCCGGGGGCGCCTGCGGCTGGTAAGGATTGTACGGGTTCGTCATGGGCGGACCCATGCTCGTCTGGTATGGCGGTTGCGTCGAGGCATAAGCGTACGCTGGGGGCGTTTGGGGTGGAGGCGGATAAGAGGAAGACGTTGCGGCGGATATGGAAGGAGAAGTCGCTGAATGCCGGACCAGATTGACTTCCCGTGTGCCTTCTGCTGACCAAAGATCGACGGTGAGAACGAAGAATGAGATGTCAATCTCACTGTAGATGTGCGTTAGCCATGAACCTCATATCCAATAGCCAAGCATTAAGGGAGGCCTGTTCCCTGGCATATTAACCATAGCGCTGGAGGGGGAACTTACTTGATGTCCAATTCCTTCAGAGTGACTGCGTCCCGCACAATTAAGCGGACGCACGGCGGCGGGGTGATGGGCCGACGGTCCTGCCGGATCATTGTCAGCTCCCTAACTCCTGCATAAAGAATGAGCATGTGGATTTATGCACCTTGTCGCCAAAACCACACATTCGGGCGCGAACAGGCTGCTGCACCACGTCGAGACTGAATTTCATATGTACAGTTAGTGGCATAACATAGCAGAGACAAACAGAACGAGACTCACCTATAGAGGCGCCCATTCTCGACAGTCGACGTGGACTGCGGCCCTAGTGGGGCCTGAGGGGGTGGTAGTGCGCCAGTGGCGCTCGAGGACATACTATGGGACTGCCGAGCTTGGAGAGGATCGTTTCCAGACAATGTCGACGGCGGAGGAAGGGCTTGTGCTCGATGATCGACATACATAACGCAAGCAAGTGTGGTGTAGAGGAGGGATTTCAGACGCTTAGGACAATGTGTTGTTTCGTGTTGTCGAGGTTTTTTTTTGAAGGATTCTCAACGTCTTCAGAGAAAATTCGCCAGGAATTTTGCTACGAAGACGCGCCGGTTGTTAAGTCTAGAGCTCCAGTTGTGAGAAAAGCTGAAGGATATTTTTCGCAAAAAAGGAACGATGGCGGTCTTTTCGTCGTTGGTGGTTTGAAGCTGTGCGCAGCACCGAGCGTCTTAACTGACAAATGCAGCCTTGTCCTTCAAATATTCGAACAAGAGTTCAAGACGAAAGGCTGATTCTTATTTCGTCGTAGCCAAATAATGAACGAAGCTGTTGCACCACTAGAAAAAGGTCGCTATCAAGAGGTTTGAATCTGTAGCTCTTATTGAACGTCGTAGAAGCTTCGTGCGCCTGTGAGGGAGAGAGTGTGTGCAAGTTTATGCTGAACAGTCCAGAGCGATCGGCAGGCGGGAAGACGTGGTCGTAACCGTGGGCGTGGGACGCCAGAAGTCGAGGTTGCACGAGCCGAAAGAGCGCAGAGAGAATAGTGAAGATAGAGAGGTAGAGAGAGAGGCAACGGCAACGAGGCTGTAATGGAGGCCAACCAAGTCTGCTATTTGCCCGATCAGTCAGTACATTAAGGATCCTAGATTAGAAATTGTGAGACGACTTTGACGACGGAACCAAGCGTCTTCACCATATATGGAGTTGGTGACGATGCAGCACGGCGTTAAAAATTGAACGGACTGGTGAGTTGTAGGTGATGACGTTTGGGTGATGCCCAAAGTCACTGAATACAATCAAAAAGAGAGACGATGGGGGAAATATGCTGGTCTATGATGCTGAGAAGAGGTTGACTTACCTATCTGATTTGCTCCAAGGTGGAAGAAATATTTGTGTCGAATACAGTGGCCTCAATGCAGGTGCATCCTTTGAAACGCCTTTTTGGAAGCTGCGTGGGCGACGGTTGGGAGAAGTAGGATGTCGGTGCGGGCAGAAAAGCGGCGGCGGTAGCGACGAGACAGCGGGTGTGGATACGGCACGGAAGTCCAGAAAGTTAATTACTTGGGTACACGGGTGTTTCAGCAGGACGTTTAGCGGGTAGGGCAGCTTTAAAACGATGGCTGCAGAGTCGGGGGTTGTTTTTTGGGGTCTCAGTCTCCTCGGGCAGCGGGAAGGCCAAGGGAAAAAGGGAACAAATGTATCGTTAAACGGCTGGCACTCGGACCATGGACGCCTCAAACTTACCCATAGTCGACTCTAGTTATACCGTAGTTAAGGCCCGGGCCAGCGCAGCATTAATCTGGTGGGCCCTGCACCCGCCCCTCACGGACCAGGGAGCAAAAATGTTTCGGAGAATTACCACGACACGCTACTATACGTACTATACCTTCAATAACGACCAAGCTGTAGTTATTACGTACTTTTGCAATCAAGCACATTTACAATTCAATCCTCGATCCTCCACTTTGAGGACTATACAGTATTATCACCAATGCTCCATAACTACCCACTATCTCTGTCTATGGCAGTTACCCTGTCCATTCAATCCATTAGAGAGAGTATGAAGACATCTCAATCGGTCATGTTTGGAGCTGTAGCGTATCATACGACACAAAAAGAAGGAATGCATAGAATATATGACTGCATGAGAAATGCACAAATTGAATTGGGCCGTTGCCATTGATTTGGGTCACTGAAGTAGTGTAGCCCAACTTACGCACTCACGACTGAGGGGACTTTGGGCTACCGAGACCAGGAGGCCTAAAGATCTGTTGGATCTCCTCGTCGAACAAGACAGACGAATGCGGTCAAAACGATTTCCATGTTGGTCCAAGTAGTTGGTTTATCGCACAATGTTTTGTTCTTCTGGCTCTTCCTAGTGTCTGTTCTTTGCTCGCGATGGGTTTAGCAGATGGTCATAGTGGGGACTAAGCGGAGAACTAGAGAGCACGAGGGGTTATTGATTCTACTATACGGGGGGATACGGGGTATAATCGAAAGACCTTTTGCGTCTGAATAGAAAGCAATGAAAGTCAATTTCAAACCACGATAAATATCCTCTTACGAAACATCGGACATGCGATCAAGTCACAAATACTTCCTGATGGGTTGAAGAGCTTGCCAAAGGACCAAGATGAAGCAGACATTTGCCCGGCAACCCATAACTACGGAGGCAAACAGACTAACGCAATGTGGTCACCACCAAACCGCATCTCTGGGCTTTTGGGAGGGTTTTGGGTCTGCAGCTACCCCTCCCGCCCGCCCTAAAACCTCCCCCATGCTCCCTCCCCCCCCCGTCCCTCACGCCACAAGCTAGCCACGGCGGCCCTTTAATTATCCACATGCAGTAGCACGAATCGCCGCTTCTATATGCTGACATGCAGCTGTCAAGCATAATGAGCATCCATCTTCTCATTGATTCTATACAATCAACACTGCTCTTCTAATTGAAGTAGAACAGTGCAATCTTTGCGGTGTGGTATGCAATGACACCATTAATTCAATGTGGAATCAGAGGCACATTTTCACTTTTTCGTAATAAGGAACTAGCAAATTACAAGAGATATAAATTACAAGATCTAATCGCAGCCTCAATGGCCACTAAAAATTATGGAAGAATTTCTTCTAATATCCGTAAAAGAAAATACAGTGTCAACCAGCGATATGCGCTATGACAGCAAGTCAGATAACATAGCTGTTATGAGTCTTGGGAAGAGAAAAGTATTGTTTAGAAAAAAAGATGACAGGAAAAGTGAACAATCCTTGTGTACACCGGGGTATCGAATATCAGGGGCAAAAAGGGTCAACGGCTTTCCAGCTCTAGGCCTTGTTCTTAAGAAACTTTCCAAACAGGAAATCCTTTCCTTTGTCGGCCCATCCCCGAAACTCGTGCTTATTCTTCTTCTTGTCCTCGTCGCCGGGAGCTTGCGTGCCGTTGGTGGCGGGTGTTTGAGCGGCGACAGCTTTGGCTTGCTGTTCCTCCCTCTTGGCTTCCACTTTGGCCTCCTCCTTTGCCGCTGCTTTAATTTCGTCGCTTTCGCGGACGACATTAGCCGCACCACCTGTAGCAGTCATGGTTGTTAGCATTGGGTCTCAAGAACGCAAGGCTGTGCAGGCGTAAACAGGCAATCAAGTGAAGAAAATCACACGTCGCATCAGCAGGCTTCAGGGTTCATAGGGCAGAACTCACCACGACCAACATGCATCTCCCCTCGGCTTTGCGGGCGCGGAGGTTCCTCGACGTCCTGAGACTCTCTGGCTACTTGTGGATTCTCATTTTTTGCCATATTGCCCGTGCCCCCTCTGCCAGTGGTGTACATATCCGATTTGATGGTAGGGGTGACCAGGTCCTCGGCGCTAATCCGATCGCCTGTGTCAGTTCCCATATTTCCTATTGAAAGGTGTCAGAGCCGTTCATGCCTAAACATCACCAAGAGTCCAAAAGAGCAGAACGAGCTCACCTGCACCGCCTCGACCGTGAGACATGGGACGGGACTCCAACGAAGGGCGTGGGGACGGTTTTGGGGAAGCCATTATTTTCGTCTTTGATAAACGAAGAGCTTTGAGAAATGTCGTGCTTTGAATGTTTTGTGGATAAGAAATAACACTCGCGCGAAGGGAATTTCCACGTTGCTTGCAGAAAGTGTGGTCTCGGGAACGTGGGGCTTTAAAAAGGGTGATTGGATTAACTGGCCGAAGGGGCTGGCTGAAGCACTGTAGTGAATGACTGCCAAGCAAAAAGTTGAATGTAGGTGGTGCGATAAGGGGAAATCGTCTGTCGGACTAATTTGAGATGGACCGGCGTATAATTTCGCTGGCCTGTGAAAGGTCCAGCCTGGAGGAGTCAAAGAAAAAAGATGACGGCCAGAACTTAGAGAGCCACGCCAAATGTCGTCACTTGGACAGTGCGCAATGAAATTTCTAATGTGCTAGACCCTCTATTTCTACGGATGCTCGGAAGATGCAAGGAAAATTTTTGAAAATTCTACAAGAAGCCATCGCCCGAGCTATGGGCAGACCACGCTCCAGGTAGCTCTCAGCGGAAAATTCTGTAAAATTTGGATGCGACGGACTTCGGCGGGTGGGGGGAAGCGTCAGCCACCCGCAAAAATGCCAAGAGGTCGACTCTCCGCTGCGATTCGACGTAAAGGGAAACTCCTCCCGGACTTTTGACAAATGTTGCGACCAAGCTATTCATGTGACGGCTCCTCAAATAGTTATGTTATCCCATTTGGGACGTAGCAAGACTCTACCTCATGTTCCTTTATTTGTTGCTACTTTCACTTTTGGCACGATCAGATGTTTTCCTTGTGACTGCAGCTGTGGTCTGCTATGTGAGGTAGCGTATAAGTGCGCTGCGGGCGATCCTGCACAGAACAGGGGACGTCATGCGCAGGGATGAAAGTGGGGCCGCTGTCGCAAACACAATTTAAATGATAACTTATTAAAATCGTCACTTATTGAATAAACTAGGTACCTAGGTAAATATTCGTAAAACACCATCTGAACTACATATTGGATAAATCTCTGCTTTTTGCGTCGCTGTTCATCTGTGAGACGCAACGGCATGCCGAACAGTACGTGCTACAAAAGCAAAATTGCAACACGAATGTCGACCAGCCCGGTTGAACTCCGCTATTTACACACATCGGAAAAGTGACATCCCGATGGCGCAAGCACGCCAAAAGATGTGATGATAAAAGAATTGTAGACCGAGAAACAAAAATGAAATGACATGCTCAGGAGGAGATGCTCTAAGAAACAATTTCCTCCGTCTCATCAATAATCTCCTCAACAATCTCTTCAACAAAGGCCCCTTCACCAGCATCGGCATCGGCATCAGCGGCATCCTCCTTGGGCGTTTCGGGCAAGCCTTCTTCTTTTCGGTCAGCACGGAGCTCTTCCTCCACGCTGGCCCTCCAGGCCAGCCACTCGTCCAAGATTCTCCGGCGGTGCTCGACAATGGCAAAGTTAGCGCTGTCGAGTTCGTACTGGTCTTCTTCCTCGAAAATCTTGCTGTATTCACGGAGGTTCTTGCGAATCTGTTTCTGCTCCTCCTTGGTCAGGAGAGTCGGGGGGCGTGGGCGCCAGACGATTTGCTTGAGACGCTCAACGTGCTCTTCACGTAGTTGAGTGCCCTTAAAGTCGTAAATGTGGTAGCCATTCTCGACCTGAAACATCCCATTAGTTTCGCTTGAATTTTCCTTTCCAATTTCATATTGTACTTACAGCATGCTTCCAGATGCTTGCGCTGGTGACCACATATCGGCCAGTGGGGTCCCATTCGACATCAGTCACACCATAGTGATCAGCGGTAGCCATGAGTTGAAGATTTGCCGTCAGATCCTTCTCACTCTCAGGCTTCTCGCCCTCGTAGTCAAGATCCCAAAAGTCGAGCTCGAAGCTCTGTTGTGAATGGACCGTGGCGACTACAACGAAGCGCCCCTTAGGAGACCAGTAGATGGCGTTGCTGTTCTTCTTTTCGATGGTTCGAATGTGCTTGAAGTTACCGATTGCTTGACCCTTGACCTTCTCAGGGCAGAAGAATGAAACTGAAGTCTTGGGCGGGACGGCGGTGTTGGCCAACACTTCTGCGGTAGTAATGAGAACGAAACGATCGCCCTTCGGCTCCCAAGCAAAGTTGATGACAGTGTCTTTGATGGAGTCAACAACCTCAACTGGCACACCCTTTTCCTTAACCCGGAAGATCTCCAAGTTGGTTGCAAGAGACTTCTTTGACTTTGAGTGACGGTCGACCTTGACGCAGACGTACTTGGATTGGGATTGCCAATGAAGTTTCGCGTCTGAGACATTGAACAGGTTTCGTGTCCTAACAATCTCCTTGGACGGGATTGACATCAGTCCAACCTTTGCCGGGTTGCTGCCGATTTCAGGGGTCCAGTAGCAGAAAAGCTGCTCATAATTCTTGATACCGTCACGCTGCGGCGTGGCTGGCGCCCACTCAAAGTCCATTACACCGTCAATCTTGATCGAAGTCTTGTCGAGAAGGTTCATGCGGGGCAATTCATAGATCGAGATCGACTGTCCCTGAGTCATTCTCGCAACGTACTTGTCATCAGCAGACCACTTGAAGGCAGGCCATTGAATCTTCTTCTTGACGGGATTTCCGGCTTCATCGACAGCTGGGCCGGGAAGGTCGATAGTCTGGAATGATCGAAGAGCCTTGCCAGTTGCGACATCCCAGATGATGTAGTTCTTTCCGTCTTCTTCCATGGACAGTACGGGGTGTCCCTCATCCACGTGGATAGGTCTATGGGACCAAGTGACCAGATAGTTCTCATTGGGAGAGAAATCGACCAAGTTAACAAAGGGATGAGCGAATCGCTTTTGGCGAGTCCAGTTTGGACCGGCCCAGAGCTGGACACCCTGGGCATGAACGGAGATCAAGTAGGTGCCCTGAGGAGACCATTGGACAAAAGACTCGGTCCAGTGCTGGCGATCGACGATGTTTTCGGGAGCTTCCTTCTTCCTGTTCAAGTAGACACCAACGTTGTCACCACGGTAAATGGCGAATTGATCCCGAGCGTGCGGGTCTCCGAGCCACCAACGAAGGTGCTCTTTCTCAACAAAAGGCTCAATAACAGGAGGTTTGTATTCCTCATCAACTCGTCCCTCCCTTCCGTAGCGATCGATGTCGGTGAGCTTGTTGACAAGCATGGTGTGCTTCTTGTCCAGGGGTACACCGTGGAGAGCTCGTGCAGCCGCGATCGCTTGTTCAGGTGTTTCATACTCGACGAAGGCAAAACTGAAATCTGTGAGCCAAGCCTGCTAGAGAGGAAAAAATATATATAGTGATATTTACTTACCCTTCGGACTTCTTCTGGTCGTTAAGCGGCATGAAGATTGCATCCTCGCGAGTTTTGCCAACAGTGTTCAGCTTCCGGAGCAAGAATTTGATCAATTTTGACTTGCTCTCCTCCGGGACAACCGGAAGTCCATCGATAACGATAAAGGCATCAAGGCCTTCCTCCAACCGTACTTCATATTGTTCTCTTAGGTCTGCGAAAGAACATTATTGTTAGACAATCATTCCTATCAATCTATCACATTGCTTTGTGCGCACCGGAGAAATCGATATCCTCATCCTCATCATAGTGTTCCTCCTCAGGAGGGAGATCCTGGAAACTAGGCGCCATCTTGAGGCTTGGCTGCAGAACTCGCCGGTCGATGAACTGCTGGAGTAGACGCTGATCGAGAAGGCTCTAACTGAATTCTAGGTGGAAGTTCGCGTTCATGTCGATTTTCGCAGTCCCGCTGTTTTCGCTAAAGTGCGTCACGTGAGCAGCAACAAAGCTCCATTTCGGCAAGGGACCTTAAGTACCTTTGTTTTCTAGAATACAAAAGAAGTGTGTCTATATTGAACATTTTTGAAAAGGATTTCTATATCAAAAGCCTAGACGTTTTAATTGTAGATAACTACATTTAAGATATATTAGGCTGATAGATAATTGATGAAAATTACATCGAATTACGTATTACAAAAAGTTGTAGACCCGGCGAGGGAGTGATCCTCAAGGCACACTGCACTTCAAGATTGCAATGTGTACCGTAATTAGCGCGGGTCGCAGTCGCGTCTACCAAATTGACCTCCGAAAGATTAGTTATAGAACGATAGTCCTTTGCAGTACTGTCAGAGAGATTCAAACGGTCATCTGAAAAAAAAAATCCGTCAAGATGGTACAGCCCACGGTGATACAAGACTCGTATTTGAAGCTGACATAGCTAGGCAAACCCAACTCAAATTTTTGCCGACGACGTGACAGAAGAGAAAGGAGAAAATGCCCGTCTTTCAGCTTTCGTGGGCGCTATTGCCGTTGGCGATCTAGTGAAGAGCACTCTTGGGCCCAAGGGGATGGATAAGATTTTACAATCAGCGTTAGTTTCGGACAAATTTTCTGTGGGAGATAAGGAGCTGACAAGCGTTATAGATCGACTGGTGAAATTATGGTCACAAATGACGGTGCTACTATCCTGAAATCCATTGCCCTCGACAACGCCGCTGCAAAGGTTCTTGTGAATATCTCCAAAGTGCAAGACGATGAGGTCGGAGATGGAACGACATCGGTCACAGTTCTTGCTGCGGAGCTCTTACGGGAAGCGGAGAAGCTTGTGGACCAGAAGATACACCCGCAGACAATCATTGAAGGTTACCGCATTGCCAGCAATGCGGCTCTGCAGGCACTGGAAAAGTCTGCGATTGACCACAGCAAGAACAAGGAGGCTTTCCGGAAGGATCTTATCTCGATAGCACGAACGACATTGAGCTCGAAGGTGTTGAGTCAGGACCGTGACCATTTTGCGGAGCTTGCTGTGGATGCGGTGCTTCGGATGCGGGGCTCAACCGATCTTAGCCACATTCAGGTTATCAAGAAGGCTGGAGGAAAACTAGACGACTCTTATCTTGATGAGGGTTTTATACTGGACAAGCGGATTGGTGTGAACCAGCCAAAGAGGTTGGAGAATGCCAAAATTCTAGTTGCAAACACGGGTAAGTCTCCTCTCAAGGAAAACAGAATTAGCATATTGACATTTGAAAGCCATGGATACCGATAAGGTCAAGATTTTTGGTGCCAGACTCAAGGTTGAATCGACAGGAAAGCTCGCAGAACTGGAACGAGCGGAGCGTGAAAAGATGAAAGCAAAGGTGGAGAGAATCAAGGCTCATGGTATTAACTGCTTCGTCAACCGACAACTTATTTACAACTGGCCTGAGCAGCTCTTCTCTGATGCGGGCATTGTTTCTATCGAACATGCCGATTTTGATGGCATTGAGAGACTTGCTCTGGTTACGGGTGGTGAGATAACATCCACCTTCGATCACCCCGAGAGCGTGAAGCTCGGGCACTGCGATTTGATCGAGGAGGTCATCATTGGCGAAGATACTCTGATTAAATTTTCTGGCGTTGCTGCGGGACAAGCTTGCACCATTGTTCTTCGTGGTGCTACCGAGCAGCTTCTCGACGAAGCTGAGCGATCTCTACATGACGCGCTGGCGGTGTTGTCGCAGACCGTCAAGGAGCCCAAGACAACCCTTGGCGGTGGCTGTGCTGAAATGGTCATGGCCAAAGCTGTCGACCAAGCAGCACAGAATGTTGCCGGCAAGAAGGCAATCGCGGTTGACTCCTTTGCTAAAGCACTCCGACAGCTGCCGACCATTTTGGCAGACAACGCAGGACTTGACTCAAGCGACCTCGTGACACGACTTCGCTCCGCCGTTTATTCTGGCATGACTAGTTCCGGGCTCGACTTGCTCACGCCGGGCGGTGGCATTGCTGACATGAGGGAGCTTGGCGTTATTGAGAGCTACAAGCTGAAGCGCGCAGTGGTTTCGTCAGCATCCGAAGCTGCGGAGGTACGTTATCCGGACCTAATTCTTTGTTCAATTACTGACAACTTGCTAGGTTTTATTACGTGTGGACAACATTATCCGAAGTGCGCCGAGAAGACGCGAGCGCATGTGAATGCCGAAATAGAACCCAGCATAGATCTTATTGCGATTGCAAAATCCATTTGTCTCGTAACTACGCATTCTTGGCAGGATCATAAAATTTCATCTTCACCTCTGTATTAAAGATTTGACAATTAGCAAGTATTTAGCCTGATTGCAAACTGCTTCCGTGGCATGGGACTCTGAATCGACCTTGTGAATGGCGTGACTGGTGTACTCGCTGGTGGCGCAGAATCAGCCTCATGTCTGCCATATGGCGGTCTGGTATCGGGCGTCTCAAGGGCTTTTTGTGGGCTGCAAGGGACGAGAATGCATCAGGAGCGCCGTGCATGCCATATCACCATTGAACAAGAAGTGACGACGCCTGTTCAGAAGAATTGGGAACCTCTCCCGCCCAATTGTCGATTACACATTGTCCGTACGTGACATTGACTGATTTTGTCATCAAAACGTAGTCACGACCTCTTACTGATTGCCAATATGTACGGATGCTTTGAAAGCTATTTTTGTACCTGGCAGTGATAATTACGGTATCTTAATTACCAGTAATTACCTTAGTCATTTGACCCCCAAAAATCTTTAAGACTAAATTTTTTTCCCACTGTCTAGTTTGATTTCACCGTACAAAACCGGAATGATCAACCTCTGGACAAAATTTCAATCCAACCGCGGATGCCTCAATGAAACATCATCTTAATGCCACATATTCTACCCCAGGTCTTCGGGCTATAAGTGGTCGAACTGTCTGTCACCGACCCGGGTGAGGGAAATTTAGCGAATGTGGGAGAAGTTCCCGCCAAGGGTCCGCGTCGCTCATCCTTGAAAGGGTTTAGTGCAGCGCCCAAGTACTGCCCGCAACGCACTAACGGGCACACCCGTCGTCACTTTCGCCTGCCCACAACTTCCTCGCTTCTCTCCCCATCAACTCCTTCGAACATCCCGCTCTCATGACTCTCCCTTTTTTCACCTGGCTCTTTTCTATACCTGACTCCGACTGAATTACTACACATTTTCTTCTACAATCTATTTCGATATTCTCCGCCGAATGCGAACAACTTCTCCCACTCTCTGCCTGTCCAAGGCCAAGGAATCGAAGTTGTAGACTTTCGCTATGCTGCGTCGGTCGGCCGACGCAGCGAAAGTTCTAAGCCTGGCTTTCATTGCCTTTTATCTGCTGCTTCCCGTTTTCGCAGCTGCTCAGCAGAAGCAGTACCTACAAGATGGTTATCCGCACAATGACGAGATCCTTCACTCTGACTCCCCCAAGAAAGGAGGCTTACCCGGGGCCCGAGATCCTTTCGAGTCATCCAAACTCCCGACGGATCCTCGTTTAGAACAGGTACATCAATATTTAAAGGATACGGCAGTGGTCTCCAACAGTGAGAGCGCCATCGCAACCTTGGCTCCGGCGTCGTTAGGCGATGTCGTTAGAGCACCTCCTGCGCGTCAATCTGGCAAATCTGCAACGCTCTCCCGCCCTCCCGCGTTGCTGAATGCCCGTTCGCTGCAGGATTGGGAGGTCGAGGACTTCGTCCTCTTGGCGACCGTGGATGGAACGATACACGCACGCGATAGAAGGACCGGAGCCCCGCGATGGGCCTTAGAGGTTGATCGATCAATGGTAGAAACGGCATATCATCGGCGAAATAAGACCGACAAAATCGAGCCGCGACCAGAAGACAATTTGTTGTGGATTGTCGAGCCGAGTCAGGATGGAAGTATTTATATATACACGCCAGGGCCGAACCCGAGCCTTCAGAAATTGGAGTTGACGGTGAAAAAACTCGTTGAAGAACTTTCGCCTTATGCTGGTGATGACCCCCGGGTGGTCTACACTGCCGAAAAGAGGACTACGTTATATACGGTGGATGCGGCAAATGGACGAGTGCTGAAGACTTTCAGTTCTGCTGGTTCGTCAGTCAATGACGATGCGAGCTGCCCTCGAGTGACCGGACTCGAATATCTCGATGACGAAGAATGTGGCTCTGGTGGCTTGTTGACACTGGGTAGAATAGAATATACCGTGGCAATTCAGAGCCGAGACACTGGTGATCCGATTTGTACGATTCGATATTCCGAGTGGGGTCCCAACAACCGCGACAGTGACCTTCAGAGCCAGTACATTAGCACCATGGATCAAAAATATATTTACAGCAGACATGACGGGAGCATCTTTGGCTTTGATCACACGCAAATGGACGAAAGGCGCAAGCTTTACACGCAAAAGTTTTCATCGCCAGTTGCCAGAGTCTTTGATGTTGCGAGACCACTTGAAAGCGATTCGCACGACACCCCTCTCATCATCCTCCCTCAGCCGACAGGCCCCACGGATGGCGAAGGCTTATCGAATTCCTTTTCTGACCGCACCAACCGTATTTTTGTCAATCACACCGAACAGGGGGCGTGGTATGCCATGTCTGAAGATAGTTATCCTCTGGTCACTGGGGGTGCTCCTCTCGCTCAATGTTATAACAGCGATTGGCTTGACACCATTGGTAGCTTGGATTTTTCTCATCTATCTAAGGCGCAAGATGCTCTCGTTGGAGTCCACGCAATTGCGCCCTTTCAAGACCGGAAGCGGAGTTTTCCCACTCTACCTGGGCCCGAGAAGGAGCTGGCCAATGATACACCGCTTAATCCCATTTTACAACCTCCGCATTCCTCAGCTATCCCTACTATTGGCATGGCAGAGCCACCACCTTCGAATCTTCATTGGACCCTTCTCTCGGTCGTTCTTTCCATTTTGGGAACTTGGATATACCTTCATAGGCGAGAGTTGACAACAACCCTGCGGAAAAAGCTCCAGCTGAAAGGAAAATCGAATACCGCAGCCGATACATCTTTGTCCGCTGAACCAGCCAAGGATTTGGAAACTCTGCGGCCGCTCTCGGGACCTAACATGGAACTGCAAGGGGAGACCGCTGAAGGGCTGCAAGGCGGCGTTCCACTAGTGGAACAAACCTCGGCGGCGACTGCCGAAGCTAACCCTGTACCTCAATCGGCCGCAAAGGATAAGGCTATTCAGTCCGGAGATGTTCCGGATAATAGCAACGCAGAGGAGCCTGCTCCATCGCCCCCCAAGAAAAAGAAAGCGCACCGAGGCCAACGAGGTGGCCGGCAACATCGGAAGAAGAATGCAAATAAAAAGGAAAATGTTGACGAAGTTGAGCGTATATTAGACGAGGTACAGGATGTACAGGGCGGACCTTCTATCGAGCCAGATGTGATCACGGTCAATGTTGCAAAATCCGACTCGGTTACAGATGTTATTGAGCCGTTTCAAATCAACAATCTCGTGGTTACCGATGAGGTCCTCGGCTATGGTAGCTCAGGTACTATGGTCTTTAAGGGTTCATTTGAAGGCCGAGAAGTCGCCGTGAAACGTATGCTGCGGCAATTTTTCAACGTGGCTTCCCACGAGGTTGGCCTTTTGCAGGAGAGTGATGACCATGCAAATGTAATCCGGTATTTCTGTCGACAAGAGAGCTCTCTCTTCCACTACATTGCCCTCGAGCTCTGTCATGCCTCAGTGCAGGATGTGGTTGAGAGGCCTGTCGAATTTCCGAAGCTTGCTAAAGCCTGGAGTTTGGATATGCCACACATCATGCTCCAGATTGCCGCTGGAGTCCGCCATCTACATGCTCTACGGATCGTGCATCGAGACCTGAAGCCACAGAACATCCTTGTTGCCAATCCAAAGCTCTCACCAGCTAATCCTGATGCCGTTGTTCCTCCCCGCATTCTGATATCTGACTTTGGTCTTTGCAAGAAGCTGGAGAACGAACTAAGTTATCTCGGCACCTCCATGACGCATGCCGCTGGAACCCCTGGCTGGCGAGCCCCAGAGCTCCTCTTACTGGATAAAGATAAGGCAGGCTCAGCTGACTTTTACACCACAGCAAGCGGATTGAGTTCAGAGGCGTCCAATTCGGCCGCTGGTGGAACGAAGTCAACTCGGCGGGCGACAAGGGCAATCGACATATTTTCACTCGGCTGCGTTTATTTCTATGTTCTCACTGGAGGTCTTCATCCTTTCGGGGATAGTTACATGAGAGAGGCGAATGCGCTCAAGGGGAATTTTGACCTCGAGCCTTTGGACAGCCTTGGCGACTACGCTTCCGAAGCCAAAGATCTGATAGGGCGGATGATCGCGCTTGAGCCAAGGCAAAGGTGAGGTTTCGAATTAACAATTTGTAACGGATCAGATGCTAATTCTATTCTCTAGGCCCGACGCTACTTCAGTCATGATCCACCCATTCTTTTGGCCGCCAGAGAAGAGACTCAATTTTCTTTGTGATGTTTCCGATCATTTTGAGTTCGAGTGCCGCGACCCTCCGTCTCCACACTTACAGATACTTGAATCTGTAGCAGCTGAAGTCATCAACGGTGACTTCTTGAGAAAATTGCACAAGGACTTTGTCGACACCCTAGGAAAACAAAGAAAGTACACTGGCACGAAAATGCTCGACCTTCTTCGCGCTCTCCGCAATAAAAAGAATCACTATCAGGATATGCCGGACGATGTCAAGGCGCGCGTTGGCCCACTACCCGCTGGTTACCTGCATTACTGGACCGTCAGATTCCCGGACCTTCTCTTGCAATGTCATAACGCCATTGTCTCATGCGAACTCCAGGGGCGCGATCGGTTCAAGCCGTATTTCACGCCTCCTCCTTAAGTTACAGAGACATGTCGCATTGCTTCTGCTTTTCAGACTCTATTTTCATTCCGCATCAGCAGTGTCCATGATTCCACGCCTCCTAAAACTCCAGCTTTTTTTTTTCCTGTTCTTTCTTGGCTGTTTTGGTTTCCAGACGGCCTTGGATTATTATTACTTTTGTGTTCCCGAATTCCAAAACAATAACGACTTACTCATGCATTGCTTGGGCGTTTCTGGGGGAATGCACTTGTTCAGTCTACTGCATGTCATGCCGTATCACATGTCGCTTTAAACTCTGTGGTTTTCTTGACTTTTTGTTTATTTTTGCATCCGCCGCGTAATATTGTCCACTTCAATGTGACGAATGTCGAACATATATCGACATCCATCCACTCACCCATATTTTCACGATATTCATTTAGAAAAAAGGAATCCAATATACTTTGAATTTTCAAATAGTATCTCTGTCCTCTTGACTTATTGACTTGCGTTTCATCGTGTATATTGATGAAATGGCATATGCAAAAAAAAGAACCATGAAAAAGCCTGTAATTTTGCTCCTCCCAGGAGTTTTGGTGACAAATAACTCGATACCTTCCACTCTCCCAAACCTACCTAGCCATACAGATAACAAAAAAAAGCCTGTCTGATATCGTATTGGAGTTGATACGCGTATCCGTCCTCCGGTGTTATACGCAGAATGAGGCGCTACTATTCGTAGGTTTTGATCGCGTACCATGTTTTTTTTTAAATATTCCAGCCCATTGATCAAAAATAATGATGATGATGGTGATGATGATGATGATGATTTCGACTGGAAAAATAGAAACCTGTTCCAGGCTCCAGCAGCCGACCGAGAGAGAGGAAACGGCAATGATGAAAAGATGATGTGATAAGCGTTCCCATGGACTGAGAGTTGTGACGCCAATGGGTAAGAGTAAAAACACCCAAAGTGACGCATGCTCGAATGAATTTTTAGATGGCCATTTTTTTTATTTAAAGCCGTCACTCGTCATTCGTCCATGGCATAGACGTTTTGGTTGATAATCTTATTCATGGTGAACATGTGTACGCGGTCTTGTTTGAAGACGGCGCGCATGGCATCATCGCAGCAGATTTGTCGCTTGTCATTGGGATCTTGGAGGCCATGTTCCTTAATATGGGCCCAGACATTTTTTACAATCTGGGGTCGAGACATCTGAGAAAAGGAAGAAAGTGGTCAACTTTAAGGAGCGGCAAGGCACTGTTGTGCAAGGGGGTCCGACAACTTACGCTTGTCTCGCCGCCGACAAGTTCAGATAAGGCCGGCGATAGGAGTAAGGGTTTCTATGGGTATCGCGTGTGAGTTTCGCGCATGGTCAATGAGGAAAGTGGTAGTAGGAACAGCGCCTTACATGGAATCCGCCTGTTCGGTTGACTTTCTTCTCGTCTTTCCCTTCATCATCAGAGCCTGACCCTGCGTCGCTACCGTCAGAGGCGACTTTGTTTGAAGACTTCTTCTTGGTTGAAGATTTCTTCTTGTTCACGACGGGCTTGCGGCGCGTTGCCCCGGCTCGTGTGGGTCGCGCGCGGCTATTCTCTTCGGCTTGAAGCTTTGCAGCAAAAACTGCGTCTTCGTCAATCAAGTCCTGTTTCTTCTTCTTGGCGGGCGGGGCGCTCTCTTCGGGGTATTCGACAGAATCGTGCTCTCTCTTGTGTTTGGATGGCGGCGGGGAGGACGGTTCGTCGGATGATCTGTGGGCCTCGGTGGTGGCCGTGGCATGCCCGTTGGATTGCGCACCAGAGCCATCTACTGTAGCGTCTGCGGCGAATGCTCGCTCGCTCGCCTTATCGAAACGAGCGAGAATTAACTGTTTGATCTCATTCTAGAGGGATGTTAGTTGTTTGCTTCAGGAGAGAAAAGACAAGGGAAAGATTGCGCAGACGATGCGGAGGAGGCTAAGAATTACCTTTTGCGGAGTGATGTCATGGTCGACAGCAGCTTGAAGACCCTTTCGGATTCGCTTCTCTGAGATGGTGTTCAAGTCGCTTTCAGCAAGAATAGAGTCAATGATCTTTGTGTATGCTGCTTCAACGTCCGGAGGTACTGCCCGTTTGCGCCATGCAATTGTCAGCGGCATCACCCGAGCATGGAAGTAAACAATCCTGGTGTTTTGACTTACAGGCCATAATTGCTGGCGACAGAGCGACTATCGAATGCCCCGTATTTTATAATGGTTGGGCAATCTTCTTAGCCATTCAAAGGCCAGAGGTGTTCCAAAGACTGACGGTACGAGAGCGGCTCAGAGCGTCTATAATAGGATTCGCGCGCCAACAATGCGCATGCATACTATCTGCGGCAGTTCGATCCCTGCCAGCATCGGTTGTGCACACTGTCGCTGGATTAACTGAGATGGGCGTCTTCTCGATCGACAATGACTGATATATATATCTGAAGCGACGATGCGCTGGGTTGCGAACATAAAAGAATGCGTGGTTTGTCGTTACAATGGCAAGTCTGCTGTGGGGGAGTTTGTGAGGTCGAGACCGAGACCACAACCACCGGCGCGTGTCTGCGAGCGACGCAAGTACAACACAGTACGTACTGTGTCTACAACACTTCAGGTACCGGAGTACGACTGTAGTTTAACTTAGCCGATGCGATATGATGAGATGGGAATAGCTGCATCCGCTTAAACCTTCCCATTTTTACATCCACACAATTGCAATTGATATTGCAATATGAGAAGAGAATGGAAGCATCAACAAGGATTTTTTTATTTCTAAAGTAGATTTGTTAGCTTCAATTCCAATGTCATAGATTCTCATTAAAATAACCATCATAATTCGTGAAAAGCTAAGCATTTGGTTCGAAAAGTCTACGAATACAAGATGCTGGATTATTCGGAATCTCTATGTAATTGTTTTTGCAGAATAATTTTTCATTTTGTGCATAAATAATTAATTAAAGATGCTTTCAAGTGAGGGAGAGGGAATAAAAAGAAGCTGAGCTATAACATAATAGAAAGTGATTTATTTTTAGCCGCAGATTATTTATTAGAATGCGGCATCTTCCTCAGATCATTTTCACATTACAGACACACCACGTTCACGCTTGACCTACAAAAAAAGGATTTTTTTTTAACAAGAGACCATGAAACCGATCTTACATTCCGAGCTACGGTTGCGACAGTGTTGTAATGAGGATGCGGACAAGGTTTCAGCACTTCCTGCTTTGCATGGCCGCCGGATCAATGCTGAACGGCTCAGGACGTTGTGGGAGCTGTTACCCACTGGCTTTATGGAAAAGTGCAAGCAGTTCGAGTCGATCAAGTCTTTACAGACTTTGGTAAGTAGAGATATCCGGCAATCATTCCAGTGGTATGTCTCTGCCTAACGATCTTTCAGATGGGCTCACTTGTCAAGAGGCCGTTGACGTGTTTCGAATTGCAGAATTCTGTGGCCCCAAATCGGATACCGGATACTACTATCTTTCCGAATTAGAGCTTCGCGTGCATGCATATCGACTTAATGTTGACGATGACGACGTAACGGGATACATGACGGTAATGGATGAAGAAGAGAATGAAGAAGACCAATCAGATGACGTGAGCCCTACAATGGCCCCGAAAGCGGTGATGACTGCTCTTCCAAATATGAGACTTGAGGGCATTTGGGAATCGTAAGGGACTTGAAGGAAACCACAAAATCCTGTCATGAGCTAACGGGAAGTCCGATCTAGCTTGGTCTTCGGAAGGGCTATATCAACGGACCTACTACATTGCATAACGAATATGAGTAAAGTAATCTGCAATCTTTTGGGAAAAAGCCTCGCTGAGGAATCGGAGTCCGGATATCAAAGTCAGGAGTAGATCCACAAAAGTTTAATTGGAACCATCTTGTCCTTCTCCACGGTCCTCCAGGAACCGGGAAGACAAGCCTATGGCACGTTTCCCTGGAGACCGAAGCAAATTATTGAGGCAATTTGACCTGACACCGCCTACAGCCGTGCTCTTGCGCAGAAGATGGCCATACGACTACGCGATACTTTCAGTAAATGCCAGCTCATCGAGATTAGTTCCTGCTCATTGTTCAGTAGGTTCTTCGGTGAAAGTGGGAGACTCATGGAAACATTGTTTCGACAGATCCAGCTCTTAGCAAGAAAGGAAGAGCAGACCCTCTTCGTTATTTTACTTGACGAAGTCGAAAGCTTGACGCGTTCTCGCAAGGCCGCGCTGGCAACTCAGGAGCCAACGGATCTTTTAAGAGTCAGCAAGATCACCGAACTAATATGCAAGGATTTGACGCTCAATAATTGTGGTAGGCAACGAATGAATTGCTCATCGGCCTAGATCGGCTGCGATACCGTCAAAACGTGATCTTCATTTGCACAAGCAATATGACGGAAGCCCTTGTATGGCGTGCACAGGGACATCCTCAAGCAATGAATAGAGAACGCTGAATGGATCATAGGATTCCGCCTTCATGGACCGTGTTGATATTGAAGAGAACATCTCCCTCCCAGACGTCAATGCTGCATACGAGATCCTTCGGAGCTCCCTTGCCGATTTAGCCAAGTGTGGGATTGTGGCTCCGGAATGCCGAGTAGATGTGGACCATCATGAAAGTAGCGACGAGTCCTATGCAGTCGAATCCCTGCTTCCATCCTTTCAGGAAATGGAATTGAACTCGTGGACCGAACCGGATGAACACGCCAAAGCTCTCCTGGATATAGCTAAGGACTGCCAGGTGTGTCACTACCGCAGGAACCGGAGCTTTCTCATGATGCCATTTTGATAACAGTCTCACTCATAGGGAGCAACCGGTAGATGGCTCCGACGCCTGCCGGCGCTATCCATCGCCCGTTATACACACTCGAGTTCTTGTTCCTTTAGTCAGGCTCTTGCCGCAATGACGAAAGGCGTAGAAGCGTCGAGGGAAGGGCTTAAACAAGAGTGCACTGTTTGAACAGATTTCCCGTACACAAAGCTTTTCTTGTGAGCCTGGTTCGATGCTTGCGTGGACTTTGCTTAGCACATTGAAATCGGATATTGCTCGATGGTGATTCCACTTTCTTTAGCGCTCTGCCACTAAAAGCTTAGCATACTACGTAGTCGCTCTGTATTGTTTAGCATAACCGTTCCAAAAGGCGGTCAATTTGATAGCCGATTTGCACTCGAGGATGCTAAAGGCTACCGTATGATACCGCCCGGGTGTCTGCAGTGTTCCCGCTGACCGCCCAGATTAAATCATAAACAAGAGTTGGCAGTTTTGTCCCATCCCATTGTCACTTTGTGCATGACAACGTCGGTGTGAGTTCTTCAAAGCTGTCACACTGGGCTGCAGTCATGGAGGACTTCGAGATATTTAAGAAAAAGAATGAGACTTGGCATCCGGTCGATCAAACAAGCAATCAAAAAGCTCTGTATACCCAGCTCGTCATTTCTTTTGCGCTCGGATTGGGTGCATTTCTAACTTTTTGTGTAAGCTCTTTGCCAGCTATATTGGCCGCACATCTGGTCAAGCAAGCTTTGTACTAATATGGTCCGCACGATATAGGTCCTTCGTACCAAATGGACAGGATTGTATGCCGCTCGTAAAAAACAACACGAAGCGGCATCGAGCTTGCCCGAGCTCCCTAATACGTTTTTCGGCTGGATACCAACGCTCATCAAAATTAGCGATGAGGAAGTGCTGGCTTCAGCTGGACTTGATGCTTTTGTCGTAAGGAGATTGCATGGTTTTGCATGATACAACTGAGCCGATTGCTGAAAACCAACTAGTTCCTTTCATTTTTCCGAATGGCCAAGAAGTATCTCGCGGTAACGCTCTTCTTTGCGCTCGTAGTAATCCTTCCAGTCAATGTTCATTACGAGAATGACTGGGGATGGACCGATACGAACTCTACAGAACCATCAATTCCGTGGGTGGAGCCGTGGACGGTGTCCCAGGGTTTGACCACTCTAAAGAAATCCAAGAGGAAAGATCACCCGCCCACAACTCATCTTTGGATGTATGTCGCCTTTACATACCTCTTCAGTATATTTGCATTCTATCTTCTCATCGTGGAGACGAAACGAATCATACGAATACGTCAGGACTACCTTGGCAGTCAATCAACCATAACGGATCGAACAATCCGCCTGTCTGGTATTCCGCCCGAGTTCAGATCGGAGGACAAAATCAAAGATTTTATTGAGAAGCTGGAAATTGGAAAGGTAGAGAGTGTTACCCTCTGCCGGAATTGGAAAGAGTTGGATGATCTGATTGCTCAAAGGGACCAAGTCCTGAGGAAGCTTGAGGAAGCCTGGACTGTTTTCTTAGGGAAGCGGCGTGTGGAAAGGAACCTCGAGTCTCTGCCGGTTGCACAACCTTTACCACCTGACCCTTTGCCTCTACAAAGTGGGGAGGATGAAGAAAGTCGACTGCTAAATGATGTTGAGGCAACAGAAGCCCACTCTGCACCCTATGCTCGTAAAAGGCCTGCCACTAGAATCTGGTATGGGCGGTTCAATCTTCAAAGCAAGAAAATCGATGCCATTGACTACTACACGGAAAAACTACGTCAACTGGACGAAAAGATTACGACGGCGCGACAAAAGGAATACCCTCCAATGCCTTTGGCCTTTGTCTCAATGGACTCCGTTGCCGCTTGTGTAAGTGAACCCGTTTAAATCCAATGTCTCAATAGATTATGATGGAGTTACCTTCTAACGCCCCATTCCAGCAAATGGCTATCCAAGCCATCCTGGACCCACTCCCCATGCGGTTTCTGGCGAATCCGGCTCCAGCACCCTCAGATGTTGTGTGGCGTAATACTTATATTTCACGCACAAGCAGAATGATCCGTGCGTGGTCAATTACTGTATTTATTGCATTTTTGACAGTCTTTTGGTCCGCGTTGCTCGTGCCGATAGCAGGATTGCTCAACTTGGAGTCAATCCATAAAGTGTGGCCGCAACTCGCTGAGACCCTCGAGAAACATCAAATTGGAGGAGCTTTGGTCCAAACCGGATTACCCACATTGATTCTTTCTTTGCTCAATATTGCTGTTCCTTACTTGTACAATTGTAAGTACTTTACACTAATTATTTTCTTGTCAGCGGAGAGCTAATTATGCTATGAAGGGCTCTCAAATATGCAGGGCATGACTTCACAGGGCGACGTTGAGCTTTCTGTCATCTCCAAGAACTTTTTCTTCACATTTTTCAATCTATTTGTTGTTTTCACCGTATTTGGAACCGCTTACAATTTCTACGGCTTTGTTGACAGCTTCCGGGATGCCCTTCGAGACACCACACGAGTGGCTTATACTCTTGCTGCATCTTTGCAGGGTCTGGCCTCATTTTACGTGAACCTTATAATTCTTCAAGGATTAGGACTCTTTCCTTTCCGGTTACTTGAATTTGGTGCTGTTGCATTGTATCCATTGGGCTTGATTGGTGCCAAGACTCCTAGAGGTAAGCGTTCATTTGAGATCTTCTTGGATTGATAGGGGAAAAGCTAATAGCGAACAGATTATGCGGAACTTGAGCAACCTCCAGTGTTCAGTTACGGCTTCTTCCTTCCGCAGACGATGCTCATATTCATCATTTGCACCGTATACAGTGTCTTGCCGAGCTCGTGGCTCGTGTTATCATTCGGTCTGATATACTTTTCCATTGGCGCAATTACCTACAAATATCAGCTCCTCTATGCCATGGACCATAGACAGCATTCGACTGGAAGAGCTTGGACAATCATTTGTAACCGCGTCATTCTTGGTCTGATTGTCTTCCAACTTGCAATGGCCGGTGTCCTTGCGCTCAAGACGGCGTTTAAACGATCCGCGCTAATCTTGCCTCTGATAATCGGAACCATCTGGTTCAGTTACTTTTTCTCACGCTCCTTCGAGCCTCTGACTCTATTTATTGCTCTCAGGAGCATCCACCGGCCGGATCATCCTGACACCTATGTCTCAGAGAATAGCTTCACGCAAGCTCTTGGCCATAGGGTTGACCCTTCTGCCGAGAACGGGGCACCCCGTGGCCGGACGGTTGACGAACAACGTGAGACTGGTCTTCGATTCATGAATCCCAATCTCACTTCCGAGTATGTGTGCCAGGTCCATTTGGGGTGTTTGCGTACATCATTGCTAATTTTTATCTTTAGATTGGGAGGTGTCTGGATCACGAAGAGGCATAATACGAGGAGTGGATCCAACTCACCATGACCTCACAACCATTGATACGACGAAAGTGCTCTATGATACTTTATAAGCGCTGACGAGGTCTCGCGTTCTTTCATATTTACATGCTATGAGCCCACGATTATGCACAAATCCCAACCATATACCTATCGCAAGGATTATAAAGCATTTGCACCGCCACAGCGATAAATCCCATAGCTCTCCGCTACTCTCGTCAAATGTGACGGGCATAATGTTTAATTCATGGCCTTTTTAGAAAGAGCGACCTAGCATACTTGTGATTATTTGCCAATTTGCAGGTTTGCCTGACCAGTCGTTCCTTCTTATTGTCGCTTCGTCGCCTTAATACCCTTCTGTTGCCTATTGCTCTTTCCTTTTCTAGTCGTCTCAACATGCCTGACAGATACGCAAATAAAAGTTTCTTTTTGCCTCCGTTCCTGCCCTTTTTCTCACGTTCATAGTTCGCGCCTGTTTAGCGATGTCTCTTTCCCTCCTTCTTCTGCCTCTAACTCGCGCCTATAGTTCGCGTTTGTTTGGTGATATCTCACTTGTAACAATCGGAATTTGAAACAATTCAAACCCCATATCACCTCATTTTTGATTCGCCATTTTGGGATCATCTCTTCTCCGAACTTTTGCAAAACGTTTTCGCCACAATCAAATCCAATTCGTTCCGCACCGGATACATTGTTTTTCGACTGTTCAGAACCGTGAAGTGCAGGTAAATCCTAGCATGGATCGAACGGTCTATAAGATTGAGGACCTCATTCTGATTCTAAATGGGGTCCTCATGTATCTTCAAGTCGCGGATAGATCAGCAATGCGATTAACTTGCCGTACTTGGTCCGCAGTTGTCAACATTATCTGGCCAGTTATTCTCCCGTCTGTCTTTCATTTGCCGCGCGAGATCGTTCAGATGGTTTACGTGTTTTTGTCTCCCCTGGACTTCAACTCTGCCCGTCACACGTGCCATGGTTGGATGCTAGGCAGCTTGGATCGGGGACTGCTCGCACTGATGTTGAAACGCGCTGGATTTTGGTCGAGCATACCTCCGAGTCTCGTGTCTTCGAATAAGCTCTCGAGGCCCGTTCGAACCAGTCAAGAATGGAACCTCAGCAAGGTGTTTTCTTTTGAGTGTTCCCTCTTGCCTGGATGGACTGGCAACGGCATCTCGACTCTCTACAATCGGCCTCACGTCACGAATACCAAAAACTCTGCTTCCCCTTCTCAATTCACAGGATTCTTTGTTGCCTCGACTATCGATTTTACAGAGCTTGCCTCGGGACTTGTGAGAGCAGCTCACGGAGTCGTATCGGGACTTACTTTCACCGTGAGCGCTTGTGGACGATTCGTGGTGGTTGCAGAAGGATGCGTCACTTACATCTATCGTCTGACTGCCCAGGATGCTGGTATTCAGCCATTTACAAGCGTGTCATGCCCTGCAAGGGTCTTGGCCGTCAGTATGGATACTTCATCGGAGAGATTCGCTATTGCTGTCCTCCTTGATGGCAGGATGGGTCTTGTATGTGAAGTGAAACGCCCCAAAATGCGAAAGGCTCCAAAGCCGAGCTCCGTCGGACTACTTTCTCTAGACGGTTCATCGAAAAGATCGAGCAACGACTTTCAATTTGGTTCTAACCCTCACTATTGGACCCCCGAATATATGGACCAAGTCCGGAACGCATTATACAAAAATCAAAAACAACGGATCACACCGAAATCGCGTGAGGTGAAGGCTCTCTTGGAGGGAAGTGGTATTGGTCGTGAGACGGGTCCCCACAGTATATATCGCAACCTTTGCTCAAACGAAGACCCTCCGAGAAGCGTTGCGGTATGTCCATCAAGACGCTGCGTTGCCTTTGGCTGCTCCGCCGGCGTGGAATTGCATTGGGTCGATGCGGTTAATCAACACCACTTGAGTCGTTGGTTCCCGCTAAATACCCCTGGTGATTTCCTTCATTTTGTGCCATGTCGCAAAGGGGAGGAGTCAACAAGGCGCCTAAGGTTGATCTCGTCTATGGCACATCCATACCATGGATTCTCCATCAAAAAGCGCTACTTCCCCTCGCGCGACGAAGACGCGATTCAGAAACTTCTGAAAGAGTTTCGCGCGCACCGAAAGGAAGGTAACGCGCTCCGTGAAGTATTCGAAACAGAGAATACTACCGGACGAGATCATTTTCGTGCAGTTCCCTTGAGTGATGGAAAGCATATTTTATACACAGATCCTGTTTCGAATCGGCTGTGTATTGGTGTTGATACCCCGCTTGTTGGCCCAACGAAGCTACAACGAAGAATCACACTGATCGGAGAAGACGATGTAGTACCAACGACCTACAATTCTTGGTACAAGTCTAACGAGAGCGTCCGAGTCGTGGCGGGATATGGTGACAACGTTTGGTTCTTCAGTATTCCCAGTGACGTTTTTGCTGATTTCAAAAATGGGAGCAAAGATGGCGTTTGGCGTTCTTGGGTCGGCCGGGAACAGCCTGGCCTTGGCCTTAGGTTCAAAGGCAAAAAGATCGGGCGTATTCAAGGGCTCGTCGATGTCGCTATTCGTGGTGGAGGTAAGACTGGCCTCATTATTTGGGGATTCGGCAACACTGGTGTTGCTTCCGTATGGAAGTCAGACAACGGTGGAAAATGGGCCCAGAGCTCGCCCCGCGATAAATGGGTTCAAAAGGATGGCCAGGTAGTTGATGCCAGTCTATTTGACAATGACGATGGCATGCAAAAGCTATCACCGCTTTTTGAAGCGCTGAAGCTTGATGAGGGCAAGTCCAACAGACGCTCCACAAAGTCTAAAGGCAGAACCATCCTATCCCCACATCTCAGCCACCAACCACAGAAGACGAACAACAAGAAGAAGTTCACTTCTAGCACCTATGCCTCTCCTGCAAGTCTCCCGTCGCGGAAGCGGAATCTTTCTGATTCTTCTGATGGTGCTGACGAACGCTATCGTGGTCGGCTTCGTCTTCCCACTGACCTCTTCTCGTCCGAAGAAGTTGCGCATTTGCCGCTCCCTCTCATCAGTGACTTGAGCGACCATGAAGATGAGAACGAGGACCTGGCGTCTTTCTGTGAGAGAATGGACATTGATGGAGGAGATGTTCATAACTTGACTGGAAAGCTGGCGTCGATGGATCTTTACTATGATCCCGTCGACACACTCTCCGACCGATTGGCTCAGGTTACTATTGATCGAGCTGCGAATGCCGGATTCTCCGCATATCGTGGCATGTACAGTTCATTCGATGAGTCCGCAATGGACATCGATTTCTCTGACGAGGATCAAGAAATGTCAGATGATCAAGACATGTCTCTTCCTGACATGGACGACGTTTCAATGGACGATATCCCCGAGCTGACCGCCGACTTGGGAAGTGATTTCGACCGTGATGGCGATGTCACGATGACCAACGGCCCTTGGGGCTCAGCCTCTTCGCCTTTTACTGGCTTCGGCTTCGGATCGAATGGTGCTTCAGGTCTCTATCAAGCTCAAAACCCTGAACACCACCCGACTAGCTGGGTCTCTCCGGATCTTCATCAATCTTTGAATCCTGAGCAACGTCCGACTACCTGGGTCTCTTCAGATCTTTATCAATCCCAGAACACCCAACATCACCCGAATAGCTGGGTCTATAACCCTTCAGGTCCTTATCAATCTTCGAATCCTGAACGTCATCCCACTAGCTGGGTATCCAACGCGCTCTTCGACGGTGGAGTTGAAGCCGATAATAATAGTGATGAAGATTACGAACCGCCCGAGACGGTAGAGCTCTTAGATCTGGCGCCCAATGGGTATGCTAATGGACCAGTCGCTGATGCGGCTGAGTTCCAGAGACTGAATTGTGAGATGTGGGGAATTGAGTAGAGGATGTATGGGGTTTTTGTTTCTTTTTCTTTTTTACGTTATCGTTTCCTTTTCCTGTTCTTTTTCTCTCCGTTTCCTGTTTCCTTTTCCTGCTTCTTCTTCTTTTTTCCGTTTCCTTTTGTTTTCGGCTCTTCTTCTCGCCTCTTGTAAACTTTATTTTGGTATATCTTATCCGCCTCTCCAACTACCACTCCTCTGGTGGTGGTTGACGTTTTTAGTATAGATTAACCTTGGTACTATGCATTGTTTAGGAATATAGGTTTAGGATGCCTCCCCCGGAATGGCGGAGCTGTATTGGTTTCTAGAACGGTCTGTTTATGAAAGACCTAGATCGAATAAAGATAATTATGTAGTGTTCCTTTCAGTGCCGTCTGCTTTTAAGGTGATTCTCGCAGTTCATGCAATGCTTAGCAAATATACGTTTTCTCTGGTGACCCTTAATGGCCATCGATGCGAAGTCCTGCTTTTTTACTGCTTTCCTTACAATCCACCGTTATTGCTTGCTTCGCTGAACCGGGTCCGGCCCTTACACTTTACTTTGGTGAACCCTTTTCATCACACGCCATCTTCATGTCTATGAAGAAAATTTAAAATCCCCAGCTTTGCAGCGCATTTTATACTCTCGGTTTAAGTTATAACACGTCTTGCCACTCTACTGCATTTTCATGCCATTCTCTACTCAGTTGGATATGACAGATTTCTCCAATGCGAATTTACACCCATCTATTCAGTCACGGGGGACTCGGTTGATTGGTTCAAAGGAGAATCGAACGTGATTTAACAAGAAAACAGCGAGATTCGAGAAAGAATCAGGGGATATCTGCAAGGGCTCTGGCTTCGAGGAGACGTCGTAGTGTTGCTGCTGGAAGCCGAGTTGGTAATATGAGATATGGCACCTTGTCTCATATCAAAAACCGCATTATCTAGTCGCTTGCTTAAACAGACAATAGATGGAATTTGTACTTTGAGCGACAAGGTTTGTCTTTGTATTCCCGCTTTTCTAACTTTGTGGCGTGATGATTTGAGGTATTGAGTATTTAAAAACTAATTATACAATAGAAATATTGATGATCTTGATATCTTCCTCTGGTCGCTCCTTGTACACTCGCGTGTTCTCGATCCGATGCACCACGTCCAGACCCTGGACTGCTCGTCCGAAAATGGTGTGTTTGTTGTCTAACCATGGCTGTTGATTTTGAGAATTAGCATTAGCATTCGAATTCGCAGCTCACGTGCTCGCTGGGGAAGTAGCTTGGGGAGAGGTCGAAGGATTCAGGTACACTTACTGTTTTCTCGGTGGTAATGAAAAATTGTGACCCGTTGGTGTTGGGGCCGGCGTTTGCCATGCTGACTGTATACGGCTTGTCGTGCTTTAGTGTTGAGAATTCGTCTTCGAATTCGCGGCCCCAGATGCTTTCGCCACCTGTGCCGTCGCCGAGGGGGTCGCCGGTCTTTTGAAGAAAAAACTTTCGTCAGTAACTTCGACCAAGGAGGACAGAAAGGCGGACGAAAGAATAGAGCAAAGAACATAGAGGAGAATTCAGAAGATAGAAGTAATGTTAATGAAAATGGCAAAGCTCACCTGGATCATAAACTTGCGAATTACTCGGTGGAAGATAACATCATTGTAGTAACCGTTCTTTGCGTGGGTGACAAAGTTCTCGACCGCTTTGGGCGCAGCTTCGGGATATAATCGAATGCGAATATCGCCGTAGGTGGTGTGCAGCACGGCACCTGAGCCCGTCTGCGCAGGCTTGGCTTCAAGCTGTTGTCGAGCATTGAGGTTCCGAGGCTTTTCATTCTGGACGTCTCGCTCGGATTTGCTGATTCTGATGACGCCGAGAGTGTTAGCTAACGGGAAAGATGAGGCCGACGGGGAGAGGGGAAAGAGACGACAAGCAGGAGGGTTCTGAATGTTCAAGGGGCGTAGCTTACTCTTCTTCATTTGTAAAGATGTAGAACCGAACTTTGCCAGAGCCAGTGGTGATGAGCATGGGATCGCGAGCTTCGGCGTCTTGGAGGAGAGGGTTTGCACTGGCAGCCATAGATACCGTGACGAGTCCTTTCTTCTGAGGCTGGCCTTGGTAAAGAGCCAAATTGAGCGCGCGGAATGGTTCGTCTTTGCCATATACCCGCACCACGCGGTTTGTAAAGGTGTTGATTACTTTTGTGCCGAGCAACGAGCCATAGAGAATAAAGTGACCGGATTCGTCAAAGATAACATTGATTCTGTAGCGCACGGCAGGATTCTCGAGTTCTCGCTCAACAGCAAGGCGTCTGCCAAACTCAACGTCCTCAAGTTTCTGAAGCGCAGTGCCAGCCTGCTGCATTTCAGTAAGAGTCATCAGCGACTCGTCGTAAGTACGATAAAGTTTTCCTGTAGCAAAATCGAACACGCGGACTTTTCGGTCCGGGAAGGAGAAGGTGGCAAATCTTGAGCCGTCTGGAGAAATGGTAATGGATGTCGGAACGGATTTTGACTGTCGTCTGTTCAGCATTCTGCTCTAGCTTTCCAAATGGAGATTGTTACACGGTAATTTGTACCTTTTTAAAGTCAAACAAATTGGTGGAACTCTTGAACTCAAAGACATTATCTGGTTTGTCATAACTGCCATGCGGTGTCCAGTACTCCAGCATGCCATTATCATCCGCCGAGACCACGCAGTCAAACGTATCATTAAAGGCCATAGCGCATATGGGGCTTCGATGCAAGCTCGTTATCGTATGTATTGGCGTAGGGTTCTCTCCTCGCCCGTCAAAGATGTGTATTGAGTGCGTTACTTCGTCCGAGACGGCCAGAAGCGGCAGTGATGCTCCCTTCTTGTGCACCCAACATAGAGATTTCGGAGTAATTTCTAGCGTGAGCATGGCCAAGAGATCTATTTGTCGGAGTCAGAGCCAAATTTCTTCTACTGGGGCTTTGTAGCCTACCGAATGTTATAACGTCGAATATCTTCACAGTGCGATCACCGCCCGCGGTCGCAAAGCTCCTTCCATCCGTACTGACACTGACGGCCTTGATCTCGGCCAAGTGCGCTTTAAATTCCTTGACAAACTCAATTCCCGAGACGACCTTCTTCCAAAACTTTACGACGCCATCGATGGAGCTGGTGATCAAAAAATCCGTAAAAGGTGTTATCGTGACAAAGGAAAGTTGGTCTTTGTGCATCAGAGATTTCGAATATCGCGGCGAGCTTGGTAATGAGGATATGTAGAGCTTTTCGTACGGTAGGACACGACGCTTCTTCTTCGGCGCGGCAGAAGGGAGCGCTGGCCCTACATCATCATCGGAAGACGATTCTGCTACGAAAAATCTTGTCAGAAACGTGCATTGATCAAGGGTCGAGCAATGGCACGAAACTTTACCTTCCTCACTTCCTTCAGGAACAGCTCCATTTTCTGGTTTAGAAGCTTCTTCGGCTTCAAGCCTAGCCCGTTTATGCGGCCTTGGGATATCTGTATTATCACCGTCCATATGGTATCTTCAACGTCACGCGCCAATTGGCAGGGAAAAGAATTATTGGACAGTTTCCAGCGGCTTCTGTTTAGCTACAGCTAATTTTGTCAAGCGGTGTTCTACAGCGTCATGAAAGTCACATCGCGAAACGAGAACGCTGCACGTGATCGCCATGGATTGATTTATGGGATGTTTTGACCACTCAACTCGAAGATATTGTCAAATTTTGAATCTATTTAATGAAATTGTACGAGTCTATTTCTAGGCATTATAGAATTCTTTGGTAGCTTTACAACCCATCAACTGGCCTCAACTATGGCACTTTCTAAGCTTTCTTGACATCGCCAGGTTTAGCGTGGGGGTCGCTGCTAGTTCCAAATCCATTGACTCGGCCATAAAGCCATTTCAGAGTCGCAGTGCTCAATGCCATAACTAGCGCACTAAAGGTAAACAAAACCAGTCTCCACGGTTGAGAGAGAGCTTCGAATAGCGGATAAGGATACCTTGTAGCGAGTTAATTAAAAAGCCACTGCATTTAAGATTAGATGATCTCACCATCCATTGTGCTTATAGCATTGCTCTACCCAGAGCCAGTAAGAAAATGCAAGAACACCACTGACACCGATAGATGGCAGCGCCGAAATGGTCCAAGGCGGTGAAAGTAGAAGGAGGTCCACTACAAGCATGATTGCCGGGACAGCATGAAAGCCAAGATCTAGACAAATCCGTCAGTTAGTTGAATTCAATTCGACTATGATTAAATTGGTTGAATTACCAGCTCGTAGGTCAAGCTTTACCCATTCAGGCATGACAAGGTTCTTGTCAATCTATAAAAGGTCAATAAAAATCAAATGTGATGCAAAAACTTATCTCGAGGAAGACAAACAGATCTGATGCTCCAGTATAAGAGACTGATGAGAACCTCCAGCGGGGCGCTGGCGACAGCAAGATTGTTCTTTATCAAGAACAAACGTGGTGATTGAAAAGCGTCTGCCAGCAGCCCTACAATAAAAGTTGCTGTCGCTAGAGACAGTCCAATGATGGTCAAATATTGCATATGCCATCCATAAGAGTCATTTCTGCATTAAGGATTAATCTTAGGCCGCAAAAGAACCAGTTGAGGAAGCATACACTGGATTTGGCCAATCCACCAAACTAGCAGAAAATCAGCACAGGTTGCCAGAATAGTCTGAGGTTAGGCTCACTATTTGAATGACAGAGAGAAGCTCAACAAACCAAGACTCTTGAAATTGATCAGCAGGAATCCTCCCAAGTCTAATATAATTGACAGCATACGTGGACAAATGCGGAAACGCCCCGGGACGGCGAATGCAAACGCTGCAGAGGATGTTTACCAATGAGTCGATCCATGGCCGCAGACAACTTATAGCAAACAGATCCAAAGCTGGAAAGCGAAATATAACAGAAATGGCAAATAAATATTTTGGTTTAAGGGAAGTGGTTATTAATCTATACAGATGGATGTCTAGGTGATGACGATGATGTATTGTTTATCCGATCTATTTTAGACCGAGGGAACCCGAGGGACCCTTGTCCACCTGTCCAGCGCCCAATCGGCCCACCAATGAAATGGCCGGGGCATCAGGTGAGACTTTCCATCAACGCCGTGATATAACCAAAATTGCTTAAATACTTTTTGATACCTCAAACACCGCTATGCTGACCGAAGAATATACATTACGAATCTCCATCGAAATTTACCGGTTGAGTACTTCATCAGAGCACAGTATTTGACACCAACGAATACAGATAGAAACTGAGCTGAGTGCGGTCTGATGTGCGTTGTGGAAAGCATTTTGCATTTCTCTGTTATAAAAATTCTGGAAAATTGACATCTAAAAAAAAGATATCGATCTTGAGGAAGGAGTCAAAAGAGCTTCACCCTTGCCCATCATGTCAACACTGCATTCTACAAAGCTGCTGGATGTCATGGGACTGTTATCTCAGGGCATAGTTATCTCGGCATGTTCCGCTCCGGGGACCCTGAGATGCCATTTTGCTTCGCCTTTCCCCGCCGCCGGTTCATTACGCTTATCTCTGACCTGAACTTGGGCCGGCCCGGACCCTGCACAATTGCAAAATCACCGCGACATCTTTAGAAATTTGTTGATGTCTCTCCCCAAAGCATTATACCTTGAGCTACTTCGCTCGTGGAATGTATGAGCACCATGAAATGTCTATAATATTTACTCACCATCAATCCCCATTAGAGCTGGGAGCTTTATCTATAGCCGATAACGGGGACCACCGAGAGGTTGATAACAATAGCTCCGGCTGCACGCTTCATTGCGTAACGTTTATTTGACAATTATGCCGCGACCAAGAAAAGTCGGCGGGCCGGAGCCGAAGAAGAGAAGCAGGAATGGGTGCTGGTAAGCCCTTTCTTGAGAGAGCCGCTTGTGAATTTATTTTCTGAAAGAACATTAGGCCATGCAAGGGCAGAAAAGTGAAGTGGTAAGAGTCCGTTGAGCCCGTCTCATATTCAACATTAATAACGCTCCATCTAGTGGCGAGGAGAAGCCTTCTTGCCTCAACTGCGAACGTCAAGGCGAGAAATGCGACTATAGTATTCGTCTCAATTGGGATGGGAGAACAAAGAAAAAGAGTGATGGTGGCTCAGCGACAATTATCAGCTTCAGCGGCCCAGGTCAAGCTTCATGTTCATATCCGAGGAACTTACATGGCTCCAGCACAATATCGGCGTCTTCTACGTATCCATTGTACTATGGAAAAGCCTCTACGGGGGTGGATGAACATGGGCTATCGTCAACCAACAGGTCAATGAATTCCTTCACGCCTGCTCTTCCAAAGGGTGGAAATCAACTTGACGATTTCTCGTATCGGTCATCACCAGCCGGCTCAATGACATCGACGGGAATGACATTCAGCGATGTATCGACACCTGCGCGCTCGCCATCGGTGGCCGAATCTCCCTCGGACTTACCCATTTTGGACCCGGCATTGCTGGGCACGGCCGAACGCGCAGCCTCCTCCCCTTGGACTGGTACATCACAAACGTCACAAACGTCACTGCCTTCCATTTTGCCTTACATGAACCAGCTTTCAGGTTCGGCTCACCAAACTTCGAGTCAATCTTCTAGGCATGGCCGCAATCAGATGGCGGCTGAGAGGAGCTCGCCTATGGGAAGCATAAATATATACGATTCCAATCAAAACTCTGGCGAACCTAATTATGATGCTGGTGAGGAATCACAATCACAAGCGCGAGCTCCGCCTTTATATCCGCATACTCGATCATTCAATATGCCTCCACCCGCACACAGCTTGTCACTCAGTAATACGGGTTTGCCAATCACAGTTCAAAGTCTTCAAGAGTATGATTCTGGCTCAGGCCATCGGACGAAACGTATCCGGCTTAGTCCCTCTTCAGAACTGCACCACGTCTCCAGCATACATCCAGGCCATGATTTTATTGGAATGGACCGCCAACGCACCAGCTCTGTTGCTACCTTGGACAATGCACCATCACTCCCTGCACGGCTTCAGCCGAACAGCCCTTATGGCTCGGCAAATAGTCCCTTGAATTCTGGGAATTCCATCGTAGGATCTGAAGATGGCCATACCGGCGCCTTATCCGGGCTATCACCTTACACTAATCAACCTTCTCCGGATTTGCGTCGCCTTTCTGTCCATTCACTCTTATCCGGACCACAAAAGGGAGAAAATCCAGGCTTTGCTCAACATATATCGTCTGTAGTATCTCCCGGAGAAGACGAGAGTATTACGTACGGATTCGACTGTGGTGCCCCAGATTTGGACGTAAACAAGAATGACGATGTCAACGCAATCACCAGTTTCTCATCCACGGAATCTGACATTCTGGACATTGTGCCAAACACCTTTGAAGACGATTTCTATTCTTTTATAGAGTTTGGATTCGGCATACAGGCAAAGGACGCCGCTTTTGAAAGTGGCGGCTATTATAGCAAACCGGTTCCCGTCAAAATACCCAGGTCACTCGAGCCTCTTCCATCTCTATTATTAGACAATCGGATGAATCTTTTATATTTTCATCATTTTCTCAATAATACGGCTAGAATTCTTGTGCCTCATGACTGCTCTGAGAATCCTTTTAGACATATTCTCCCGAGAAGTAAGTCATCTGAGCGCCTGCCAACATGTTTTAGTTGCTAAATGATATAGTGGCCATTGCCGATGAGAATCTTCTAAGCTTGCTATTGGCATATTCTGCTAGTCACCGTGCCAGGCTTCTTAAATATCCGGAACCGGTCAACCGCATCGCGCTTTGGGTTCAAAATGTCTTTCCAGCCCTTCGAAAAGCGCTCGACAACAGTCACGAGCAAGTGTCAGACGCCAATCTCGCAACAGCCATAATGCTGTCGTCCTTGGAAATTGTGTCTCCAAATACTTTTGAAGTTGCTATTCCTTGGCAGGATCATCTTGGCATTGCGAAGCGAATGATTGCTACGCGCGGAGGTACTCAGGCGTCTCATCGCAAGGACAAAGTTCTCTACTTTTTGAGCCGGTGGCTTGCCTATTTGGACGTACTGGGCAGTCTGGGTGGAGGGAAGAGCGACCGACCATTGTTCACAGGTAGCTACTGGATAGATAACTCTCAAGACGACGGCGAAAATTCTGAAATTGATTGCGTTCTTGGCTTCACAAGCCAATGCGCTAATATCCTCGCGAGAGTTGCTGAATTGGCTCGACAATGTCACGGCGAGAGAATCGATCCCGAAGGCAATCCTCTACCGGAATGGGCACCATCACCAGAAATTGCCGCAGAAGCTGAAGATCTTCGGCGGTTGTTGCACACTTCCTGCTCGCGCGTGTACCGAGGCTGCGTTCACAGGACCGTCGAGCCTGATAGCGACACGGATCTGGACTCTATGGAAATGGTTGCCATGAATGAGTCTTTCCACTGGACTGGTTTGATTCATCTAGATCGTCGTGTCCTTGGCTGGCCATCGTCCCATCCCGAGGTCCAAAAGTGCGTGCAAAACATTATTGGGACTTTTACCAAAATGCGGAGAGGAGGGACGGCAGAAGCCTGCCTTCTTTTCCCAATGTTTACTGCAGGCTGTGACGCAAAAGATGCATCCCAGCGCGAACTCATCCTCGAGCGGATCAAAAGCGTTGAGCTCTCGGGTATGACGCAGGCACATAAGACGCGAGTGCTCATGCAGAAAGCTTGGGATACTGGGAAGCCGTGGGAGACTTTGGTCGCTGGGGAATTTTTTGGCTAAATAGCGCAACAGCATCGCTCTTTTGACGCTTCTTCGACTGGTCGTAAGCACAGGACCTTTCTTTTGTTTCGCAGCGAGCATATTATATTCTCTGCGCGCCGACTTGAGCATTCGTAAGCGACCATACGAGATCACATTATTATTCAATTTACTCAACTTCTTCGCCGCGATTCCTTGATGGGACATTTCAGAAGTCGGTATATACCATTTACGTGTCAAAACATGACCACCTCTATTTTTTTTTTTTTTTTTTTTTTTCAGAAAATACACAGAAAAGTCCCATAGCTAAACTCCAGTCGCTCCTGGCGTGATGCAATTTCGAGCCCAGTGTCTGGACATCCGAGCATTCCACCTCGTCTCTTTTAATCCGATTGACTTGTAAATAATATACATGAAGAAATGATACACACTTGACGTTGGTGGATTCATTCAAAGCTTTTCAGCCTCTTCCAATAGCTCCTCAACCTTGAACCCAGCATCGCCTTGGCTAAACTGTTCGAGCAATTTCTGTCGACCAGGGGTTTGCTGGTCTTCAATAGCGTAGAACTTTTGCAAACACATGAGCAAGAAGCGAGAGTCATCGACACTGACGCCGGAACTCTCCACGACGGCTCCCTGGAGCAAGACGAGGCCCTTTGAATCAGCAAGGTCGAGGTGATGCGTGATAGTCGTATGAGGCTGAGCGAACTCTCCGCGCAGCTTGAATTCTGCCAGACTTGTGAACAGCACGGTCGCCTGGTCTAAAGTCGGGAACGTCCATTGCAGGAAATGAATCTCGGCACCCTGTTCCTCGCGCGGGAGAGGCAAGATGAATTGCGGATATTTCCGTGCGGTCTCTGCAATCCGCGCATATGTGCTTGCGGGAACCACGGCGCAGAGAGAGTTCTTGTCGTTGGCGTGTCGTAATCTCCAGATATATTCAATTTCCTTGGGCGGGAGCGATTGCGTCTTTTCCACGTCGATGAAGGAAGACAGTGTCTTCACGCCCGGAGGAACCTTGGAGTTCGGCGACGAAGCGCTTGCAGGGGGGGTAGATCCATTGAAAGTTGGGCTGGGCGTGGGTTCGGTTTGCGGTGTTGGCGGAGGTGGTGGCGGAGGAAAGGGGGAGTTGGCGCCAGGGACAGCAGCCTCTTTGCGGAACGCATCAATTTTCTCTTTGTAGACCTCTTTCAGCTCATCGACATTATTCAATCCTTGTCTGAAAATGTACAGAATATGCGTTAGCGTTAATTGATGGAAACCTGTCGATGATTTTTCTTGTGTATAATAATATTGGGCGTATGATATTATAGAGTACAGTATATTCAATTGGATTCAAATTTTTGAAAACGAGTCAATTGGATTTCTCTCAAATAGATCTCACTTACTCTTTGGCCTTTTCGGTCAGCTTTTCCCGATACTTATCAACGTAGCGGTTAGGATCGCGATGCGTGGCCAAGAATCGAACATCGTGCACCTGCGCCCATCGTCGCTGTGTGCCGCGAAGAGGCAGCGTAGCTGAGCGCAGCGCGGAGCGGAGAGAAGGTGCCCGAAAAGCAGACATTATATGCAATCCTCTTCAGAGGCAAAATAGCAATAGTGATCTCAGCCTTGACGCTTTCGAGCTATCAATTCGTCTTTCTCTTTCGGTCAATGGAGATCGGAGGTCGGACGGCGATAGGGTATTAGTAACAAGTTAGTCAGCATGATCGGCGGGACTACTGTACGAGCTCCGGTCCATGGACCGAGAAAACCCTCGGGACCGAGGATCTTTGAGCTTGACATTTCCAGGCTGACACATTGAACTGGATTAGTTATTTCCAAATGGCACACAACTCATGAATTATAACTGTGGAAGCGGCTTATATTTAACACTCTGACAATCCTCCAGCATATAGAACTCGTCTGAATTGATTCAAGCGGCCAATTGCGGTCTGTAATCCAAGCGGATAGCTTCGGTAATATAGAAATGACAAGTTGCGGTGTCCCTGTCACTCGGCGCAGCTTAACCAAAATAGCGGGGTAAAACACGTTGTAACGGCGCCCCAACGCAACCGACAAACAAGGATTCGTACGGGAGGGTGACAAGGTCAAGGGCTGTGCCGCAGGTATAGGTCTGCCCTAATATACTTACGGGCAACAATTTCTCAACTGGATTTCAGTTGAGGTAAGGCCCATTAACCTCGCCCGTGAGGCCTTCTCTCATTAAACATTTTAACTGTATCCAGTCAGTACCGAGAAGAGTATCGACGACCCGATGACCGAAATCTTATACCGAGAACCTCGGTCCCTTTCTCCACACTTTTTGCTCGGCCCGTCGATCAAGCGGTGCCCTGACGCAAAGACCATCATGCAAGTGACCCCTTAGGGGAGTTATTGCTATACTCCGTAGTGTGACGAGGGGTAAACGGGGGTTATTGCTGCTTTTCGGGCAAACATTGCTTTGTATATTTGGCTTGAAGCCGAACAATTGAGCTCGGCGATAACTTCTATTCTAGACATACTGCATAGCCGCACACATAATTTACACACTTGATCTTATTTTTGTTGACCATTGCTTATCCATAAAAATTCGCGCGTTATTTAAGGGCCCCACCACCGTCCATAGCTTTAGCTCTTGAGCGCCACTTGCACAACCACAGACCCTCATACTCAATCCCTTCAACAATTACTGCCATCATGCCCACTGAATCAAGTTACCCGCTGCAAGATATCCCAGATATCGATCTTTGGGATTTTCTCTTTGAAAGAAAAGACCGGAAATTTCCAGATGACAAAGGTAAACAGCTCCAGTTACTTGCACCAACAGTCAAGCTTATTTATTCGGTCTGACTCATCCCACCCACCTAGTTATTTACTTGGATCCATATACCAAACGATCATATACCTATGCACAAACTCGAAAAACAGCATTAGATTTCGGCAAAGGTCTCAAGTCACAATGGGATTGGCAAAAAGGCGATGTTTTAGCTGTGTTCTCGCCAAACTGCATTGATACACCCGCTATTACATGGGGCACACTATGGACCGGCGGGATCATTTCCTCTGCGAATCCGAGCTATACAGTGGACGAGCTAGCCTTTCAGTTGGGTGACTGTCAAGCCAAAGCTCTGGTTACGCAGAAGCCACTGCTAAAATTGGCTGTGGAGGCTGCGCGAAGAGTCGGCCTGAGTCCTGACAGGATAATACTCATCGGTGATGAGAGGGACGAGCAAGGGAAATTCAAGCATTTTTCGAGCATTCTGAACATCTCTGGCGTTGCAAGATGGCGTAAACCTCGAATAGATCCTGCAAAGGATCTTGCGTTTCTTGTTTACTCCTCGGGCACCACGGGGCATCCGAAAGGCGTAATGCTCTCGCACAGAAACATTGTCAGTAATACGATGATGATCACTTTAGGAGAATGGCGGCATCTATCGTGGGACAGTTGTCCAGATGGGAAAGGTGATCGCGTAATGGCATTTCTGCCTTTCTACCATATATACGGTAACCCCTCCCCCCTTCCTTTCCCATTTCCTGCTCCATTGGTAATAACTTGAAACTAATACGTTACCGTGCTTTCCAAGGTCTAACAAACCTCATTCACCAATCTCTATACGCGGGATTCACGCTCGTGGTCATGCCGAAATTCAACATTGAAGACTTCTGCTCTATCGTCCAAGAACATCGAATCACATTCATCTACGCAGTACCTCCAGTTATTCTCCTTTTAGGAAAACATCCCATCGTGAAGAAGTACGACTTTCGATCAGTGCGAATGATCAATTCTGGCGCTGCGCCCCTAAGTAAAGAGCTCGTGGAAGCCGCATATAAGAACGTGAGAGTCCCAATAAAGCAGGGTTATGGCCTCACCGAAACTAGCCCCACAACGCACACACAGGTATGTAGTCTCCCCCCAAAGGCCAAAACCTTCTTTCCCTCCTTCTCCCGCTATAGCAGTATGACTATACCAAGAGAGACGATTCATTGGAATTAACATAATACTCATCTTTAGCCTTGGGAAGAATGGTACGCAACCGTCGGGTCAGTCGGAAAACTCCTTCCCAACCAAGTCGCAAAATACATGGCACCGGACGGCCAAACAGAAGTGCCTATTGGCGAAACCGGCGAGCTTTGGATCAAAGGCCCCAATGTCTGCATCGGATACCACAAGAATCCAGAGGCTACCAAACAAGCCTTGACGCCCGACGGATACTTCAAAACAGGCGATATCGGGTACCAAGATGCCCAGGGAAACTTTTACATCACCGACCGCGTCAAGGAATTGATCAAGTACAAGGGATTCCAAGTCGCGCCGGCCGAGCTAGAGGGTCTACTCTCGTCGCATCCAAAGGTCGCTGATGTCGCCGTTGTCGGGGTGCATATCCCGCATGAAGCCACCGAGGTGCCGCGTGCATATGTTGTTCCCGCGACAGGAGTAAATGCCGGAAAAGAGACGGAGGATGAGATTGTCGCGTGGCTTTCCGAGCGTGTGGCTCACTATAAACGTCTGCGAGGCGGGATTAGGTTCATTGACGCCGTGCCGAAAACCTTGAGCGGAAAGATTCTAAGGAAAGTGTTGAAGGAGAAGGCGGCCCAAGAAGAGGCAGGAAACGCTCCTGTTAAGGCTAAGCTGTGATTTTGAGATATTTTGTGGAAGATGTGCAAAAAGGCACCAGCATCTTTTTTGCTTTAGGCGTTTGAGTACCTCTCTTGTTAAATTATTATTGGATTAATTTTTTTTTGTTTTCCTCGATTGCTTTTTTGAGCGATCTTGCAAATTCCAAGTAGGCATAGGCAAGATAACGAATAATGTAAATAAACCATCGGTCTTTGTAAAAATATTTTATTTATTTTCGCATAGCCTTATTCCGTCCTGAGAGTAGTAGTTTGATGATTTAGGTAAATCATATCAAGGTTAAGGAAGACAAGTATTAAACAAGAGAAGGGATATATGGTGGCAATACAGTTTCTAACTTCCTAGCGGATATAAGGTAGTTGCTCAAAAAAAAAAGAAGGAGCAGTGCATAATGGTATATTCAGGGCGCCGTATCAATAACCAAGAGATATATTTTTGGCCAATCAATCGTCATCGATCTTTCCGTTAAAGTTTGCAAGAAGAATATCATCTTGCGCGGGGCCGCGGTTATTGTTGCGAACTGATATTGAAGAATTTATGTTAGCGTCAACTGAAACACGGCTAAGGAGAGAGGAGAAAGCAGAGAGAAGAAAACGAAGGGCAAAAGAAAAACGGGAATGGGAAAAGGAACACAAATTGAGCTGAGATTTCTTTGGAAAAAAGGAAACCTTTGTGATGAGCAAAGGATGAACATACCCCATTCGGTCTCAACGCGGAAGAAGATCCAAATCCAACGGCGGAGAACCTCGAGGAGCTGCATGACAAATATCCCGCTCTCGATATCATTGAAACGGTCCAAGTGCGGTGAAAGCTTCATAATCCATGTACAGCGGAGCACAAAATCTATGGCAATAACCGCATAGTAGATTTCATCCGTGTGAAAGTACAGGTGTTGGCGCAGACCCCACGGATGCTCCGGGTTGTTTCGCTCCACGGTGCCTGAAAAAAGGCTGAGATCCCAGTCTTTGGCAACGTCCCAGTAGAAAGAGTAGCCGGAGTTGAGGATGACAAAGAACAACCTGACGGGTTCAAAGTGTGCACGACTTAGTAAAACAGAACCTCTACCCTGATAAAGTCGGAGGATGGGACATACCAAAGACGGAAAAGGCCAGCCTCGGTCATGCCATATGTCGTTCCATGTTGATTAAAGTTCCGCTGCATTGCAGACAGAATGATGACAGGAAAAGCAGAAGAGTACTTAAGGGCATTGGCAAGATGCTGCCCACCCCAGCCAGCCGGACCAATGAATCCATTCTTTTGATTGGATCGCCGAACTCGAAGGTACTCAATCAGACACTGCCGGAGCCGGATAGCACTTGGGATTGCAATGATAATTGGCACAGCGTATGCGCCTCCGCAGGTTCGGTCCGGTCTTCCCGTTGACGATTTCCCGGGGGAGAGAAACATGCACGCCGAAACGTAGAGCTCGCCAAGTATTCTCGCATAGGATGTAAGAGCATCCGCCAAAAGAATGTCGCCGAATTTTCCATCCTGCGCTTCAGCGATACCTCCAATGCTGATGCGTTTAAGAGTCGAGAGGAACCGAAAGCGGCCTGTTTTCGAAAGTCGTCGGACGGGTACTATGAACGAAAGAAAGAGGCCGAGCAGGGAGAGCTGAGGGAGGATTTCCCATTGAACCACGAGTGATGGGTTTCCATGTGTCAGAGACCAGAAGAATAACAGAGAAAGAGCCAGAGGGATAGTTAGGAGGGTCGCAAGATTGTAAGTCGAGGAGTGATGGGACGGCTGAGCTGATGAGCTCCGGGCGGGGTAGCGTATCAAGGACGGCACATCCTAGACATAAGGCAACACGTATCAGCGGATTGAAGAAATCCATCGGGGGATGCAGTCACTTACAATTTTTATCACGGCGAGATAGTGAAGATTAATTGCCCAAGCCCAAACGCCTGTTGACCATCAGCACTGTTGCTTCGATGCGAGCGTCTGCGGGTTTCGCAGAATGGTGATTTATGTAGGATTTTTACCAAAAACTAGAATAATGCCTATTCGGTATGGCAGCGGAAAGTATCGAGTGAAGGAATCTAGTTCTTGTTCAACAGCTGGATCTCCGTCCATATTTATAAGACCCTGGTCCCTGGCGGTCAATTATGACCGCCCCCAAAAATTGTAGGTGTTTCGCAAGGAGAGACTGGGGTCAGAAGGGATTTAAAAAGAGGAACGAGAGTCAGTCAGGGGAAAAGAAGAATGGTAAAAAAGCAAATGCCCGAAAGCAGCAATGATTTCAACTTGAGCTGTTGATCGAGCTCTGGAGAGTCCCCATTGGCGGTGACAATTGCGATGTTGCCCCTACAGCTCCAGAATAAGTGCGGAATCGCTGCACGCGAGGCAATGTCAGGGACCGAGCGAGGGAGCGGACCTCGGGTCGAGCATCTCCGCAACCACAACCCGTCAGGATCGAGGGGAGGAGAAGATCGGGCTTCTGTGCACAACGATGAGGGCATCCTTTTCTCAATCATGACAGATAAACATGCTGCAGAATCTCTAGGACGCAGTCCTACTGACGGACCTTCACGCGCCCCTGCTCAACGAGCGGAAATGCCTCCGTCTTCACGGGCAGTCCGTTCACGCAGCTACCAATACCCATTCGCCGCAGCACCAGATATCATTCGGTCAAATCAGAAGGACGCATATTTTCAAGGGGTCTTACACGATCAACTATCCAATCTCCTTCGCAGAGTCTATGGAGCTCGATTTGCCCATACTCACACGACAGGAGCGCGCACCGTTGCGGATTTACTCTATCTATGCCTGACCACCTTAGCAGGCAACCGTACCTTGGGGGAGGAATACTGTGATATAGTACAGATCGAGTCGTCTTCCGATAGTCTTCAACTTCCGTCTCTTGAGAGACGAGCAGGATACATTTTATCCACGATTCTTCTGCCATATGTGCTGGGAAGAGTCCTTCCGACCTTCCGTCGACGAATCCGGGCCAAACTCGAAGCAAATCTACGACGGTTTTCAAGTTTAGGAGGAAATGCTTCCTCTCAGAATGAGAAGGAAATCACTATCGCTGGAGCAGGAACGAGCAAAAATGTCTCCACATCTCTCGCACATCGCGTCCAAAACTATCTGTTGACGCATCTGGACTCTATTACTTCTCCGTCTCCACTGTATGCTGTCAGCATGGCGGTTTTCTATTTCTCTGGGGCATATTATCATCTGGGTAAGCGGTTATGGGGTTTGCGATATATCTTCACGAAGCGATTGGAAGCGGACGAGCAACGGGTCGGATACGAGGTGCTTGGTGTTCTCTTGGTGCTGCAGATGAGCGTCCAAGCATTTTTACATGTGCGTTCAACCATGGACGAATACTTCTTCAAAGAATCTGCAAGTATAGCGCTATCAGACGCAACAGAAGTCGGGTCTTCCAAAGCCAAAACGTTATCCGGTTCCGACAAGCCGGGTCTCGAGCAACTCACACATACACCAGCTGTGCCGGAAGACCAGCCACGCTTTGACTTACGAAATTCGCAAATAATGCAATGGGTGGGACCAACTCCGCACCAGCGCAAATGCACGTTATGTCTGGAGGAACTCAAAGATCCAAGTGTGACGACATGCGGGCATGTTTTTTGTTGGTCGTGTATCGGTGACTGGTGCCGTGAGAAGGCCGAATGCCCATTGTGCCGGCAGCCGAGTCTTGTACAACACATTTTGCCTTTGAGGGGCTAAACATTTCGGTTCACTTCACATTATTGTCAAACCCAGAGAAAACATGGTTTTCTTGGACTACTACCTCCGTACTTTTTGGAAGAAGAGACATGTGTTTTATATGTCGTGACCAAGCGAAGCGTTTCCTATTTTCTGGCGCAATGAGGTCTTGGGTCTTCAAGCTCAATGTTTACATTTCAACTTTTTTCTCTTCCGTATTTTTTTGCGATACCATCACGATTTAGAATATCAGCCTTGTCAACCAGCAAATCCATCACATGTCTTGCTTTGGCTCGCGTTTCCAAAGCAATGAATCTGTGTCATGAGCAGAATGTTCAATGAGGGATCCGTGATATAATTGAAGCACTTGCGCTTCTCGTCGGCTTTACCTGCACTAGGTCAAAGGCAGAAGGTGAATCCGAGGACAATAATGACGATTTAATCGAGATTCGTCAGTACGGAAAACCTGTTCGTGTCACAAAATATGGTTATTATTGATTCTATGAGAACAAATTAATCAGATATTCTCTTAGCTAAAAGCCACGATCAACTCGATGACCGCGCGACTTAACAGAGGTCACGCCGCGGCAATCATTTGTGGCAAAAGGTGCCCACCTTATTCCAGTCAGCCTCGCCGTACGCCATTATTCTTAGTTGGACGTCGTGATGCCGATCGACTTTCTTACTGGTTCGTCAGAATTTGGCGCAGGAGCGCAGGAGCAAATGAAAACTACTTATCATCCTTATCTACGAAACTTGGCCAGTGTCTACTCTAGCTTCAGGGACGACAGGCAGGGAAAATTTTGGTGCCTAGCCAAGGCACGCGCAGCAGAAGATCTACATGCATCATGCAGATTGTTCTCGATGACCGACTGTAATTATGTAAATTATCAATGACCGGCGCAGAACAATTCTCGAAAAACAGAATGAGCCGCATTATGCAAACTTTGCTGTCCGCATTTGCTGCGCAACCCTGCGAGGCTCTTGGAATGAAACTCCGTTGATCGCGGGCCATCGACATCAAATGTCAAATACAACGTCTGACGGGCTCGGCATTTGCAAGAGATCTTATCTCGTAATATCCAACAGGCCCATTTCTATCCCCTCAGGCTCCTGATTCTGCATCCACGATCGTATTCGCCTCAGGACAATTTTCCGAGAAAAATCCGGAGGCAAGGCTGTAGACGCACTCAAATAGGTAGGATAAATTGACTGATAACCATTTGGGGGGTAAATGGAAATTACTGAACAACCGTAAAATACAAATCAAGTCAGCGCAGCCAAGAATCGGTAATCTTCGGCGAGGTTTATCAGCTTTGGTCGGTTTTATTGTGATTTATAAACACTAGAAGTTTGCGAGTTTGAAAAAGGATACACGAACGAACCGAAAACCGTCCAATGGTGAGGTAAATTGGACATTACTGAATCTCGATTCAAACACGATCTGGGAGATATTACAGTATTACTGTGGGTCATGGAAGCTACTGACCGAATCTAGAAGTCAGATAGCAGAACCGTATCCCTAACTTCTCCCCGTTGCCGATCTACACGGGATAGCGTAATGCACCATTCTCACCTAAGGTAAGTTACGAAAACTTTAAGATGGATGGAAGCTTGACAGGGTAACTGACCATATGTCAGGGGTTTCATTTGATGGAGAAAATCAGTAATTAATGACGGAATGCAGCTTCTGAAAAGCGGCCTCTTAAAATTACTTTCTTAAAGAGGCAAGGGTGTTGCGGCTGGCCGATGTCGGTTCAGATAACGCACTGGAGATAAAAGGGAGTGACGGCGGAGCCTATATGGGGGCCCTCGGGCGTATGTTCAGACGCGCTACGGAGATTATAATTCTTGGCTTCGTCCTCTCAGGGTGCAGGGACGTCTGTGAAGAAGCATGCTGCGGCTACAGGTTTGATGCTTTTTGATATCATTGGGACAATTTCCAGATGAAATCGAAAGACATTGACAACGGCATAGCTTCAGAGCATGAAGCGGTATAATATCAAATGGATGGAAAACAACAAAAGCAATATTAACCGAGGAAAGAGCAAGGGGCTTCTTCCTACCAAAGTCTTTCAACGGTCATCCGCTTTCCGCCCATCCGATTTGTTCTTTCTAGAACTCTCAGAACCACTAAAACGCTGGCATGATGGTCGTCGGCTCACCCTCGATCAATGGATGCAAAATTTGGAGGACCGGCGGCCAAGTCTCAGCCGGTACTGGTCTAAATGTTCGACTTGTTTCTTTACCTGCAAGATCGGCATTTCAAGGCTGAAGGCATCGGCACATGAACATGTTCGGACGCGGTACGATCTCAAATCAAGCTCGACCACAAGCCAACGGTATAATGCCCTGCAATGAACCACGATTTCGGCGCCTTAAGATAGGACATAACAACTCCCGTCACTACTTTTCTTCCCCCTTGCCCGTAGGGCAACTAGTCTGTGTCATGGCCTAGTGGAAAAAATGTTTGAGGTATGGCATACATCATAAGCGTTTAACCAAAGCCGGTGAAAGCCCCGACGGGCACGCCCTCCATTATCAGTAGAGGCGGGATCGAAGCAACACTGGCGTCCCGACCAGGAAAAAGAGTAGAAAATTCTACCCCGGGGACGGCATTTCTCCTGCAGAATAAGGTGAATTCCCCGGAAGCGATATGAGATGCCTCCAAGTGCTGTAGAAGCAGTCGATTTTTCTGCTCACGTGGAACGTGCTGCATTTGCTGTCATGAAGCGAACACGAAATTAAAGGACAAAAAGACGTCCGAGGGATCTTGTTGGTTGATTTTGCGGATATCAGATGTTTTTCGATGTTGGAAACTCAGTCTGACGGGGTCCGGGCGACATTACGATCATCGCCCCATCGGTTGAAAATTTGTTAAAGTAGTGGCGACGACTGTCATCATCTGGAACCTAGGTATCTAGCTACTGTTACAGTACTACTAGCCAAGGCACAGAAAAAAAGCATGCTTATCCAGCAAGTGGGCAATGCATTGAGCAATTTACATGAACAAAATCAAATCCAGATCATAGTTGGAAGCAAGGCCGTCGCAATGCTGACCTTTTATCAAGCTTGAATGGTCATGTTCTGGAGTAAGATGCAAGCAGGGCTGTGAGTGGGGAAAGGGAAGGAGCGGCCGAAGAAGCTCTCGATGGGCCTCCCTGGTCGAGATAGCGAAGGACCCAACTGAACGGCCTGATTGGACGCGCTGTCGTCGTCACCCTATCTTTTCACGCTCCGCTTCTTACGTATTGGGGAGCTGCTGATAACGCTCCAAGCAATTACAGCATGTACGGAGTACTAATACTTCAATTCAGACGCCGTCGCGGCATCTCCCCCCAAGCGGGGCTGATTGACGGCCCCAAACTGTTGGTGTGCCCATCTTCTACCCTAGGAGTACTCGTTCCGCTGCAGCACGGGATTAGTGTAGTGCACACAGTAAAGTGTTGCAATGATCACCAACTCTGGGCAAGCCAAGAGTGCTGGTATAGCCACACTACACGGCTATGACATTTTGACTGGTCCCTTTGCTGGGCCACAGCCAACTTGTCTACCTTCTATAACAGGAAAGGACTCCTTGCCACTGCAGCGTCAAGCGGGCTGCCCCTGGCGCCCGGCGTCTAACTATTCCGGGCTAAACCCTGCCCTTTGTGCTTGTTATCTGGATGTCCTAGCATTCTAGACACCCACTTTCTCTCCCTTGCAACGCCATGCTGGTGTTGTACAATACAGTAGAGCTAGAACATGGGGCCCGAAAGGATCTTGCAGCATTAGAGAAGGAATTAATTTACCATTAAGTTCTCTAGCCATCGGAACGGCCGTCGGCCAAAAGTTGGTCTTTCTGAAAAGAATCCCTCACGTGGTGATGCATCGATGCTAATGAAGCTATAGAAGACTTCTCAGGAATCAAAAAAGTGGCAGTTGGCATGGCGTGGAGCGCATGCAAAGGCCTCAATACCCTTCCTGGCTTGGCGTCCTGTACATTGTAACTAAAAAGGACGGAGAGGATGGCAGCCGCGTCTCGAAAACCCCGGAAAGGGGTACATCGCGGGTCCATGGGAATCTACAAAGCTTATCATCCAGTCCTGAGTCTTTAGTAACGACTACTTATCAGCGCCTAGTATGCTAAGTGCGCAAATGGCCAAGGTCTCTGGTGTTGTTCTATCTGGCCCACCATCCGCTTCTGCGAGCCAGTCGTGCCATTACGTCTAATCCCAGATAAGAAACTCGCCGTAGTAATGGGGCGTGGATGGGCTGCTGCTGCATCCTGGGGGTTGTTCGACATGTGTGGCGTGCTTTTCGATCCTGAGCCCTATAGATAGCTTCCAGATCCTCCCCGATTCTGTTCTTCTCTACTACTGTCCCTAAATCTCGCTCTTGTCAACCTCAAGTGCAGGTGCCATTATACTTTCCGCTAGGCCTCTCTGCACTTCCTCATCATGATGACCACTGAGGACAAGACCTATGCGGAGAAAGATGCCCCCGTTGCGGCGTCTCACTCTGGCCTCGACCATGAGGCAGGTGTCATTGAAGATGTTACCGCAAAGGAGAACCACGCCTTGAAGAGAGGGTTGAAGGGCCGCCACATGCAGATGATTGCTATTGGTATTTTTCCCCTTTGGTGTTAATTCATTCTACTTCGCTTCCGTCAAGTTCAGCCAAGATGGCAAAGATGTGCATGAGATGCTGACAACATATTTAGGTGGTTCAATCGGAGCTGGTCTCTTCGTCGGATCAGGAGGTGCTCTCTCTACTGGTGGTCCGGCTAGCTTGATCATCGGCTTCCTGATCGTTGGAGGTATGCTTCTATGTACCGTTCAGTCTTTGGGAGAACTTGCGGTCATGTATCCGGTCAACGGTGCTTTCTTTGACTATTCCCTCCGCTTCTTGGACAAGTCATGGGCCTTTGCTATGGGTTACAACTACGCTGTTGGCTGGCTGGTCGTCCTTCCCTACGAGCTCACTGCGGCTGGTCTTACGATCAAGTACTGGCGCCCCGATCTAAATATCGGTATCTGGATTGCCGTATTTTTGACTGCATTGTTCGTCATCCAAGTTTTTGGAGTCAAAGGTTATGGTGAAGGTAGGTGTACATGTTCTTTCCTGCCAACGATGTCCTGTCATACTGAATTAAAACCTTAGTTGAATTTATCCTCGCCATGATTAAGGTTACTGCCATTCTAGGCTTTATCATCCTCGGCATTATCATTGACTGTGGTGGTGTTCCAACTGATCACCGAGGCTACATTGGAGCCAGTTATTGGCACGACCCTAGTAAGGGTGGTGCTTTCCGAAATGGCTTCAAGGGTTTTTGCTCTGTCTTTGTTACCGCTGCATTCTCCTTCGGTGGCACTGAAATGGTGGGACTTGCTGCTGCCGAAACTGCAGACCCGCGCCGGACCATTCCGCGTGCGACCAAGCAGACCTTCTGGCGTATCTGTCTTTTCTACATCATTTCCCTCTTGCTAATGGGCTTGATTGTGCCCTCGAACAGTCCAGAGCTCCTCAACAGTGGTGATTCTGATACAAAAGATTCGGCCTTTGTCCTTGCGATTAAGCTCGCCGGAATCAAGGGTCTTCCATCCGTCATGAACGTTGTCATCACCATCTCAGTTTTATCCGTCGCAAACTCTTGCACCTACGGCTCTACGAGAACCTTCCAGGCTCTTGCCCGGAAGGGAATGGCTCCCGCTATATTCGCCCGCGTGGACAAGCAAGGTCGCCCGTGGGCTGCAGTGATTCTGCAGCTTGCGTTTGGGTTACTCGCTTTCGTCAACGAGAGTTCAGTGGCTGGTGGCCAATTCTTCACGTGGCTGCTTGCCTTGACTGGTTTGAGCTACTTCTTCACTTGGGGAAGTGTGTGCCTTTCGTTCATTCGATACCGCGCTGGCTGGAAGGCTCAGGGCAGATCTCTGAGTGAGATTCCCTGGCGATCCCAGCTCGGTCTTCCCGGAGCTTGGATTGGGTTCTTATTGAACTGTTTGTGTTTGATTGCAACCTTCTATGTGTCTCTTTTCGTGAGTCTTATACATGCCTTTGGATTTACAGTGTGGTGCTCTAACTATTTTTCCTTGTTTAGCCCGTTGGAAGCTCGCCAAATGCCGAAGGTTTCTTTGAGGATTATCTTGCTGCACCCATCGTCATCGCTTGTTACATTTTCTGGAAAATTTACGACAGAGATTGGTCTTTGTTCATTCGAACCAGGGACATGGATCTCGACACCGGCAGGAGAGAAATCGACCTTGAGCCACTTCCCGAGGAAGACTACACTGGAACCAAGGGCAAGTTCCGGGCAGTGTATCGCTTCTTCTGTTAATGGGAAAACCCTACTTTCTTTCGTTGCGATTCCCCATGTGCATTTATACTGGGCTTGCCTCGTCCTGGCAGTCTATCCTTTGTAATTGATATCCTTTCTTTTTATATATCATGTCTTATAGTCGTTTAAAAATTTGCATATTGCTATCTGGCATCTCTAGCATATCCTCGCTCCTGCATCGTCTCAAAACATGGAAGCAAAAAAAGGAACTTCAAGACATTTAGAAATGTATCATCATTCGATTTGAATAATTTAAGATTCACTTTTGCTCGTGCACTCATTTATTCTCATCTTAGTCGAACCGCGCTATGAGTTTGAATCACCGTATCCCTAATTCTAACACTTATTGTTATTTTACTTCTTTTAATTCTTTTGAGACTGTTGAAAATCGCAAAGTCAAGTATTCTGGTAATGTTGAGTAATGGTTCAGCACGTCGATGTTTTCATTGATGGAGTGCAGCCAAAATGGTCCAAGTTCTTGTTACACCGTGAAAATTATGCAAATAGTTCGCTTATAATCTTGTTAGCTACGGTAAAATATTGAATATCTCGACATTAGAGTATATCTTGGTCGCCTTCCTCTCCTAGCTAATCGGGCATGTATCTGACTCTATGAATAAAATGGGATCTCACTAAATCCCGCCCTGAAGTTTTGGCAATACAGAATACTCCGCAACTCATTTGCTGTCTGGGCTGATGCAAGTTGGCTTACAGGAGCAGCAACAGCAGTTAACTACGGAGTATGCATTGTTGCGCTGGCCGTTAGCGGGGTTCATGGGTTAAGAGGTTTAACTAGGAGCAAAGCAGAACGGCTCGGCTCGTCAGACCCCGTGCGAATCGAGCGGATGATTGGGCGGTGCTGCGGACATTGGTACGGTAAAGCTTCCTCCGAGGCTCGTTCCTCGTTCGTCCCGCGTCGGGCTCGCGTACAGAAACGAGGAAGCCTGGATTTTTGCTGGATCGCTTAGGTTAACGCCGACGGGGATATTCTACCAAGGGAACGAAGAATCGGCGTTAAGTCGAAACTCTACTATAGAAAACTCCAAATGAAATCACTGGTTCCATCGTCGTTCAATCTTTTCGCCGAATTTGTTTCTTGATAATGGAGACGTGAGATGCAATGTGTGATGGCCATGGAAATATATATAATGCGCTTGCGGAATGAGTTCTCGTGGGTTGTAGTTTTCCCACAGCAGAAATTTCGATATAAGTTGAAGATTTACCTGGGAGTTTGAGCAAAACCCGACTTGCGTTGAAAAATCAGTCCAGGCGGAGGATAGTCGTTGAAGTTTTGCGACGATAATAAGATTGAGATTTCGCCATGGTTATCTTTGGGCATAATACCACTTCTGAGGAGGTAGCGGCGCTTTTTGCGGATCAGGTTAAAGGGAAGATAGGTAAGATTTCTTAGCGGATAGAGAAGTATTTGACCATTGAAGAAATGAGAGTTGAGAAATGAGAAAGAAGAAATCAAATGAAGAAAAAAAAAGGGGGGGGGGGGGGGGGGGGGGGAAAGGGGGAAACAAAGGAAGAAATTGCTAACATATTATAGTCCTGATCACTGGCGCATCTCCCGGTGGCCTCGGCGCACAAACAGCAATTGCACTATCTCGGAGTCAGCCAAAGCTTCTTATCATCGCCGGCCGCGACATTTCCAAGCTCTTGGAGACCGAGAAGCAGATCAAAGCCGCATCAGCAGACACCGCCGTTCGACCCCTGGTATTGGATCTGAGCTCTCTCAAGCAAGTGAGAAAAGCTGCTGCCGAGGTCAATGGTTATCCTGAATCTATCGATGTATTGATCAACAATGCTGGCATTATGGCAAGTCCTTTTAGCTTGACCGAGGACGGTTTTGAGAGTCAATTTGGAGTCAACCACCTTGGACATTTCCTGTTTACGAATCTTATCATGCCGAAGATTTTGGCGGCAGGACCCGGAGCGAGAATAGTAAATATTAGCAGCCGGGGACATCAGTTTGAGGGCATTCGATTTGACGACTACAATTTTGAAGTAAGTCATTCTCATCTCAGCATCTCGGGGAAAAAGATTTTGATTTCATGACTGCGGAATCTAATTTTCTTGAAGAATGGCAGGGATTACAACAAGTGGAAGGGATACGGCCAGTCAAAGACAGCCAATATTCTATTTTCCCTTGCGTTGGCTGAGAAGCTGAAGAGCAAAGGCCTGCTGGCTTACAGTGTATATCCCGGCGGAATCGCGACGAATCTTGCGAGGCATCTTACCCCTGAAGATGTCAAGGCATTAGGATGGTGGGATGAGAACGGAAAGGCAGTCGATAATGACCTGTTCAAATGGAAGACGGTCTCTCAGGGAGCTTCCACTCAGATTGTTGCGGCTTTCAGTCCAGATATTGTCGGTATGTGGGCATGCTCATATCGTTGCAATCTCAAAGGAAATATGAATCATAGACTGACAGGACTATGCTTTGGCAGATCAAAACGGTGCATACCTTAAAGACTGTAACGTGGACATGGAGGCGGTGGCACCGTACGCTAAAGATACAGCTCTGGCAATGAAATTGTGGACACTGAGCGAAGACTTGGTCGGCGAGAAGTTTAATTTTTAAAGGGTAATTGATGGAAGCGATAGTTTGAAAGCAAGGCAGCCAATGATTACACGCTGATGAGCATTGTACCTCCTGCCAATGCTATATATCGTGATATAATTTCCTGTATATAGAGTGAGAGGAGACATCTATTTTATAAGGCGAGAAAACCCAAAGATCGGAAAATTTGTCAACTACAGCATGTTCTGTCGCACAGAGATTACTCTGGCCCGGTGAGGGAATTGAGAACCCACAGTTGCAGTGGGGTATTACAAAATCGCATTACCTGTGAGGGAAAATAAATTAATTGAAGAAACAAGCTTGTACATCTTGCGGAAAGGCAGGGTCATTATTGCTCGTCATTGATTATTCCCATCATTCTGTTTTTGCAAGAACAAGAGCACTGACGTAGAGTTGCCCCACGTGGGCCGACATGTGGAGAAGTATCGCTACTTTACTCCGCATGCCCCATGGCCGGTCTCTCATTGTCCCGATACTTGGTGCCTTTTGGCCCACTTACTTCCCCAGTCCAGACCGCCGCCGACTCCATGATACTCTATAGTTTATCGGCGCTAAAGACCAAGGACGAAGGAGGAAAGTCCGACCAAGGAACAACTCGGGCCGCTGACCTCATCTTTCCCCAGCCATTCCCCCAACGTGTCTCCGCGCTATGCCGCACAGGTACCCGCGTGGAGGTCGGAGGTGGGTGATTTCCTCTACTACTTAGTAGGGGAATGATTGCCGCACCTTCCCTCCATCGCTGACCTGTTCCTGAACTGCCAAAGCATCTCAACCTCCATAGACCTCCTGTGTTGTCGTTTCTCTTCTACCATCGTCTTTTATTCTTGCTGATCTTCGCCTTCTTGTCGAGATTACTCTTATTGTTTATTCGAAGCTCTCATTCCTATCGTTACACCTTGCAATACAGAGCAATTTCAATTCTTATTGCTATTTGTTCAGGCACTGTTCGAGTGTTTTCTGGCCTCATCCGGTGATCACTGGTCATCTTCTGCGCTCGTTACGCTGTTCTTTCGTCGTCCTCTAAAAAACTATCGCCATGGGCAGAGCATTGACCGAGGAATCCCGGCGGGAAGTTTACCTCCTACCATTGACTGACAATGGCAGCCCTGACGTTCCAGGCGGCTATATCTATCTGCCTCCTCCCACTGATCCTCCATATTTTGTTCGCTTCGCCATTGGGGGCGCGAGTTCGATATGTCGAGAAGGTAGTTTATGGGTGAATATACCGACGACAGCAAATGGGTTCAAACGAGACAAGTTTCGGGAATTCAAGTATGTCCATGCAAAACACTCCTCGGAAAAAACATTGACAGGCTGCGAATTATTATATCTGACTCAAAATTAGGCTCGAACCGGATTTCAACCGCACGTTGCACATTGATGTACCTATCGTTGCTGCTGGCGCTTTTGCTTTTTATACCACGTATACACCATTGCCTGAATTTTCGACTTCTCCTGTGCCCTCGCCCAAACCGGCAAAGACTCCTACATACTACATTGATGTGTCTCCGAATCTTACGCTCACCAAGGTACCTCTGCCACTTGACTCCCTTTCCATATTCTCAGTCATTTCCAAGTTTATGGGGAAGTATCCCTCAGACTGGGAAAGCCATTTGCGGGGAATTGGTCAGAGAGGTTACAACATGATCCATTTTACGCCGCTTATGCAGCGTGGCGACTCAAATTCTCCCTACAGCATTTACGACCAGCTTTCTTTTGATTCTACTTGCTTTCCTCGAGGAGAGAAGGACGTTGCGGAACTAGTTAGCAAAATGGAAACGGACCATGGGCTACTAGGTCTGACAGACGTCGTCTGGAACCACACTGCGAACAACAGCAAATGGCTTCAGGAACACCCCGAAGCGGGCTACAATGTGGACACGGCGCCTTGGCTTGAATCTGCCTTGGAATTGGACACCGCATTGCTCAAATTTAGCCACAACCTCAGTCGGCTTGGACTCCCCACAACTCTAAACAACGTTCAGGATCTCCTGAAGGTCATGGATGGCATCAAAGTTCACGTCGTCGGCAGTCTCCGACTATGGGAATACTACGTTGTTGATGTTGAACGAGGCGCAGAAGCAGCAGCAAAGGCTTGGGCTACTGGCAAAGTTTCCTTCCCAGATGGTGGCTTTGGTGTAAGCGATCTAGGTGAAGTGAAGCAGTGGAGTCTCAAAAACAAGGCCGATTTTCTCCTGGGTAATGGACTATTGAGAAATGACAGACTCGGGGAGAGATTTAGAAGGCGCATTGATCCGGCAGTGGGTGCAGCTTTGTTGACTGCACTCTTTGGGCGGCTCGAAGACGCTGATCATGGTGTTACCGAGGGCTATGCCCGCAACGAATTTACTAAGATCCTCGACGAAGTCAATCTTCCGTTTTACCGAGAATATGATACCGATTCTGCGGAAACATTGGAGCAGATATTCAACAGAGTCAAGTACATTCGCATCGATGACCATGGACCGAAACTTGGGCCTATCACGGACAAAGACCCTCTAGTTGAGAGCTATTTCACGAGGTTGCCAGAGAATTCAACTACTGCGAAGCACGGCAAGAAGAGCCTTGCTCTCGTCAACAACGGTTGGATCTGGAACGCCGACGCCTTGATCGACAACGCTGGCCCAAGTTCCAGAGCCTATTTGCGACGTGAGGTGATAGTCTGGGGAGATTGCGTCAAGCTTCGATATGGCAGCTCGCCGCAGGATAGTCCTTTCCTTTGGGATTTCATGGCCAAATACACAAAACTGATGGCTAAGTACTTTGTTGGTTTCCGAATTGACAATTGCCATTCCACTCCTTTGCATGTCGCGGAATATCTCCTTGACGAAGCCAGGAAAGTCAGGCCAAATCTCGCCGTATTTGCTGAGCTGTTCACGGGTTCGGAAGAAATGGACTATATTTTCGTCAAACGCCTTGGCCTTAGTGCGCTAATCCGAGAAGCTATGCAAGCATGGAGCACCGGAGAACTTAGCCGGTTGGTCCATCGTCATGGTGGTCGCCCTATTGGAAGCTTCGAGATCGATGACATTGGCAGAAATGATCACAAGTCTTCTGTTCAACCGGGGAAACTAAACGGCGCCTCACCCAGGGGAGAGGTGGTACGCAGGATCAAGCGGAGTCCAGTACACGCCCTCTTTATGGACTGCACCCACGACAATGAGGTACCTGCACAGAAGCGTGATGCGCGAGATACCTTGCCTAATGCCGCTCTCGTGGCAATGTGCGCTTCTGCAATTGGTAGTGTTATGGGCTATGATGAGATTTATCCGAAACTTGTGGACCTTGTTCACGAAACCCGCTTATACCATTCCGCTTCATCACAGGCAGAAGTTCAAATTCGATCCGGAGATGGTGGGATCGGAGGAATCAAGAAACTCATCAACCAGTTGCACACCACCATGGGTAGAGAGGGCTTTGACGAAACCCATATCCACCATGATGGAGAGTATATCACGGTCCATCGAGTACATCCGAAGACCAGAAAAGGAATATTCCTCATTGCCCACACTGCATTTCCTGGCTCGGACGGAAACAGCATTCTAGCCCCAACGAGCCTACCTGGAACGGAGGCTAAGTTACTGGGCAGTTGGAAACTTACGGTAGATGCCAGTCAGGAAGCTAAGGTTTCTGTTTTTGGCGAAAAGGGGCTACTGCGCGGCCTTCCCAGTCAACTCACTGATATTAACGGCATCAAAGTAAGCTCCAAGGACAATTCAGCTTTTATTGAACTTCCAGGAGAATTCCCCTCTGGTAGTATAGCTTTGTTCGAGACATGGATTCCTTCGGCCGAGCACGCAGATGGTTTAGACCAATTTGTGACCAGCGGTGCACGGGAAGCCTTTGAGAAACTCGATCTCGTCGACCTCAATTTTGTTTTATACAGGTGCGAAGCTGAGGAACGGGACTCAAGCGACGGCAAAGATGGTGTCTACGCCATTCCCAATTTCGGACCTCTGGTATACGCTGGATTACAAGGGTGGTGGAGCGTCTTGAAGGATATTATCGTAAACAATGATCTGGGTCACCCACTCTGTCAACATTTGCGGGATGGACAGTGGGCTCTAGATTATATATCTGGACGGCTCGATCGCATCTCGAAACAAGAAGGATACAGACGTTTAGAACAGCCAGCATTGTGGCTGCGATCTCGCTTCGATGCGATCCGAAAGATTCCAAGTTTCCTCCTTCCCAGGTACTTTGCGCTGGTCATACGCACGGCTTATCATGCTGCATGGGATAAAGCCATCTCTCTTATGGCGCCCAATATCAGAGAAGGTCAGGATTTCTTGCAGAGTCTCGCAATGGTCAGCGTTCAGCAAACTGGCTACCTGAAATCTGCCTCTCTCTATCCTACGAAGAGTGTCCCCTGTTTGGCCGCTGGTCTCCCGCATTTTTCGACGGACTGGGCTAGATGCTGGGGTCGCGACGTATTCATATCTTTGCGAGGCCTCTTTCTGGGGACTGGGCGTTATGATGATGCAAAGGAGCATATTCTTGCATTCGGGAGCGTTCTGAAACACGGAATGATTCCAAATTTGCTCTCTGGAGGCAAATTGCCGAGATACAATTCTCGAGATTCGATCTGGTTCTTCCTACAGAATATCCAAGACTACACGAAGATTGTTCCAAATGGCATAAGCATTCTAAAAGAGCAAGTGCCACGGCGATTCTTGCCGTACGATGATACGTGGTTCGAATTTGACGACCCTCGAGCTTACTCAAAATCTTCGACCGTTGAAGAAATAATTCAGGAAGCTTTGCAACGGCATGCAACAGGAATGTCCTTCAGGGAAGCCAATGCTGGCCCTGGCCTTGATATGCAGATGCGGCCAGAAGGATTTCAAATTGATATCTCTGTCGATTGGAACACTGGGCTTATTCACGGTGGAAACCAACTCAACTGCGGCACATGGATGGATAAGATGGGCGAGAGCGAGAAGGCGGGCAGCAAGGGAATTCCCGGCACACCCCGAGATGGCGCCGCAATTGAGATTACCGGCCTTGTCTACAGTACGCTTGTTTGGGTAGCGGAGCTCAACAAGCGGGGCAAATACAGATTTGACAGTGTGAAGATTAGTGATGATGGTAGAGGTAAAATCACTTTCAAGGACTGGGCCGGGAAGATCAAGCACAACTTTGAGCGGTGTTACTACGTCCCGTTGCATGCCAAGGATGACAAGAATTATGATGTCAACCCCAAGGTCGTCAATCGAAGGGGAATCTACAAGGACCTTTATAAGACAGGGAAGGAGTACGAGGACTATCAATTGAGGGCCAACTTTCCCATTGCCATGTGTGTGGCACCGGAGCTTTTTGATCCAGAAAAAGCACTTTATGCTTTGGCTTTGGCAGACAAGGCCCTTCACGGACCCACAGGCATGGCTACGCTCGATCCCAGTGATCTCAATTACCGCCCGTACTATATAAATTCCGAAGATTCAAATGATTTTGCAACTTCAAAGGGTCGCAACTACCACCAAGGGCCAGAATGGCTCTGGCCAACTGGATTCTTCCTTCGAGCGCTGCTAAAATTTGATCTAAAGCGAAGGACCACAAAGGAGGGCCGTGTGGAATCCTTGCAACAGGTTACGAGAAGACTGGCAGGTTGCAAGCAAGCAATTCTTGAAAGTCCTTGGGCTGGATTGACTGAGCTAACTAATAAAAACGGTGAATTTTGCGCCGATTCGGTAAGTTCTTTTTTTTTCTCTTGATCTTTGATGGATTTTCAGCTGATTGCTCTCTATAGTCGCCTACGCAAGCATGGTCTGCTGGATGTCTGATAGATTTGTTCTATGATGGTTCGGAGTTGTCTATAGAATAGACTGAGCTGGAAGTAGCGTCGTGTTGATGTCCCTTTAGAATTCCTTTCTGAACAGAAATATATATTATTGTGATTGTACCTTGCCACAGCTTAGCTTAGAGAATATACAGTTTGATGCGAAATTTGGCCTCTGTTTTGTGCTTGAACATGTGTATCAAAATTCAAGGGATATTTCTCTTCTGTTGGAAAAGAGGAGAGGGGGGGAAATCGCCGAATGGCAAAAGAGCAACGTTCTCAATGCGGAATCGGAACTTTGGTTGTTTAATTTGAAACTCATAATATTGATACTAAATATATATTATTGTTGGCAGGAGATAAAAGCTTCGAGCCAATACAAATAGCGGGAAAATAAGCAAGACTATGATGTTTTCAAGCTCCTAGAACGGTCCGAGAATAACCGGTGAAAGGTTTTGCCGGACACCGGGGAAGGCGGTCGGGAGAGATCCGCACTTGGTATTATCACAATTGACACACAACGTCCCCTCCAACAATCGATAAGTTTTGTGCACCCCTCCTTGGGCGATAATCATTCTTCTGCAATTGCTTTAACTGTTGTTCTTTTTCTGTCCCACGAATTTTCGATTTCTTTGTTCCTAAACCTGAATCTTGAGAATTTAACGAGTGGACATGCCGGTAAGAACACATTTCAATCAACCCCATTCGCCGATCTTTAGTTTCCATTGGATTTTTTGTGTTATCTGACTCATCCACTCCAGTCTCAGTTCCACATCGAGAACCCTAACGTGGGCAACAAAGCCGAGGCCGAGGATTGGAGAAGTAAGTCCTGACTCTCAAACTAAGTTACTGAGCTCGCCGCTAATTCTCAATTTCTTCACAGTCCGTGGATGTAAGAAACCGATCCTATAATTATTTGACTGCATGCGCTGAAGCTTTCCGTAACGTACAGACAACCCCCTGACGCCTCCGAGCTTGTTGCAACACGAAATTCCTCAGGTCAGTCAATCGGAAGCTTGCTGTTACATTTAAAACGCAATCGAAACGGATCCTTCGTACCTAGATATGATCGCTTTTTTTCAAACGCCGTACCTATATGCAGTACTATGAAATGGGATATGGATACTGACGGTTAGGCAGACACCCAAGTCGAAGGAGACTGTCATCAAGAGCCGAGAGGAAGTTGTAGACGTGGTTCATGGAACTGATGAGCGCCAGCGACTTCTCGTCGTCATTGGACCATGCTCCATCCACGACCCCAAGGCGGCTCTCGACTACTGTGACCGCTTGCTGCAGATGAAGGAGAAATACGCTGATGACCTACTCATCGTCATGCGGGCCTACCTTGAGAAGCCTCGCACCACCGTTGGCTGGAAGGGTCTAATCAATGACCCCGACATTGACAACTCTTTCGCAATCAACAAAGGCCTGAGAATATCCCGTCAGCTCTTCGTCGATCTGACCGCAAAAGGAATGCCGATTGCCAGTGAAATGCTGGATACCATCTCTCCGCAGTTCGTCACCGACCTTCTCAGCGCTGGCGCAGTCGGCGCCCGTACCACGGAGAGCCAGCTTCACAGAGAACTTGCCTCTGGCCTTAGTTTCCCCGTTGGCTTCAAGAACGGAACGGATGGCACTCTTGACGTCTCCATTGATGCTATTGGTGCCGTCAAGCACCCTCATCACTTCTTGTCTGTCACCAAACCCGGTGTCGCCGCTATTGTTGGTACCGTCGGAAACGACGACTGCTTCGTTATCCTGCGAGGTGGCAAGCAGGGCACAAATTACGATGCAAAGAGCATTACAGACGCGAAGGCTAAGCTGGCCAAGACCGGAACCCGCCAGCGATTGATGGTTGACTGCAGCCATGGCAACTCTGAGAAGAATCACAACAACCAACCTAAGGTTGCCAAGGTTCTGGCAGACCAAATCACCAAGGGTGAGACTGGTATCATGGGTGTCATGATCGAAAGTAATATTCATGAGGGTAAGCGGCTCCATGCAGGTATCTATTTTATTTGAAAATAAATTCTAATTGTATTTTCAGGTAACCAAAAGGTTGGACCGGATGGCAAGGACGGATTGAAGTACGGTGTCAGCATTACTGATGCCTGCATCGGATGGGAAGATACGCAACGTGTCCTTGAGACACTTGCTGTCGCTGTGCGTGAACGCAGGCAGGCTCTTGGTGGCAAGACTGCTGCCGAGGTCAACAGTTCTTGAGCGTGATTAAAAGTGATTTTGTATATGTGGACGCGACATGCATGTAGGAATATAATTTTCGTCTTGTGGGCTTAGAAAAAGCATTCAATTTACTCGCATTTTGTCTTTTAGACATTATTGATCATTCTCATGCCAATTGAATGGAGAGTGAGACTCTGAATTGACAATGTATTTTTTGGTTGTTTGCCCAGCGCCTCATCCTTATTACAAGGCAAGTCGCTTTCAATACATTATTGAATACGTCTTTTATTTTGAGGTGTAGATTTCTTTGGACAATCGATTATCATCTCGTTCTTTGGGGATCGGGGTTAAAGCTGTCAAAGTCGTTGTTGCATGCGCCTGCAGCGTGGACATTCGAGAGTCAGTCTAATCCGTAACGGGAAGCTTTTGCTCATTGCTGTCGCCGCTTTAGCGAACACATCCAGCGAGAGTAAAAGCGGCAAGGGTCAATTCTGAGAAGCAACAACTTCGGGAAATATAATCTCCATCACCAACGTCCATTGATGCTGTCTTTTTGATCGCGCGGCGACCGAACCAAACCTCGGACACTCCTCGCGACACACACAATGGCTTCGTCAAGCTGTTGGCGATGTCTGCTTCGGCCGCAGACGTACGCCTCGAGGCCATCAGCTTTTCTTCCGTCGACAGGCACGACCGCTTCTCCCTTTCTGTCGCGCGCCGTGACGCCGGCCATCCCCTTCTCCACCAGTTCGCCGTACAATGCTGCCAAGGCCCCGGCTAAGGGTGGAAACATTTCACGAGTCCAGGCTGGCCCGCCGAGAAGAGGCCAGAAATCGCTCAGGATCAAAAAGAAGTCCCCAGTAAAAGCCACAACACGACCACCGGCCCCCGGTGAGAGAAAAGCAGCCCGCAAGCGAATTGTGTTGAGCAATACCAATGCGGTCGAGGTGCAAGGTCTGAAAGAACTCAGCCCCGAAACAATGGTTGATGCACAAAACCATGGACAAGTTCTGGGTATACCCGGACCGGTCGTGGATCAATTGAGAGCCGTAGAGGCGTTCAAGACGACTCAGGCTTGGAAACTCTTCCGCCAACCAAGCACACTGCAGACGAAACAATCGCTGGATCTCGCTCAGCAAGTGGCCAAGGTTACAGATGGCGAGAACGGAAAGAGAACATTTCTGCGAAAGATCTTGACTGGCGACAAGGCCAGTGGAAAGAGCGTTCTTCTTCTACAAGCTATGGCCATGGCTTTCCTGAAGGGCTGGGTTGTCATCAGCATTCCCGATGGTTAGTTTCTTTCTAATTCCTCCCTACAGTCCTATTTACCTACTTTTTGGCCGATTTTCTCTCTTTGGCTCCACTTACTTCCCCACACTTCATTGCCCTCCCAAGTTATTTTGAAAAAGAGTAAAAAGCTAACCACCAAACGTGCCATCCTTCCAGCCCAAGAACTCACCATCGCACACACGGCATACAGCCCTCTCCGCAACACCGAGCCCAAACAATACGTGCAAAAAGCATACATGTCCGAGCTGCTCTCGCGGACTCTGCGCGCCAACCAGCCCGTGCTCAACGGCCTGCAATTGTCGCAAGAACACCCTGGCATGCCCGTCCCCTTGCAGTCCAACATGACACTTGCCCGTCTGGCCGAGCTCGGCGCCAAAGACGCTGACCTGGCCTGGCCCGCGTTCCAGGCCTTGTGGACCGAACTCTCCGCTGCGCCTGCCAACGCCCCTGCCCGCCCTCCCGTCATGCTCGCCATTGACAACCTCGCCCACGTCATGCGCAACTCCGCCTACCGCGACGCAGACTTCAACCTCATCCACGCCCACGACCTCGCCATTGTCAACCATTTCGTCAAGCACCTGTCTGGCGAAAAGACCCTGCCCCAGGGCGGTGCCATCGTCGCCGCCACCTCCGCATCCAATACCCCCTTGACCCCAACCATGACTCTTGCCCTTCGCCAAATCGAGGCCCGCGCCGCAGGTACTCCCGAGAAGGACCTCCCTCAGCCTTCAGCCTGGGAGCCCGTCGACGAGCGCGTCAAGCAGGTCTTTGCTGCCCGTGGCGGCATTGACGTGCACACACTGAGCAAAGTCTCTCGTGAAGAAGCCCGTGGCTTGCTCGAGTACTATGCTGCCAGCGGACTCCTGAGAGCTGCTGTCAATGATAGCCTCGTAGCAGAGAAGTGGATCCTTGCTGGCGGTGGCATTGTTGGAGAATTGGAGAGAGGCGCCGTCACTATGCGCGTTTAGATTAGTCAGAGTGCCCTTCCTCTTTTCTTTCCATTTCTTCCCATTTTTTTTTTATCTTCATTTCATTTTGCGTCAAAAACATGAATCCTTTTTTCTATACGTACCATTTGTACCATTTCTTTTTTTTTTTTTTCCGGAAAGGGGTTTATTTCCATCAACCTTAGTGTAAACATAGATATTTTCCTCCTCAAGTCATATATAAGTACCTAGTATCATACTCCAAATTCACATTCCACCTCGATTTTCTACACAACAAGCTTTGATCGCTATCAATGTGACATTATGACAGTTACTCAGGTCGAATATTTCAGATATTTCTTTCAAGCTTCATTTCAGCTGATGGTATATGAGAGCTACAAAATTATTCCACGGAATAAAGTAAAGAATATAAAGGCACAAAAAGAAAGGGGAGGAGAAAAAGAATAACAGACACCATGGAAATAACCCGCCATAGAAATGCTTTCTTTGAAAAGTGCACACCTTGGAAAACGCCATCTGCCTTGGCAAAGGAAAGGGGAAGGGAAGGGGAAATGCCAGTGAAGTCAATGCTTCGGAAAAACAAAATAAAAACAAAATAAAAATAAATAAAACAAAAAAAAATTAAAACAACAGGATGGTTTCTTCTACTCATCGTCGCCCATGTCGATATCAGCGTCACCGGCTTCGATGAAGATAAGTCGGCTGCCGTCGGCAGTTGTTTGCCAGACCTATAGTACACAGTTAGAATCTTATTTAAGACTTATGTGGGGGGAACGAAAAGAAGTGAAAGACTTACATCAAGCAGAGCATATTCATCAATTGCATGGACGAGCTGGTCTTCAGTGAAGCCCTTTGCGACGATTCTTTCGCGGACCTTGCGCATGCTAAGCTCACCGCGGCTGCCATCTTCGACGGCGGCGGCTCCGGAATCGGCCATGGCGCGAATGAGGTTGTAGATCTTGCTGCTGGGGCTCTGGTCGCCGGTAGCGCGGGTGTCGTGGTAGAGACTGGATTTGCTGACCTCGACGAGACGCAGAGCCTCGTCGACGTCGTCGGTGGCAACGGACGCGCTGAAACGGAGACGGGCAAGAGCCTGGGACAGACGGACGATACCAAGAAGGGTACGGGGAGTGATGTGGGTGTATTGTTTCTTGCTGCCTTCGTCGCGCTTCTGCTGCTGGCGCATGCGCACATAGGCGCCGGTGATGTAGTCTGCGACTTCTTTGGGGACGATGGGGCGGTACGTGCGGGCCTGGGCAATATATTGACGGACTTCCTGCGGGCTGAAGACGACGCCTTCGCTCTCCGGGTGCTTGTTGGTCATGTGCACTTCTGTGACGTGCTTGGCCAGTTCCTCGTCGGCTTCGCGCGAAGGGGTGTCTAGGATGAGGAAGAGAATGTCGAAACGGGAAAGAAGGGCGGCGGGGAGGTTGATGTTTTCGACGGGAGAGATCCGGGGATTGTAGCGGCCGTAGAGCGGGTTGGCGGCGGCGAGAATGGAGGTGCGTGCGTTCAGAGAGGTGGTGATGCCGGCTTTGCTGATGGAGATGGTCTGTTGCTCCATGACTTCGTGAATGGCGGTACGGTCGCCGTCGTCCATCTTGTCGAATTCATCAATGCAGCAGATGCCGTTGTCGGCGAGGACTAATGCACCGCCTTCGAGAACCACTTCGTCAGTGACAGGATCGCGCATGATTGCTGCTGTCAATCCGACGCCACTGCTTCCTCGGCCGGTCGTGTACACGCCGCGTGGCGCAACCTTGGCAATATATTTCATCAGTTGAGATTTGGCAACACCAGGGTCACCCATCAGGCAGATGTTGATGTCTCCTCTGATGCGCATGCCGTCGCCCATCTCTTTGGTCACGCCTCCGATGAGCAGGAGCAATAGCGCCTTCTTGACATCCAAGTGTCCATAGATTTCGGGAGCGATTGACCGAGCCAAGTACTCGTACATGTGTCCTGATTCTCTGTACTGCTCGATGCGCCGAAGGGTCCGCAGGTCGATAGTCAAGTCATCGTATGCTTGTTTGTGTTGAGTTATATATTGAGCTTCCAAGTATGTGTCTGTCAACAACCCGGCTCGGATGGCCTTGAATCCTGTATAAGGGGTTGGCAAGAAGATGCCTGCAATGTCGACCATGTCTCCAGGGTTGATCTGTCGTGTCAAGCCGCCATGGCACTGGATAGTCAGAGTGCGAGGAATATGTCCAATTGGCACCTGATCCGCCATTTCTTGGATTTTAACTTCTTGAAAAGCGTGAAATTTGGAGGCACGAGTCGACAAGAACAGCTGTCCCTTTGTGTGGTTGTCTTTACATTCTTTTGAGGGGCATTCTTGCATAGGCGTGAACTGTTTCGAGGTGATCGGTTGGAACACTTCAGAACCACATCTATCACAAGTGTATGCCATGACTTGGGCTTCAGGCTTTACATCTGACACCCTCGTAGCAATACCGCGGACGGTAATCAGATGACCAATGTGCTCTCCCTTGACATCTCGCACTGCCAAGGCTTTTTGGCTCCGCTCGTTGGCCGATCCGGAAGGAGTAACAGGTTTGAAGCTGAGAGTGTAGCGTCTCGTGAGCTCGGCAGGAAAGAGCGAATCTTGTTGTGGCGGTGGTGCATCAAGAGTACCTTCGGCTGCCAGGGCCATGGCCTCATTTCTTCGCTCTCGCTGGGACATAATGACATCCATAACATCATCTTTGTATCTGCAGGTTTGATTAGTACTGCGGTCATGTCTCCAAGTGGTAGAGACCTCGATAGGACATACGAGATTTCTCGAGTTTCTCTCGGCATCGACTTGTCAATAGCTCGTGCAAGGATCTCTATGTAATGTTTCGCATTGACCTCGATTGATTGCACCAAGTTTAAGCCGGCGGCATCTTCTTCCAATCCCCGTTCATACTATGCGCATATTCAGTATCCATGTTTGAAGATCACGATTGCGATTGGTTTTGGTAGGCGTACCGTTTGCAGATCATCGAGTTCGATAGTAATGTGCGAAGATTCTCGGTCCGCTAGGCTTTGGAGTATCTTCATATATTTCAATTTCGGTTCGGCGGACTTATCGTCCCTTCGCCGCCGAGCCGCTCCTGAACCGTCGGCCACATCGTCCATGAAATCATATTCATCGCTTAAATCATCATCTTCGAGGTGTAACTCCTGGAGAGCATTCGTCGCAGATACCTCCGTGGCGGACGACGATGATTTGAAGGTTTTGAGGAAATCCTCAAACGCAGCTTGAAGGTGTCAATTTGAGAAAACACCAAGAAAAACATGTTCCAGTAACCTACATTGCTGAAGTTCGTAGTTTACCGGTGCCTTAAATGTGAGGAGCGCCATTGCGCCCGTGGTAGGGTTGACCGAGAAAAGGTAGCAGGATTTGTTGTTCGCGACTGGCGATTGACAAGATTTGTGATGATGCCGAAATAATATGGGGAAGGGGAGGTTGGTTTGTTGAAACGAGAATGGACTCCTAGAGAAGCGACAGGTGAACGCGAAACGCGTTGAAGGCGCTTGAAGACACGCGCGACCGCGTTTTAGCAGCACGAGCAGGCGGAGTGCAATTATCCACCCTTTTTAGGACTAGTTCAGAAAACAACACAACCTTACCCGGCGTTCATTATCTCGGGCCTCGGCTTCACTTGCTTGCGGGCCGAATGCATACAAGTCAACCCACCATACATGAAGTGATATCAATTATATATCTTGCTCTTTTGAGCCTTCCCTATATCAAGAAATATGCACGCATGCCATTGAAATACATTTACATCTGAATTGGATGGAGGTGTATGAGTGATCACCCATGGCCCCTGCTGCAAGGAAGTCCGCGGCGTCTTCCACGTCGGCGGAGATAGCTTTCTTGAGTCAACTCAAAAGCTGTCTGGTCAACCTACCTTCAACCCTTGTAGGTATTTTGGTCAATGCAAATACAGTATGCATCAAATCTCATCATTATTCAACTTTTCTGCCACAAATAGCTTACATCGATAATCTAGGCTGCCCAAAATGTCATTGTGGAACTGTCCTTCCGCCAGCAAACGGGCCGAACCGGTGCTGCCGAGACTTCCTCCCAACAAAGATCCGTATACGTGGGATGGACTGGGATGCCTAGCAAACGCAAGGCCGCGCCAGTAATCACTCGTGATGGTCTAGCTGGTGGCCGACACTCAGGGTCTGTCCGAGATCAAGATATAGCTCTGGTTGAAATTGATGCTACTCTCGGCCGCCTGCTTGGCCTTGAAGATGGGCAAAAGGTACGGCATATTCAGTTTTGCACTCATGATATAGCTTGACATGACTGATTTGTCTTTAGGTTGGAATCACATTGCACTTGGATCCACCTCTCGTTCGTACCGTCAATATTGAACCTCTTACCACTGCAGACTGGGAAAGTGGGTGCAGATATATCTTTCCCAATCATGAAAACATAAGCTGACAAGCTCTAAGTGATCGAGCTTCATGCTACCTTCCTCGAGCTCAATCTTCTTTCACAGATACGAGCGCTTCCTAATCCGTCATTCGAGCCCCCAAATGGAATCCCGCCTCAGCAGCCCCACCCCCTCTCACTTCATCTTTCTCCGACATCTACCGCCAGTATACGCGTGCTGTCGCTAACTCCAAGTCCTCCTTCGTCGTCGCCTTTTGCGAAAATCGCACCAGATGCAGAAGTCATTGTCGCCCCAAAGGTTCGTCAAAGACAGTCTCGAGGCGGCGGTCGGGATAGCCAGAGCGTCGCAAGTGCCGGTGGCCGAAGCGTTAGTGGCAGGAGCGCCGTGAGCGCTGTACGCCAGCGGAACCCTCGTGAGGAGCCTTCCGGCAAAGGAGCTTTATTTTTCCGCGGAGTGGATCGTGATATAGCGATGGAATATTTTGACGACGAGCCTGAAAACGGAAATGAAGGATTGAAGGTCTGGGTTGATAAAGATGCTTTGTTCTCAAAGGCATTAAAAGGAAGCACTTGGGTTTCTGTTTCCGTGGTTCAACCTGCAGGCATTCGCGCGCCAAACCTCCAGTCTCCTGGACAAGCTGAACTCGGCTCGACCAAACCCACGGAAATTGCCTCAAAGGTTGTTGCAAGAATCTTGCCATGGCTCGATGGCCCTGATACTCAGCATGCTGTACTTTCGACGCCATTATGTGAGGCTCTGCGTGTCGAGAGTTTTGTAGGAGGCATCATAAGGATAGAGGCCGCACCACCGCAGACTCCAAAAGGGAACTTGAGATCGCTCACCTTTACTCCCTTCAGTACTACCTCGTCACGCCAAGGGGAAGGTTTGAAATTTGGAGGACAATCACAGGAGGAAAATGAAGAAGTTTCGAGGAAGCTTAAATCCATACTGGGTCCGGGACCCAATCAAGGTCACAGCATACTTGAAGGCCCAATCACAGATGGTCTCTACATTAGCAAATCCAATTTTCAGGGCGAAAGTCTGGACTTCGATGGTGGAATTCTAAGATTTGAGCCCCAAACAGCAACTTCCGATCCAATGAAAGCGCCGTGCGCTTGGGCACTGGGATCCGAGCGCAGTCTACACATAGAAATACGACCAGAAGTTCTAGCTCCTCCGGCCACACAGCTAACCAATGCAGCGCCTGACGAAGCCCTACCGGAGCGTCCGCCGCATATGGTTGGTATTGATAAGTTAATTGATCAAATCCTGGGACATCTCTCACACTCTTCCTCTGTGTTGCTGACAGGAGGCCTTGGATGTGGGAAAACATCCCTAACTCATCTTTTGTCTCACGAGCTGCGGCAAAGCTTGCTCTATCACGCAACCTACTTCCCATGCAAAAAGCTTGTCACGGAAGAGACACGCGTCTCTACAATCAAGGAGTCCCTCAATGCCCTGTTCATGACAGCTTCCTGGGGCGCCCGCTTAGGTGGTCGGTCTTTGGTTGTTTTAGATGACGTGGATAAGTTATGTCCGGTTGAGACAGAGCTCCAAGTAGGCGGAGAAAATGGCCGTAGTCGCCAGATTAGCGAAATCGTCTGCTCCATTGTGAAGCAGTATTGCTCGATGGAGTCTGGTGTTGTTTTATTAGCAACGGCTCAGGCGAAGGAGAGCGTCAACAATCTGCTTGTTAGCAACCACGTCGTTCGAGAGATCATTAGTCTCAAAGCACCTGACAAAGAGGGCAGACGGAAGGTGCTGGAAATGCTGGTAGCGCAGGACCACGGATCCAAGAAAGCCGCACCGGACAATGCTGTTGATAGTAGACCTCCCTCATCTCAGGAAGAAGATGGCATGTGGATGGACGGTCTAAGTACTAGCAGTCGCCGTAACTCATCAGACGGCGCCGGAGGGTTTGTGGTGGAAAAGGATATTGATTTCCTTGACCTTGCAGGGAAGACCGATGGGTACATGCCGGGCGATTTAGTTTTACTCGTCTCTCGTGCGAGAAGTGAAGCACTCATTCGATCGATTGTCCCAGCCAAAGCCAGCTCCGATAAAGAGACGATAAAACTAGGAATCGATGACTTTACTCGAGCACTGCAAGGTTTCACACCTGCATCTCTAAGAAACGTGTCGTTACAGTCTTCCACGACGACGTTTGACTCAATTGGAGGTCTTCATTACACTCGCCAAACTCTTCTGGAGACGCTACAATATCCCACCACGTATGCTCCTATCTTCGCCCAGTGTCCTCTCCGACTCCGATCGGGTCTTCTTCTCTACGGATATCCAGGTTGTGGGAAAACGCTCCTTGCAAGTGCAGTTGCGGGAGAGTGTGGTTTGAATTTTATCAGCGTCAAGGGACCCGAAATCCTGAACAAATACATTGGCGCCAGCGAGAAGAGTGTTCGGGACCTATTTGAGCGCGCACAAGCAGCCAGGCCTTGCGTTTTGTTCTTCGACGAGTTCGATAGTATTGCACCCAAAAGGTAAGCCTTCATCGCGGCAACAGGTTATTTTCGGAGGGGCTAACGTGGAAATAGAGGTCATGACTCAACTGGTGTTACAGACCGAGTTGTCAACCAACTGCTTACTCAGATGGATGGTGCAGAAGGCCTTTCAGGTGTCTACGTACTGGCCGCAACATCTAGACCGGATCTCATTGACCCAGCTTTATTGCGCCCTGGTCGGCTCGATAAATCTCTGATTTGCGATCTTCCTAGTTTTGAAGATCGATTGGACATACTTAAGGCGTTCAGCAAGAAGATCAAGATCAGCGAGAACATACTTCACGGATCTAGCGGTCATGGCGACTTTCATGAAGTGGCACGGCGGACGGAAGGTTATTCCGGAGCCGATCTTCAGGCAGTAGTATATAATGCCCACCTCGAAGCAATCCATGACGTTTTAGACGCAGACGAGGAAAAGGCCGGCAACAGCAAGCAAAAGAAACGGCAAGAAAAACCAAGTCGCGCATCGGCGCAACAGGACTTTATACAGTTTAGATTCGCAGAGGGCGAGGATGAGGATGTTTCTGTCTCTAGCAAAAGGTCCCAAGCTGCCTCCCGTGCTGCCATCATTGCAAAGCTTGACGCCTTGAAACAAGCCCGGCGGCATCAAAGGCAACTAGCCGACCCCGGATCACAAGGGCGTGTCCATGAAAGTGCGGCCGTCTCTGCTCCTGGCAACGTGCAACATGAGTCCACTGAAGTGGTCGTTCATTGGAAACACCTGGCGGCATCCCTCGCAACCACAAGAAGCTCCATCAGTTCGACAGAGCGAATGCGACTAGCGGCCATTTACAATGAATTTGTCGTTGGGCGTAATGGCGAGATGCCCAGCGGTCAGGCGCCGACTGAAATCGGCGGCAGAAGCAGTCTGATGTGATTATCAGTCTTCCCCTTCCTTTCCAATTTTTTTAATGTTTCATTCATAGAACGCGAGTATTCTCCGAGGACATTTCTATTTCATTGTGTCTAGTGGCATATTACTTGTTTCGAATGGAGCGTGGCAAAAAGTGTATTTTTCGGACAGATACCCCGCAACATGTAGCGTGTAACAAATTTAGACTTCATCTTGATTTGTGAATACATTATCTTCATAGTAATAATATGTGTATAGCCGTGAGTGAAAAGTATGAATATGAAGGATATATCGTCTAAGTCTGCGATGCACGTGGTGCTCTAGCCCCTGTCCTAAACGTAGATTCCATTCCCGTCCGTAAGCCAATAACAATAATTGGAAAAGCTTACAGCTAGTAACAGAGTTAGTTGTAATGGTATAAATGCAACATATGATCTCTAATTTCCTTCCCCGCCCTCTTTTTCTTTCTTCCCCCCCACCCCCCTAAGCTCCCTCCTCAGTTCGTTCAGGAAATCAAAACAATCTCCCCCCGCTCATTCTTCTTCAGCCTCAAGCTCTTCCACAGCTCCTTCTCCTCGTCGGCTTTACCCAGGCCTAGACCCCGATCGTGGCGCTCCCGGTGGTACCGCTTCAGCGCCTTGTTGATGCTGTACCCCTTTTCGCTCTCGGGGCCCTTTGTCACAAACGAAAGAAAATGCTCGGCCCGGGAGCGGTACAGCACGAGTTGATTCTGGTCTTGTTCTTCGTCTTCTTCGGCGGGGGACACGGGGTTCTTGTCGGAATGACGACGGTGACGGTGACGGTGGCTGTGGCGGTCGTCACGATTCGTTGTACCATTCATCTTCGTCAGCGCCATACTTGTCGTCGTCGGGACGGCAGACTGACGGGTTGGCTTGGCGCGCTTTAACGGACTCGAGGGCGACGCTTCGTAGTCTGGCGTAGCAGGATACTCGCCGGCCATGACCATGCGGTTCAGACCGCCCGTCAGGCCGGAGTGCAAGGCGGGCGGAGTATCGATTGCCATTTCGTCCGAGTGTGGTCCTGCGCCATTAAGGGCCAGTTTCTGTTCCTCCTGGTCGTCCGCGGAGGTGTGTCGTTTGCGCTTCTTGTCCTTTTTCGTTGTCGATGACGAAGCGTCGGTCGTTGTTGTTTTTGTTGCTTTGGCAGGAGTCTGGAAGGCGGATTGTTCATGTCGCGCAGCGGGCGAGGTTGCGGTCACAGGTCCAGCGCCGTAAGAGTATCCGTTGCGCTCGTATGAAGGGTCGTCGTCGTGCGCCGCGCCGTTGGTCGGGGCGGGGACGAGGCCGAGCGACATTTTCGATGCATTGGGAGAATCGTCCGTCACGAGGTAGTCAAAGACGTTGACTGCGGCGGCGGCGGCGGGAGGAGCAGGAGGGCTGGGTGCTTTGGGAGGCACATTGATTGTGGCAATGGCGTTTGCGCGGTTATTGTTGTTGTTGTTGTTATTGGGCCTTTGTTGTTGCTGTTGTTGCTTCCCATTTGGCGCCTTGCATTTTTCCTTCTCGGGTCTGTACAAGTGGCCTTGGTATTTCTGCGCTTCGGTCATGCAGCTCTGTTATATGTCGCAAGCGTCTCAAATATCAGCATTTGGGTTGTTTTTTTTTTGTTTGGATTGGTTGCGTTGACGAGCGAATAAGGGGAGAACGTTTCCCGCGCCACAGTGTGGTGGTGATGCAGGGCGGAAGACGAAGCGGATGCAAGGTTATGATTCGACGCGATATTTGAGATTGAATATTGCATAGCGAAACGAATGGGGATGGAGTAGGAGACAAAGTGCAACATTGCAACATACCGTGTGGCTTCTGTATTCCGTGCCGTGGAAATGCACCATACAGTCAATGCAAGTGAAACTGGCGCCGCGACACCGGTTGCGGTGCGGATCGAGCTTCTTCTTGGTGAGGATATCGCCGCAGTTCTGTTCATAATGCGTCAATCGCTCTGTAATGAGGAAAATTTCTTTGGGTGTGTTTCGCAATGCGAATCAGATTCTTACCTCGCATGAGAAGGAGACCATCTTGACGACGTTACTCTCGGGGTGGAAATGGGCGGTGCCTTAGGGCGGTATAAGTTCGAATGTAATGCGAACTGCGCGAGAGAGAAGAGAGAGATTGACGATCGGAAGGGTAGCCCAGGGGATCGTCAGGGGTCCTATAAGTTATAGGGTTCGTTATACGAGGCGATGCAAGATGAGTACGATCGCAAAGCGCCTTCGGGGGAACTTTTTTTCTTTGGCTCCGATTTTTGTGTTTTTCTCCCGCTTCGCGACACCAAAGCGCGGGCCGAGGCGCCATCGGCACGCGCCAGCCATTTCTAGTTTGGGAATTCAAGGGACCAAAGGATCAACACCAGGTTTCTCCCCCAATTCCCCACGTTTACAAGTAGTCGTACTGATAAAGCTTCTTACTCGAGACCAGCCGTACTTAAATGTACTCTTGAGGTTTAGAAGATGGTATGCAGTGGATATTGCAAAATGGTCCGAGCATTGAATGACGAAATGAAAAAATTATTATGCAATGAGTAAATGTCCGTCCACAATAGCCGGATAAACAAAGTGTTTCCGCGCCAGCAGGCAAAACCACGACTCCATCTTCCAGACGCCAAAGAGCCCTACCAGGGGTTTTAATTCGAATTGAAAAAGCATTCAATCTTTCTTTTGAGGAGATTATCCACCAGGAGTCAAGCTGGAGTGCCATATTGCCGTTAGCCTGCTACTAGAAAAATATGGGTTGTTGATTAGACTAACCCTTCCTTTTCCAGATGAAGCGGCGTTGCCGATTTGTTGTACTCTAGATCCGCCTCCTTTTCAGGTGTGCCTTTGAGGTCGCTTTTGTGATCTGTGCTCTTCTCTAGATTTCCCGTCCCGCTTTTATCGGCAGGCTTTCCCTCGCCTTCCTCGTCCTCGCCACATCCACAGTCGTAAAAGTCGCCAAGGTTGGAGCAGTCAAATAATTCTTTCTTCAAACGTTTATTGACTTCATTGTGCACGCTGCAGCCCCATGCGGCTGCAGAATTTCGCGAGGATGTTTGCGGCGGGAACTGTTCCAAAAGTTTGCGGAAGTGACGAGCGCATTCCCCACTATCTCAAATTATCAGCCTCATATTCCAAGCGTCTGAATGTTTTGCGTCTTCTCTTGCATACCAAGGATATAGTCTCGCAAAGAGGCGAATATAAGCCTCGAGGGCGGCACTCTCGTCTGGAGTTGGCTTTTCCGGAAATCGTGCAAATATGGTATGGAAGAGCTTCCAAGAGGCCCTCCCTAGCTCAGCCCTAGAAATTGGCACGTCAGATATCCGCTCGTATAATGCTGTTGAGTTTCAGACTCTTTAAGATACGTACTTTACCGTTTCATTTCCGAGAAAAGGCATGATGGCGTCGCCGGTGAGGGAAGAGGGTTCGACCACATGGTCCGTAGCAGTGAGTTTCCCGACATTGCCAGTTCGCGTTAATTGTTGCGGTTGGTTCTGAAATTTGAAGACGAGCGACAGGGTCAAGAAGCCAACGATGGTGACAAGCACCAGAATGAAACGACGACTGGTGCCTGCTATCATTGTGCGATTTTTTGAACACCTCCTTGTTTAGAGAAAGAGTGGGATCCACGTCCCTCAATTGAAGGAATTAACGTTACCTGCGCAGAGTAACTTTGTTTGGAGGACCCTGTGATTATGTCATCAATCAGGGCAGAGATCATGCCATAAACGCCCGACAAGGCATGTCCTGTGCACAGCGTAGTCATTGCACAACCCCTAGGATCATTATAAAAGAGCAGATTTCTGTGGTTTTGAGAAGCAGTCATGTCATTTACACTGATAGCTAGGATTTCCGGTCTATATTGAATATACTGAAACAGGTGTTGGTCAAGCATGCTGTTTCTTCTCTCGCATTTATAGCCAGTCAATCTTGCCTCCATACATCTTTGAGGATAGTGAAAAGCTTCCATACACTGTTAGAGCAACAAGGTAGGAACCAGGGTACCAGAGCATCATCCCTTGAACATTGCATAACTTACCAGATTGATCATATGTTTTTGTCGTGAAGACACTCGGTATTTGCCGTGATTCGAGGGATTCTAGAAGAAAAGACCCCACAGAGTTACGTTATCGGCATTTGGGATTACCCGGGGAATTCGCAAATACGGCACCCCCTGGTCCCGAGCTGATTCACCGCTTCCGGCCCTTTTGTTGCTATAACTATCTTACGAAACCCTTATCCTGCCTTATAACCACTTCCTAACCCCCTGGGCCTTTCAAGCGTCTTTGATTTTGGACTCGATTTGACATTCAATATATATACATCTTTTAAATCTTTCCAACAATGTCATTCCCTCCTGCGCCCGTCAGTACTATCGGTGGGTCACCTACCCCGCCAATTGACTCAGGGTTCCTCAGCCTTGTTGCTCGCATGGCATTGATCTAACAAGCTTCGAAATATTCGCAGACTGGAACAATATTGGATTCAAGATCAGAGAAGGTAAAATAAATGCGTAATCCTTAGAAACTAAAGCACTCAATTGCTGATTCCTGAGATTAGTAAACGGCCATGTCGAATCCCACTACAGCGTCAAGACCGGGAAATGGTCTGAGCCAGAATTTGTCGAGGACCCCTTCTTAAGGATCCACGGCATGGCTCCAGGTCTGAACTATGGTAGGTTATCAGAATCAAAGCTTTCATCCGCAATGTTTAACAAGCTCTGTTTCCAGGCCAGCAGGCATTCGAGGGTATCAAAGCTTTCCGTGGCCCCGACGACCAAATCCACATCTTCCGCCCCGTCCAGAATGCTGACCGGATGGCTCACTCCGCCAATGTGGTCTCTATCCCGCCAGTGCCTCGTGAGCACTTTATCCGTTGTCTTCATCTCGCCGTCTCGCTCAACGCCGACTACGTGCCGCCCCATCACACTAGTGCTGCCATGTACATTAGACCTTTGGTCTTTGGATCGAGCGCACAGCTAGGCTTGAACCCGCCAGAGGAGTACACCTTCGTAGTCTACGTTCTCCCCGTCGGTGTCTACCACGGTGTGCATCCCGTGGACGCTCTTATTCTGGAAGAATTCGACCGCTCTGCTCCTCATGGAACGGGTAACGCCAAGCTCGGCGGTAACTATGCCCCCGTCCTTCGCTGGAGTGAGAAGGCCAGAGAGGAGGGGTATGGTATTACCCTCCACCTCGACAGCCAGACTCGTACCGAGATCGACGAGTTCTCTACTTCGGGATTCATGGGCGTGAAGAAGGACGGAGACAGCTACAGTATCGCCGTCCCTGACAGCACGTGCGTCATCAAGAGTGTGACCTCTGATAGCGTCTGCGAGATTGCCAAGTCTTTTGGCTGGAAGGTCGAACGCAGATCGGTACGTTCACCAGGCGTAGTACCTCTCTCTCCTTTGTAACATTTGTTCTAACTCGACTGCTATTATACAGATCAAATTTGAAGAGCTTTCCTCGTTCGACGAAGTCCTTGCTGCCGGCACTGCGGCAGCTCTTGTTCCCATTCGATCCATTACGATGAAATCGAGAAATGCCAAATTCGAATATCTCAAAGGCGACGAGCCGGGCCCTGTGTGCCTGAAGCTGCTGAGCACCCTTCAGGGTATCCAGCTTGGAAAGATTCCAGACACATTCAACTGGCGTCTCAAGGTCTCTGAGGAGAAGGACTACAAGATCCGTGGCACCGGCGCAAGGGATGAAGTCACCACTGGCCTTGGTTCGAGCGTTGACAAGCTTCCTTAGAGTGCATGACTGGTTTTTCAGCTTTGGCCAATGCATCACGTATTAGATGTTTCAGCGTTCGAACGATAGAATGAGCAGGCAGACTTTTCTCATGATAAAAAAAATGAAGCTTTAAAATGTTTACGGTTTACTTTTCTAAGTTCCTGATGAAATCCAGTTGCAAATCAGAACAAATCCATTGTATACCCTATGAACGGAAATCATCACGTTAAGATAATACCAGCACCATATACGGAGCTATATAACATCCACAAATCGAAGGCGGAGAAGAAAACAAAGTTTCATGCTCATTGCTCACTGCGTGCGAGAGACTGACTTGTAAACCCTACAGAAAAAAGATGCACCGCTGAATGTATGCCATTGAAAAAGAAAAGAAAAAGTGAAAAGGTAAAAACGCCATGCCCGGCCATGCGCGCAGAAACGCATATGAGAGAGAGCGCCCACATGAATCTTGATGCTTTGTGCCAATTTGCCAAGGGGAATAATCATAAATAGGAAAAGAAGCATACCGATTGTGATGGAATAGGGGGAAAACAAAAAAGAAGCATACCGATTGACATAAATAGAAAACCGAAAAAAAAAAAAAGAAAAGGAAAAAAAGACC